CATCCGTTCGGCAAGGACACCAACGATAGCGTGCAACGAGAGCAGCTCCTTCACCAGGTACCTGGCAGCTACGCTTAATTTTGCATCTTCATCAAAATTCTTCATCTTCCTTCTACACAAAATCTCCATCTTCATCTTTCATGTAAGATTAAAACAAACTCGTTCGGTTAATAACTGTCCAAAACAAAGCAGGTGAGCCTCTTGACGAACAGCATCCGGTACTTAAGCCACAAGGCGCAGGTCCAGGGCCTCTCGGGTGACGAACGCGAGCTGCTGAAGGCACAACTCCTCGCGCTCGAGTTCTACATCGCCCGCACCAACGCCCCACACACGCAGCCGCTCGCCACGACCACTTCCATCTCCGACAACCGGCCCTCCTCGCCACCGGCCGCGGACCTGGCCTCGGGCGCCTCCGCCGACCGTCACTGGCATCATCTTCCCGACATTCGTGACCACCACTTGGGCGTCAGCGTAACGTCGCAGCACAAGAAGCGGGCCAAGCGGACCTTCAACCGGGCGTGCGTGCACTGCGGCACCCAGTTTACGAGCCAGTGGCGCAAGGGACCCGCCGGCGCTTCCACGTACGTCGCCGCACTTCATCTTTTGCCCTCAACCTTTCGGGACCATGACCTAACCCTCGGCTTCAGGCTGTGCAATGCGTGCGGCATCCGCTATGCCCGGCGCCTTAAGAAGGACGCCAAGGCCGCTGCCAGCTCAGCGCCCAAGCCGTGCGATGACGCCGGCAAGCGCTCCTCGGTCTACTCCCTCCTCAATTGAGCTGCTCAACCATCGATGCGTGTCTCTTGCCTAGATAACGCCCAAAACGGACCTCTCAGGTCTTATTTATTTACACAAATTAAACAGAAATATCTAGAACTTAATAATACACAACACCACCTTGAGATGGTGGTCGCCGACCAGCGATGAAGAAACGCTGCTCAGTTGAGCAGTGAGTAGATGCTCGAGCGCCGTGGCATGACGTCTACCGAACACGACGAAGGCGAGGCCGGGTCGAATACGTCGTCGCTTCCGTCGATGGTGTCAGACGAGTCGACCTTGCTTAGGTGATGTTGCTGCTGCTCGTGTTGGTCCTGGTACCGCGCCTGCAGCTCGCGGAGGCGTGCCAACAGTTCGCCGTTGCCGCCGATAGAACCACCGCGCTGCTGCGAATCCACGACTGCCTCGCTGGTGGAGGCCACTTCCAAGGGACCAGCAGAGGAGTCAAGCTGCTGGCGGGCGAGGTACTGGCGGTGCTGCTTCATGCTGTGCCGATACCGTAGCCCACACGCGTTACACAACCTGATTCGCCCGACATACATAAGGACGAGGTGAGGCAGCATGACCAAGGAATCGCTCGGTGCACAACGTTTCTTCCTGCAAGCGAGATGCCAAACAACGTGTCAAACTCGAAATTTCGTCTGACCTCTGCACTCTGGTTGGGTGCTGGCTAATTGCTTTGTTTCGATTTGCGGATTAAGATAGCCATGTGATTGCCCATTAACCAGGTTAAAAAAGCCGATCTATCTGGCGGAGGGGACGTGGGGTGGGGGGGGACGGTACGTGGGGCGGCCGTCAGCGCCAGAGCGCCACTGGCTGGTCTTCTCGGCCTTGCAGATGGCGCACGCACGCTTGATGTCCTTGGGCAGGTTCTTGCCTCGGTTCCTGCGCTTCGGCCCCTCGCCTACGACCTTGTGCAGGTCGGCTACAGCGCAACCCTGGTGCTCGAGGGGAAGTGTGACGTTGGTCGACAGGGCCGAGAGCGTAGAGGACAGGAAGCCGCTCGTGCTGCTGGCCGGTGGAGATGGTGAAGGAGACGACAGGGTGGAGCAGGCCCAGGGCGATGCAGGCTGCGACGCCGAGGTGCTGAAGGAAGACAAGGGCGACGACGGCGGCGGGCAGGAAGTTGAAATGGTCCCGGTGGCGAGATGCTTGATGGCCTCGATGTCCGCCTGGAGCCGAGCGATATCGTCCTTGTGGAGGCCGCGCAGGCGAGCCTTCGACGCCAGGCGGCACAGGTCGTTCGTGTAGAGCATGATGTTCTCCTTGTTGTCGAGTTGGTGCTGCTGGTGCTGCATATGTCAGTGCTTGGTGTGGAGGTGAGGAGAATGAAGAAGCATCCTTACCACCACAAGTGGCCGCGGATGAGAGGTCACAAGGAACGCGCGATTGGGCGTGATCTCGGGACAGAGGTTGTTGCACCCCAGTTTGGGGCAGGAAAATGGGTCAAACATGTCCCTACAGAAGAAATTGGGGCGAAAATCCCGTGGATCCACCTCCGGCGCTCTGTGTATGTCGCTTTGATGGCCTACATGTACCTCGACTTATCACAGGCCCCTCGCTTCATTCTCGCCGAGGGGCATAACTTGTCCCAGGAAAGATCGACCAGTCCAGCGTGTGGTGCCTGGTCCCCTTGGCTTGGGGTGTTGCTCTCATGAAAGCGTCGATGTTCGGTTCTTCCACCAGGAGGCGTGGGCCTTGGTGAGGGTGTCCTGCACGTCGTGCGGCAGCTCATCGAAGCCCGACGTGCGCTTGACCGCGGCGAACTGCTGGAAGACGATCTCCATGCAGTAGCGCTTCAACAATTCCGCCCTGGAGTATGTGTGTGTTTTCGGCCAGTGCTCGACTCTCAGCCCACCGCACAAGCACTGTCACACTCGCACGCATACCACACAACACACGTACCGGTGCAGCATGGCGATGTGGTAGAGCGTGGCGCAGTTTTCGACGCGGGCCTTGCAGAGGGTCTTCTTCTCGGCGAGCTCTCGGAGCCTGGGCAGCTCCAACAAATCGGCCAGCGAGAGCAGCGAGACGCCAGTGTTGATGTCCACATCGGCCCCTTTGTTTCGAAAGCGTGAGTCCAAGAGAACGAACAGGTGAACAAACAGGCTTAGTGCAATGTTGGCATGTACCGGCTTGCTCTGTGATGCTGTCAGTGTAGATGAACTCCATGGTGAAGTAGAAGCTCTTGCGATCGGCGTAGGTGATGGGGATCGTGGCCTGCGTCGTCTCGCGCATTCCCGAACGCCACATTGCCCCGAAGTACTCGCTACGCATCCTGTGTGGATAAAATAAAATGAGCATGCTAAAATTAAAAATGTAAGTTATGTGGCACGTGGTCGTGTGTGGCCGTACCCGAGAATGGAGCGGTGCGCGTGGATGAGCATCGATTCGTCCTCGCCATTCTCTTCCTGTTGGTGCACCGCGGTACGTGAGAAAACCTCCAAGGCCCGTTTTGCAGAAGTAAGGGGCCACGAGACCTCGGGGAAGCTGAAGGCGATGTCGCTCGACTCCTTGTCGTTGAAGATCGACCGCATGTTCTCCACGAAGTGGGACTTGGGCACCTCGGCAACCTCGTGCTCGAGGAAGGACTCGCACATGGCCTGCAGCCGCTCCATACCGAACATCCTGGCCACCTGCAGGCGTAGTTGACGACGATGGAGGGCCATTCAATTCAGTACACGGCCAGCAATGACTGCATCATATGATCAGAATGTGTGTGTGTGTGTGTGTGTGTGTGTGTGTGTGTGTGTACCTGAGCCAGCTGGGTGGCGACTCCCTTGGTCATGTCTGCAGCGATGTGGTCGCGGTAGACGAACTCCAACAGCCGCTTGAACGTCTCGAGGGTCACCTTCTTCACCTTGATCTCAGTGCTGCGTACGGGAGACGGTTAGTTTGGCGACAATTGCGACCCACGCAACACACACCTGTAACACACACGTGCGAAACATACTTGCGTTGCTGTTTGGCCTTGCGTTGAGCGAAAAGACTGCGGAAGTGCTGAGAGCGAGCAGTCAGGATCGCTTGATGCGCCCTACACCACATGGTAACGAAATGTGAGCACTCACAGCTGCCCTCACTACAGGGGGCGTCGAGCCAAGGCCGGGGCGAGAGGTCTCCGTACCGTACGGTGTAGCGGTCCTCCAGCATGAAGGACACGTCAGCAAAGTCGGGACTGTCCAGCGCGGCCCCGATGGTCTTGGGCAGGCTCGACGACGTGCCTGATGTCGACAAAATTCATTATGTTGAAGGAGATGAGCAAGTCGCAGTAGCGCTGGCTTGGGGAGGACGTACTGGAGATGGCGAGAGCGTGGCGGGGGCCGATCGAGACGCCGAGGCAACGGGCCTGGTGGATGTCGGCGAATGCGGGAACGAGCTTGGGCGTACGCGTCACACCCTCGGTGCTGCGCCCGTCGCCGAGTCGTCCGGCCTCGCTCGATCCCCACATGTAGAGCTGGCCCTTGTCTTCACGTATGAAAATAAAATAGAAATATCGAGTCAGCCATGGACCGTGGGCGCGCACGCACATGGGCGGGTATGGCACCGGTGAGTGCGGCGGCATGAATGTCGCCACAGGCCACGGAAACAACTCCGTCGATGGAGCTGAGATGCGTGGGCTCGGACACGTCTCCAGACGGACCCAAACCGAGCGCCGTTCCCTTGCCCCTGCGACCGCAGCCGCACCCGTGTGCACAAAGTTTAGCCCAAGCTTGCGTGCGTCGCACAAACGCCAGCGTATCAGAAGCCGCCGGCGTACCAGGTGTAGAGCAGGCCCCTGTTGGTGATGGCGGCGCAGAAGCCGTGGCCACACGCAATATCGACAAATTGGACGTGCCGCACCGAGAGGATGCTCAGGAATGTCTGCCGAGGCAAGAAAAGTTGGTGGCGGTGAGCACAACATGAGCGGATTGATGGAGAGGGGGGGGGTCTGCTGTACCTCTCTCTGTGTCTTGGGTACTGGGATGCGCTCCTGACAGCTCCACCCGCTGCCCGTACACCCTTCGCCGTGGGTGGCGCAGATCCATTCATCACCCTTGCCCAGTTGCCCGCTCTCGTCCCCTGTGGGTGTTGTATGTGTGTGTGTGTGTGTGTGTGTGTGTGTGTGTGTGTGTGTGTGTGTGTGTGTGTGTGTGTGTGTTGTGTGTTGTGTGTTAGAAACAGCGTGATACGCCTGCGTGGTCAGGACTAAGAGCACCTCCGGTAGTGTAGATGACGCCGGCGCTGTCGACGGCGGCCGAGTGGTTCTCGCCGCAGGCCACCTTGACCATGATCTTGTCCTTGATACCGGCCTCGACCCGCTTGGGGGTGGCCTGGTCGGTCATGTCCCCGTGACCCAGCTGACCGTTGGCTCCGCGACCCCACGTGTAGAGCGCGCCCTCCTCCGTCACACAAGCCGAGTGGAACCGACCACACGCCACCTGCTTCACCACCTGCCCGTTCTGTATAGTTGTCGACAGCACTGGCTTGTGAGTCCCATGCACCGTGACAGGCGCACAGTTTGGTTCGCGTACCAAGGCCGAGAGGCGGGTGGGCTTGGGCTGGAAGTAGGAGGTCTGGGCGGAGTTGGAGCGGTAGTGCAGCGCGTTGCCGCCCTCGCCCAGCGCCATGACCGTGTCGTGGCCCAACTGGAACTCGCCTCCCCTGCCGAACGTGTAGAGCTCGCCGTCGGCTGGGCCATGCACACGATGAATAGGAGTTAAAAGAGAACGCCAAGGCTCCGGGGGCCTTAAAGGGTCGGGTACCGGTGACCAGGGCCGAGTGGTAGCCGCCGGCCGCGATGCTGACCACGGTCTTCTTGCGCAGGTCGTCAGGGAGGACGATGGGTCGCGGTCTGGCCACCGCAGCCAGATCGGACGACTCGGCGATCTTGGTGATGGGCTGTCCGCACTGGCCCTGGTCGTTCAGACCAAAGCTAGTCACCTCGCCGTTTTCTGATTGGTGAAAAAAGAAAAGGATGATCATCAAGTGTTGAACCAATTGGGGTGCGTGCGTGGGGTCGAACCAGTGAGGCACAGCGAATGGAACTCGCCGGCAGCCACCATCTTGACCTGCACACTGGAGAGGGACTCGATGGCCAGTGGCCACAGCTGCTCGATCCCTCCGGTGTGGCCCAGCACGCCGTCAGAGTTGGCACCCCACGACAAGATGAGTCCCGTTTGCTCCTGTTTCAAGGTGTAAGCAGGCGATACGGGGTGACGGTATGGTGCGGTGTGTGCGTGTGTGTCATACCTTGATGTTCTTGTAGTACTCGGCGATGAATTCTTCGGACTTGTTCTTGAGGGAGGCTTCGGACAGCAGGTGGAGCGAGGTCATGTTCTGCTTGCTGATGAACTTGATCTGCTCCTCCAGCAGACGTTCGAGTTCAGCCTCCTTGCCCTTCTTCGACTTTTTGTCCAAATCCTCCTTCTCCTTCTTCACCTTCTTCTTCCTGTGTTGCTCCATGCAGTGAGTCTCTGATACGCGTACAAGAGACAAAGCCTGGCGCGCGGGCGTTGTTTCGTACTTGGGTGCGGGTTTCTCTTCAGCGTCAGCGGCAGCCTGGCCCTTGGCCCGGGCCACATTGGCCTTGGCCTTCTCGAGCTTCTCCTTCTCGAACGCGTTTACGAGCTTGATGCACTCTGCCGTATAATGTGAGCACAAGCCCCTCTCGGCGTGAATGAGAAGAGGACACGAAGGGGAGAGGGTGTACCGATCTCGGTGCCGGGCACCCAGGAGGCTTCCGATGCCGGCACGCCCTTCCATTTGACCAGGTACTGCGGCTGCGGTCGGCCGAAGTCATCCTTGCGCACACGCTTCTTCAAGATCTGCAACGAGAGCGGGAGGAGGCGAGAGAGAGAGAGAGAGAGAGAGTACAGATCAGCCATCGCGATCTTGCCTGTGCCTCGTTTGGTCGGGTCTGTGCTCGATAATAGAGCGTGACTACGGACCTTCTCGGGGATGTACTCGAAGTCGCCCTCCTCCTCGTCGTCGTCTTCCGCGCCGTAGCCCTTCTCCTCGGTCGCGTCATCTTCAGGAACAAGCATATCGTTAGCAACGCGCGGTAGAAGGGGGCGAGGGGAGAGAAGGAAAGACGGAGAGGTGGACGAACCTGTGTTCTCGCGAGGGTCCAGAACTGTAAAGCCTTGGTCCCGCCACTTCTGGAGTTCGGCCTCGGAAGCCTTTGCGGCAGATGCGGCAGTGCCGGTCGTGGGGGCGGGCAGTGCCATCGGCGTGCCAATCGGGTAGGACCACTCGCCGATGCAGATCACCTGGTGGATTACATCGGGAGCAAATCATCAGTAAACACTGCAACGTGGCTTGACACCAAACGCCAAGAGGTGAAGAGTGTACATTGTTTGCCGCAGACGATGGATGAAGACCGCCCACGACGCCCTTGCGCCCCTTGCGGCCCCTGGTGTCTTCCTCATCCTCCTCGGGCACGAATTCCCGGTCGATGAGGTCGGTAAGACCGCGCATACGCTGCCGCGCGATCTTCATGGCCGACATGATGTCGGCTCGCTTACGCGACACCTTGGCGAAGAACTGCTGCGCGGCGTCGGCGCCGACAGTGGTCTCACTGTCAGATTCGCCGGCGCTCGAAGCCGCCACCAGGTCGCCCTCGAGCACCTCCGACAGCTTCTCGGTGGCGATCTCCAGGTCCTCTTGCAGGAATTCGAAGAGCTCCTTGGAGGGCATCTGGCGTTTGGCGGTCTGGGGCTCAGCGGCCGCCACGGAATGCGTGGAGGCGCCTTGCTTCTTCGTCAGCTTCTTGTTGGCCTTGACCTCGTCGGCCATGACGAAGCTCAGCACATAGGAGTACTTGAGCAATCGCCTGCACTGCATTAGCACATTCACCTGGTGGTGGTACGTGCATGCGTGTCACGCGGGTGTGTCGTGTCAGCAAAGCGCGGGCCAGTGTGACACAAGAGCTTGGGGGCGAGCGGGTACCGATTGGACAAAGTCGTTTTCGAGGGCAGCGGCATCGTTGACCGACGCGAAGAGCAGATTTTCGCTGTGCCTGTCCCTCTGCGTGCCTTGTGACGCGGCCAAGCGCGAAGCAGCCTCCTGGAGCTGGCGCAGCTTTTCTTGGGTCGCTGCCTTGATCTGTGCAGCGAAGTGACGGGCGCGGTCGTGGGCCGTGAACCGTTCGTAGTGGTGGCTGAACAGTTCACTCGCGTTTCTGCAAGGCGACCGTCACGACCGTCAGTCGATCAAACATAGGAGCGAGGGCAACAGTGAGCGAAGAAAGGACAACGAACGCGGCGGCGAGGAGCGAAGAAGAGGGCTTGCTGGAGGCGGCCTTCTTCTTGGCCTTGGGATCGAATCGATTGCTTCAATGGAAGCAATGCAAAGATTTAAGGGAAAGTGTGAAAGAGACTTGGGCAAGAAGTCATCAGCGTCGTCGCGGCAGGCTCGAGCACTTACCAGGAATAGAAGAAGTTGTGGGTGCTCCAGTCTTGCATACAGACCCAGCAGAACATGAAGTTGCTGCCAGCACGATTCCAAGTCAGCTTTGATGCCATCAAGCATAGCCAATCGCGCGGGAAGAACATACCAGTAACTGCAGACCATCTTGTTACATCCACCGTTCTTCTCAATGGCTGAGTGGACATGACATTGCGTCGAGTTAACCAACCCAACCTCACAAAACTGGTTCGGGCCGACCACTTCGTACCGGTTTCGCAGTTGGGGCAATCCCTGGTGAACTTGGAGATGTACTGGAACGTCTCCTTCTCGGCCTTGCTGTGCTTTGCCCACTGCTCCACCATCCCACATGTGCACGGGAAGTGACCCTCCTGCTTACACTTGAAGCTGGCGTGGCACACGATAGATTAGATTGACTGGAGACTGGAGTGCAGCGGAGAACAAAATGGGACCACTCAGTACCAGAACGAGTTGCCGCACTGGCAAGTGACGGTGCAGTTGAGCTTGATGGTCGCCTGGACAGCATACTGGCAGCCTGTACACCCGGGGTATCATGGTGATCAATAAAAAGGCCCGATCTCCAATCGGAAAAGGTGAGCACGTCGAGGGGCGGTCATACCCGGTGCAGGGCACCACATGACGTAGGGGTTGTTTTCGACGTAGGAGTTGGCGAGGAAGGAGTTGTACTTCTTAAACACGTCCTCATCGACCAGGTCCTTGATGACACTCTCGGGCACGGTCTGCTTACACTTGTACGCGGGACAGCCGATCTTGTCCGCCTGGCCGTCCTTGATCTTGATTGACAGGTACTCCTTGTAGCAGTCATTGCTGTTGTTGGGCCGGACAGAATACAGCGCGTTAGAGGTGCTCTCGGGGCAGCCATTGACCGAACATGGAGGCAACCGAGACTTACCAGAAAGCGTGACCGCACGAGAGCTTGGTGTAGTTGGGGCTGTCGTCGAAGCACCCGGGGCAAGCGAAGGTCTCCTCCGCATCACCTCCGCTCTTCGTTTCATCTGCTCCCTCGTTATCTTCATCGAAGTCATCGCCGACCTTCTCCTTACCCTTGGCGCTGGCCGCTTCGCCTGAGTTCTGACCACCGGCGGCTCGCACCGAAAAGAACACTCTGAGTGCCGAGAAAAATGAGCCACTGTAAGGTACGTATTTCATGAGAGCCCACGTGGGTGCGTTGGTACCGGCTGGGGCTCTCCAGGAAATCGGTGACGAGGCGCTCGGTGTTCCACATGTAGTGACTCAGCAGAATGCGCGCAGTGGTTTGGGGAACCTGTGAGAAGCGCGGGAGCTATGAGGCGAAGCGCACGTCTAGATGCATGCGAGGTGGTGATGGCAGGGCTCCAAACCTTGAGCAGTTCCTGGACATACTGCACCTCCTTGCCAATGAAGGAAATGATCTCGAGCGCGGTGAGGCACTTGAAGTCCTGCAGAGTTTCGTCGTCCACCTCAGCGTAGCTTTAGTGCAAAAGAGGTGTAAGTCGTGCGACAGAATAGAGATTCAAGGGCGGTTGGTCGGCGCACCTCTCGGGCTCGCTTGTGACGGCCGTGGAGGCCGTGCTTGAGGTTGGAGAGGACGAAGAAGTAGTGGAAGAGGCAGTCGACTGCATGGGTGAAGGCGATGACGATGAGTCGCCAAAAGTGGCGCTCAGTATCTTGTCCTCGAGCCAATCGTCGGCAGACTTGATCAGAGTCGAGATCATCACTCCGCCTTTGAGTGCGATCGCCTGCAGTGTGTGTGCGGGTCAGTGATGCGGCAGGCAATCTGGCAGCGGTGTGGCCCAATATTACCTGGGAGGTGAGTAGAGACTGGAGGACCACACAGTCCTCCGCGCTGAGACCCTTGACGGCCTTGAGACGAATGGATGGCCTTGCCTGCGGGTACGACGCAGGCAATCGGAGCAAGACGCGCAGCTCCACTGGACAGCCGCCCGTGTTATTGAATTGCCATTTAAGTTCTTTTGAAAAGATGGGTGGTGCAAACCTCGCCCATAGTTGGCAGTTCGTTTGATGAGGATGGTCTCAGCGTCGAGCTCGGTCCACTCCTTGCGAGGACCGTAGAGCGCACGCAGCTCTGCCACCTCGGCAGCTGCACAGTGCGGCCGCACTTGTCAGCCCCCCCCCAACAATGGCAGATGTGAGGGATATGCACGGAGGAACCCACGTACCACGAGCAGCCAGCTCCTCATCCATTATTCTGGTAAGTTGCAATAAAAAGACCTTCCAAGTTGTTCTTTTTGTGTTCTGTTGTCGGGGGGCACTATTTTCGTAATTATCTGAGAAAAGATTCCCGCAAAAGGCAAAGTGCAGAAAAGCAAGAAAGAAAATAAACTCTCCTGGTTTTTTGTGGGCAGCGTTGTGATCGTGTGGGTTGTTCTTGACGAAAGATCTTCAGTCAAGTGTGGCTGGCTTTGTTCTTTTCTTTACAGTCTTCCAGCTTCGACCCCAGACCTCACAACTTACCACAATGGATGAAGTGGTGTCTACGATCTGGACCTACGTGAAGGTGCTGGTGGTGTACCTGGTCGTGGACGTGATCTACCTGGTCCTCCCGCCCGTGTCGGCCTACAACAAGAGCGTCATTGAGGGCGTGCAGGGTTCGCCCGTCGAACTTCGCCTCCTCCCCGCGCTCCTCGTCTACTTCGTGGGCGCCGCAGCGCTCACTTGGATCCTCGTGCACGCGCCCGAGGGTCGTCGAGTGGCCTCTGCCGCCTTCATGGGCTTCTGCACCTACGGTACCCCTTCCTCATCTCATCTTTTTATGGCTCAAAGTAGTGAGCATGACGTATTCTCTACTCGCTGTGTGCACCAGGCATATACGACCTCACCAACTACGCGACGCTGACGAACTATCCGCTGCGGATGGTGGTGCAGGACATGCTGTGGGGCGCCTCGTCGTTCGGCATCTCGGCCTTCATCTACACCCGTCTCCTCGCCCCCAAGCCTGCCGCTGCAGTCTACCCCACTGGTATGGAAGTAAGCCCTGGCAAGCTGGGCATGTGATGAATGATCATCATCCACTACACCAGACCATATGTTGTTACGCCCCAGAGAAGTAATGTACATAGCCACGCGCACACAGGGACGATCAACTGGAGGAAAGAGACCTGATGACGAGACCTGCTGGCTCGACAGGTTGAGGTTCAGAGTGCACTCGCCCTTGCGAGAGGGAGGGGAGAGGTGAGGAGGTGGGGGTGGTGATGGTGACGGTGCGTAGTGAAGAGGAATGAGGGTTTATTAGTGGAGAAGGAGAAGGTGAAGACGTGCAGAGCAGGTCAGGGAGTGTTTACTGCTTCACGGTCACACCAGCAGCGGTGAGCTTGGGCACGAGGCCACCCTTCTTGTGCAGGTTCTGCAAGAGGAAGAGGAAGGAACGGTGAGCAGCTGCTCGCAGTTCTGCTCAAGAACACATGGCGCGAGGGAAGGTACCTGGGTGTCGTCGTTGCCACCAATGTGCTCACTGTCGATGAACACGCGCGGGACGGTGGTGCCGCCGGTGATCTGCTTCAACGCGGCCTGAATCTCGCTGCCATCGGCTGAACGATGTCGACGAGAGCACAGTAATGTGAGTGACCATCTCAGGCGGTGACGCTGTTGTGAAATTGATCGGCACAGCAGAGAAGGTAGGCAATACCGATTTGGTCAAGCTCCACGGCAGTGAAGTTGACGCCGAGGCCCTGGAATAGCTGCTTGACCTTCGTGCAGTACCTGTGGAGATGAAATGAAGAAGAAATCGTGAGGCATTGCGCTTAAATTCATCAGCACTGGATCTATTCAAGGCCATCACTTGCCCTGCCGCCTGGGCAGGGCCACAAGAGCGGCACATACGGGCAGTACGACTTGGAGAAGATCATAACGGTGTTCTTGGCGATAAAGTCCTTGGCCTTTTCCATTTTGTAGTTGAGGTGCTGTTGATCGTGGAGGTGAGATGAGCAAAGATCTCTGCGCCCGAGACCACACAACCAGCAAACTCGTGGCAAGTCGACAAAAATTGATTCCGCCGATTTCTCTGCCTCTTTTTGGCGTGGGGCGGTCAGGAAAATGGAGGGGAAAAAGAATTAGAGAGGGGCAAGGTGCCGACGTGTCGTCCCAATACAACATCATCCAGCAAGCAAAGGAGCACTTACACAACGCAGGCCACTGCAGATACAACGGTACTCCGGCAATCTCTGAGATCAGACCCAACCATTTTTTCAGAATCGCAACACATCGCTTGTGTTGCTCTGGTAATCTGCGATTGTGATCAAGCCGCAAGGTCGCGATGGCGTTGTGGCATGTGAGCCGGCGTTATCTGTTTCGGTTGAAAGAGCAGCGGGATTGATCTGTTACTGCGTGCAGATGAACGACGCAGCGGTGACGCTCGTTGTGACCGCGGCGTCGTCGGCCAAGGACAAAGAGAAAGAGAAGGAGCCCAAAGACAAGGAGGAGGTCAAGAAGGACTCACCAGCCGACGTCGAGAAGAAGGCTGCCGCCGCCGCTGTGCTCCGGGGCATTCCCTGGTGGGGCAAAAAGGCGGCGACCGAGGTCAAGGGCAGCCTGCGCGTGAGCTTCTACGATCTCGCCGAGCTGCCCACATCACACGACCCTGCCACCGGCGCCCAGCTGCCGCCCTTCTTTTTCCCGCCGACCTCGCTCGCTGCTTCGCCTTCGCCAACACCTGTGAGCTCTTCCACCACCTCCTCCTCTTCGTCTTCATCATCATCAGGCTCCTCTTCAAGCTCTTCCGGAGCTTCCGACGCGGTCTCACCGGCATTCCCCTTCTCGGTGACCTCGGTGCCCGATGAGCTGCGCGCGGTGGCCAGCGGCGAGGAGTTGGCGAGCAACATGTCGTGGAACGACCGGAAGCGAAAGCGGGAAGAGGGGAAGGACGCGTGGAGCGGCAGGGACGGCGACGACGACAACAACGAAGCGGTGGTGCGGCTCAAGATCGACGGCAAGATAATCAACGAAAACCATCAGCTGCTGTTTGAGATACTCGAGGGCGAACTCTCGACGTTGGCCAAGCGGTCGATGATGATAGGACGCAGCGCCGATGGCGAGAAGGAGGACGGCTCGGCCGCCGACGATGTCGCCAATCAGCGCTACCGTGGCATTTGCGTCGAGGCGCTGCCGCCGTACGACTTTAGGTACCCGCTCCCGCCAGGCAATTCTAACACGATCAATGCACTGAGCAAGCGGATGTTGACGTGAACGCATCGCTAGGCTTAACGGCGACAGCTTTCCTCGCCTGATGACTCTTCTGGCGATGCAACATTTTCAAGCAATCAGCCTACGGTGGCACGACCTCTCCTCCACCAGCCTCAGCCTGGTTCGTGCACTTTGATCATTCATTCCTCTGCATTTATTTATTTTGGCTTGCCTTGCGACGCAACAGGATGAAGGAGTGGACTTTGGCTCGTTGACTGCCCTCAATCTGCGGAGCAACAACCTGAAGGTGTTGCCCAAGGAATTGTTCATGCTTACCAGTACGTACGCCATGAGAAGCCCTAACATAGCCCAGCTTCATGCACTCACAGTTTGTTGTGTGTGTGTGTGTGTGTGTGTGTGTGTGTGTGTGTGTGTGTGTGTGTGTGTGTGTGTGGCAGATCTCACCTTTCTCGACCTGTCCAAGAACCAGCTGCCCACACTCCACCCGGCACTCAGCCTGCTCACCTCCCTCCGACGACTCGAGGTGTCGGGCAACCTACTCACGGCCATTCCGGTCGAGGTATCCGCGCTCACCGCGCTCGAGATCTTCAAAGCCAAGAAAAACAAGCTTGCCGTCCTGCCCGCCCAAGTCTCCCGATTGCAGCACCTCAAGGTGAGCCTCCGCCATATATGCTCTTCCTCCTCGTGTGAGGCTTTGCCTTGCTGACACTGCTTTACTGCCTCCCCTCCCCGCCCCGCCGGCGTATACAGATCGTCAATGTCTCGCAGAACGTGTTGGTCTCGCCGTCGACGTCGGCCTGGTTGGGCAAGACCGAAAACTACCTCGAGTCTATCGGTTTCTTCACCGAGCTCACATCGCTGAAGCTGCGCAGCAACCGGGTACGTGGCCGCCCACCGGGCTTAGATGTGTGTGTGTGTGTGTGGAGCTTGAATTCACCGATCTCGAACGTTCGTTTGCACTGTGCAGCTGACCGCGCTATCGCCTGCCCTCGGCAAGCTGGGCCAATTGACGCGGTGCGATCTGTCGAACAATCAAATCACAGCCCTGCCGCTCGAGATCGGCCAGCTGTCGTCCCTCTCCACTCTCATTCTCTCCCAGAACATATTGGAGTCGCTTCCTCCCACAATAAGCAGTACGCCTCCCCTTCCCTCGTTTAACCTTTAAACAAACCACCAGCTGACTGATCACTACTTCTATTAATATTAATTTTATTTTATTATTTATGTGTACAGATCTTACGCGATTGGAGGTTCTCGATGTACATAACAACAAACTGACCGAACTCCCCAAAGAAATCGGCCCACTCTGCTCACTGCTGGTATGTACCGATGCCGCCCACTCTTATGGATTATTTTCACGTCGCACTCACAACACACTTTCTCTTTGTTGTGTTGTGTGGTCTCGCCAGCGGCTCAATGCGTCGGAAAACAAGTTGACCAGCCTGACGTCGGCCGTGGGCTTCCTTTCGTCGCTCCTCACGCTGGAGCTCGCCAACAACCAGATCACCGCGCTGCCGGTCGAGGTGAGCGGCCTGCGGTCGCTGACCAAGCTGGACCTCTCCAAGAACCAGCTCGCGTCGCTCCCCAAGCAGCTCGGCGACCTGCGGTGCCTGCAGGTGCTCAACGTCTCACAGAACGTCATCCGGGCGCTGCCCTCGAAGCCGTTCGGCACGCTGTGCAACCTCGAGGAGCTCCACCTGTGGGGCAACAGCCTCACGGCGCTGCCGCCCCACATGACCCGCCTCACTCGCCTCACCCTGCTCGCGCTCCACCGCAATAAGATCTTCGCGCTCGACAAGAGCTTCCCCAAGCTGACCTCGCTGCTCGGCCTCTCCGTCGCCAACATCTACATCAGCGGTACTACTATCACCACCTACTGTGCTGCCCTGGCAGCAAATTGCTAACATTCCACACACACACACACACAGCCGATGCGCACGAGCGGTGTCAGGTGTTCGTGATCCAGGAGGAGACGCGGCTGTCGGTCTTCGAGTGGGCCGAGTTTTCGGAGCAGGCCTTCTCCGACGAGAACCTCCAGCACCTGCTCGCCCTGGCCCGTTCCGCGCCACATCCGCTTCTGCTCTTCGCCCTCGCCTACTTCACCGAATTCGGTGCGTCACCTACGTCCGCCATAGCTTGCCCCTTTCCTGTGTCCTTATTTGCTGTGTGTCGTGTCGTGTCCTGTGTCGTGGGTGTTGTGCAATTGCAGAGGGCATGTGCCGACGAATCATGGCCGAGGGAGCGTTGCCCGACGTTCTCGTAGCGTGCCAGAATTCGCTGCCCCGCGTTCAGTTCGAGGCAACGCGCTGTGTGGCCAACCTTTCGTCCTATGGTAAGTTGACCCCGTTGACTCGCTCGCCACATGTGGCGTGTTCCACGTCTCGAGCTAATAACAACCACTGCTCCGTAGATGACCTCCAACGACAAATCGTGGACGAGGGCGCCATCGACGTGGTGCTGCAGATCATTCACCAGTCCGACGCGCTGCCTCGCGCCAAGCTGGAAGCCATTCGCTGCATCTCCAACCTGGCTTTCCACGGTAACTTTCTCCTGTGACTTTTCACCGCCGCCGCCGCCGCCGCCGCCGCCGCCGCCGCCGCCACCACCGTGTTGAGACTCACCCAAACACGCAGAGGAGCACAAGGCGCAGATCCTGCGGTTTGGGGTGGACGTGTTTGCCGACCTCACCAAGGACCACAACGAACCACACGTGCAGCGAACGGCCTACCGACTGCTGAACATTCTAGGCGCACACGGTACTATGTCCCCCCCTCAAAGACTGTCATGTCTGCAATCGTGTGTTGCTATGTCCCCCCCCCCAATGATGTGTGCCGCGTGCCGTGTAAAACCTTGCACAAGTGTAAGCACTCATGCTCCCTGTTTCATTCATATTCAAGAGGTGCTCCACTCGTTGCATCTTCCGCATGTACAGGCGCGTAAGAAGCAGAGAGGCATACGCATTTTGTCGCTCGATGGTGGTGGCACGCGAGGCATAGTCACCATTGAGCTTTTAAAGAAGATCGAAGAAATCACCGGCAAGAAGGTACCCTTCTCTTCTCTTCTCTTCTCTCTCTCTCTCTCTCTTCTCTTCTCTTCTCTTCTCTTCTCTTCTCTTCTCCGTCGTGCTTCATTCATCAGCAAACAAACTCACAAATTTCATTCGCAGACGTACAAGTTGTTCGATCTGGTGTGCGGTACCTCCACGGGAGCCATCTTGGCCTTTGCCGTGGGCATCAAGCGCTACTCACTCATGGAGTGCGAGGCCATGTACAAAGGTCCGCATAGAGTAGTGCGCGCGTGCCTGTAGCTATGATGTGGATGATTGCTCACCCTTGGGTATTGAATCGTCGACCAGGGCTGTGCCAGGACGTGTTCACGATTGGATCGTCACCGCTCACGGCGGCGCCGACGTCAAACCCGAACGCTCTCGGGGTCTCTCCGCTGCTGCCGGCCCAGCCGCCCGTCCTCGTCTCGCAGTCGACGTCGTCCTCGTCGGCCTCGGCCTCCGCCTCCGCGCTGCTCTCGGACACCACCCCCGCCGTGCTCTCCCTCAATGTGCCCTCGGCCCCTGTCGTCGCCACCCACCCGGCCTCCAATTCCGTCACCGTGCGAGTACGTCTATTGTCGCACCGTGCGTGTCGTGTTGTGTCGTGTCGTGTTGTGTCGTGTCGTGTCGTGTCGTGTCGTGTTGTGTTGTGTGTCGCTCATCATACACCAAAAAAACTCAGACGCAGAAAGGAAAGATGGCGTCGACTTGGGCGAGGCTCTACAACTACACGAGTTTGCTCACAAGGTAAACTGAACTTGTCCTCGGCTCGCGAGCTGGTGTCTTCTCGACGTCGCGTGCTTGTGTTGTTGACTGTGCTGTCTTTCTTTTGCCCGCTGGACACACACACAGTGGTGCATTTTACAAGTCTAAGCCGCTGGAGACGTTCTTGCGTGCTCACTGCGGCGAAGCATCCATGATCGACACAACATGCGACACCTCTGTCAAAACGGTACTACAATTATCTGTGCTCTTCTTCTTCTTCTTCTTCTTCTTCTTCTTCTTCTTCTTCTTCTTCTTCTTCTTCTTCTTCTTCTTCGCTGAAGTGCTGTATCCGTCTTTCGGTCCACACCACCAGTTCCTGGTTTCGTCGTTGGTGTCGACCTTCCCCGCCGAGGTGTTCCTGTTCCGCAACTACGAGTATCCCGTCGGCGTAAGGTAATACAACAATTCAATAGTTGGCACATTGGCCTGACTTGGCTTGCCTGGGCTGTTGCTCTGGGCTCTGGGCTTTGCGCTGACGTTGCGTGTGCGCGACTTGGCCTGGTAGGTCTCGGTACAAGGGATCGTCGCGAACGCGACTCGTGGATGCCCTGCGAGCCTCCACCGCTGCGCCCTCCTATTTTGACGAGGTCGAGGTCACCGAGCACGGCCAAAAGAACCGATTCCAAGGTAACGCATGCACAACACACACGCGACACGCGACACACACACACACACACACACACACACACAACGCTAAGTTTCATTGGCTTCACAGACGGCGGCATCTGTTGCAACAACCCGACGGGTGTGGCGATCCACGAGGCCAAGGCCTTGTGGCCCGACCAGCCGGTGGCCTGCATCGTCTCCCTCGGCACCGGCAAGTGCAAGAAGGTAGCCGCCAAGTCTGGTGGCATCCAGGGCACCATTTCCACGCTCATCGAAAGGTACCCTCCCACCAGTGTGTCGTGTCGTGTGTGTCGTGTGTGTCGTGTGTGTCGTGTGTGTCGTGTGTGTCGTGTGTGTCGTGTGTGTCGTGTGTGTCGTGTTCTTATGCCACACACCCAACAGTGCCACGAGCACCGAAAGGGTGCACGAAGTCATTTGCGACCTGGTGCCGCCGGACACCTACTTCCGGCTCAATCCCTCCGACGAGGCGTTCGCCTGTGAGCTGGACGAGACCGACCAGGTACGCAACTCAGTCGCTACAACACGAACGTATAATTCTCTGTGAACGCTCACAGTACTCACGCCGCACTCTTCACTCTATTCCAGATCAAGCTGGAAGAGATGCAGAAGGCGGCCCAACGTCACATCGAGAAGAACATCAAGCTGGTGGAGCGCCTCTGTGCTCACCTGATGGCTGGTCTGGACGAAGACGACGAAGAGGACAGCTGAGGGAATTTAGACTTGGACCATTCGCTTTGTATTGGTTTTGCTTTCAAAGCACCATCGTCAAGGTCAAGCTTGCGGAAGCTGGACCGACTTGCAGAGGTTCTTCTTGGCGATGGCCCACCAGTCCTTCTTCCACATCTTCTTCTTTCGCATCCAGCCCTGCATCACCTCCACCTCCGCGCTCTCCTCTTCTTCAGTCGTGAGCGACGCCTCTTCCACGCGAGCCGTGTCGGTGACAGCCCGCAGCTCGTTGTCTTCGTCGGCCACCGCGGCGTTCTCATCGGCCTGGCCCTTGCTCTGCTCGTCGGCCGTCGCAGGCGTCTGGCCGTCGGTGCGGTCGATCGTCTGATGTTGTTCGCGGGCCTGGATCCAGGCCAGGAGCGGCGCGTTGCCCTTGATCTGCACGCAGCGCACGCGGGGCAGCCGCCACAGCTCGTCGGGCAGGGCCTCGAGTCGGTTGTTGCCGGCGTTGAGCACCCGCAGCTTCGTCAGCCGCCCGAAGGCCTGGTCATCGTCGCAGAGGCGGGTGAAGCGGTTGCAGGCGATGTCGAGGGTGGTGAGGCTGGTGATGGCCAGGACGATGGGCGGCAGCGCACCCTCGAAGCGGTTGGCCGAGATGTTGAGATGGCCGAGCCTGGTCAGCCGAGACAGCGACGCCGGCAGCGACGAGATGCCGTTCTTCTCCAGGTGGAGCGCGCGCAGGTTGGTGAGCGCCCCAATCTCCTCCGGCAGCTCCTGGTGCCCCGCACCAACCAAGCAGAGTGAGTGTGCGTGTCGTGTCGTGTCGTGTTGTTGGTCGTGTGTTGTGTCGTGTCGTTGGAATAATCATAGCTGTGTCGTATCATGTGAATGCTTAGGTACGGTGATATTGTTGTTATCGAAACCGAGCTGGATGAGTCCCGTCAGGAGAGCGATCGAGCGAGGAATCTGATTGTGAGAATGATGAACAGTGTCTCGTAAGTAAACCCGCGAGAGAGCGAAGAAGAGCCGCCCGAGGGTGAGGTAACAGTCGTACCTCTTGCAGGTTATTCTCGCCCAGGTGGAGGTGCCTCAAGCCCGTGAGCGACTGCCAAACACTGAATCAAAGCGACACGCGTATGACATTAGCGGCGGGAGGCTTACAACATCAAGTCTTGCGATGCAAGACGGGCTTCGGCGGCGCACCTGGACGGGATCGCCCTGGGTCCGGTCAGCTTGTTGCGCCACAGCGACAGCACATCGAGGTTGGTCAGCCGGCTCAGCGCCTCCGGCACCGAGTGAATGTCGTTGCCACGCATGTTGAGCACCCGCAGCGACCGCAGCTCCGCCACCTCGTCGATGCTCTCCGTCGTCGTCGCCGCCGCCACGGTGCTCAGTTCCGACATGGGCGGTGGCGGCTCGGTGTGGAAGGCGTTGATGCCGAGCCACAGGCGCTTGAGGCTGGTCAGCTGGCCCAGGCCGGGCGGCACGCGCGACAGGCAGTTCTTGTAGACCGAGAACACCTCGAGCCGCGCCAGGCGGCGCACGTCGAACACCGCGCGCAGCTCGTTGTGCGAGAGGTCGAGGCTCTGCAGGTTCGTGAGGCCGCCCAGCTCGTCGGGCACCGACGTCAGCCGGTTGTAGCAGGCGTAGACGTACTTGAGCGCGGTGAGCTGGCCGAGCGCGGGCGGGAGGGCGGTGAGTCGGTTCTCGATGAGGTTGAGGCTCTCGAGCTGCGTGAGGCGGCCGATCTCGTCGGGCAGGGCCGTGAGCCCGTTCATGCCGACGAAGAGGGCCTGGAGACTGGTGAGCGCGCAGGCTGGGCGCAGGGCCGCGGCCTCGGTGATGCGGTTGCGGTTCAGATCGAGCAGCACCAGGTTGGTCAGCTGCGACAGGCTCTCGGGCAGGTGCGTGATCGCGTTCGTGTCCAGATCGAGCCGCTCCAGCGAGACCAACTGGAGTTTGATTGATAAAACGATGAGAAGGGATTGGCCAGTTTTATGTGCCAATATAAGTTTTCAAAATATTATAGCGACACAAACAGCAGTGTGACGTGGGTGGGCTACCTTGGTCACGAAGAGCGGGAACTGCTTGAGCCGGTTGCGGTGGAGGAGGATCTGGCGCAGGTTCGTCAACTCGCCCAACTCCTGCATTGTTTGAATTCCACCGAACAGTGCTGTGACGTCAGCATTTCGCAGGATCTAGCGATTGTGCTTGGTGGTGGTGGGTGGTGGGTGGTGGGTGGTGGGTGGGTGACGCCGCACCTCGGGCAGGGACTGCAGGGAGTTGCGGCTCAAGTCGAGGTGGGTGAGATTGGTCAACTTTCCGAGCTCTTTGGGCAACTCCCTGATGAGTGTTGTGGGTGTCGGGTGTGTTTGGTTGGCCGACGTTGTTGAGAGCTGCTGGTGAGCAAAAGTGTGGTGGGAAAGGCCGAAGGAGAGATGGTGACCGTACCGAAGTTGGTTGACGGACATGTGCAGCTCCGTCAGACTCTGCAGGTGCTCGATTTCCGGTGGCAACACCTGAACCCACGAGTGAGCCACACCGCACACGCTCCACCGCACACACACACACGCACCACCGCACATGCACCACCGCACACGCACGTACCTTGAGCGAATTGGTGTAGAGCCAAAGCGAGTTGAGGTTGGTGAGCTGCACGAACAGGTTGGGATCGACCTCCGCCAGTTTGTTGCCGCCCAGCTCGAGGTAGGTGAGGTCCGTCAGCAGGGTCAGGCTGTGCGGCAGCGTGCCCAGGCCGCACGAGTGGACGTTGAGCTTCGACAACGCGGTCAGCCCCGCCATGCCCGCGTCCACGTTTGGCGCCAGGCTGCCGAGCATCGGGTTGCGCCAGAAGTAGAGCTCGCGCAGGTTGCGCGCGTTGGCGAACCAAGTGTCGGGAAGGCTTCGGAGTTGGTTGGCGTTCAACCCAACTCCACTGTGGCGCGCGTGTGCGGTGTGCGCGGTTGTGTGTGTGTGTGCGGCATGTGTGCGAGTCGTGGCGTCAGTGTTACGATGAATGGTGCACACGAAAAAGGCGGTTAGCGTACGTCAGCGCGGTGAGGCGGGACATGGTGTCCGGCAGCGAGGTGAGCCGGTTGTAGGACAGGAACAGGCTGGTGAGGTTGGTCAGCTGGCCCAGTTCATCGGGCAGGCTCTCCAGCTTGTTCTCGTCGAGATTCAGCCACACCAGGTTCTGCGTGTGTCGTTGAACGGGCGGAGTGAGTGAGAAGTCGACTGTGAGTGATTTGCAGCTCTGACGAGTCGAGGAAAGAAGGAAAGACAAACCTGGAGCCGAGAGATGGCGGGAGGGAGCGAGGTGAGCCGATTGTGCTTCAGGTCCAACTCGATCAGGTTGGTGAAGAGCAGCACGGGCGGAGGGAGGGCTGTTAGCGAATTCTCGTTCATCCACAAGTACCTGCGGCAGAACAAACCAAGAGTTGAGCGCACGGCACACGCACACACACACACACACGCACGCACCACACACACATACACACAGACCATTGCACACACACACACACACACACACACACACACACACACACACACACACACACACACACACACACACACACACACACGATACGACCAATGACACACATGACACATGTATTACATAAAAGGAGAGGCACCGTACGTCATTGTGCGTGTCCAATGGCGGTAGAGCCTTCGAGTGGGCCTGTTCAGGCCCAGAGCAGCAAGCTCGTTGTCCTCGGGGTCGACAGTCGTGGTGAGCCCCTTCACGTGGTCCGGCACCTCCTCCTCCCCCGATGTGGGCTCGTTGGACTGTTCCTCGCCATCTGATGGCGGCGCAGCGCCGGCGGCATCGTCATCCGAGATCAGCGGGAAAGAGGTGAGCCGATTCTGGGCTAGATCCAACAGTGTGAGATGGAAAAACTAATGCGACGCAACACACGCGACACACGCGACACACATACGACGCACGCGACACGCGCACACACAAGTCAGTTTCTGGGCACAGAAGATCGTGTGGAGGAGAGGGAACGACGCACAAGGAGCAGCGCGGGAGGAAGGCAGTCCTCGATTTGGTTGTCCTTGAGATGAAGCGAGTCCAGCAGATGCGGATACGCTCTCCGCTGGCCTGTGTGCACACGCCCGCCGCACACGCACAACACCGCACACGTCATTGGCGGTGTTTACACGGAAAACTGGTGGAGGCCACACGCCCAGGCGAGAAAAGAGTTTTTACCTCCGATCGGGAAAGTGTTGCGTGGCAGGGACCTGGCCCGGACCAGGGCTTCATTGTGCGTCTCCCGCTGGAGCTCGTCGTCGAGCGGGTCCACCTGCTCCAAGAACCGGCCGACGACGCCGAGCTCCACCGCGGGAAAGCTCGTTCGGGTGAGCAGGTTGTGGCACATGCGGAGCGACGTGGCTGTCATGGGCAGCTCGAACAGCGGGAACGAAGTCAGCCGATTGATCGAGAGCGAGAGGCTGACCACGCGGCAGTGCATGAGGGCCCGGGGGTACGCGGTGAGGTCGTTGCGAGGCAGCTTCACCGTGATCATGTCCAGCAGACTTGTTTCTGCTCACGACACAAACAAGGCCATCTGAGCGTGCTGCGTGCTGCGTGTTGCTTGTGTCACTGTTGGTTGATTAGGTACGTACCTGGGGGAACGTGGCCAAGAAGGTCGGTAGCTCGCCAAGTCTGCATGTCCACTTCATCCTCCTCTCCCCCTTCTTGCACCTCTTCTCCTCCTCCTCCCTCCTCTTCCTCAGCGCCCTGGACAGCTTCACCACCGCCGGGCGACGTCTCGTTCGAGGACTCGGACCCCGCCTGGTGCTCCTCTTCGCCCACCATCGACAGCTGTGGCGCGTCGGTTGTCTCTGGTTCCTCCTCCTGATCGCCGAGCCGCAGGTCATGGCCAGCGGCACCATCATGGTCGTTGTCGTCATCGTCGTTATTGCCGTCCTGGCCTCCGAGATCGGTTCCGACAGTAGCGCCGGTGGCGGTGGCCACTGCAGTGCCGCTCTCATCCTCGTCCGATCGGCCTCTGAGCTCGATGTGGTAGTGGAGCACGTGGAAGAGCCACCTGTACAGCTGGTCGACGGCTCGCTTGCCTGCACCGGTTGTCCTGGACCATCCCACCCCCACACACTTCGTTAACTCCTCCCTGTGTGCGTGCGTGTGTGTGTGCGCGCGCGCGTGCGTGTGTGCGTGTGTGCGGGGTACCGCTGAATGTAGAGTGTCTTCCAGGGTGTGTGCTCCGCGCGGTCGGCTGCCATCGTGAATTCATTGAAGGGCGGCGTCGACGTCAGCAGGCGCCGCAGAGACTCGACCGACCCGTCGTAGTCCCACGCCTCCTCCGGCAGAATACTGCGCCTCTCCTTCAACGACAGCTGGCCCAGCAGCTCCTGAAAAACCTCCACGTGATGCCGCTGCTCCGTCTCCGCCGCCGACGGTGGAGATGAAGACGATGATGACGACGATGACGACGATGAAGACGACGTGGTGGTGGCGGTGGCGGTGGCGGTAGTGGAGTTCGATGAGGTGGTGGCGGTGGTGGACACCGGGCCGGGTGGGTGAAGGGAGCGATAGACGGCCGGGTCGGGCGAGAGGAATGGATAGAGAGAGCGCACGCACAGGTCGCGCCACAGGGAGGGCAGCGCCGACAGCAGGTGCCACTCCTTGCACACCTCCGCCACCCTGTTGTTCATCAATTTAATAATAAATAATAGTAAATAATAGTAATATAGTATCGTTTATTTTAAAATAAAATGATTTGTTAGGTTCGCTTTCGTTCTTTGAGAAGCAAGGAGGGAGAGGGGGGGGGGGAGGAGAAGTACCTTGCGAGTTCGGAACCGCGAAGAAAGCTGAAGATGTGGACCCAACATTCGCTCGGGAGGATACTGTCGGACAGCCCCGCACTCACCTCCCCCGCACACAAGCCAGCTTCCATAGATGAACCCTGCACGAGATGCCCTTTTGGCGCTGTACGACCAGGACAAATAGTTTTTTTTTAATCACTGCGGTGAAATAAACAATTCAAAACCGAAAAAAGAAGGAATCATTAAATTTATTTCAATTTTTCTGCATTTATTGTTGTGGGCAGTGCCCACCGCCTGGGGCACCACATGGTGGCGCAGGGTTGAAGTCGAAGGGAGAGTAGTTCCATACCAGCCTCGACGCTTTCAACAGGGCGCGCATCTCCTCGCTGCTCTTCTTCTCCAGCGCGTGCTCGACCTGTTGGTGCCCACCATGTACAGGAGTGAGTGCTCGATCGATTCCTCCATTGCACAGGTGCACCCCTCAAGTACCTTGTCTTCGTGTTCGTAGTTGAAGTGGAACATGATGAATTCCCGTGTCCGCAGATCGTAGCCGCGGGCTTCTTGGCGCGACCCGTACCACGCAGTCTTCGCCAACGAACCTGATGCCGAGTGTCAGCAAAACCACCGGGCAGTGTTGTGTGCATGAATGTGAAAAATAAGATGAACGAAGAAACATAAATGAATTTGATGAACAATTAACAATCAGCACGCGTTCGATAATACCTAATTTTTCCACAACCCACGAGCCTGGCTTCTGCGGTGCGTCCCAGGTGCCTCGCGGTACCAGCGGCTCGTCAATCCGCCCCGAAGGCACAGGCTTCGTTTCGATCTGCACGGGCGTTTGGTACCATAAGATCGCAGCATAGCGCACACGACAAAACAATGAGATATTGAAGGTCGGTTGCACTGTGGCGTACCGAAGCCGAGTGCAGGAGCAGCCGACCGTTATCCCAGATCAACGCGTGGCCGTCGCCCGCTTTCCACTGCCTTCCTTGCTGCCCCGCATACTGCAGGGGCATCAGTTTGATGCGCAGGCTGCTGGAATAAAGCGCCCACGTGGAGAACTGGGTCTCCTCCCACGCGAACAGCGGGTGTTCCCCAGCCAGCGATCTCGCCGACGCCACGTGCTGGTGCGCACACACACCACAGCCAAGCAGGCGGTTGCTCGTGTCAATGGCCAAGATTCCAACAAGGCGTGAGGGGGTTGGGAATGGAGATGGGTGTACCCGCCATGCGCTGTTGATCTCCGGCCGATTGGCGAGGATGGTGATCTGTCCCTGCAAATAGAGAGGGCCGGTGTTGAAGGAGAGGGCGTCGAACTCACGCAGGTCCCGGGCGCTCACCAGCCCCACGATGTCGCCGGCCAACACGTCGATGTCGCCCCACGCCCAGTGCGAGAAGTTCCACGTCTCTTCGGAGTTATAATGATAAGCAGTTGGTGGCGTGCCGTTGGTCGTTGGGCAAATCGAGGAAAGGCAAGGTAAGGTGATATACCGATGAGGTCGTGAAACGCGGCTCTGAGCAGAGGCTTGTAGCCGCCAATCTTGCGCGGCTCGGCGCGTAAATGGCGCCGCACACCCTCCGCGTCCACTGCGCTCTCCCCGAGGCCCTATTTATTTATTTATTTACCAATTCATCTGCAAGAGCACACAGGAGGGTTAGAGCGTACCTCCTGGAGGACCTTTATCAATCGATCTACCACCTCGCCCTCTTTGAGGCTCACGTAGTGGATGTTGTCCGCCTGCACTCTTTTGGTGATATGAATAATAAAATAAATAAATATTCAAATCAGTTTGCGTCACGTTTGGTTTGTGCGTACTCGGGGAGAATCATGGTGGCGTTTTCATAGAAGATGAAGACGTGGACGAAGGGCGACGAGGCGGCGAAGGTGCGTAGGCACAGGCCGGCGTAGAAGGGCATGGCCGGCGCCGACAGGAAGGGCACCAGCCAGGCCACCCGCTGGTCGGGGTCCCAAACGCGCCGCCCCACCTTGGCCCCATCCGTCGCTGAGGAGGTCGCCGGCTGGTCTGGGACTGCCAAGACAAAGATCGCAGGCCTGTTAGGTACCCTACGACCTTCACCTCATCTTCATCTTCACGAAAAAAGAAAAAAAAAGAGATCGATGTGACGTACCGACGCGGTAGTCGCGCGAGGTTTGACTTGGGAGTGGGACCGAATCGAGGTAGAGATAGTATAGCAGGAAGATGGAGACCAAGCCGGCAGCGGCAAGCAGCCGCCACTCTCGCTGCGTGGAGCTCACGAGCATTTTTTCCACCTTCGCTAACCTGACTGATTCTGGTTCTCGCCTGCCGATTTAGCTCCGAACCTGCCACGTCATTAAAATATAAAAATAAAAATTAAATAACAACATTCTGGTCATGGCGTGCAACGCAGACGGTAGAACTCACACGGGGGTGACCTCGCTCGTCTGTGAAGAAGATCTCGATACAGTCACGGAGAAGAGGGCGAACGCGTTGGTGCTGAGCGAATGTAGCGGCTGGGCGTACAGCCGGAGTCTTGTATTTGTTAACGCCCCACCGATGGCGCGGCCAGGGAAGGCCTCTCGGGCGTTCATTGCAGGTGGTGCTCGATGGGGTGCAGGTGCAGCTCCAGAGAGGGATCGGCGAGCGGCTCAAAGTAGGAGTCCACCTCCGAATCGGCGATCTGCTCCAGGCGAGCCGGCTTCCATTGGGGGTTCCTTCGTTGCGCGTAACAGGTGAGACCGACACACTTCGCGCACACAGACAGTACCGGGCGCAGCATAGGAGAAGGGATTGGGGGATACCTGTCCTTGTCCACGAGCACAGACCTGACGCCCTCAAAGAAGTCATGTCCGGCCTGCACACGAGGAATTCTCAGCTATCGCGCATGTCGATCGACTGACTGGAGTGTAAGACATGGAGGAGTGCAATACCATGAAGCGCTGGGCCATGCGGAACTCCATCTCGAAGCACTTGTTCAGCGGCAGCTGCTTGCCATGGTGCAGCTGGCGGAACACCACCTTGAGTGCAGTTGGTGAAAGCTTGCTGAGAGCATTGCGCGTGTGGGTGGCCCACTCGCTGCCCTCCCTCTCCAGCGCTACGATGATATCTTCCACCGAAGCCTGTCAGGCAGCCTCCGTCAGCATGTGTGATGTAGACCAATAGACTTGTGCCGTGTACCTTGCCGAAGCACTTGTGGATGGCGTCGGCATGCTTGATAAGTTCGCTGTTGGCATCTAATGTGGTATGTTAAGATGGCGTGAGGTCAGATTGGGGAGCAAGGAGCCGAAATAGAAAGGCACCATTGGCTGTGTCGTGCTCGTTCAGCTCGGCGAGGGTGTGGCGGACGTGGTCTTCATTTTCGGCATTCTTGAGCTTCTCCTCCAGAACTTGGGTCTTTGATGACGGCACGTAATGCGTCGCAACACCGGCACGTCTGCGATCGGTACCACATGAGGGTAATCAGGCACCACACCCTGCCGCTCGGCAAGTTTGGAGGTAGTGGCGAAGACGTACACGAGATCGTAGCCCTTGAGCCTGGCTCCGGTCAGCGCAAGGTACATGCCCACTTCGAATCCCTACTCGCACAGGCCCAAAGCAAGGTCAGCCGCGCGCACTACAAACTACATAAACGACTGAGGGGAGACGCTACGGGGCTGAGCCTAGGAAGGAAGTGAGAGCCGCCGACGTCGCAAAAGAAACCGATGGCCGTCTCGGGCATGGCAAACACGGTGTGCTCCGTCGCCACCTTATACTTGTTGTGCATCGACAAACCGACGCCGCCACCCACTGTGGTGAAATGTTAGCATACCGGCCAGTAGATGCGCACAACCACAATCATAAAGATGGGCATGGCGTACTGGTGATGCCGTTGAGGAAGGCGACCTGGGGCTTGGGGTGCGTCGCGATTTGATAGTCGAGCACGTACTCGTCGTGGAAGAAGCGATAGCCCAGGCTCGCGGGGTCGCCACCAGCATTTTTGCCCGCCTGCCGTGCCGCAATTCCTTCGTCGTAGATCGCTGCACGACACACGACACACACACAACCCAATGACTACAAGTATGGGGAGCCGCCACTTGGCCACAGGCGCCATACCTCTGATGTCTCCGCCAGCGCAGAAGGCCTTGCCGCCAGCGCCCTTCATCAGCACAAAGGCCGTGTGCGGGTCCTTTTCCCAGTGCTGCGCATTCATTCAACACGTAAGCACACGTGCCGTCGTACGACGCAAGTTGGTGGTCTTGGTGGCGTGGGAAAGAGCCGAGAGGTACCGTGTAGTGCGGCCTGAGGAGGTGGACCATGTTCAGGTTGAGGGCGTTGAGCGCTTTGGGCCGGTTGAGGACCACCTCCTGTCCCTTGCCCAGCGGCTGTACCAACACCTCGGTCTGCAGGAGGCAATTTGCATTAATTGTAATCTTGCAATATTGCTCCATAAGATGCAGGCCAGTTCGATCATGCATGAGGCGGCGCTACCTCAGCGGATTCGGAATAGCATCTTCTCTGCGAACGGAACGAGCTGGCTGCAGAGCAAACTCTGGTGCTGCCAGCGCTCCTAACATTGCTAGTTGCCACCCTCAGTGTCGCCTTCATCTTGTGCCAGATTAATGTGCAAGAAATAATTATTTACAAATGAATTTCTATTCATTCTTTTTGTTTTTGTAACGGCAGAAGATGAGTGTGGTGGGTTCTAGAAAAGCTGGCCGATGGAGGGCCGGCGTCCGCGAGAGGCGATGGGACGTTCGGGTTCGGCAGGAGGCGCGTCGGCATCGCCCGCCACAAAGCTGGATGGAAGCTGGTTCCAATCGACTGCAGATTCGGGAGAGGTTGGCCCCAAGCTCGGGAACGTCTTGAGTCCGCCTGCCGTCATCTGCTGCTGCATCTGCTGTTGGCGCTGCTGCTGAAGCGCGTAGAGGAAGGAAGAGGCAGGAATCGCCGCGCTCGTTTCGATTACTTCCTCGAGATTCGTCCTGGAGCCGCGTCGCTGGCCGTTGCGCCGTCGCTGTAGCATCTCATCCTGCTCCTGTCTGCCGTCGAGCCTCGCCATCTGCTCGAAGGGGAGTGCGCTGTCGGTGCCCATCGTCGTGCTCGGCCGCCTCGACCCTTGGGCCTCTCGCACGCCCTCGAAATCGTTCTGCGGGGAGGCGCCGAGCTCATCTTCGCGTACCAGGTTGCCCTGCGCATCACGCCTCGGGTTGTCCAGCTCCTCCTCCCTCTTCACGGGCCTGCCACGTCCGTCCATACTGTTCTTCTTCTTGTTGTTGTGTTTGTGTTGTGCTGTCTGTACGCAGTTGCTGTCCAGGGTGTCCTGATACTCTATGTCTTCTTCTTCTTTTGCGTGGGTGCCGTTGAATGAAGGTGGAATGAAGTGAGTTGTTGAGGAAGCTGGATCAGGTGAGGTGCAAGAATGAATGAATGGAGTGAATGAATGAACCGACTTGAGTGGTGGTTTGTGGGTCTGATGTTGAAGGTGACGCAGAGGAGGCAGCGATTTAGCGTGACGCAGAAAGAAGGCCTTCTGACGAATGCGCAGCCAGGACGTGAAGGCGCAGCCTGTCAAACACCTGCATGTCCGGAGTCAAGGGGAATGTCGACCTTCCACAGATCTCAGCTGGAACTCGACCGAGCAGTTGCGCCGAGTGCGGGGGTTGGTTGCCGTTATGATGAGAATGTGACCTTGTCCTCGTCGCACAGCCTCCCACTTCACCGCCTTCCGCAGAATCTTCACCTCCTGTCGTTTGCTGTCCGTACGACAGCCCAAGAGCGGCCAAAGAACGAAGCGTTTCGCGTTTTCAGAATTGTTTCGGAATTGCATCAGAGAATTGGCACTTGCACCTTTCATGAAGGGAAGACACCAAAACAAAAACCAGTACTGTATCGTTGTTACCTTGCCCCGGCATGGCTTCTAAGCTGAGGGTGAACGTGTTCGCCAACGACCCCGGACTGCGCTCCACTGGCGGCAAGTGCCTCATCGTCCCCGTGCGTTTTTGCCCCCCCCCCGGTCTTTTTCTGGCCGGTCCGGAGGCGGCAGGCGATGACCGTGCTGAGGGGGGGGGCTCGCACGTAGGCGGGGACAGCGTGGGGCGCTGTTTTGGCGTTGGCCGGAGCCAAGCTGGGCTTCGCCGCCGATGCCGCCAAGCGACTCTTCACCGCCAACGGCGCCGAGGTACCTCGGCAACCCTGTTTGGTGCCCAAGTGGTGGAGTGTCTCGGGGAGCTGACGTGGCTCGCCATCTATAGGTGGAGGACGTGGACGAGATCATGCCCAACGACGTGCTCTACGTCTCCCAGGGCGAAGACTTCGGCCAGCCCCGAAGCTCGGCGCCCGCCGCGCCACCCGCCCCGCAGTTCCCGTGCGTGTGTCCCTCTTGCGCGCCACATGTCGACCGCTGTCTGACCCACACGGATTGTGATTGTGCGTGTTGGGCCTGGGCAGCTGGACGTGTCCCGTGTGCACGTTCTTGAACGAGGCCCAGCGGCCCAAGTGCGAGATCTGCGCGGCCGACCCACCGACGTCTGGCGATGGTGGTGCGGCTGCGGGCGGCGCCGGCCCGAAGTCCGTGTCGTTCATCGGCTCGTCGGCGGCACCGCCCGCGGCTGCGGTGGTGGAGACGCCCGCAACGCCGCTTGAGGCCGCGGAGCCGGAGCCGCTGCCGCTGTTCCTGAGAAAGGTGAGGGCGCCGGTGCTGCCCGGCGAGGAGGAAGAGGAGGAGGGCTACGGCAGCGATGACGGAGACGAAGACGATGAAGAAGAGTGGACCGACGAGGAAGATGACGATCTGTGGTATGACTACCAGGAATGTACGCAACCCTCCCCTTTTTTACACTCTGTAAGTTCACACCATTCATACCATACGACACACACGACACAACACACGACACACACAACACACAACACACACAACACAGATGAGGATTATCGGCTGGCCATGCAACTCCAGGCTCAGATTGCCAAGGAGCATGCGGCAAAGAAAGAGGAGGAGGAGAACGGCCTGTACGAGTGCCCCATCTGCTACGACGACAAGCCCCTCCCGCAGATGTATTTCGTACGGTCACCACGCGCTCACCACGCGCCGCCACCACCCACAGCTTGGAGAAGTTAACGCCCACCGCGAGTGGTCTCTCCGCAGATCGAGGCGTGTTTCCACCGCTTCTGCATGGACTGCATCAAGATGCACCTCGAGGTGACCATCAAGGAGGGAGGCTTGGTCAAGAAGGACGCCGTCCAGGTGGCCAAGGAAGGCGTCATCACCACCACCTCCAATGCGACCGACATGGGTACCCTATCCGCCACCGCTCGAACACGTTCATATATATTTATATGGCTCAAGTTTTGATCTCCTTTAACTTTACCCGCACACTTTGTGTCGTGTTGTGTCGTGCGGCATGTGCGTTGCGTGTGGTGTGAATGTTTTGAATGACCAATAGGAATTCGGTGTCCTGCCAGCGGCTGCGCGAACATCCTGACGTACAATGAGATCAGGTACACGACACAACGCGCGCGTGCTCTTTGGCACGCCTCCCCTCACCACTTCTCCCCCCTTTTCCGGGGCTGTGGCGACCCCCCGCAGGCATTGCGCGACCGGCATCCTGTTCGAGAAGTTCGAGGAGATCCTCCTGTCGCGCGCCATCGACGGAAGCAAGGACATGAAGTGCGTGGAGCCCCACACTTTGCCCGGCGTGCCTCACCACCTTTCGAGAGAAAAAACACACGCTCACGCCATGTGGCTGTGTTTTCAGGTGGTGTCCCAAGCCCGGCTGTGGCAACGCCATCTTCCGCTCGGCGCGCGACGACAAGGTGCATTCCCCTCCGCCCGCCCGCCCGCCCGCCCCGGTGGACTTGTCGTGCCCAGGCCAATCCTGCGACGCTGTCGCTAATCGATTCAATTCAACCGCTCTCTCTCTCTCTCTCTCTTTCCCTGTGTGTGTGTGTGTGTCAGTTGGCGGTGTGCTCCAACGGGGCGTGCGGCTACACCTTCTGCTTCGAGGTACACTCGCCAACCTTTTGTCGCCCTGGTCGAATCAACTGCTGCTCACGAGTGTGCGATGGTGCATTCGTCAGTGCGGGGAGGAGTACCACGAGGCGTTCAGCGAATGCAGCACCTACGCCGAATATCTCAAGGAAAGCCAGTACGACGGCCTCTCCCTGGCCCGCCCGCTGCCGTTGACTAACGTCGTGTCCGTCTGTCGGCGTCATCCCGCCGATTCTAGGGTGCATTCGGCCAAGTCGCTGTCCGCGGCGGTGGCCTTCCACGAGTGGGCGCGCACGCAGGACCTCAGGTTCTGCCCCTCCTGCCACGAGCTCATCGAAAAGAACAAGGGCTGCGACCACATGTACGCAGTCCTTGCCGCCAGCCGTTCTCTCTCTCTCTCTCTCCCGTATCACGACAGGACCAGCACTCGCCAACGAGAGAGCGCTTACAACGTTCATGTGTACAACAGGTATTGCACGAAATGCAACACCGACTTCAGTTGGTCTGAGGCTCTGATGTATGCCGGTACGCACTCACGCTTGCGCTTTCTCTCTACGACGTGTCTAACAGCACACGACTAACACAACGCACACGACACACACGACACACACACACACACACACGACACACCAGATGCCAAGAGTAGATCAAGCCACTGGCAGAACGAGGACAAGGCAGCGCTGCGCATCGTTGGAAAATGGCGCCCGCGCCCGGTTCCCAAGCGGAGGAGCAAAGGTCGCAGGAAGGGCGCGCGCCGAGCAGGTTTGGTCAAGCCCCAGGCCAGCCTCCCGGGTGTACCCCAGACTCAGCAGGCCATCTCCAAAGCCACTGGGTGTGTTGTGTGTCTTGTCGCGTGTGTCGTGCTCCTCGTGTGTTGTTGTTCTCTCGGCACGCACTAATCAACAACAATACTCTTCTTTCCCACATGCTCGCATGTGTCGGCAGTTCCTCTTCTGTTCGTGTGAGCACCAAGTGGGAGGCCTGGCACTGTCCCGACTGCGGCAACCCCCAGTGGCTAAACGCGGCCGTTCCCGACACCCTGATGTACGTGCAAGTGTCGTTTATGGCCTGGCTCAGCAATTTTCACTGATCGACAACCAACAACAGGGAGTGTGAGGTGTGCCAGCGCCAGTTCTTTTCTTGGGAATCGGTGCGCGTCACTGGTACGTTAGCGCCATCTACCGAAACAAATCAGCAGTACCGCCCACTCACGATGACACGACACGCCAGACAAGAACATATTGCACAACTTGACGCCGCCCAAGGAGAACAAGCGCCGTTGATCAGCGCCAACGTCTTTTTTGTTTGCTCATACACGCATTTAAATCCCAGCACGACGCGCTCAAGCTCTCTTCGTGGCGTAATCGCACACAGCACGCACCAGCGATCGGCCCAGCCCTGAGGACGCGCCAGACGCGTCGTTGCCGCTGGTCTGGCTGGCGATGACCCACGCCGGCCGCTGGCTCGCGTCGCGCGGCACGCCCACCGTGATGTACGCCGTCACCCCGTCCGACACCTTGTTCGTGCCCGGCCCGGGGGTGACCACGAAGTCGACGTTGAGGCCCTGCACCAGGTTGATGCCCTTGACCAGGAACGTCGTCGGGAAGAAGTGGTGGTCGGCGGGCACCAGGGTCTTCTGCCACTTGACCGCCCCGTTCACGTAGACTCGCACCTCCACCCCGTCCGATCCCTCGTCCTGGTCGCCCAGCACCAAGTAGCCTGTGCTTGCAAACATAACAACACCAACATCAGCGCCGCACACACGGCACACACGGCACACACGGCACACACGGCACACACGGCACACACGGCACGAAACGATTCGCACCTGCGAGGGAAGCGTTGGGAATGGTGGCGTTGGCCTTGTAGCGCAGGACGGCCCAGTTGATGAGCGGTGTGCCCGAGGAGGTGTCTACGGAGGGTGCCACGGAGGTGGCCGAGATTGAGGCATACTGGAGCCACCAGGTGCTCCACAGGTTGCGGTTGAGCCACAGGCGCGACCAGGCCGACTGGTTGTAGGCCGACGCCGGCGCGCCCACCAGGGGCGTCACGAACCGGCCGTAGTACCACCCGTTGTTTCCCAGCACCTCGGCATAGTCGTACACGTTGTCGGCCAGCGGCGCGTAGGGGCTGTCGCCCCAGGACTCCATCGTGGTGGTCCCGCCGACGAGGAACTGCGGCGTGTCGGTGAGCGTGACGCGGACTGCGCCGGAGGCGTCGGGCGTGAGGGTGGTGTTGCCGCCCTGGATGTCGAACAGAGTGAGGGGCTTGCTGGCGCGCAGGTAGAGCACGTTGTCGTAGGGCAGCGTCGTCCACAGCGCACGCACTTGGCCGTATCTATGTGTGTCGTGTCGTGTCAGTGCGTGTGCGGTGAGTGCGATGGGTGTGTGCGGAACGTACGTGGGCGATTTGAAGAGGAGAACGTAGGCGCGGCGGCCGAGCTCGGGATTGACGCGCTTCTGGAAGGTGGCCGCATTCAGCAGGCGCGCCAGGTTGGCGTAGGCCACGAAGGCCGGATTGGGCACCAGCGGACCACGATAGGCCGTGTTCCTGGAATTTCAGTTACGGCCAGGTTAGTCCTACCTGTAATTCTTCACATTCCCAGGCTGTGAGTAGTCCGTACTTGAGGAGGCCGAACGAATCCCACGCGTCATCGACCGCGTCGTACCAGTAGTGCCTGGTCACGCCGTACAGGCCCTGGGCCAGAGTCTGGCGAACAAGGTACCTGGCGCGTCGTACATGTTACCACTCTCAGTTCTCGTAACGAAGGAGAGACTGCAACGTACTTGGCGACGGAGTAGCGAGCCCTTTCGTTGCTGGTGGACCAGCCGTACTCGGTGGCCCAAATCTCCTTGGTGACTGCCGAGTACTTGGTGGCGATGGCCTGCAACTCGGGCAGACTGGCCTCCACGTTCTCGGGCAGAACGTAGTACCTAACGCACACACACGAGACGACACACAACACAGTCAACTGTGGCCGAAAATGGTGGGCTGATGGGCGGAGGAGAACATACGGGTGGACGCTGAGTACGTCCATGTAGTTGATTGCGCCCAGCTTGAACAGGCTCTCGAACCACCCCGGAGCCACCGACGCCACCGCACCGCCCAGCACCTGCACCCACGGCAGATAAGGACCGCACTCTCATTGGCATGTGCGATGACCCACTGCGCGCAGAGAGCGTCAAGGGTAGTACCTTGACGTCGGGCCTGACGCTCTTGACGGCGGGGTAGACGGCCTTGGCCACGTTGGTGTACCACACCGAGAAGTTGGCCGTCACATTGGGCGGGCCGCACCAGAAGCTCGTATAGACTTCGTTCCACACCTGACCGCACACGCCCTCTTAGTTATACCATGTGTGCGGTGTGTGCGGTGCGTGTGTGCGGTATACCTCGATGCTGGTGAGGTTGGTCCCAAAGTGCTGGACCAGCGCCTTGGCATAGTTGGCGAAGCCGTCGAGCCCGTCCTGCGTGTAGGGCATGGTATCCCCCTCGGTGTTGCCCCCGCACCCGCCGCCCGTCCACCAGTCGTACAGATCGTTCCCATAGGCCAGGATATAGAGCGGGTCGATCCCCGATTGGTTGAGCTTGACCATCCACCCATCGCTCCTCGACCAGTCGTAGACGCCCCTGGTCGTCGGCTCGTTGGCGCTCCAACCGTTGCTGTCCCGCACCGTGCCCAGTCCCGCCTTCGCCAGCAGCTGCATACTAGCCTGGTTGAAGCCCTGGCCGTAGTGCTCCCCCACACCATACCTCACACCCAGCGGCTTCTGCACCGGCTATTGATTTATATACAATGAAAAATATATACCAGGAATATATACCAGTTTAGTAACATGGCAGGACCAGTAGCGTTGCATAGGCGAAGGTAAGGTACCCACAAGACGGCAAAGGTGGTGAAGTTGGACTGGAGGAGGGCGTTGCTGTGGTTGCGGTCCACCAGGCGCAGGTTGAGCACGAAATAGCCGGCGGGCGGGCGGGTGGACAGGCCGAAGGGCCGAACGGCGGTACGGGCCGAGCCGGAGGGCAGGCGCTCGACCGTGCCCTGCGCCCGCACCGCGCCAAAGAAGTCGGTCACGTTCCATGCCAGGGCCACGCCGCTGTTGTTGTAGAACGGCAGCGCGCCGGTGCCGGAGACGGTGACGGCGGTGCCCACGTTGAGCGCCACCTGGTCGGTGGTGGAAGTCACGAATACGTTGCCCAGCGCCACCTGGCTGGTAAGGTCGAGCTGGGCAGTCGTCACTGGCGCACCCTCGCAGAGGCCGACCAGAAGAAGAAGAACGGCCGCAACAGAGAGCCAGTGAGGCGCCATGTGCTTTGTTGTTGTTTTTTTGTTTGGGGCTCCCGGAGAGGGTCGTGGTGTATACAATAGCTCGTTTATGAAGTTGATGTCGATTGGTTGAGTTAATGCGCGGAGAGTAGGGTCATGCATTCTTGGGATGGTTGTTTTTGTTTATTTATTTACCTTTTCGGATGTTGGGAGCTGCTCACCTTCACTTCTTGACCAGCGCCTGCTTGGCCCACTCGGCGCCCTTGGCCACAGCCTCCGACGGCGATTGCGCCAGCTGGCAAGCAACACATGAGGATGTCAGCACGGACACACCGTATGCACGGACACAAAACGAATGCTGGCGGCTGAAAGTTACCTCGAGCAGAGCGCCGATGGCGCCGGCGTCGATGAGGGTGGCGCGCCTCTTCTTGCTGTTGTGGGCAAGCGACCAGATGAGGCCCTCCGTGTAGTACTGCAGCCGCTTGCTGTCCAGCGCCAGGTTCTCGACGATGGCCGACGCGACGGCGGGCGTGCCGATGAGCTCCTGGTTCTTGTTGTTGTAGAAGCACATGTAGCACAGCAGACGGGTGGCCTGCTCCTTGAGGCCCACCGTCACGGCCGCGTTGGTCGACTTCACAAACTCGATGATCACCGGAATGCCTGCATTACGCACGCACGCACGCGCGTGTCGTGTCAGTACCGCACGCACACGCACCATCGTACCATCGCACACGATGAGCGGAGCGATACCCTTCTTGGCGCGGATGGCGTTCTGGCCCTTGGAGTACAGGTAGACGAAGTTGCCGGCCGTGTAGAGGGCCACCCACTGGACCTGCTGCTCGAGGGTAGGACCCTGGGGCTGCTTGGGGTCCGGCGTCGAACCCGACACCGAGAACAGCTCTGCAAGGGAATTAGGTCACGACCAACCAGAAATCAGAGAAGAGCACGAGATGGGGGAAGGTGGGGTGTGATTGGGTACCGATGACGGCCTCGACTGCGCCGCTCTGCTTGCGCAGCTTCTCTTGGTTGGCCTGGTCCTGCTGGATGACCTGGCCGATGGCCGAGCATGCGGCCAAGCGCACGCGCAGGTCCTCCTTAGGCTGCAGCAGCGCCGTGAGCGACTTGATCGCTGTAGATCGCACACACACCAAGTTAGTCTTGCTCGTATGCGGTGTGTGCGGTGGCAAGTGTGTTGTGTGCGGTGAGGAGAGGGGAGGTGTCGCACCCTTGGCCTTGGCGGCGGCCTGCTGCATGCGACGCTGGCCGGAGCAGGCGGCACCGAGGGCGTAGGCGGCCAGCTCCTTGACCTTGGGCGAGGGCGACGCCAGCAGGCGCACCAGAATGTCGAATCCGCTCAGCACGCGGAAGCCGACCTGCGACGGAACTGCGGTGTGTGTGTGTGTGGTCAGTGCACTGTGAACTGGGCTTACGGTGGCGGGTAAAGGAGGCGCGGTGTGGTACCGTGATTCTTGACGGTGCGCTGGATGAGGGTGAGGCAGTTGGCCTGGACATCCTCATGCGCCACCTCGCCGCCGCCGACCAGCTGCACCATGAGCGCATCGAGCGGCTTGGCCAGGCGGAAGTTCTCGAGGAGCGTGTCTGTTGGCAATGATTCGAGTTAGCGCACGACACGCACACAATGCACACGACACACGACGTGTGAAGGTACCCTTCTGCGTGATGTCTTCCAGGATGAAGAGGGCGGCGAGGGCCAGCTGCGGGTTGCCGCTGCTGTTCTTGAGGTGCTTCAGGAGGGGCGGAATGGCCTGCGAGTTGCCAATGCGCACTCGATTCTTCCTGTACCGGGCAAGCTCGGCCAGCGCCTGATGTTGTTTACAATAAGTTGAGCGCACACATAAATTCGACTGAACCAATAGGGGAATGCAAATAAAATAAAAACGAGGGGCAGAGAGCGTACCCTGACGGCGTTGACCTGGGAGGGCGTGGCGGGAGCGTCGCCGCCCTTGGCGATGTGCTCCACGAGTGCGGCAACGCCGTTCTTCAGCCACAGAATATTGTGGGACTCCTTCCTGCGACCCCATGAGCGTCAGACACACGCGCACGCATGACACGACACGCACACGACACGTACTTGTGGAGCAGGACTTGCTGGAGCTCGGCGGTGATCTTCTCGAGCTCGGACTCCTTGGGCTCCGTCTCGAGGCGCTCGACGAGGCTCTTGACCTGGGCCTTGAGCTCCTCCTTGACGCCCTTGTCATCGTCGTCCTCCTTCTCGTCCGAGTCGTCGCCGTCGTCCACCGCCGCCTTGACGAACTCGCCCAGCTCGGCCAGGGCCTGGGTGACCTCCTTGTGGATGTCCGGGTCCTTGTGGTTGGCATGCAGGTGCTTGAGGTAGGCGTCGATGCCCTTCTCCTTGATCTTCTGGCGCGACTGGTCGAACGAGGCCAGGTTGCTGAAGCACACGACGGTGCGGTAGAGGTAGTCGGTGTTGTCGGTGGTCTTGGCCACCTTGAGCAGGTTGTCCAGGCACGTCGTGGCCACCAGCACGTTGGCCTCCTCTGCAGAGATGAACGATCGTCGTCAACACACCGTGTTCCACGACACGACACCACCACACGACACACGACACACGACACACGACACACGACACACGACACACGACACACGACACACGACACACGACACACGACACACGACACACGACACACGACACGCGACCAGAAGGAAACGAACCGACGGTGGAGAGGTTGGAGAGAAGGATGAGGGTGCCCGTGCGCACAGTCTCGTTCTCCGAAAGCAGGAGCGGCGGCACGACGTCGAGCACGCGGCCCTGCAGCAGCGGCTCCTTGAAGTGCTCTGCAAACAGGGCACTCACATGAGTGACAGCGTTTTCGGTGCGGTGTGGTGGCGTGTGCGCGTGCGGTTCGTACCGTTGTTGGAGGCGTTGGCGAGGATGGAGACGGAGCTGCCGGTGAGCTCCTCGTCGCCCTGGCCGATCCAGGCGAGGACCTTCTTGAGGCCATCGCCGCCGATCACGTCCTTGACGGCCTCGGCCTCCTGGGCCAAGTTGGCCAGACAGGTGGCCAGGGCGCGCTGCACCTTGATGTCCTTGGCTCCCGCGGCCTTGAGCACCTGGCCCACGCCGCCCTCCTTGATGAAGGCCTCACGCAGCTCCGCTGTCACACAAATTTGCCCACAATGCATCGCGTGTCAGCCCACAACGCGTGTGCGCGCTCGCGTCGTGCGTGCGTACAGTTGATGACAAGAGAGCCGCAGAGAAGCAGTCCGGCGTGTTGGACGCTGGTGTTGTTGGACCTGACCAGGGGGATGATCTTGTTCCAGCCGCCGGCCGCTTCCACGATCAGCTCCTGGCTGTCCGGCTGCTCCGCTGCAGCGGCGAACAGTCGCGTTAGCGGCCCGACAGTGGCGAACAGCCGCGGCCCCAGCAGGCACGGCGCGCCAGGGAGCGGTACCCAGAATGGAGAGGGTCATGGTGGCCTTGGCGCGCACATCCTCGTCCTTGATCTCAAGCAGCTCGAAGAGCGGCGCGAAGCCCTCCTTGGCGGCAACCACGACCTCGTCTTCGGCTGGTGAACGAGTGACAATGGCCGAACCAGTTAGCGATCACACATTACATTCCATACATTCTGTAGAATCGGCATAGGAATGTGCGAGGAATGCAGGGCCAAGGAGAGAGCATGCACCATTGGAGGTGAGGTGGGCGAGAGCGGCGGAGGCGAGGCCCTTGACCTTGGCGTGGTCGTGCTTGTAGAGGGCCAGCAACTCCTCGAGGCCGGCGTCCTCGGCCAGCACGATCTGCTCCTCGCCTTCAAATACCACCGGTCCCACCACACGACGTACAGCAACGAAGTGTGAGCCTAAGAGTGAGGCCGTCGACGCAAAGCGCGCTTTTGGGGAGATGGCTGGAGCGCGAGATAGGGCCTCCTCGTGCGCCGTGGGTGCGGTGCGCTCGTGTGGGCCAACACGAAGCCTTGGATTGGGGGGGGGGGCAAAGATCGAAAGCGACCGCCCCAAAAAATGAAGAGATTAAAAAATAACAAATAATAAGAGAACAGTTTAACAAAATAAAATCTATCAGGTTCTTATTTTGTTGATTTATCTGATTGCCCAGGCAGATAAACGGAATTATTATGATTAAATAATAAATCTTTTACACAAAGAGTGGCGTACCGACGGTGGTGTAGGCTTGGCGAAGGGTCTTGACCTTGGGTCGCCTTAGGGTCTTGAGGGCGACAGTGCCGCGGTAGGCCGATCGCGTGCCGAAGCTGCTCGCGCTGCGGCTGTTCTCTCCATCGAATCCGCCCTGCGACACGTTCTACTCGCGAAAAGCAATCGATTAATAGGAATCAAATCAGTACAAGAAGATCAAGAACTTACATTGCATGATCAAGAGCGGAGCGGTACCGTGTTGTCTGCGTCTTCGAAATCAACACCGAACATGATGTGTTTGGATAAAAAAAGTAATTACAGAAGATGGGATTGATGAGCGGTGGGCGCGTGTGAAGGTAAAGAAGAAAGAAGAACGCTCCTTGCCACGCCCTGCTCCCCGTCCTTGGACACCAACCAAGCAACGCCAGGAGATTTTAATTTAGCCTGACCAATCACTCAGTAATACATGTCGGCGCCGTCTGCTGGTCAACTCCACTCTCAACAAGAAGAGCAGCAGCACGTGCGCATTCCCCGCCGGCCAAGCTCTCCGTAACTTCCTCGTGATGCATCACTTCTTGCCGAGCGCCTTCTTTGCCCACTCGGCGCCCTTGGCCACGGCCTCCGATGTTGATTGCGTCAGCTGTCCGACGGCGGCGATGGCGCCGGCGTTGACGAAGATGGCGCGCCTCTTCTTGCTGTTGTGGGCAAGCGACCAGATGAGGCCCTCCGTGTAGTACTGCAGCCGCTTGCTGTCCAGCGCCAGGTTGGCGACGATGGCCGCGGCGACGGCGGGCGTGCCGATGAGCTCCTGGTTCTTGCTGCTGTAGAAGCACATGTAGCTCAGCAGACGGGTGGCCTGCTCCTTGTGGGCCAGCGTCACGGCAGGGTCGTCTGACATGATGAACGCCGTGACGAGCGGAATGCCTGGAATGATGTACAAGGCCGGTTAGCCAAGCGCATTCGCGCCGCACGCACGATCGCACACGCAGAAAGGAACGCACATTTCTTGGTGCGCAGGGCGTTCTGGCCCTTGGCGTAGAGATACGAGAAGTTGCCGGCAGTGGAGAGGGTCACCCACTGGGCCTGCTGCTCGAGCGTGGTGCCGCCGGGGTGCTTGGGGTCAGGCGTCTTACCCTGTATCCCCATCAGGTCTGCCCACAACGCCAAATTTTTACGTGTGAGGACGACGTGCGACGCAGCACCACAGCGCCACGCGGGGAAGCGCAAGCGGAGTGCGTACCGACAAGGGACTCGATGGCACCCTTTGTGTTGCGCAGCTTGTCCTGATTGGACTGGTCCTGCTGGATTACCAGTCCGAGTGCCGTGCACGCGGCCGTGCGCACAGGCAGCTCCTCCTTCGGGTTCATCGCGGCCGCAAGGCACGAAATCGCTGTTGTGGAGTCCACGTCAGCTTTCTTATTGACAGGGATCGTCGTACATGATATGTGGCCACGGTGTACGTGTCGTACCCTTGGCTTTGGCGGCGGCCTGCTGCAGGCGGCGCTGTCCAGCGCACGCACCGCCGAGAGCGTAGGCGGCAAGCTCCTTGATCATAGGCGAGGACGACCCCATCATGCGCACCACCATCTCGAATCCCTTCTTCACACGGAACTCTACCTGGGCCGGAGCTGTGTGTGGTGTGTGTGTCAAATGAGAATAAAATTGATGTGCGCGACTCAGGCTTCGCGACAGCAGCACGTACGGTTGTCCAACACCCAGCGCTGCAGGAGGATCAGGCAGCTGGCCTGAATCTCCACGTTGGCTTGTGCGCTGGTAAGGTGCATTTTCAGCACATCAAAGGGTGCGGCCTCTCGGAACTTCTCTACCAACGTGTCTGGCGCATTAACACCGTTAGTGAAACGACACAAACACGACACAAACACGACACAAACACGACACACACACACACACACACACACGACACACACGCACACAACGCACAAGCACTAGTGCACGCGCAGAAGCGAAACAGGATACCTTTTTGAGTGAGGTCCTCGAGGACGAATAGTGCGGCGAGGACTAACGCGGTGTTGGTGCTGCTGTACTTGCTGTGTCTAAGGAGGGGCGGGATGGCCTGCGAGTTGCCGATGCGCACCCGGTTCTTCCTGTACTTGGCCAGCTCGGCCAGCGCCTTGATGGAGTTGAACTGGGAGGCAGTGGCCGGCGCTTCGCCGCCCGATGCGATGTGCTCCACCAGCGCACCGACACCGTTCTTCAGCCACAGGATATTATGGGACTCCTTCCTGCCAGGTTGCCGAGGGTCAGGTTTGCATGTGTGGCGTGTGTCGTGTCGTTGGTCGTGTCGTGTCGTGTCGTGTCGTGAGCGTGTGTGTCATGTGTGAGCGTACTTCTGCTGCAGGATCAAGAACAGTTCGGACGTGATCTTCTCCAGCTCGGATTCGCGCTTCTCCTTCTCGAGGCGATCGACAAGCACCTTGATCTGGTTCTTGAGCTCCTCCTTGACCGACTTTCGCGTCTCGTCGTCATCGTCCTCCGCATCGTTCTCCATGTCCCTCTCATCGTCGCGCTTGCCGCCGCCCGCGACCGGCTGACCGAGCTCGGCCAGCGACTGGGCCAGCTCCCGCCGGATGTTGGGATCCTTGGTGGTAGCGTGCAGGTGGTTGAGATAGACGTCGATGCCCTTCTCCTTGAGCTCCTGCTGGGACGTCTCGAACGAGGTCAGGTTGCTGAGGGTCATAACCGCGTGCAGCGTGTGGTCGGCGTTGTCGCTTGTCTTGGCCACCTCGATGATGTCGTCCAGACACGCCAAGGCAACCTTGTTGGCCTCCTCTACACGTCACCCAAAACGAACCCTCTTTCAGTGTTGGGGGGGGGCGAGTAGGAAGATGAAGGGACCGGACCGACGGTGGAGAGATTGGAGAGGAGAGTGAGGGCGCCCGTGCGCACGGTCTCGTTCTCGTGCAGGACCAGCGGCGGCACGACATCCAGTGCACCGTCCTTCACCAGCTTCTCCTTCAGCTCATCTGGCCACAAATCAAAATAGAGCAAAAATCAAAAAAGAAAACAGCCAACGGTGGTGGTGGTGGAGGTGTACCTCTGCTGGAGGCGTTGGCCAGGATGGTCAGGGAGGCGCCTGTGAGCTCATCGTCATCCTGATCGATCCAGCCGAGGATGACGCGCGTCATGTCGCCGCTGAGGCACTCCTTGGCGGCTTTGGTATCCTGAGCCAGGTTGGCCAGACAGGTGGCCATCGCGCGCTGCACCTTGAGGTCCTTGTTCTTGGCCCCCTTCAGCACCTGGCCCACGCACCCCTCCTTGATGAACGAGTCCCGCAGTTCCGCTGCAGTGAAGCAAAGACTCCCCTTAGCATACCCTCCAGAGAGTTACAGCGAAACTGGCTGTGCATACCGTTCACCACGAGGGCGCCGCAGAGAAGAAGGCCCCCGCGCTGGACTGTGGAGTTGCTGGACCTCACCAGCGCCGTGATCTTGGACCAGCGTCCGGCCGCCTCGAGGATCAGCTCTTGGCTGTCGGGATGCTCAGCTGCCGGGTTGGAAACCATCGAATTAGCTAATAGCCCAGCAGCGGCTCCCACTGTGGTAGCTTACCGAGGATGGCCAGCGTCATGGCCGCCTTGGAGCGCAGTTCCTCTTCCTTCAGCTCGAGCATCTCGAAGAGGGGCGCATAGCCCTCTAGCGCGGAGATGACCACCTCATCCTCGCCTTTGTGTGGCCGAACGTTAGCAGACGACATGCATGCAGTCTTTCCCCGTTTAGTAGTCAGAGGGCAGCAATGTACTGTTGGTGGTGAGGTGCGAGAGAACGGTCGAGGCAAGGATCTTGACCTTGGGATGCTCGTGCTTGTGCAGGCACAGCAGCTCTTCAAAGCCACCGTCCTCGGCCAAAATGATCTGCTCCTCCTCTGTCTCACAAGATCCATCATCGAAGGATGATAGATAGATAGAAGTAAGATAGGAGGGGCGTAAAAGGAGGGAAGCGTGATAAGGGGCGTCAACGCACCGACTGCAGTCGCGTAGACCTTGCGCAGGGTCTGGACTCTGGGTCTCTTCAGAGTCTTGAGCGCAATCGTTCCTCGGTAGGCCGACCGCGTTCTGGACCGGGTCACGACATCGTCGTCGTTATCCCCGTTCTGTGGGGGGGATCAGTAATGCACTTCTGTCGGCCCCCCGGGGTGATGGAGGAGGTTTTCGAGGAGCTAGCGCACCAAATCTTCAAATTCTGCTTTAAACATTGCGGCCGCAATGTCTGTGGTAAGTTGATGAGCTCCTCCCCCAAGTGCTTCGAGGTGTTGACCACCAACGTCGTGACCTGACGTTTTGTATCTGCGCTGGAAAAGGAAGCGTAACAGACATTCCTGTGCTTGCCTTTCGAGTCAGATATTTGAACTTTTTTCCCTTATTTGGTAAGCCACTTGGGGGTGACGTCACAACTTTTTGCGAGAAGGAGGGTCTTTCACTGGCGCGGCAGAACTCATCTTGGCCACCATGCTGTCGTCCACAAGGCTGGCACTCTTTTTTGTGGCCGCTGTGGGTCTGGTTGTGGCAGCCCTGGCCGACACCACCTCTGACTCTGGGTTTCGAATCTTTGGTGAGGACGAGAACCACCCCTTCGAACAAGCCACCGCCAACGGCCAGTGGCTTCTCCTTCTGTGTGCCCTCTCCCCTGCCACGATGCCATGATAGCCGACTCAAGCCTGCCGTTTCCTTTTGGCACAGAACGCACAGCAAGCACTGTGGTGGCGGGGTCTGCGACAGGGCAGAGCGAGTGGTGCTCGAGACCATGGAGCTCTACGAGAAGTCGGGCGACGTGTTCAACCTCACCGGAATAGACTGTAACGAATTCATCGAGCCATGCCTGGACTACGGTGTCAAGAAGCGCTATCCCTTCCTGGCCGTGTATGCACCACCCATCAGGAGAACTACACCAGTTGCTGGTCACTCACGTGAATTTCCCATGTTTATGTAGCAACTACCACGGTCTGGTGAAGAAGGGAGTACAGTACAAGAAGGAAGGGTCGACTCTTCCCAACGACCAGAGCGTTGCCAGTGCGTTGGAGTTCAAGGCACACCTCTTCTCTTGATGGTGATGTTGTTGTTGTGCTCCACAAAGAAGTCATTGACTGATACATCTCTGCTCCTTTCTTTGTTCAGAGATTCATTGACGTGCACATCGACCGCGACGTGGTGCGCCTCGACCACAAGAACTTCGACAGTAGCGTGGCGAGCGGCCACTGGATGGTTCAATTGTGCGTGGTGGCCACTCGCACGACACTGCGCTTCATTGTCATCAAACCTACTGACCTCTGCTTCTTCACAGCTACGCCCCCTTCGAAACGAGCAAGCACAGCCGTGACGCGTGGAACGTATGGACCAATCTCGCCGCTGTGGCGCTAAGAACGAAAGAGTTCAACGTGGCTCGCGTCATGTGCAGCCCAACAGTCAATCTCGGTACCTCTTCCCCTCTTTACTGTGGTGTCCGATCGGTTGGTAACCCTAGCCACACAGACTTGTGTGCTCGCTTCCTTAAATTGGAGGTGACTGAGCCCGACGCGCTCCCGCTCATCTATTGGTACGACACACACACAGGCACACGCACCACCGCACACGCATAGATATGGGAGCTTAGGCAATCTGGCGTGCGGCACCCAACTGGTGGCACGTACAGGATTGAGGGAGGAGTTGAAGCGCCCTACGACGGTTTGTGGGGCGCACCGAACATGGTCGCGTGGTGGAAGACCTCCGCGGCCGAACGCCAGAGGGCCAGAGCGCTGCAATCAGGCGAAAGCGTAGCAGGCCAGGCGGATACCATCGAAGGTGGTGTCGACGCGGCAGGGAAGGAGACGAGGGACGAGCTGTGAGGTCGCACGAATGTGCCACTTGTATTGTTTTTCTTTTCTGGCGACTTTCTGTTTTGCCCGGAGCGGAGGGGCCAATGGGGACGCCCCGCCCCGACACAGGTTCTTTATCTTATCGCGCCGAGCATGACACTGACCACCAGCGCCGGTCGTGGAGCCTACGTGGCGTGCTTGGTGGCCGCAATCGGTGGTCTCCTCGCCTGTCTTGCCCTCCCCGCGACTGCGCAGTCCTGTCCGGTACCGGGCTTGTCCCTCTTGTCTTAATTTCTATTTTTTAAATAGTAAAAATTAATACATTTATCGGGGTACTTTATCTTTTACTTTGATTTGAAATATTTCATTTTTTGTGTGTTTGCTTCCTAGGGAGACGGCATCAAGGTGTATGGAACGCAGTCCTTCCCCGACGACTCTTCCGCGTGGGTAGCTGTCTCCAATGTTGACGCCACCAGCAACGGTACCCTCTTCGCCTTCGCGTCGTGTCGTGTCGTGTGTCGTGTGTCGTGTCGCGCGTTGCTAATGAGTTGTGCACTAGCCAACCAGCTGTGGCTGTCGGAGAAGTTCGCCTACGTGTTCTCCTTCAACACGATCTTCTACTCGTTCTCGCTCCTCCAGCGCACCGCCATCCCGCCCGTACATTACCCCCCGAGCTCTGCCCCGTCATATATGACCCCTTGGCCTTGCTCCTAATCGCACGCGCACATGTGTCGTGTGTCGTGTAGTCTTTGGCTACGAACGTGGCTGTGTCGCCCATGTTCAAGCAGGGCTTCTCGCCCACGGGTCCAGTCGTGGTGCGTGTCCACGATCGCCCCCGCAGTCATCGACACTTTTCGTGGTAGTCAAGTTCTTTGCCACTCCCCCTAACGTGTGGGAGCGGGTTACCGCTCCGGGCGCAGGTGTTGGTGCCCAGGTCGACGCCCTGGAACCTTGTCGAGGTGGTCATCACCGCGGACGGCTACGTGCTCAGCCGGTGCGTGTTTTCTAACCGGCGTCGTGTCGTGTCGTGCCGTGTCGTGTCGTGTCGTGTCGGGTGTGGTGTGGTGCCGGTTACTGGGGAATGTGTCCTCACGCGTTGGCTCCGTGGCGTCGACCAGGAACCTGACGATCCCCCAGTTCGCTCAGACCGTGCAATGGCAGAAGATCATTCCCAACACCTACGGCCTCACCAGCAAGTGCGCACCACCGCACACGCGCACGCTTCGCCGCACACGCACACGTTCTCACTGCTGTGTGCGCCTTTCCGTCATCCGGCAGGCTGTACCTGTTCTCGGCGGACCATCTGGTGATCGTCAACTACAACGCCCTGACGTGGAGCATCGACGCGGTCGTCGCCATCCCGGCCGGACAGTACCCCACGCAGGTCATCCGCAGCGCAATGGTCAACGCCGCCAACCAACAGGAACTCTTTGTCACTCGGGCCAACGAAGACCCCGAGAAGCCCGGAGAGGTCTCTGTCCGTCTGCGTGCGCGCACACGCCTGCAGTATCCCGTGACTGACCGCCGTTGTGTGTGTTGTTGTGTGTGTGTGTGTGTGTGTGTGTGTGTGTGTGTGTGTGTGTGTGCGCGCGCGCGCGCGCGTGCGTGTGCGTGTGCGCGTGTGTGCGTGTGTGCGGTTCCGCAGGTGTTGCTGCTGTCGGCGGACGACGGGTCGCTAGTCAACCGTGTCATCCTAGACCACTCGCCGGCGGTCATGTTCGTCACCTCGGGGAGCGACGGCACCAACGACATCATCTGGGCCGAGTCTGGCGCGCTCTTCGACAGCCAGCAGTCCACCGGTCCAGCCCCCAGTTGTGCGTGCCTGTGTCGCATCACTTGTATTCATCCCTGCTGTGTCGTGTGCGTGTCGCGCCCTGTCGCTCCAACACACAGGCGCGGCGTTCATCTGGAGCTTGGACTCGCACGAGCTCAGCTACGCCGAGATCCCCGTATCGTCCTCACAAAGTCAGTGCCCACTCCCTTGTTATTTATTTATTTATTTTATTTATTTATCAGCTATTATTGTTACTCATTAAAAATTGCATCTTCATGGTTTCTCCAGCGTTCGGCTCGGCTTACGGAAGCACGCCCAACAACAAGTACATCCTGCTCGGCTTTGGCGAGCCTGCGGGCCAAGGTACACCTTGCCGTCGTCTCCTACCCCCCCCCTTTGCCGCACGCGTAGTCATGGCTCACGTTTTGTCCGACGTTGCGTAGAGTACACACTGGCGAGCGTGAACCTTCAGAACAGCTGCGTCATCGACCTCCAGAAGCAGATGCCCGGCACCCCGCCCGAGGCCGGTACGACTTTCTTTCTTGCTCACGCGGCGACACTCTACCCACGGTTGTGGACTTACGTGGGGGCGCTTTCGTGCGGTGTGTGCACGTCGCGCGCGTTGCAGGCAACGAGGTAGGCGGCATCCTGTCGCAGGCGGGTCTGGTCCTGTTCGGCAACCACAACCAGCAGGGCTTCAACCAGGTCACCCTCATCTACTACGCCAACTGGATTTGAGCCCCTCAACCTCTTGCTCTCAACAGCCCGACACATTGCAAGTCGTCAAGTATGAAATCCAAAGACTCTCTTTATTCCTGCTTCCCTCTCGCAGCGACACACACACACCGAATTACCTTTCCTCTCCCCCGCCATCGAGTGTGCGATCTCTCCCCCAAGTCCCCTCCCTGTTGTCGTTGTTGTTGTTGAGCTCAGCCGATGGCCCAAGGCCTCTTACACGTCAGCCTTCGGCGCGGGCGCCTGACAACACACCACTGTGAGCCTCACCTCACCTGGGAAGGCACAGAACGGGGGAATGAAGGGGTAGGGGGCTGGGTACCTTGCTGGGGACGATGGTGCGCTCAAAGTCGGCCGGGACGTGGAAGTGCCTCTGGTCGGAGTAGAGCATCTTCTCGGGCTCGGCCACCTGGGGCACGTACTGGGCCAGCATGTCCAGGAAGAACAGGACCACGCCCGTGGCGATACCGCCGCCGAGGCCGATGCCGATCGAGATGATGAGGCACAGCACCTGGTAGCCGGCCTGCGAGCCGCCGCGGAGGAAGAGCTCCTCGACGGGCTGGCCGAACACGTAGTCGTTCTGGCAGGCGATGGCGGTCGAGATGATGCCGGCGACGCCGGCCAGCAGACCCGACAGGCCGTGCAGGCTCAGCACGCCCGCGTGGTCGTGGATCTTGAAGTAGCCGATGGCCGGGTTCACGTAGGCGTAGCCCAGCACAGAGACGATACCGGCCACCAGACCGATCACCATGGCGCCACCGGGGCTCACCACCACGGGCGTAGCCGAACCGATCGCGATACCACCTAAAAACGACGCGCGTGACCGTGTCGTCCTATGAGCTCTCATGGACGATCAAGGGAGAGAGCTGATTGGGGTGGGTTGGGGGGCTTGGGCACGGTACCGGCGAGGGTGGCGCGCTGGATGTCGAACATGAGGAACTTGCCGGCGCGGATGGTGCGCGAGGTGAGGAAGGCCATGATGCACGACGACGTGATCGCCAGGAAGGTGTTCACCACCACACTGGGGAGAAAGCCTTGAGAATCCATGGGCGCGATTGCGTGCGGCTGGAGAGGGGAGGGGCCTACCGGTACTGAGAGCCGTTGGGGGCGTAGGCGGCGTTCCATCCGGGCCACATGACGAACATGATCAGGGTGCCGAGCAGGGTGAAGATGTTGGACACATACGACGACTGTCACACAGGCACAAGCATTACATGAACAGTCAGAGAAGAATTAACTAAAAACACTGTTTCCACATCATCTGTGCCACGCACTTGCTTGTCCTTCTCAAACTCCTTGAGCCTCTCCTTGTCCTCCTGCAGCAGCTGGCCGATCAGGGTCTGCACGCCCACGACACCGAGACCTGGGCCACACACACACACACACACACACACACACACACACACACACAGTATGGGTCAGTGGGAAGTCGACGACGACGTGCCGGTGGGGAAAGGTGTACCAAACAGGGTGCCGAAAAGGTGCACTGTCTGAGCGCCACCGATGTCGACGGCGTCGAGGACCATCAGCACCACGAACCTGTTGAGCGCGTAGAAGCCCACCTCTGTGCAAACCAAGAGCTCGTTGAGCGGCGTGTGCGTGCGATAGTGTCGGGGTGCGTGCGACGGTGTGTGGTACCGAAGAGGGTGAGGAAGACGAGCTGGAGCGGGCTGGCCTTGCCCAGCAGGAAGCCAAACGTGATCAGGCACGCCGTGGCGCCGTAGTAACCGTCGATCAGCGAGAGAATCGTCAGATCACCCCTCGCCCAGTCGCCGCCGTCATCCACATTCTGCCAGAAGATCAGGTGCAGGATGGTCCTGTGAAGAGCTCGGGTCAGAGCCGACCCAGCTGGGCGAGGCCGCGGGTCTGTGTGGTGGGGCGGGCGGGCGGGCGTACCACTGGGCGGCGAGGACGGTGATGAGGAAGGTGTGGCTGATGGCCGAGTAGGCGTACTTCCGCATGAAGGTGTAGAAGAACGAGAAGCCAGCGAGAACGAGCATCGCCACGTGCACCCAAATGGTGTACCAGTTGGCGGACCTGATCGCGCGTGCGGTGAGTGTGTGCGAGGCGGTGTGTGTGCGGGGTGAGTGTGTGTGCGGGGTGGTGGTTACCTATGGGTGTAGCCCATGTTGGGGGGAGAGTTGGTGTCGTCGCTGTAGTCGCAGGCGACCCAGTAGATGACGCAGGTGATGACCTGGAAGATAAGGTACACCCAGAAGAAGAGGTCCACCAGATTGGGGGCCTTCTCCACCGGCTCGTTGTCCAACGCCACCAGCTTTTGCAACTGCGCGCACTCAACTATCAGGCACCGCACACACGCACACGCCCGGAAAGAATAGGTACCTTGCGCCGGAGGACTTCCTCCTCGCGCTTCTGGAGGCCCATGCTCTCGATGAGCTTCTTTCGTTCATCGAAGGCGTCGAAGAGCATCTGACGGAAGTGCTTCCTGCGGCTCTTGATCTTCTTCATGCGGGACTGGAACATCTGCTGGTACTGAGTCTCATCATTCGTCCTCTTCTTGCCTAAATTGTTCAAATTGTTGAATTGCGAGCGATTTGGGCGCCGTCGTCAGTAAAATCGTATGATCATCTTGGTCTAGGATCCGCAGGGGGGGTACCAGGTTTGGCCGAGGCGAGCTTCTTGAGGTCTTCAGCAAACTCCCCTCGCGCATCGGTCTCATCTTTTTGGATGGTCAGCAGATGGGCGTGGAGCTCATCGATGTAGTTCTCAATCCTGTTGTATTACATGCGGGGAAGCAGTGAGAACCACGTTGGCCAGTTCAGCTCGTTCTCGCCGACAGGAGTGGAGAAAGGGAGAAGAGATGTTGGGTGCGAAGGGAAAGCAAATGGGGAGGTAGGAAGAAAAAGAAAATAATGGGAGGGAGGTGACGGTGAAGCGCACCCGTCGAGGTACTCATCGTTGAGGCGATCGCGGATGGAATCACCACCGAAGATGGGCTCCGGGAGCTTGGTGAAGTGTGCCTTGTCGGAAGTCATCTTTCCTCCTCCTAATCGACTCTAATCTCTCTGCTCCAGGAGATCTCACACTTTCTCTCTTCCTCCTCACGCAAGACCGTGTTTCAGATCGACTCCCCTCCTGTGTCGATTCTTCTTCTCTTCCGACCACTTACGGATTTCTCGAGGGAGCTGGGCTGCACTGTCGCTCGACTCGGGGACTGGTCAGCGGCACTCCTCTTTTGGGTCGGCCCTGCGTGCCCGAAACGACGTACCCACCATTGGACCAATTAAATAAAAGAAACCGGTCTCGTCAAAAACAAAATTGTTAGCCAGAAATAAAAAGGAAAATAAAGGAAATTACATGGAATGTAACACATATTTCTCTGTCGACAAGAGGCACACGACACACGACAACACACACACGACGACGAGGCGCTGAAGTGGTGAGATATTGGCACTTTACTGGTTGTGTTGTCATTCTCCTCCCTCGGCACAAGCTCTTGGAGGGAGAGACACTTTTCAGGCACCGACGTCCTCCCAGCTCCGCTCGACCACGTCCTTGACTCGCCTGTTGTACTCCCGCTTGTTCTCGGCAAAGAGACGCGCAGCCTCGGCGTTGGCCGGCGAGTTAGGGTTGGGATCGCACAACAGCGACTGGATCGACGTCAGAATCGCTGCGACAGAAGAACGCACGCAACGCGTCAGCACAAGTGCATACGCACGTGCGATGTCGTAGGTGCGCGTGCGGAGGTGTGAGTGGAGTGGGTGCGTACCGGCAACGTCGTAGATGGGAGACCACTGGTTCTGGAGGATGTCCAGGCAGATGCTGCCATCGTTGTAGACGTTGGGATGAAACATGGCCGAAACGAAGCTGACCTTGGGCGGCTTGTTAGGGTACTCCTCGGAGAACTCCAGCTTGAGCCTGAACGTGCCGCCTTCCCACGGCGTGTCGTCCGGTCTGGCAAGGTCGAGGAAACAATGTGTTTGCAATAACGCATTAAAAAATAAAAATAATATAATAATATATAATCTAAGATAGAGAAAGCGTGGAGGCACAAGGTAGAAAATAATAAAATGCTTGAAATTGATTTGATGCAACACGAATTCGTCTTGCATCGTGGCAGATTGTTTCCGAAGGAACGTGGAGATCAACGTCCCCGCAAGGTGAAATAGACGTGGGAGAAAGCGTACCCAAAGATGACAGCCTGCCACTGCATAATGTTGTTATCCGAGGGGGCGGCCGTGATGCCCGAGGGCGAATCGTCCTGCAGGCGCTTGAAATCGCGCATCAATCGTCGCCGCGAGGGGGTACTCATTCTTTACTCTACTTCTTTCTGCTGCTTCTTTGATCCTCTTCTGTCTTGTATCTTGATCTTTTGATTTGTGTATTATTTTTTCGAATCTTTTTCAGCGTGCAAATTCCTCAATTCGAAGTTTCGCGCATCTTGTCGGCGAAAATTCAAAAAGAAAAATAAATAAATGTTGTCGTGCGAATTGCGGCGAGGCGTCAGAAGAGAGGAGGAATGCCGGCCGCCATGAAGAGGGCGGTCACTACGGACATGGTGCCCTCGCCCAGTACGAAGCCCGACGCCACTGTTAACCAAATATTTGGCCGTGTGAGCTCCAGGTCGGGGTGCTTGCAGGGGTGATTGAAAATGGCACTACGAACCGATGATCATGTAGTTGTGACGCGCGACTGGCCACCGGCGGAGCCACAGCCAGTTGACCAGGCCGCCAGCCACCCGAGGCAACGTCCAGTTGGGCGTAAGGTAACTGTTCCACCCGATCATCAGCACACACGCGCACCAACCGCACGACACACGCACTGCGCACGACACACATGGCACGAGCGTGGGAAAACGCACAAGCCGATGGCGAATCCGATGCCGGAGGGGAGGTAGTTGGCCCACTTGGGAAAGGCCTGGCTGAGTACGGGCAGAAGACCCGCAAGCACGCCCGCCACGAGGCAGAACGGGAACACGTTGTGGGCCTCGACCTCGCCGTTGACCATCCGCGCCATATTCACCCACACCCCAGCCGTCGGCACTGGGAACTTGGGTCCTGCGCGCGCCACATTAGTTGCCGTGTGTGCGGTGGTGCGTGCGTGTGTGTGTGTGTGTGTGTGTGTGTCGTATTGCGGGAAGCGCGTACCGGGTACTTGGTAGGTGTGGGTGTAGAGAAGGTAGGCGGCGACGGAGAAGAAGATGGACGCGAATGAGCCGATCAGCTGCCCGAAGAACTGCGCTCTGGGCGATGCCTTCAGCAGGTGACCCGTCTTCAGATCTGTGCGCGCCCACACAAAATATCAGACCACGCCCGCATCGCGTGACGCATCTCGTCGTGTGTGCGGCGGTGCAGTGGTACGTGCCTTGCATCATATCACCGGCCTGCAGCGCGCCAGCCTCTGCAACGGCGCCTGCGATCAGGTTGGAGACGATGTTTTTGGGCGCCACCAGCGCGAACACGATCTGAATAAGCGTAGGGCGGTGAGACCATGGTCAGCGCTGATGGCGGGCGGATAGCAGGCGTTTGGGCGCAGAAGCCTCGTACCTGAGATATCTTGCCTACGCCGCTGACCGGGTTGATGTCGGTTTCGCCCAGGGCTGGTCCAGGCAACAGCGCGTGCGGTGGTGAGTAGGCACACAACGGGCCGGGGAATTGTGGGTGGGGAATTGGGCAGGCAGACGTACCGCGAACAGCGAGAACGGAGACGAAGAGGGCCAACACGATGGCGATGAGGGGCTGCCAGATGGGCAGGTGGTACAGGGGCGTGAGCACCGCGACGCAGATGGCCGACGACACCACCAGACCTGTGCCACGAATCAACTCAGCACTCTCTCTCTCTCACACACACACACACATACAGAAAAAACGCGACACGCACACGCACACGCACAACGACGCGACGCGACATGCACACAGATGATATACCTGAGATCCACCAGGATTGGGGAACGTGCTGGTGGGGCAGGGCGGGGTCGATGTCCTCGGCCTCCTTCTCCGACCGCTGGGCAGGGTTGAAGAAGCGCCTGACCGCCACGCTACCGACCAGCACCAGAAGCGACATCAGCGACTCCGCCAGCAGAATGCACAGCGAGATCCACAGCAGCCATCTGCACGCACGTCGCGCACAACACACCCGCGCGCGCAGTGAGAAGAGCTGCGCAGCTCTAAAGACTGACATGGTTGCCTTTTCTTGACGTACCCTCGTGCTCCGGTTTGCCAGTCGTTGACGGGACCCGAGGTCCAGCCGGCGCTTTGGGCGATCGGGCCGAGGATGGCCCAGCCCACGACTGCTCCGCCCAGCATCGACACAGCCGTACGCGGACCCATGATCATTCCTAAGTACGTTAGGTGTGTGTGTGTGTGTGTGTGTGTGTGTGTGTGTGTGTGTGTGTGTGTGTGTGGTGCGTTAGTGTGGCTCGTCTGGAAGAAGTGACCAAAGAGAGCGCGAGAGTGTGCCTTGTCCCACGTAGCCCAGCGACGGATTGATAGACCAACCCCACTCGGTGGCCACCGCAAACCCGACCCACGAGAGCACCGGCATATCCAGCAGCACCGGAATAAAGTAACCTAAGCAGTGCACACAAGAACGTTATTAACAAGCGACACGACACACAACACACGGCACACGGCACACGGCACACGATCAACTAGAACGACACAAAGATGGGGAAGAGTACCGATGAGGACGTAGCCGCCGGAGAAGGCAAACGTGAGGTAGAGGACGAGCCACTTGCGGTCCCACTCCGCCTTCTCCATGACGCTGCCCTCGTGCTTGTCCAGGATCTCGGCCTCGAGCTCCTGCTGCGGACTCAGATTGTCTTCTGAGGCGCCGTCTTCCCTCGCCCCGGCCGACCGGCGCAGCTTCACCGCCGGCGCGCGCGAGGAGGCGGTCATCGTCTCCCCGCGAACCGTCTCATCCGTCTCCAACAGCTCAAACTCCTGCGGCTGGCCGCACGGGTCAGCGTCATCGCATGACACGCAATGTGACACGCACGACACGCACGGTACACGACACACGACACACAACACACGCACGCAAACCTTGTGTGAATCGAGAGTATCGGATGCTTGGCCGTGTAGGACTTTGATCATGTGCGCGGTGGCCGTGCCGGAGGGGAACTTGAGCTTCTCGCGGAGTATGGTCTGTCGTCGCAGCGGGACCGCGAAGAAGACACCGAAGAAGGCCAGCGCCAGCGACCACAACACCAACGCCCTGCACCCGGCACGATGCGACGCGACAGTGCAATCAGCGCGACAGTGGTTGGAGCGCTAAGAACCCGAACGGTGGGCGGTGGCGGGAGTACCACCAGGCCTGGTCCTTGTCGACCGACCCTCGTTCTTCGTCGGTCAACAGCCCAATCGCGGGCAGGATTCCCACAAATCCGCCAGCAAGCGGCATCGTGGCCGTCGCCACCGCCGTTGATGTCAGGAGCACCTGCGCATACGACGCACACGACACATATGCCACAATCACGACGCACACGACACACACACACAACACACACACACGTCAATCCAATGCCATCAATAAACACAGACTATGAGGCCACGTACGTTTTCCTTGGGTCCGAAGGGTCCCATGCCCAGTGCGCGCGAGACGAGGTTGGGCCGCTGAAGGAGGGAGGACGCAGCCACGACCTTGAGCACGGCGAAGCCGATGAGGGCCGACTGCAGACTCCCCAGGCTGATCCAGCCCGACTGCAGGCCAAAGTACATGTTGGAGAAGCACGTGAGGCCGCCCACCAGCACTCCTGATGATGACGGAGCGTTAAGCGAATGCCACCGATGTCAGTTGGCTAACTGAGGCGGCGTACCGATGATGACTGCTCGCCAGGTGAAGTCGTTGGTCTCCACGATCTCCTCCGCCTTGAGCTCCAGCTCGATCTCCCGCTCCAACTGCTCTCGCATCCTCTCCTCTTTGTCATCTCTGCAAATGCAGTAAATAAAATTAAATAATAAAATAAAAATAAAATTGGCGGGTGGTGCACCTCACGAAGACCTCCACGTCTTCTTCCTCTGTCACCTCGCCGTTAATCTCTATCCTCACACGCTCCATCTCAGCCCTGGCCACCCACAATCAAGATTCAATGAACAAATCTGATTTATTCCATTCATCAAAAAGAGGCAGGAGAGCAAACGAACCCTGGGTGGTGCCGCTGCCCCATTCTCGTGTTCCTCTCACTGCTCAACGCGGTCACCCCGCACACCCAAGACCCGCACACACAAACGATTTATTGTTCTCTTTTCCTTCTTTCTTTGCTTTCTCTTTCTCTTTCGCTTTCGTTCCGTCTGCCGTGTGTCGTGCGGTGCGTGCCCTCAGGCAAAACCCATGGCTCCTTTCTCAGCTGAGCTCATTCTCCATCACCGTGCCCGTCCTCCGCTCCTCGCACTTGATCACCTTCGTAGCGTGGCATGGTTAAACGCTTGAACGATCGTTCGTTCGGACGGTCGATACCGTCACCCTCTCTCGCCAGCGCGCCTTTCCCCGATGTGGCATGTGATTCATGGGGAGGGCATCGAGCCCGTTGCGGCGGCGGCGGCGGCGCCCAGCTTGGCCGCCTGCTCGGCTTCCCGCTTCTTCTTCCGGCTGTAGGCCAGCCCGCACGTGTTGCATAACCTGCACCACGAGCAGACGCCACAACGTTAAGACAACGCAACGCACGCCAGTCGCTGACGCCAGTTGGGCGATGGTGCGTCGTACGTGTTGGAACCCAAGGGGCCGTGTCGCCACTTGGTGGTCTCCGTCCGCTGGCAGCTGGCGCATTTTCTGCAGTCCATCCGCAGTGTGAGACGCACAGTCAGGACGGGACCCCCCAACCCACGGCGCGCATGCGAGAGCAGGGCAGCGAACCGTTGCATGTGGTTGAAGCTGTCCTTGGTCTTGGTCTTTCGCCGCCGACGGCCCTTCTTGCTTTCGCCTGACTCCTCCGTGGAAGCGGCCAATGGCTGCGAAGGCGAGATTGGGGTCGGGGAACCCATCAGCACGGGCGTCGGCACCGTCTCGGCCTGAACGCCCCTCCCAGTGTTAGCACCTTGCGGTGGTGCGTGTCTGCGTGCGCGTGTGCGGGCGGAGTTGCGCACCTGCACAAGGAGGTGCTGGCCGGGCATGAAGGAAGGGAGCGATGGCGACAGGGAGAGCGGCGAAACCGAGGGCGACGCCAGCAGAGCCGGCGTCAGGGCCGAGGTCGGCACGGGCGCTGGTGCGGTGGCGGGCAGCGCCAGGACTGGGGGCACAGGCAACGACGACGGTTCCGCCGGACCACCTGGCCGCCCACATTAACCTCAGCCCAGTTGTAGCGTCAACAGCAGCGGAGGGAAGTGGCGAGCGCACTGTGGAGAGTGAGATAGACGCTCTGCAGCTCGGTTTGTAGAGAACGCGAAATGCTGGTCACCCACTCCACCACCGACTCGGGGTTGTCCTGCTCCAGGCGAGTGACACACGACAACGTTGCAGAGAGCAGTGTGAGCAAAGTGTGCCCGCGGGTGCGGGTTTGCTGCTGGGCACACGAGGACGAGGATTTACCTCAACGACCGCCTCGGTCTTGGCTGCGGTCTTCTCGAGCGCGATCGAGGCGATCTGGCTCGTCATCTGCGTGAGGCTGTTCAATCGTGCCAGCTATCGTCGCAGTAGGTCAGCGAGACTCAACGGAAAAAAGTACAAGGTCCATGGGGTGTGGTGGGTGATGGTGGTGTTCGTACAGTTTGTTGCTCCCAGCTGCTTGGCGAGGTGGCCAGAGGCACAGAGGGCGCGGGCGCCAGCCGGGACTGCATCGCAGAAGGTGGGGTCGCCATGGCGGGAGAGTGAGAAAGTGGTGGGAGAGACGATGGTGATGAAGAAGTCGATGATGAAGAGGTAGTAGGAGAGGCAAAAGAAGTAGACGGAAAGAGAGAAGGAGCTAGAGCAGAAAGTGGAGGAGGAGACGTTGAAGGGGGCGAAGAAGAAGAAGGCAGGACGAGAGGAGGAAAGGAGAAGGAAGGGAGGAGCTTGGGAGAGGAGTGAGCCGCGAACTGGTTCATGATGTCATGGTGGGCCGAGGCCACGGTCTCCTGCTTTACTGGGTCAAACTGGGCCTGGTTCTGGTTCGGGTTGTGGCCACCGCTGTCGCCCGTTCCAGGCTCCCTCTTCACCGCCACAGCAGCAGAGGACATGACGGGCGCGGTGGTGTTGAGAGTGACGGTGATCGAGCTGGGCGTGGAGGTCGGCGGTTGGGCCGTATCGCCGAGGCCTGGAGGCGCGGCGGGTGGTGTGATTTCGGCGCCAGGTGGCGCGGTAGTAGGTTCGTACTCCATCTCGAACTATGTGCTCCTAAGGAGAGGCCAAGCATTCACCTGCACCAGGATCAGAAGGTCAATAACGAAGATCACCAACATCATTCCAATCGCAGAAAATCTTGCAAATTTGTCCTACTTGCGGCGTGGAGAATGCGCCTGATTGTGCCCGTTTCGTGCAAGTTAGAGCGGCTTGTGAGCCTTGGAAGGGAATGTTGTTCTTCAAGACTGGTCTTCTTCTACAAATGGAACGGAGAAACTCCACAAACGAAATTTGAAACGGACGATGATTACACAATCTGAGATGAATGACAATCAATCGGGGCGTGTACCGTGGAAGGCTGGGGGGCAAGCACGGCACAGGAAGCAACACAACGAGAACTGAGAACGCACAGGGTGCAAGTGTACTGACAACTAGCGACACGACAGCCTTCACGCAACAGGAAGCGCCTCTCGGTTGTCGTTCGTTGCCAAAACGGCGGGCGAGTGTTTCCCACAACTGGGGGAGTTCTGCCCTTCGGCCTCTCGGCCTGCTCAGGGTGTTCGTGCCGCCGAGCAGGCGCAGAGGGTACGATCCCTCGTTATCTTAGCACTGCGATTGGGACGTTGGGCAAACGACCTCCACGCCCGAACAATGTGGGCCGAGGTGTGGGGTCACCAAAGTTCTTTCCAGATTTCTTCGCTTTGATCCTGCGCTGTCGTGCGTACGCGGTTGGGCTCCTGGGCTCCTGGCCATTCAAGTCGCGAGCAACAACACCGAAAGGCAGAGAAGACAATCTAGAATGAAGAGACAGAACTGAACAATGCACCCTCCTTTCAGGTTGCTATCATCAGGATTCGCCAACAGGCTGCTGGGAAGTTGTTTGTGTGGCAAGGCCAATCACAATGCACAATTAATAACACTTTGTTTGTTGTTCCACACAGATCGATACTTACACTCACATACACACCCTCTTCCGTTGCTTGCTGGTCTCCTGTTGCTTGCGCCGTATGTTGCTTACGTTCTCCCGGCCTTCACCTCTCCACGTTCATGGCGGTCTGGGCGAGCAGAGAGCCGCGAGTGAGAAGATGATAAGGCAATAGCATTGATGACTCGGTGCGCACCGTCCCCCGGGCCAAAATCTCGGGCCAGCGTGGTGCAGCTTCGCGGTTGGCCCTCGCTCTTGCCACCTATCGAAGCCGCAGCCACAAGAAAAAGATGTGTGAGCAAAAGCCGTGCTGTGTTGCAAGGTGCAAGGAAGGAATAGAGGAAAAGAGAAGCGATTACTGCTGGCGGGAGCGTCCAGCTCGGAGGCGAGCGTGATATTCTGCTTACCTGCTCGTTGCCGACGCGTCCACCCGCCGTCAGTTTGGCCCTTCGCGACATAAAGGCTACGCGCTTGTTGGGCGCGTACCAATCTCCGGCTCCGGTTTGACGCCGGCTCCCTTGATGGCCGCCACCGCTGAGGGATCGTCATTGTCGTCCTTCGCGTTGTTGTTGCTGACAATTCCGTTACCGTTGCTGGTGATGCACTGGACTCGTTCTTCATCGTCTTCCTGTTTGGAGGTCGAGCCGGGTCGAATGGCAAGGCAAAAGTCATCATAGATGACTCTCCTCGCCGCCCTCTCCCGCTCCCGCTGCCGCTTCTCTTTCTCCATTTCCTCCTCGAGCCACACGGCGTACTCCTCCTCGGGGAACCGCGCCAAGAAGGCCTAGAAAGGCGGAGGGATTATTACATCGTTGTTAGCGCTGAATCGCCATACGATACACGGCAGGTCTAATCTGGTACCTTCCAAATGGTCCTGGCAATCTGGAATGCGCGCTCGACGACTTCACCAAAGGGCAGGCCGAGCTCTTCGATGCCCGCCTTTACGCTGCTCAGTCGATACAAGAATGCGGCCTCCTTCCGGGAGAGATTTCTTATCGAGCCTGTGCGTCGAGGTAAGGGTATTAACATCGCCATCTCCAGAGCGCGTAACCGTTTGGGCCATGGGCCGATATGTACCGAGAGTATCCAGCAGGGCCAGCAGTTTGGAAGCCACGGACTTGAGGTCCTCGATGTCCGTCTTGGATTCGTCATACACATACCCCTGTAGAATTCGGTGGATCGGATGATTGAGTACCCCCAGGTTAACAACAGCCCGCGCGAAGCCAAGTAGTGTTGGGGCTCTCACCCTCACGGTTTCCATGATCTCCTTAAACTTGGCGTCGATTGAGCAGATGTCGGCAAAGTTGAGGCTGTGGCTCTCGGTCATGGCCCGCGTCATTCGCTGGGAAAGCTCCGCATCGAGCAAGGGGTCGTCTTCTCTGAGGGTATCGTCCTGTCGCTCCCGCCTTGTCGATCGTGGGCCTTCCCCACTTCCATAGCCTTCCTCTTCCTCCTCTTCCGCTATCACCACCGCTTCCTCATCGTTAAGTAGACGGTAGGCGTCCCGCTCTTTGTCGTGTCGTTGCGGTGCTGGTTGCACGTCGATGTCGCACGGCAGCGGCTGAAATACATCGTCGCCATCGACAACGATCATTTCGTCAGCATCGTCATCGCTAATCACCACCACCACATTGTGTTTGCGGCGCTTGTTCGCTGTCGGTGGCTCCACAGGTTCCTTCTTCGTTTGCTTCTTCATTTCCTTCTTCGTTTCCCTCATATCGGTTTTGTCCTTCTTGCTCTTGCTCTTCTTGCGCTCTTCCTTGACGCTCTTCGTCGTGTGGCCCGTGATCTTGGCCCGTCGCCTTTCCTCCTTCGTATCGATAAGCGAGCTTCGACTTCGCTTTTCCTCCTTCGTATCGACAGACGAGGTCCGACTTCGCTTTTTCGAGTCTTTTTTGGAGTCCGGTGCTGCGTCTTCGTGTTGATTACCGCGCTTGACCATCTTGCTATTGTTCGACTTTCGCTTGTTGGGGATGGTCCTCATCGGCGTATCCTCAGGTCCATTCAGCGCTCGCCCTGATGCGAGATCAGGTAAGCCTAGGGAGATGCTGATTGGGGGGGAGAGGAGCTGTACCTGAGGCCCACACGGCATCGATGATGCCAGCCTGACGCAGCCCGCTGATGAACGCACCCGCCACAGTCGCAGGATGATCTCGCTGTGTTGCTTCCCCTGCCGCGGTATGTAGTTTAGCCGAGGAGAAACCAGGCGCACGCAAGAAAGGATGAGGGGGAGCTACCGGCAAAGAAAAGTCGACGTGATACAGGTCGCGCCAGCAGATCGTAGTCGCTGCCCGTCGAGCCCACCGCTATGTACGAGTAGGAGCCGCGTGCGTATTTGTCGGTGCCCCACCGGGTGACGACTGCCTTCAATGGCGACGGAGCTCTCGGATAGGCCTGTGACACAGCTCGTAAGTTCGTGGCTACAGCTCGGTCGAGACTGGATGTGCCGCCGTACCCGTTTAAGGATAGCCATGGTACGCTGGACGATTTCAGCGTCGGGTCGGTGTTCGTGCACGATGGCGGCGCTGCCGGCGACTAACGCCAACAGAATTGGCTGTCCCATGCACCGGTGCAAATTGTTGAAGAGGAACGACTCACCCCTACGGGAGGATGGAAAGGGAGGTGTAAGCAAACTCAAAGCACAGAGCCAGCGACATTGTGGTGTGTGTTGGCACCTGTCTTCGCTTTTCTCGGGAACACAGCCGAAGTAGTCCACCGTATCGTCCCAGAAGACGTACGGGAATAGCAGGCCCACCTTGTTGAGGTTGCCAAAGCCCAACCGCTCGACCGCCTGTTGCTTCCATGACGGCAGGGGAGGATCGAACCGCAGCCGCCTGCCGTAAGAGGACAGGCCCCATCAGCAAGTCGAACAAAGAGAAAGCGGAAAGTGGGATAAGAGGCGCATACTTTTCCTTGAGAAGGCCGAGTGGAATCGTGACCAAGACTATCTCGGCTTCATAGGTCTGGCCTGCGGTGAACACCTTGGCCGGTTTGCTCTTCCCACCCATCCTTAGATCCTCCTCGTCCTCACCGTATTGAATCTCTGTTACCACTTGGCCCTGTTGTTTGCGTGTCGTGTGTAAGACAGTGTGTTCAACATTCATCGCCGCAGCGAAGGAGCGCACCAGTTGCACGTTGATGCCCTTGGCCAGCTCTCTTAGCACCTCGCTGTAGCCTTTCTTTAACAGGCAATGCTTGCCTCCGAACTCGAATTCGTCGTCCTGCGACAGGGCTTCAGTGGACGATCATGCGATAGGCAGAACTGAGTAGAACGTACTTGGTCCCAGTGCTCCAGAGACACCCGCGCCAGATCCGTGGCACATCCGTACTCGAGGTTGGCAATGTGCCAGTCGAAGATGCTCTTCTCCAGAGGTGAAATGGCACTGAAGCCATCAGCGCCAGTCGTTTGCAGGATGTGATCTATACCCCGCCCGAGCGACAGATGCGAGTCGGCTGTGGTCTTCTCAGGGACTTCGAGGGGCTTGGCCGCCGAACCATCAAACGTCATCGCGGTTCCGTTCGGCTGCGTCACACTCGTCGAGGTCGCGATGACTCCGGGGAGCATTGCGCCCTGCTGCGGTAGAAGGCCCGGGAAAGGAATCTGCTGCCCCAACAGCTGCGTCGGGTACTGGAAGTACGAGTGCGGTAGCGCCCTTCCAGAGAGTGCTTGTGCAGCTAGTTGCGCCTGGAGCACGTACTGCTGCGAGAGTGACGCATTCGGTCGCGGAGGCCCCTGCGGAGTGGGTGGCTGGAAGGGATGAAACTGCACCTTACGTTGCGGTTGGGAAGCAGACGAAGGTTGCTGCCGCCGCTGCGGTTGCTGCTGCGGTTGCGGTTGGGAAGCAGACGAAGGTTGCTGCTGAAGCTGCGGTTGCTTCTGTGGTGGTGGTGGTGGTGGTTGCTGCTGCGGTTGGGGCTGCGCTGACGTAGAAGACAGAGAAGTTGGCAGAGACGGGGTCGATCCAGGCGGAGCACTGGCGAGAGGGCGAGTTCCTCCCAGAATCGCGGTCCAATTCAGGCGGGCCTCTCCATTATTCGAGAGGGTAAAGAGAGGATCGTTGGATGTCGGCGCTGTCGTAGTGGGTGAGGCTGTCGCTGCTGGCGCCAGTGTTGGCGAAGTTGTCGTTGATGGAGGTCGCGTCTTCACTGGGCTGAGCGAGGTGCCGATAAGGGTGGCAGCGGCGGCGGCGGCGGCTGCGGCGTTGGCGACGGACTTGGGTGTCTGGACAGGCGGGTCGACCTTCTCCTTCTTCGCTTGGGCCGAGAGCGTTTGCGCACTGGCTTCCGTAGTCGCCGTGGCGGCAGCTGCAGTTGCCCCCGAGGATGGGGCAGTTTTGCCGGCAGTGATGGGTTGAGCTGTCAATCCTGGCGATCGCTGCGGCGGTGCGTAGCTGAACCGCACATTGCTGACCACTGTGTGCGGCCCTATGGGCGTCGACGCTTGGGCGATCGACCTGGCACCGGTAGCGGCAGTTGTTGAGGGTGAAGGCGCAGGTCCCAAGGCTGCTCCCACCGTGGCATTCGTCGTCGGTGGCGGCGGTCCGCCCGGTCGAGCGGGGAAGGGCACAGGCGGCATAAAGGGACTGGCATACCCCGAGAATCGAGCAGCAGGCACGCCATAGATCGGTTTCGTCTTGCCGTCGTCTGGTTTCAGGTGACGAGGATCGATATTGCCGGCCTTGTCGAGCACGAGGTTGAACAGTTCCTCGACGGCGCTGTCGACATCCTTCGGAACAAGCGAACAGTTGTGGAAGAGCGGGCACTCGTCGCGGAGAGTATGCAGCTCGGTGCCCAGCTGCTGGCAGAGGGTGTAAAACGGATTTCCCTCGGTTCCGGTCACCACCATCTAGCCGATAAGGAGGCGTCACCATCATCAGTGAGGATTGGCCAAGCTAACACAACATATTTGACTGTGCTGACACCTGGCGCTGTGTACGTACCGCGCCTAGGTCGATTTCTCCGCCAAGTACAGTGCTGGTGCTGACGCGTCCTCCAATCCGGTCTCTGGCTTCGAGAACGAGCACTCGGTACCCCATGTTCTGTAGTTGCCGCGCAGCGGACAGACCAGAAGCGCCGGCACCGATGACGATGACCCGCTGCCGTGGGAGGTCTGTGCACGCGAACAATGGAGAGCCACGCGCTTAGATCTCAGATACAACTTAGCGAGAAGGAGACTTAGGAGATGTACCCCAATTAGAGCGTGGGTGCTCTACAAAGCCGTAGTTGATGAACCCATAGCGGTTGAGAAAGTCGTAAGCTTGCACCGATATGGCCGCATAACGTGCCTTGCAGCCACGCATCATCGGACAGAGGAAATGGGTTAGGGTCCGAAATCGTTGAGCCCACACACGAACTTCCAACTTGAGTACGTACTTTGAATCCCTGACAGGCTTCCGCTCGCGGCAGGAATTTGGTCAGGTTGGTTTGCCACTTCAGGAGGATGGCATTGCGCACTGAACAGCGAGAATGTGAGCGATGGTGCATTAGCTGGCGAACGCTCATAACAGAGGGCAAGAGTTTGTTGCTTGAAACGATTAGACGAGAGCGTGCATACCAGATAGGTACGCGGGCACATCTTTTCGGACATCAGCGGGTAGCTCGTTCTTCTCCAGCCTCGATAGGCCGTCCACCGGCAGGCCGCTTTGAGTAGCCGCATCTGTTGACAGGAACCGTCAGCTGCTGCGAACAGGCCGGCACCTCGTGGGCCAGCAAAGGTGCAGCGTGGTGACGTACTGGTTTCTGGCGCATTTTCGCCCTCGCTGGCCACTTCTGATTCCTCCTCCTCGCTCTCTTCTGTGCACCATACAATTGCCAAAGCAATTTTAGCATTTTGGACAATCCACGTGATCCCCTGTGCAGCACGCACCTTCAAGAATCACAGCAGGAGCGTTTTGCTTGGCCCTTCGCGGTCGCAACTTGCGTTCTGTCGTCCTCGATCCTACTCGTACCGCTCCCGGTAAATTTGCCAAATCTATCTTTTGAGTTTCTGTTGTGCCTGGAAGGGGGGATAAGCATACCGCGAGTGCTCATGATCGATGCAGACAGTGGCCGTCTAAATGCACGCGAATCTTTTCCTCTTCCTTTGAAGTTGCAATGATGCAAATTGAAGGCCAAAAGAATGAGCTCTCTTGGATCGAGTTGGAAGGCCTCGACCATGCAGTCTTTGCGTCAGGTCCTTGGCGACCAACGATTGAAGAGGAACGACTCCCGAGCGCTGTGCAAAGATGGATCACGAGGGGCGGATTCGAATTGATTCTCTCGTCGTTCCTCTCGTCGCCCGTGTCCGGCAAAATCCCAAAAATCGAAAAATATGAAATAAGGCAAGGAATGCCGGACTCAAGAATTCCTGGCACCAGTTTCCCGCCAATGTCGCACGTTTTGATTTCTTTTCTTTCCTGCGCCCTCGATCAAGAGGGTCAATAGGAGGAATAATTTGGTGCTACACGAAAGGTCGTAGGGGCGGCACTGCCGTAAGAGAGAGCGCCCATGGAGAAGCCAGCGAGGGGGCGTCCGCGCAAGGATGCATCGCAATCTGTGACACCCTCGCGAGCACCCCAAAGATCCACTCCCTCGAGCAGCCAGCGTAGTAATTCTAGCAGAGTACAGGCATCGAATGGAAATGGTGAGCGATCGCCACCCGAGTGGAAGATAATCATCACCCTGGCGCCGCAGGAGGACCCCACGCCATCTCAATCGACCATCATCTATGAGGGTTATCCTTCGATACATGACACCCCGCCTCCTGTGCGCGACCCTACCAAAGAGCCCGTTATACAAGCTATCGAACCAAACGCTCGCGGCGTATGGTACTCAGCCCTCAATCACGCAGCATGCTTTTCGCACTGGATTCATTTTATTTACACTTTATTTAATATTATATTTTTTGCAAAAGGTGCCTCTTGACGGGTGAAGTAGACCGCACGAAGAAGCGCGTTCAAGGGTTTGCTTCCGTCAAACCCATCAAGGCTCGGGTCATACCACCCAAGCGATTGCCCCTGTACGCCTCGCACTCTTTCGAGTCTTGTTGGTGTATTGTCTCACGCAATTGACATATTTGCTTCTTGCTGGCACGCTCCAGCGGCGAGGCACCCAACTGGCTCAAGGAGGGCTTCATCAGCTTTGAGGTGATCAACACCGTAACCAAACGCGTCGCCTTCGGCATCAAAGGCGCGCTTACATCGGCCATCATCACACTTGATGGCGGCGTGGGTGATACTAACCTCTGTGGTGGTTGCAGGCGACTACGAGCTGCCGGTGCGCGACATGACTGAAACAAACCTGAACTGGCACGTTGACAAGGATAACGAAGAAGAGGCTGGGGAAAAGAAGGGCAATACTCTCCTGTTGAGGATAGAGAGAGGAAAGCTCGCACGCGTCAGGTTTGTACTTCCTCGTCCATGCTCTGTTTGTTGCCGTTGCGTGAGTTTCGGTTTCCGTTGCTGACCGACCGCTCATCTGTGATGGTAGATTTTTTCTCCATGAGTCGTTTATCGAGTCTGCCAGATCAGCAGGCTCGGGAACGCCCGTTCGGTATGAGCCCGTCGGCCTTGGTGCGCGTCGGAAAGACCACGGCAAGGACGACGCCAAATCTACCAAGCCGCAGCGCCAGGAGACGGGGGCGAAGAAGGAAACGACCAAGCGAGTGACACCCGAAGGAGAAGCGGAGGAGGAGGAGGAAGAAGAGGAGAAAACGACCACCAAGGATGTCAAGAAGGCGCGCAAGGGCAGCGAATCTACGAGCGCTGAGAAGGCTGCACCGGTGCAAAAGAAAACCACAGCGCCTGAGCAGGCACCGGAAGCGAAGCGACTGGCAGAAAAGCGAAAGGCCACCTACGAGGCCACGCCGAGGAAATCCACGAGCGGAGAGTTCAAGAACCCTTGGCTCTTGGCCAAGAAGCTCAAGACTGGACAACCGGCCACGCCCAAGGCGGCGGCGGCGGATGAGGAGGAGGAAAATGAGGACCTCGGAGAGGAAGAGGAGAGGGCACCGGTAGCGAAGCGACTGGCGGAGAAGCGAAAGGCCACCGACGAGGCCACGCCGAGGAAATCCACGAGCGGAGCGTTCAAGCACTCTGAGCTCTGGCCCAAGCTCACGACTGGACAACCGGCCACGCCCAAGGCGGATCAATCGCGCCGACAGACCAAGGAGGAGGAGGAAGAAGAGGAGGAGAAAGAGGACCCCGGAGAGGAAGAGGAGAAGGCAGCGAAGGCTAAGGACAGGAAATCGACTGCGCTGGAGAAGCACTCGAAGGCAGCGGATGAGGACGACCAAGATGAAGAGGAGGAGGAGGAGGAGGAGAACTTTGAGGAGATTCTGAGCCAGATACCGGTGTTGGTGACGGTCAACAGGCTTGAGGACACGCGAGAGCCGCCATCGGCTGACGCGCGGCCCCCCTCGACGAAGCGAAAGCTGAGCGATTCGCGAGCGAAGGACCAGAAGACGAAGAAGAGGAAGATGACCCCGGAGGAGGAGCGAGCGTACGCGATTCAACAGCGGATCCTCGGCAACGACTACTTCAACGACGAGACCGACTGCTACGTGTCGTCGTCCGAGGAGGACGAGCAGGTGACCGAACGACGAGCGATAGCGGCAGTGCGACGCGCGAAAGCCGTCGGCACGCCCCGGAAGTTATTGGGTACAGCCAAACAGAAACTCAAACCAGCGCAAGAAGAGGAGGAAGAAGAGGAAGAGGACGATGACGACGAAGAGGAATCGGAAGCCGAGCCGATGGACGACGCTGAGCTGCAGTCCGACAACGAGCTTCTCGTTTCAGGGTTCGACCACATGGATGCCGAAGCGAACGAAGACACAGCAGCGACATCAGCCGAACAGCGGCAAGCGGAGAAGCCCGACGACAAGGAGGAGGAGGAGGAGGAGGAGGAGGAGGAGGAGGAAGGAGACGAGGAGGAAGAAGAGGAAAAGCGCAGGATGAAGCGAAAGAAAACAAAGAGGAGGAGGAGAAGGAGGAAGATGATGAAGACGACCAGTTTGATTTCATGTGGGTGAAGGATACGAAGACGCGCGAGCAGGAGCTCGCCGAGCGGATGAGGGAGGAAGCCGAACGAGAGGAGCGGGAGCTCGAGCGGGCGCGAGAGGAGCGAAGGCTGGCCAGGCGCCAGAAAGCGCTCGAGGAGCGTAAGGCCGGGCGCGAACAGCTCAAGACGGGGCAGGCCAAGGGGCGACCCAGGGCAGTCGGAAGCGATGGAAAACGACGTTCAACGCAGAACGACGAAGAGGAAGAGGAAGGCGAAGGCCGCGCTGAAGAGGAAGAAGCCAAGAAAAAGGTGGGAAAGAAGGGATCTACGCAGGACAGACGGAAGGTCGAGGATGACGAAGAGGAGGAGGAGGAGGAAGGCACCAGGAAAAAGGCGAAAAAGGAAACGAATCAGGCAAGGAGAAAGGAGAAGGAAGACGAGGAAGAGGAGGAGGAAGAAGATGACGACGAGGAGGACGAGGAGGACGAGGAGGACGAAGGCGCCAAGAAAAAGGGGAAGAAGGAAACGACGCAGGCAAGACGAAAGGAGAAGGAAGATGAGGAGGAAGACGAGGAAGACGAGGAAAAGGAAGAAGACGACGACGAGGAAGAGGAAGAGGATGGACAAGATAAGGATTTCTCGGAGCAGGAAGAACTGCGCAACGACGATGCGATGGACGAAGAAGCAGAGGAGGATCCAGTGAAGCTGAGCGATGAGGACGAGGAGATTGTTCGCAAAGCGGCCAAGGTACCTGACTCATAGCATAGTCATTCTTAATAGAGCGATTGGATCTAACTGGCATGAAATCGTGTAATGTCAGAAGGCGGAATCGCCATTCAAGGTGCCCTCGTCGAAGTCTAGCGTTGTGGACCTTACTGGTGGTGATGATGATGAGGATTTCGAGATGAGGTACTGCACCTCTACAAGCATATTGAATTGAAGGGCAGAGATTGCGCAAGCTTGTTGCTCACTCGTAGTTCTCCCTCGTCGCAGCCCGATCAAGCGCTCGGCCACGCGCTCCTCCAATCTGCGGGAGTTCTTCGGGGTGAAGGAGAGAAGCCCGAAGCCCGTGAAGAGGAGGCGCGGGCGGCCAAGGAAGAAGCGCGATGATGACGATGACTTCCACTTGATCGATGACGACGAGCTTGGCAGCGACGGTGAAGATGAAGATGAGGAAGAGCCCGTCGTCAGGAAGAGGAACGACTCACTCCTTGGTACGTCGTAAAGCGGTTCGCACACCATTTGTCGTGGCCTACGCTCACTCACTTGTGCCTTTACCAGATGACTCGCAAACCGAGGAGCCGATGACGTCCTTCTTCCTCAACCAAGATCGTTACGACGCGTCGCAGGGCGAGGACTCGCCCGCGCCCGCGCCTCCTCCGCGGAGGGGCAGGCAGCTCACTGCAATGGAGCGCAAGGCCGAAAGTAAGTATCGCTCGTCTTGTTCTGTGCTCTCTCGTGCTCGAGTTCCCACTTTTTCTCCCTAGCGCTCACCCTTTCCACCGTACCGTAGTTGCCAAGCAGATGATGCAGAACGGAATGAACCTCAACCAGGCCGTGAGCGCGGTGATGGCCGCGGATAAGGAGGGAGCCGGCGGAAAGGGAGCAGCCGAGCCGCCCGAAGGCGATGACGACGTCTTCCAATCCGAGGAGGTAATCGCTCAGCCAGCTTGAGTCTCCCAGGGACACCAGCGCGTCATGATTATACCTATTCACGTTATTGACGCCTCGCTCTTCGTTCTCCTTCTACAGGCGATGGTCTACGCTGGATACAAGCCCCAGATTCCCATCTTCTGCACCCATCCAGGTACGCCAAAGAGAGAAACCAGAGAGAGAGAGAGAGATAGAGAGGAAGTGTTGTGTAGGAGAGATTAATCTTGTTCTCACGCATTTTTTGGCGTGTGTCTGCGCCATTGGCAGCCAACATCGTGGAAGCTGCGACACTGGCTTCGGCGCAGCCGCCGGAGCCGACATATAAGCCAAAACTGCCGCCGGCGTGCACCGAAAAGGGAGAAAAATCTCTTTTGTCCACCCTCCAATACGTGCGCCGCCCTTCTCTCCGGGAGTAGCATGTGTGCCACCTCGCTTAAAAGTCGCTTTGCTCTTCATCATGCACGCAGGAAACCGTGGTGATGGTGGGCCAACGGCACGAAAAGATGCTACTGAACCAGACGCGCGCTGGCTACTTCTGCGGAGATGGCACGGGCGTGGGCAAGGGACGCCAGATCGCCGCGATCATCGCTGGTATGTTCTGGCCAATGCCGGACTCAGTTTGGTACCTCATAACTTATAACAATGGTGCTTTTGTTCTTCGCCGTCCGCAGACAACTTTTTGAAGGGGAGGCGCAAGTCGGTTTGGTTCTCCGCCAGCAACGGTTTGGCCAAGGACGCCCGACGAGGTACCTCCCTCAATTAATCGGGGGTTGCACGGCTACTCATATGATACGTTTGCCATCACACCCCCCTTAGATCTTGATGATGTGGGCTGTGGCAAAAATGGGAACTACTACATTCCGTTGTACACCATGCCCCTGGACATCACCCACACCATCCCCGCTGATTCGGGTACGTTGCTGTGGCGTCTGCAGCACACACAGCAAATGAGCACAAGCCGCGGGCACGGTCTCACCGCTTTCGTTGGTCGTACTTTGGTGGTGACTGCGCAGACGGAGTCCTGTTCGTGACCTATAGCATGCTGGTGAGCAAGACCACCAGGAAAAAGAAGACCTACTCGCGGTTCAATCAGCTCGTCAAGTGGTGCGGTCCCGACTTCGAAGGCTGCATCGGTATGGTCTCCCCCAACAATGTTTGCCGTGTGAGCGAGAATCGATGCTTGGCAATGACTGATACCCAATCGGTACCTTTCATTTAGTCTTTGACGAGGGCCACTTCGCCAAGAATTTGAAGGTGGGCAAGAGCCAGGGTTCGTCTCAGGCAGCGCTCAAGGTGTCAGAGCTGCAGGACACTCTGTCCCTCGCCAGGGTACGCCACACCACAGGACACCAACCAATCACGCAAGTGTGCACTTCTCAAACGTGTGAATGGGTGGGCACAGGTGGTGTACGTGTCGGCGACGGGTGCGACCGAGCCCAAGCACATGGCCTACATGACCCGACTGGGCTTGTGGGGTCCGGGCACGGCCTTTGCCGACTTCCGCGATTTCCACAAACGCATCGATGAGGCAGGAGTGGCAGCCATGGAGATGGTGGCCATGGAGATGAAAGCTGTACGTACACAGTCCCTGTCAGCCGTTTGGCGTGCCGCTTCCGCGTTAACATAACACAAACGCATCGTGTTGTAGTTGGGCATGTACTGCAGTCGACATCTGTCCTACGAGGGCACAACGTTTGATGTAATCGAGCACTCCCTCACCGTCAAGGAAAAGGCGATGTACAACGCGGCAGCCAGGTGCGTCTTAACATGGTACCGCACTCCACGCAGACCAGTTGACTGACGCTATGGGTGGTCTTAGATTCTGGCAAGACCTGGTGACCGACTTCCTCAACGCGCATGCCGAAGCGGGACCGGTTAAGGGCAAGCGCACAAATGCCAAGGCGCTTCTGTGGGGCGCTCACCAGCGCTTCTTCCTACAGATGTGTCTGGCCGTCAAGTACGTCACATGCCCGCAGGTTGCGTTATCGCATGGCCTTCACGCCAATACCCTCCCCCCCCCTCCTCTGCAACTATGTTAGGGTGCAAGACTGCGTTAAGTTGGTCAAGGAAGCTCTAGACAAAGATTGCGCTGTAGTCATCGGCCTGTTTTCCACGGGCGAGAGTGTGATGGACCATCAGGCGGGCGATGAGGTCGATGATATTGACTCGGCGCCCAGTCTACTGCTAAAGCGACTACTCGAGGAGCGGTACGCTTGGCCTGCCTCGCTCTCGCCTTGAAAAGCTCAAAGCTCATCATGGGCTGCTGTCTGAACAGCTTCCCCACGACCAACAACTTGACGGGCAAGGAGATGCCCAACTGGGTGGCCAAGAGAAAACACTACCTGAAGCGCGTACGCTGCCTTTGCCGTTCATGGACTGTTGTGGCCTATGCTCACCGATTAGGCGAAACACTAGCTGGAGGAGATGGACCTGCCGGCCAACCCGCTCGACGACCTGATCGACAGGCTAGGTGGTACGGACGAGCTCGCCGAAATGACAGGTATGCGTTCACTTCTCGCGGTTCAACATATTAATAATTGCGCCTGATCGTGCATTGACGCCGGCTTTTGCGTGTGGCTGGGTGATATGTATAGGGCGAAGCAAGCGATTGGTGCGCGTGGGCGACCGGTTCGTCATCGAGCGAAGGGAGTCTAAGGTGGACAACATTGAAGAACGGTAAGGCCCGCTAAGTCTTGCCTATTTACTCGGCGCCACCTCCGCTCCGCTGGGCGCTCACTCGATCGTGTTCGACTTGTCCCAGAAACCTGTTCATGGATGCAAAGAAGGACATCGCCATCGTGAGCGAGGCCGCTTCGATCGGTATCTCACTGCAGGCCGACAAGGTACCACCCAGCGCTGTGGTGGTCAGAGCACTTACCCCATTGACATTGGCGATGGTCGTGATGTTGAACAGAGCTGCAAGAACCAGAAGCAGCGTGTACATATCGTGCTGCAGCTGCCATGGGCCGCCGACAAGGCTGTGCAGCAGCTCGGCCGGACCCATCGATCGCACCAACGCACCGCGCCCTTTTACAAGCTCCTTATCACCGATCTGGTACCGTACACACGACGTTAGCGTGACATCTATTCTGTAGCTGACCAATGCGCGTGGTCAGGGAGGAGAACGACGTCTGGCTTCGACAATTGCCGGTCGCTTGGCTTCACTGGGCGCGCTGACCAGCGCCGACCGGCGGGCTGGTGCCGCCTCGCGCACGCTCTCCGTCTACCTGCTGCAGCCCAAATATGCACGCGAGGTAACTTCCGTCATATATGTGTGACCACCCCCGGGGAGGTGACTTGCCGCATGATATCTACATCACACTTATTTACATGCACTCTCGCCAGGCGATTTCTCGGCTGGCGACTGCCATGTACGATGCGGAGCGGAAGCTGGCTATCGCGCAAACGCATGGCCGTCCGCAGTACGCCGGACCCTCGGCAGCCGCTGGCACCGCTGCGCTGCCGCTCACCAACAACCCAACGGGCTTTCAGCCCGCTACCACGGCTGCCGCTGGCCGGGGTCCAGGGCGCTATGGCCGCCCGCCCATCCCTGGGACGTCGCAGTTTAGCATCGCTTCGCCGACGGCTCCACCCCAGCCTGGGGAGTCTGCGCCCGCGCAGACTCAGGTAAGTGCATTTACAAGACGCATACCGTGGCGGTTACGTGGCATGCTTACAACGGGATGTGGTGTGGCACACAGGAGGCACAGCAGCAAGACAAACAAACTTGCCGACTGGCTGAGATCAAGCCCAAGGCGGAAAGTCTGTCACTGGTCGAGGTTACAGGAACAAACGACAAAGTGAAGAACTTTCTCAATCGGTACCCCCACCACCACTCGCCATTCATCCGGTCCACTGTTTTTCCTCACCACCGGTCATACAAATCTACAACTGCTCAGGTTGTTGGGATTGGAGGTGGAAGACCAGATCCTCATATTCCAGCTCTTCACCAACTACTACGAAATGGAGGTTCGTCAGTTCTCACCCCGATTCTCATCTTGAACAAAAAAAGGGCCTAATCGAGATTGCGCAGGTGAATGAGGCCATCAAGGCTGGCACCTTCGACGACGGCGTGTTCGATCTGCAGGGTCAGTTGGTGAAGAAGACCGTCGTGTACATGGTATGTTCTCGTTTCTTACAAGTCGATGTCGTGGTATGGCATGGACACTCATATACCTGGCTTTGTGTTCGTCACAGGATCCCAACATCAACATGCGGAAGAACGAGGAGAAGGACACCGGAACCTCAACCGCCACCGCTGAGGAGGAAGAACAGCAACATCGACGCAAGCAACAGTTTACCGAACTCTTTGTAATCGAGGTAGACCGCGGTCTCAAGTGGGACGACGCCCTGCGGTCCTACCAAGCCACCATCGCATCCGCACGCGATCCGCGACAAGTACGTCCCCTCGTCTCGTCAATCCTGTATGCGCGTGGTGTTGAGTCTTTGCTCTGGGGACTAGCTAACCACCCAACCACCACCCACCACCACCCCGCATCCGTAAACCGACAGTCCGATACGGGTTTCTACACCAACGACAGGTCTGGGAACATCGTGCTTGCGGTTCAGAAGGGCACCACCGCGTTCTTCCACATCACCAGGCCGCATTTGGGTACCCCATTGCGCACGAGCTAGCACTTGGGCAAACAACGCCAAATGGATGGTCCACTCACTCCCTCCACCGTTGTGCAGGTCATCAAAGAACTGCCATCCCGCGATCAGATCTCCGAACGAACTACACGAAAGTCACTAACATGCGGCGGGCCGAGAAGATGTGGATCGAGGTACGTACTCTGGCTCCACTGGCGTCCACGAGTTCTCTCTGCCGACCCTGAAATCCGCGTGTGCGTCAACAGAAATACAGCTCCACAAACGACGTGGGCCTGGGTAACCGGCTGCTACGCAAGAACATTCTGGTCGGCTCTGTCCTGCCCACCTTCAAGGTCCTCCAGGAGGAACTGGAGAAAGGTACCTGCTGCTGCTGCTGCTGCTTGTTGGGTGGAAATGCATTTCGTTACTCACGCCATGCTGGACCGCTAGGTGTGGCGAAGAAAAAGGACGCGCGGATCCAGATCGTGCGTGCCATCGTGCACGCCAAACCTTCAACAGCGAAGGGAAAGGAGCGAGAGGATGCCGACGCTGCTGCGCCGCAGCACAAGATCGTCGGCATCCTCATCCCGCCGGGCAAGGAGCATAGTACGTTGAGTGCTGTGTGTGCTGTGTGTCGTGCGTGCGTGTAATAGTATTGACCGCGTGTTGTCAACTTGCAGACGTCATCCGCAGTCTGCAACAGCACGAAATTCAACGGCACTTGGAGAATCGTAAGCAACGCTTGATTCGGGGCCTCGCCAAGCTGACCCAACGCGAGCAGTGGCGGTTCGTTGGTACGGACGGCCCGTCTGTGTTGTTCGTGTGTATCACATTGCGTACGCAAAGGCTAACGAACACACGCAACAGGCGATGTGGAGGAGATCGCGGACCCCTTGTGCATGCGATACCTAGCGGGCGATGACCTCATCAACGCTGGTATGTTCTTAGCTCGTCCACGGCGACGACCTCGTTTTTCCAAATCGCTGACTGCGCGCTGTTCTGGTCCACCCACAGCGGCTGCGAAGAAGAAGCAATCGGGGCCATCAACGGCGATTACGACGGAGCGCATCACGCTGCGTGCTGTGCTGCAGCAGCTCAAGGAGTACGATAAGCGGCGAATGGCGCGCGAAAACGAGCTGATCGAAGCCCTCAAGGCGGGAGCACCTGCCGCGATCAAGGCCGACCCTGCCAAGCTCGACGCCCACGTCGCCGCGCTGCGGGCGCTTTGCCCTCGCACCGTACGCGCCCTCCTGTGCTTCCTGCTGCCTTTGCCCATTCGCTGACACATCTCGGCTCTTCGTGTGAACCGTTGGAACAGTTCATCAACTTTGTCAATGGCACGGCCAACACGTCAGCCAGTCAGACAGCCTACAGCATGTTGGTGACGCAGGTCGAGGAAGAACGGAAGAAGAAGCGGTTCGTGTTTGCACCACACCACCACTAGCGCGCATGCTGTCAGATATCTCCAGCATGCCACCGAACTTGTGAAATTACAGAACAACCGAGGTAGCGGCGCTTGGCAGGGAGCTGGCACCGCACTACACCACATTCGACCTGATCTCCTACCTCACCGCGGCCAATCCACTCGTGATCAACTATATCGAAAACCGACTGGTACGTTTCGTCCTGGTGTGCCGTGGTGCGAGCGACTGATCGCGTGGTTGACCGACTGTTGTCTGCAGGCGGTCAGCGTAGCCCACAACACTCCGTACCCGCTCGAATGGTATTCGGTGGTTCCGAAAACCGCGCAGGAGATCGTCGACAAGATTGTCGCCCTTAAGTGCGCCCATCAGCAGAAGGTGCGGCGTGGTGACCTAAGTTCTGGCGTCTCTCTCTCTTTCTCACACACACACACACGCACACACACGCACACACTTCTTACATGTTTGGCTCTGCAGCAAGCGCGACAGAAGGTGTTTGTGGACCTGCTGGCCCAGAAGGCCGCGGATCTGACGAGACAATTTGCCATCCTTGTCACCCCTGACGACATTAAGTACGCGACACAATCGCCAGGCCAAAGCCAGAGCTTGCTCGTCTCGCTAACACTCGCGCACACGCGTGCTAATCACGCTGCAGGGAGGCCGACCCTCAGACGCTGGTCCACTTCAACAACACGCCGACTGCCGACCCGGCTGACACCGTCCACGCCCTGGCCCGACATCTCGAGTACGTGCCCGGGCCTCTCCACTTCGCCTCTCCTCGTCGCGCTGACATGTGGGTTTTTTTTGTGTGTGCCTTTTCCAGGACGCAAACTGCTCTTCTGGCATGGTTGCAGAAGCAACTGCAAGCCAAAGGGCCACTGCCCCTTGCTGCCCTTGAGCAGGTACCTCCTGCCATGGCATCAACAACCATCTTTCCACCTTGTGTCACGCACCCGTCACGCAACAACACATTCTCACCTTCTTCTTTGTCTTTCGTGTTTTGTGCGAGCAACAGTACTTCGTGCGTGACTACAGGCTCCCGTTCAGTCAGTACTACCCGCGCGGGTTGATGACCTTCATCGTCACCCACTCCAGATCTCTCGCGATGCGCCAAGGCCGCGTTTACTGGCTGAACTCACGCTGATCACTCAGAGCGGCCACCACTGTACTTGTTTTCTTTTCTTTTCTGTTTAACAACTTTATTTATTCTGTATCGATCTGTTGGGGATGGAGAACGCAGAGGCCGCGTCAAAACGCGAAGGCGGCATTGATGAAGAGAAGATCAATCTGAGCGGAAATGAAAGTGAGAGGGAGTTAGTGGGGCCAAGCCGTTACTTCGCCGATTCTGGGGGCTGGCTGGGGTTGGCAAAGAGCCCGAGCAAGGGGCGGTATCTCGTAGCCCGTCGCCCCATCCCAGCCGGGCAGGACCTCCTCTTTGTACCTCCCCCTCACAATTTCATCTCAAATTGATTTTTTCCGGTTTAATCTTCGAAGATTTAATCTCAATTTTTAACATGTTGATCAAGTAGGCGGAGCCGTACGGGGTGGGCGTGCACGAGAGTCACAAGAAGCGGTTCTGCCAGGGCTGCTACCGCTTCACCCACCTCCCACTTGCCAGCACCCAGGTGCGTCCACGTGTGCTGCGTGTCGTGTCTTCTCGGGGGCGTTTGTCGTACGGGGGCTCATGCACCACTAAAAGGCGGACGAGCCGCCTAGCGAGGGTCACCCCGACGGCGCCACCATGGCAGCGGACGCATCAACACAACCTCAGACGGGTGCTTGCGCAGACGTCAGCCAGGCGCAGCCAACGAGCCTGACCGACCAGGTCGTCCACGACGACGGAGCGCCGGACGTCACGACTTCGACAGCGACTGCAGCAGAGGAAAAGAAGCAGCAGCAGCAGCAGCAGCAGAAGGTGAGCCGTAAGTGTACCGCGCAGGTGTGGTGCGAGCGATGTAGGCAGAGCTGGTACTGCTCCTTGGCCTGCAAAGAACAGGTACCTCGCGTGTGCGGTCGTGCATAGCTCGTGTGCATGTGTGTGCCGTGTGTGCGAGTGTCCCTGAGCGCGCTCGCTTGGTTCATGATCTACGCAGGATCGACTGCATCCGCTTCAGTGCCCCGGCCTTGCCTTCCTGGCCTCGTGCAAGCTGACCAAGGTACGTTGGCACTTAACATGTCGCACTAGCGAGCGTGGTTGGTCTAGGAACCTACACTCACGACCACACGAACTCGTGTGAGTAGGACGACAAGACGGTGGTGCGGGTGCTGCTCCACGTCCTGGCGCGACGGGAGCTGGAGGCGATCGACGGACCACCACCGGCTGGCGGCGTTTCGGGCAAGCCTCGATTCGCGGACTTCCTGTGCCTCGTTGCCAACGTGCCCTCGCTCGCCATCTCGCCCGACCGATACAAAGGCGACATGTACGCACACGCACCAAGTTTTCACACGACCGCACACGCGCTAGGGCACACGCACACACACTCAACCAACCTCTCATGACAGGGAGGTGGTGCGATACGTGGAAAAGATGCTGGCCAGCTGCTCGCTCGCGCACAAGTACACCTCGCAGGAGCTCATGGAGTACATCTCCAAAATTGAGAGCAACAGTTACACGCCCTCACTATAAGTTTGCTCTCTTCTTGTGATTATCTATGTGCTCACGTGTGCGTGTGTTCGTGTGTGTGCGTGTGCACAGCGTTTGGGATGTGGAGCGACAAGCTGGTGTCGATGGGAATGGTACTCTATGCGGAGGGGTCCTACTTCAACCACAGCTGCGCGCCCAACTGCGGCACGCGCACGGGCGAGGGGCAGGCGGTCCAGTTCGTGGCCACCCACGACATCCCGGCGGGCGATGAGGTCTGCATCCGCTACATTGATGTCGACAAGCCCACCACATCACGGCGCAGCGAACTCCTCTCACACTACCACTTCACCTGCATGTGCCCACTGTGTTGCGCCGACTCATCTTCGTCTTCGTCATCGGCTTCTTCGTCTTCGGCCAAGACGAAACACTCACACCACCCTGCGCGACCAGGCAAGGTGGGCAAGAAGGGCAAGAAGGTGAAGGCCGCCAGAAAGGGCAAATAAAATAAATAAAACCCCCACCACATTGCAATGTAACACAAAGAAAAAGAAAAAGAAAGAAGGAAATGCGAAGATATCGATGACAACTGATGGAAAAACGCGGCAGAGTTGCTGCAATGTGGTGCTTCCGCCAATCGTAAGTGCCCATAAAGCAGTGCGTGCGGGAAACAGGCCAGGAGAGAAGAGAAACCCACGCACACAACCACACAAAGCAACGGCACTAGATGGCCAAGCAATCTGCACAAACCTCATCGGCCTGGGTGGCAGTGCTCACCGCGCTTGTCGTGGGTCTGCTCGCCTTTGGCGTCTCCTTCTACCGCCACCACCACCCCACTACCTGTACCCTCCCCGCCTCTACTTTTTTTATAATTTCTTTGTTCGATTTATTGATATTTTTTATGCGCGGCAGGCGCGGTCGGTGCAGACCTGCCGCAGTACGGGGAGGTGGACCAGGCCCTGTTCGCGTCGCTGGCGGCCGCGGTCGGCCCCGGCCGCGCCTTTTGGAAGCTCCGGTCGCTGCCCATGACCGTGGCCTCGCCGCTCACGCCCTCGGGCGACGAGCAGAGCGACGCCGCCCTGAAGCAGCGGAAGGTCGAGGAGGACGAGCTGCGCGCGCACTCGATCGATCACTCCTACCACGAGGCCTCCATGCCCGAGGCCGTCGTCTACCCGAGCACCACCGCCCAGGTAGCCGCCGTCGTCGCCCTGTGCCACGAGCACCGCATCCCCGTCACCGGTACGCGCACGCACCACCGCACACGCATCACCGCACACGCATCACCGCACACGCACACGCACAAGCTCACATTGTTTTGATTGTGTGCAGTGGCGGGCGCGCGGACGGGACTCGAGGCCGGAGCGGTGCCGGAGCTGGGCGGGGTGGTGATCGACGTGTCGCGTATGGACGCGGTGCTGAAGCTGCACCGCGAGGACCTCATGGTGACGGTGCAGGCCGGCATCCGCAAGTCGGCCCTGGCCGAGTGGCTCAAGGACAAGGGCTTCATGTTCATGGTCGACCCCGGCAGCGATGCCACCATCGGCGGCTACGCCTCGACCGGTGCCAGGTGCTCGTCGTGTGTGTGTGTCGTGCGTGTGCGGTGTGTGTGAGGTGTGTATGCGTGTCTGACATTCCGACTGCGCGCGCAGTGGCACGCTGTCGATCAAGTACGGCACGATCCGTGATAACGTCATCTCGATGAAGGTGGTGCTCCCGACCGGCGAGGTGATCGACACTCGCTCGCGTGTCATCAAGTCCAGGTGCGCCGCCCCTACACCACTTTCGTTCGAAGCTCGATGACCGCATTCCCACTCTTACTGTGTACGCGTGGTGTAAAGCGTCGGCTACGATCTCAACCACTTGTTCATCGGCTCGGAGGGCACGCTGGGCATCATCACCGAACTCACCGTCAGGGTGCGTGCGCGTGTGCGGTGCGCGTGGGGGCGTGTTGCGTGCTGTGTCGTGTCGAACGACACTAAGCCGTGACGCCAATCGGGCCAATTGCTTCTCTTCATCTGCAGATACGATCGGTGCCGCGAGCCGTCAAGGCGGGTATCCTTCTGTTCGACTCTGTCGCCAACGCTTCGGCGGCCGTGGTTGCCTTCCTGCACGCCGACCTCCCCTCCCTCGCCCGGTACGGCCTCGTATTCTTCGCATGGCGCCGCACGAGGAGGAGGAGGAGGAGGAGAACGCGGCTGACGCTCGTGTGAATCTATGGGCAGGTGCGAGCTGCTGAACATCGAGGCGCTGGCGGCGGTCAACGCGTTCTTCAACAAGACCTACGCCCTCACGCCCACGCTTTTCCTCGAGTTCCACGCCCCCACCCGTACGACACGCACACGACACACGCGACACACACGACACACGACACACGACACACACGACACAGAACACACGACACACGACACACACGACACAGAACACACGACACACACATAACGCACACACTGACGTGGGTAAAATGCGAACGTGGGCAGTGGAGGAAGTGGAGGAAGAGGCCAAGGTCGCCCTGTCCGTGGCCCAGAGCAACGGCCTCAAGTCGCACATGTTTGCCGACGAGGAGAAGGAGCGCGACGCGCTCTGGCACGCCCGGCGGTCGGCCTACTACGCCTCCGCCAAGTACCGCAACGACGTACGTCGCAAGCCGTGCATTCCAATGCACATTCCATCACAACTCACGCACTCCTTTTATCTCGAATGTATGTGGAATGTGCAGTTCGGGCGCCATCAGATGCGGCTGTGGGTGACCGACGTGTGCGTGCCACTGTCGCACCTGGCCCAGGTGATTAGCGAGACCGAGGCCGACTTTGCCCAGTCGGCGGTCAAGCTGCCGTGCCCAATCGTGGGCCATGTGGCCGACGGCAACTTCCACTGCCTGGTGCCCTTCAACTCGACCGACCCCTTCGAGGTGGCCGAGATGCGCCGCCTCAACGAGCGACTCGTCCAGCGCGCCCTGGCATTCGAGGGCACCGCCTCCGGCGAACACGGCGTCGGCATGGGCAAGATCGACGCCCTCTACCAGGTACGCTGCGCGTGTGCGTGCTTGCGTGTGGGTGTGGGTGTGTGCGTGCGTGCGTGCGTGTGCGTGTGCGGTGGTGCGTGCGTGTAGGTGTGATATGCGAGCTGATGTATTGTTGTGCAGGAACGTGGCGCGGTGGCGGTGCGGGTGATGGTAGACATCAAGCGAGCACTCGATCCGCACATGGTCATGAACCCCAAGAAGCTCTTCCGCCTCGAGAGCTCTCCCTCTTCATCGGCCGCCACAGCTTTTTAATTATTTTGTTCACCACACCAACCGCCCTCTGCCACGCTTACTGCCACCTTAAAAGGTTGCCTTAAAACCTGGAATTACACTTTGAAGAAGAAGATAAAAGCAACAGCCAGGAACTAAAATCCACTTCATTATATTATTCACTCTCTTTGGATATTATGGCTTCCGTTTCTGAGCTGGTACTGCTCCATCCCCTCTCGTTTTATTATTGCTGTTAATATTATTCTGGTGCAAGATTAATAAATGGAGACTGATCGAGGTGCGTGAAGGCAAATGAGGTGAAGCCCAAGATGGCCGCCACCACGCCGGCTGGCCTGCGCATTGGCGGAGCGGCCCTCCCCTTCATTCAACGTACCTCTCTTCTCTTTTACCCCCCCCCCAATTCGTTCTTTTTCCTTGACGCCCGCTGGCCGGTGTCTTCTGCGTCGTCGCGTGTGTGCGGTTGTGCGTGTGTCGTGGTGTCGTGTCGTGTCGTGTCGTGTCGTGACAACACAGAAACGATGGTGGACAAGATATTCGAGAGGACGGAGGCCGAAGGTCGCGAGCTCACCCTCGAGGAGGTGCTGCTGCTGTCCGACGTCGAGGACGTGCTCTTCGAACTCAAGAACGGAAACGAACGGCTCGTCAACTTGTACCACCCTCCCTCCCTCTTCACCCACGTGCCTGCTCTCTCTTTCTCTCTCTCTCTTCGTCTTGGGCTCACCACCGCACACGCACCACGGCACGCAACGCACAGTTTGAATGAGGAGGAGATATTGGAGCAGCTGCTCGACTACGTCAGCAATTTCAATCAGGTGAGGAAAAAGAGGGAAGACAATGAATTCGCTCGCGCGCTTGCACCTTGGCTCGCGCTTGGTCCTCCCCACTCCTAAGCTAACACACACATATGAATGTGTGCTAGGCGTTCAGTCCCAACGCCCTGCGCGCCAAGGCGGTCACCCAGGACGAAAAAGAGCTGGTCGAGCTCCGCATCCAGTACGCCTTTGACCCGCCCGTGTGTGCGTGTGCGTGTCCGATGGTGGTGGAGCGTGTGCGATGCGGTGGCGCTGAACGACTCGGGGGGTCTTTCCCTCCCTCTCTCTGAAGGTGCATCCACACGAGCTGCGAGATCTTGGCCCTCGAGGGCACCGAGGCCTCCATCTTCACCGAAGAGAACATCGAGCGCATCCTCCACTTCCTCTTCTCCTTCGTCGCCAAGGCACGACACACCAGCCCGCGGTGTCTGCGTGTGCGGTTTGCGCGCGTGTGCGCTTGTGCGTGTGCGTGCGGTGTTCTTTTTTGCTCAACGGCCGTTGTGTTGGAGCAGGAGGACGACACGCTCGAGTTTGACGACGAGCGCAACGGCGTGCTGCCGTCGCAGGTGTCCGCCATCCTCCAGGTCTTCATCGTCAACAACCCCGAGAATGTACCCCCCCCCTCACACACGTCCTTCATTCTTTTTCTTCCCCAGGCGCTCACATCCGCGCGTGTCGTGCGTGCGTGTGTCGTGTGTCGTGCCGTGTGTCGTGTCGCGTAGGTGATTGATTACCTGATCGAGCGGGAGCCCAAGAACTTTGTGAAGTCGTTCGCCGAGGGCCTGCACCAGTCGGAGGTGTCCAACCTGCTCCTCTCCATCCTGTGGCTCCTCTCGCCCTCGCCCGCCAAAGTCAAGAGCGACGGCCCGCCCTCCGGTACCCGGCTGCTCCCCCCCCTCCACTCGCCCACGTCAAACACTGCCAACTGACGTGTGTGCGGTGTGCGGTGTGTGCGTGCGGTGTGTGTGTGTGTGTGTGTGTGTGGTGCGAGAAGAGATGCGAGTGCTGGCGGCGGAGTCGTTCAATCAGTGGCTGGCCAGCGGCGAGTTAGTGCCCACGATCATCCAGGTCCTGGCCGACCCGCAGGCGCCCGAGGCCTCGGGCCTGGCCGGCGAGGTGCTGCAGGAGCTGATCGCCCTGGCCGGGAGGCACGTGACCAAGGGCATCGACACTCCGCTCATCTTCCAGCAGTTTGCTGCCGAGAAGAGCCTCGCCGTCCTCGTCCCCTGCATTCTCGAACTCAAGGTAACGACACAGTGCCACGACACAGCACACAGCACACAGCACACAGCACACAGCACACAGCACACAGCACACAGCACAGCACACAGCACACAGCACACAGCACACAGCACACAGCACACAGCACACAGCACACAGCACACAGCACACGCGACACATGTGAATCGCACACGCACGGTTTAACTCCGAGATGGGCGCCTAGGATCCCAATGCGTTTTCAGCCGGTGTGGCGGTCATCCTCGAGTTGCTCAAGTACGAGGCCATGGCACAGAAGAAGGGTGCGCCATCCGCTGTGCGGCGTGTGCCGTATGTCGTGTGCTGATGGATGGGCGCGTCGCCGGCCGTCAGGTCCATCGCGGGAGCCTTCGCCTTTGTGGAAGCTCATCGAGAAGGACCTGGACAAGGTGATCGACAAGCTCAAAATCAGGGAGCCCAAGGAAAAGTTTGGCTTCGTCCGCCTGCGCGTGCTCGGCTTCTGCGGTCGCCTCGTACGTCGCCTGCCTCCCCCCACTGCGCCCCCACCTGGTCGCCAATATCCACGGCCAACCACCACCGCACCTCGTGCGTGTCGTGCGCGTGTTTCACGCGTGTGTCGTGTGTCGTGTGTCATGTGTCGTGTGTCGCGTGCAGGTGGCGCAATCGGCGAACCCGCAAAACATCGGCTTTATCCACGCGATGACCAAGCTCAACTTCTGGAGCGTGATCCTGGACCTGTTCTTCACCTTCGTGTGGAACAACTTTGTGCACAACGTGGTGGAGCGCATCCTCGCCGTCGCCCTCACCAACCCGCTCCTCCGCGAATTCAAGCTCACCGTACTCCTCTCCTTTCCCCTCCTCACCTTCAAGCCACCACCCAGGATTTACCAGTCGTGTCGTGTCGTGTGCGTGTCGTGTCGTGTCGTGTTGCGCGTGTGTTATTGTGTTGGCTGGGGTGCGGACCAGCTGCTGCGAGACCTCAAGCTGGTGGACCGGCTGGTCGAGGGCGCCTCGCGCACGGACGTCGGTTACGCGGGCGCGCTGGCCACGGTGGCCACCACCATCATCAAGTCCTCCGCGGGCGATCCCCAGGTCTCCCAGTACCTCGACGGTACCCACCCACCCACCCACCCACCCACCTCCCTCCAATCACTCTGGCCTCCCCGAGCGCTGACCGCACCACCGCACACGCAGGGCATGAGGCCTGGCAGGCGTTCGTGAAGGGTCCGCTGTCGGTGATCCGCACCACGCTCGAGACGCGCGAGTCGACGTTCCCGCCGCCCAAGGACCAGTCCGAGCCCGGGTCCGGCGGTGGTCGTGGCCGCGGTCGCGGCCAACCGCCCGCGCCAGGCGGCTCCGGGGGTCGTGGCGCGCCCATGCCCGGCGCCACCAACGGCCTGGGCCGCGGCCGTGGGTCAACCATCCAGCCGTCGGGTCCGTCCGCCCCAGGTGGTGCGCCGTCCGTCGTTGCTGGCGGCCGTGGTCGTGGCACGGGTCGGGGCGGCCCCATCTGAGGTGATGTAGAAGAAGCTTCATGGTGTGGCCGTGGTGCAAGCCAACATGTTTACACTTGTTTTGTGATGTTGCAGAACATGAACAGATCAGATGTAAAAGAAGAAGTTTATGTGGAGTGGGTGGGTGGACAAAGGTGAGAAATGTGTGAAAAGAATGATCAAAGGGGAGTGGCAGCCTCAGATGAGGGTGGGGCTGGACTGCTGAGGCGGGTGGGCGAGCACGTAGTCCACGAACTTGACGTTCTTCTTGACACGCCTCAGGCTCTTCTCCAGCGGCTCGTTCCACCCGCAGCTCTGGCACCGCACCGTCACCGACTTGGTCGCCACCTTCTTGCCGGCGCCGGCCCTCGTCTTCTTCGCCTTTGCCGGGTTAGCGCTCGCTGAAGAAGGCGGAGAAGAAGAGGAAGAGGAAGCGCCCAGGAGGGCCTCCTGGCCGCGCGGGGAGGCCGGCTTGGAGGGATCGGCGACGATGTCGATGAGCTCGGGCAGCGCGCACGACGGGCACATGACGAAGCTGGTCAGGAAGGCGCGGAAGCAGAGGTTGATCTTGTCGAGCGTGAAGGTGGCCGGGTAGAGCGTCCACGACGTCTGCGTGGCCGAGCCGCCCTGCTTTGGTGCGGCCGCCTTGTCGCGCTTGACCGCAGCGTTCAGGCTGGTGGCCAGGTACGTCGCCAGATCTGCAGACGCAACGCATACGAGTCAGCGCGACACGACACGACACACACACGAAAGGAGTGGCGGCATTGGACGTACAGTCAGCAGAGGTCTGGAGGTTGTGGGCCACGGTGTCGAGATTGGTGAGCAGGGCGCGCTTGCCCTGGAAGGCGACGACGAGCTGGTGCGTCTGGTAGCGGTAGAAGGGGTCGTCCTGGCACTCGGGATCGATCGCCAGGAGCCGGCTCGTGGCGGGCGCGCTTATCACGTAGGGCGAGAGCTCCATCTTGTTGTTTGTTATGGGTAGGTCGGTGGTTGTTGATGTCGTTTTAGTAGTGCAGTTGTTCAGGTCTTCTCTTCGCGTGCCAAGCCGAGACGTCGTAGTACGAGTGGGTGGAATGCAAGCACGAAGGGAGGGAAATGGCCATCGAAGTCTGGTGTCTGATCTTGGTGGATGTAGTGCAAATCAAATGCAGGGAGAGAGGAAGCAATGAGATTGTTTGGGTTGCCGTGACTTGCGAAGTGGAACGAGGGGCCCGTGGAGAAGGGTTTGCAAAGAAGCTGGTGGTTGGGGGGATGTTGCAAGAACTGCATCGGTGACCTGTCCCCAATAAATAGATGTGTGGGGTCGTAGAAAAACGCAAGAAGACAGAAAAATAGATTTTTCGCTGCATGGAGCCTTCGCGCCAAAAACCAAAACACGATTTTGATGTCTGTTTCGAAATCGCAACCCAATTTTTGTTCTTCTGCAGCCCAATGCTTGCACAGTCTGAGTTACATCTTTGGGGATTCTGACGCGTATCGTTTGGCATTCAGACGAGGTGGACTTGAAATTCCTGTGAACATGTGTGCGATCCGCAGAATCCTGGCGGGCCGGCCCATGCCATCGAAAATTTGCTCCATTCTTCGTCCAGCACATAATCAAAACACTCAATTCAAAAACAAACATCAATAACACCATGTCAACAAGGCTTAGCGAGATCGACACCTGTGCGGAAACACCAGACGCTGTCAAGTACCTCACACCAGCATCCCACACATATTTCTGTTATTTTATTGATTAAATAATTGAAGCCTTATTATTGTTTTATTTTTATATGTCATTATTGTGGTAGATATGGCATATTTTTATTCTCGTGCACTATAAAAATAAATCCAATTATAAATTTTAATTTAATTCTCGGGCACAAGTGCGGAGGAGACGCTGGCGATAGAGACCGCCGCCCCGGATCCGCTGCTGCGCGAGGACGCCGCAGAGGTGCCGCAGCTGATGGCGCCCCACCCCGATGCCGCCTTCGGGGTGCTCGAAGACGAGGAGGAGGCGACCCGCAAGGGCGTCGGCACCGGTGTCGGCGTCGTGGCCTTCGACAAACTCAAGGAAAAGTGCGTGCGTGTGCGGTCGTGTCGTCGTGTGCGTGTGTCGTGCTGACGTCGTGCTGTGCGTGCGTGCGTGTCATCAGGATTGAATATGTCAACAAGCAGGGCGAGAAGGTGGTGGCCGAGCTCGAGGTGCCGCTGGGCCTGGGCCTAGGCGACGACGCCGAGCGCCAGCGGCTGGCCCGCCTCGAGGAGGAGCGCATCGACGAAGCCCTCATGCGCCGCGGCGGCAAAGCCGGCAAGGGAGTCGATGACATCCGCCGCGAGATCGTCGCCGAACGCGCCCAGCGACTCGCCACGCCCCAGAAGCAGACGCCAGCCCCACCTGCCAAGCCGGAGCTCGAGGAGGAGCTGCAGCTCGAGCGCGACCGACAGGACGTGGCGCGCGACATCGACGCCGTGATGGCGCGTCGACATGACAGGGCCGCGCGGCTGCCGGGCGAAGACCACGACGAGAACGACTGCCACCACGCCGAGGAGAAGGTGACGCTGCAGCTGGTCAACGAGGACCAGCAGATGGTGGTGCAGGAGCTGTACAGCGGGGTGCTGGACGACCACGCCGAGCTCGAGCCGGCGCTGGACGAGGCGCGCAGCCTCAAGTCCTACTTTGGCGAGACGCTGCACGAGGCCAACGAGGCCCGGCGCCGGGCCGACGAAGAGCCCGAGCGCAACCGGCGGCTGTACTACCGCGAGCACGGGATCGACGACGACGAGTGGTCGGGCGCCGACGCGGCCGAGCTCACCGACGCGCGGCTGCCGCGGGCCGACGCGGCGGCGGCCGGCGTGCGGGACCTGGGCCTGGTGATGATGACCGCCGAAGAGATCGAGGCCGAGCGCTACAACGCGGCCGTGGCGCGGGACCGCAAGCGCCAGCGCGAGGAGGTCGAGGCGCAGGGCACGCCGGCCTTCCCTGCCAAGCGCCGCAACAGCCTGCGCGGGGTGCTGGCGGCGCAGATGCAGCGCGACCGCGCTCGCGACGCCGCCGAGAGCGCGCATGAGGAGAAGCTGGCGCGGCTCGGGTGCTCGGTCGACACCCCCGCCGCGGCCAACCCCGACATCGACGTACTCGCCGAGGAGGACATCTACGACTATCCCGCCAACGAGTCAACGTACGCGCGTGTCGTGTGTGTCGTGTGCGGTGCGCGTGTGTTGTTGGTTTAGGTCTGACTTTAAAAAATGGGTGGCGTGGTGGCAGTGTGTACTACACGTACGGGGCGGAGCAGCTGGACTATGGAGACATGGACCAGCGGGACCAGGGCGACTACGACACGCTGCGGCCGTTCGACGGCGATGATGACCTGCTGCGCGAGGAGCGGCATGAGGACAAGGACGCCGAGCGGGACGGCCAGCTGGTGCTCGGCGAGGTGCGCGAGGAGGTCCTGATGCTCGAGGGCTGCCAGTCGAATCGCAAGCTGCGGCCCGAGCCACCGTCCGACGACGCCCAGGTGCGCACACCACCCTCCGCCAAACGAACCAACAAGTTGGTCTGACTCTGAGTTGTGTCGGGTGTGGCGACGAGCAGCCGTTGGTCAGGAAAGTGGAGCGGCTGCCGGCGGTGCGACACACGACAGAGACGCGCGGGAGTCGCCGAACGCGAGGCACCAGCGCTTGACTGACCCCAACCATAAACTTTTGTTTCTTCCTTTTTTCTTGTTTCGTTCTTCTCGTAGAAAGCGTTGGAGCGCGCACGCTGTTGTGCTCAACAAACTAACAAACCTGTGCCAAGCAAACATCTCACGTGAGGAGGATGAGCGGACAGAAGTCGAGAGTGTTGCGGGTGGCGGAGGTCGCCCCGGGCGTCATGACCGACAACTCGCTGGTCTACATGCACCCCGACACGATGGACGCGCTGGGCCTGTTTCGCGGGGACATAGTCTTGCTCAGGGGGCGGTTCGACAAGGCCACCCTGGGCGTCGTCCTCTCCGTGCCGCCGGAGGCCCAGGCGGCCGGAGCGGGTCCGGACCAGGGCGAGGTGCAGATCTGCCCGGCCTTCCGGCTCAACCTGGACGCCCTCCCGCACGACCACATCACGCTCGAGCCGCGGCTCGACGTGCCCTACGGCACCAAGATCGACATGCGGCTTGTCGCCTCCACCCTGCCTCCCGGTACGCACACGACACACGGACCGACACCACGCGACACGCGCTCATGAAACACGCACGACACGCTACGCAGGGGTAGCATCGAGCGTGTGGGCGGAGTGGTTGCGTGCCTACTTTCTTGAGTCCTTCCGACCGCTCCACAAGGGCGACATGGTGGTGATCAACGAAGTGTGGGCCGGGGAGCGCGTCACCCTCGAGTTTCGTGTGACGGGCATCGAGGCTGGAGACTGCTGCATCGTTGGACCCGACGCCGAGCTGCACTTGTTTGTTGGACCTTGACAACCTTCAACAACACAACTCACCATTCATGTAATATTACGAATGCTACACAATACCAATGTTCTTGTGTGATGTGATGTGTGTTGTGTGTTTGCTGTGTGGCACGTCGAGTGTTGTGTTACCAGGCTGGTGTTAAAGGGTTGGGAGCATGGCGGCGGCGAAGAGGAAGAGCTTGCAGAAGAACATGCCGGCGCCGGTGGCGAGGGCGGCCGGGTAGGCGCCGCAGTGCTTCACCGCCACAGGCACGAGTTCGTTGAGCGAGATGAACGACATGATCCCCGCCACCATCGCCAGCAGGAAATGCAGCCTGCGTACATCGCAGCATTCAGTAAGTGCGTGCGGTGTGCCGTGCGTGTGCGGTCCGTCACCTTTCTTCTGTGATGAAGGGGTGAAGGAAGAGGCCGGCCACGATCGCGCCCAGCGGCTCGAACATGCCGGTGAGGAACGGGATGGCGATGGTCCAAAACCTGCTTCGCGTGGTGTAGGCAATCGGCACCGCCACGGCCAGTCCCTCGGGGATGTTGTGCAGCGAGATCGTCAATGCCAGCCCCACGCCGAAGCTGTCATGTTCGCCCCGTGCTGGGCGGTGAGCATCGCACACGCACACGCACACGCATACGCACACGCACACGCACACGCACACGCACACGCACCACGGCACGACGCACACAGAGGGAGACGCACCTCAGGCCCTTCATAGTGGAGAGGTAGAGGGCCACGCCCTCGGGGAAGTTGTGGATGCTGATGCCCAGGGCCGTGATGAACGCCATCCGGAAGAACACCATCCGTCGCTCCTGCTTCTCCCCGCTCTCTCCACCAGCAGCCGTCGCCGCACTCGCAGCAGCACTGCCGCCCGCCGACATCGCCTCCATGGCGCCGAGAGAGAGTCCGGTCTCCGGATCGCATCCGGCGTCATCGCGTTCGCTGCTGGTCCGTCGCACGAGCGACCGCCGAAGCGCCGATGATGAAGGGGATGACGATGAGGCCGTGCGAGAGCTCGCAGGTGGTGGTGATGATGGAGTGGTGGTGGCGGTGGAGGGGGGGAGTGTGGAGTGTTGGGCGCCTAGGTAGCCGGCCAGGGCGTTGGAGAAGGGCTGGCTGGGGTCAGGGACGAGCCGCGCGATGGCCCAGAAGAGGACCGCACCGCAGGAGACGCCCACGAGGGTGGCGGGGAGGCCCAGTACGTGGGCGGCCTCGGGCACAAGGTCGAACAGGGAGAGGAAGAGCATGACCCCGCCCGAGAAGGCTTCCATCTGCCCCACCAGCTCCTCACCCGGCGATGCTGTGATCGCGACCGCACCGCACACGCACACGCACGCATCACCGCACACGCATGACACGGCCGACGGCCCAGGTTGGTCAGCCAGGGGGAGGGGGAATAAGAGGGGGGAAGAGCGCACCGAGGAAGGCGGCGATGAGGCCACCCAGGCCGGTGCTGAAGCCTGAGATGAGTGTGAGGGCGACCGACATGCCCATGCCCACCACCGGCGGAGCTCCTGCTGCTAACCCAGGTGCCTGCTCCATCGGTTCACAAGTGTTGTGATGCGGCTACACCAGAAAGCCAGAAGTGGGACGAAAGCAAGTTGACGAGATTTTTTCGAAAAGAGAAATCGATTTCCGAAATGCTTCCGAAAATTTCAAGAGCGCGAGATCGTGTGCCATCTGCTGCTAATGGGAAGCTCATCTTTGATCGTCGAAAGCTTGTTCTGGCCTGCCTGAACGCATAGTAGCTCAGAAATCGACGCATCACATACGATGGCAACAAGTAATGGTGAGGCTGAAGATGGCGAACGGCGACGATTGTTGGAGTCTGCTGGATCGCTCGATCTCGAAGGGGGAGGCACGGGCGACGTGATGGCGAAAGAGCATCCAGCGAGCGGGACCTGCCTCACGGCACGCATGCGAGAGCGACTGGACTTCATCTGGTCCGAGATCAAGTGATATTCGCAGTACATCATCCCCATCGTCATCTGCAACGTTATCCTGGTGGTGGGGCTGGTGGTTGTCATCTTTGTCTTTGCCTAGAGACGTAGATGATCTTTTTTGATGGATGCACAAGCGTTGAAGATGAAGAGCTTGACCTCAATTTCGCATGAAATGGTCTTGCTGTGAAAGAACGCTCCGCACCTGCACCATCCACATCTTTCAATAAATCGATGTACATGCTCTCCTCCTTTCGGCCAGCAAAGAATGAAGACGAAACATGACGCGAAAAGAACGAAAGGGAGGTGGTTGCGGCTGCTGGTCATCTTTTTCCGCTGCTCTACCAACTGAGCTACCACCGGTGTGTTCACAATCCGGTGGAGAGGAATCGAACCTCCGACCAACGGGTCTACAGCCTTCGAAGTACCAGCGTGCCATGCGCACCCCGCTGCCCAACAACGCCACAAACCACAAACACGACGACTGCGCGACCAACAACACAATTTGTACTGATTTGCTGGAACCACAACCAGCACGTCGGTGGCGGTCAGTCGAACTGGGGGCTCTCTTCGTCGGGCAGGAGTACGTCCTCGAAGGTCTCGGTGGTCAACAGGGTCATCTGCTCCTCGCAGAACAGCTGGTCCAGCTCGCCCGTGTTCCCGACCGGCCACGCCCCGCCAGCGGATGCGTCGGCACCGAGCCTGTGCATCGGTTGAGCCGCGGCTCCGCGATCGTAGGCGCTCGCCGGTGGCATGTCATCGTCGCCTTCGACATCGTAGCCGTCGTCGTACTCGTTCAAGTCCAGCACGCGCGCTGCGTCGTTGTGGCTGAGGTGACTGATGTAGGCGAAATCGCCCTCGTTCAGATCCAAGTCGTTGGCGTAGGGGTTGGCGTTCCCTTGATTCGATAGCCAGGGAGGGTGGTTGGGCTGCTGTTGGTCGAGCAGGTCGTCGTAGATCGCAGCGATGGCGTATTCTATGTCGAGGGGCTCACGCGTGACGACTTCGTCGCACCCTGCGACTCGAGGCTGCGGGGCCTCCGGCTGCACTTGCATCGCCCCGAGCAGGAAAGAGACGTAGGAGCCCAGGGCATCGCCCTGTTCCCCTTCGAACTCGTCGACGACCGCCGATGCGGCACCAGCGCCAGCAGCGGCGGCGTCAATATCCGTGGGCTGCTGCGGCGGCGACGCTCTGGGAAGGGTTGGCTCGAGCGTCATCGCGGTATCGACCGGTGAGCGCGGCCGTGTCGCGTGCGCCGCCGCCGAGTATGGGAGATCGAGTATCTCGATGGGGTTGTCGTACTGGGACGGGCGCGCGGGCGGAATATCGTCGGAAGGCGAGGTCTCCCCATCAAGGGAACGAAGGTGGAGCAGCAGCCGCACGCGCATGACCTTGAGCTGGTGCAGCATCGTTACATACCTATTGCATCGACAGCCACAGTCAGATTTACACGCGCGCGCAAGCCACAGCAGCAAGAAAGAAGGATCGCCTACTTTGGCAAGTCGCTACAGATGGCCATCTGCTTCTGGTTGAGAACGATGAGCTTTTCCTTCGAACTCGGGAGCCGGACCTCTTCGATTAGTCCCACGCCCTGCGTCAAACAAGCCGAAGAATTTTCAGGTGAGGCGAGAATGGAACACGGACGAGCCAATACAAGTTTCAGTGATTGGGCGTGTGCGGGTGTACCTTGAGGACGGACAATATGGTGGACGTGCGGCGTCTGTTGATGGAAAAGCACGAGCTGATGTGTGATCGTGTCGTGGGACCTTTCTGCAGCAGCGCCACGATTTGGGCGGCCAAGTTCTTGGTGGCCTTCGTCCGTTCACTCGGGTCTACAATCACGAGAAGAAGCGGTGCAACGTCAGATGGTGGAAGGTCACGCTACACAGTCACGACCGAGCACACGATACGCACCCAAATCCTCGGAAGGCATGCCAGCAAGGCACCCGGTCAGCTCGCTCAGGGCAAGAAGCTCGCCGCTGGCCCAATTGGCGAGTGTCAGCGCCTCCTCCACCGCGTTGCTAAGATCCTCTTCAGCCGTCCGCCTCGCCAGAGCCGCGAACTGTTCGTCTAGACATAGCACGACAACAACAACAACACCAACATCACGGCGTGAGTACCATCTTGCGTCGCGTGCACATGCTCACACGCAATCAACAAACACGTACCCCGCACGCGAACGGCCGCTTCGGCACCTGCCTGCGGGGCCGTGGGTCGTGCAGCCAACAACACGACGAACTGTTCCTCCCTCTCGTAATCGAGGAGGTCGCCGTCTTCGCTCGGCAGGGGTTCGAGCCTCGTCCATCTGCGAACCATCGGCTCGCACTGGTCGGCGAGAGTCAGTCTCTCGCTCTGCGGCGGGTGAGCGACGACTCCCTCCTCCATGACCACCTCGTCGTCGGCACCTTCCAGCGCCGCAGGGTCGTGGCCACCCCCCCAAACGGGCGCAAGGGTCCCGGTTCCGGGGATGGGGTCGAAGCAGTCCGGGTCGGGTCGGCATGTCCGCGTCTGCGGCGGCGGCTGCTGCTGTTGGGCCCTTCGGGGCTTTATACCGACGGCGGCGGTTGCAAACTCTGCAGGCGTAGTCGTGGCCGTCGGCGCCAGCTTTGGCTTCTTGCGCGGGGCCGGGTCTCGTTCGCATGAAGCTCTCGTTCGCGTGGCCTTGGTCTTGGTGCCCGCCCTCCTTGCAGCGGAGACCTTACCGCGCGCATCCTTCTAAATATATAAGTAATATACGATATTCAAACATTATTGATGTATTTCTTCTACAGAAAGAAATTTAAGTGTAAAGAAATGGCGTGGGCGGTACCTGGCAGGGGGGTGGCGATGGTGCACAGCTGAGTGGGTCCGCGTAGTGGGAGGGCGAGAGGGGTCTCTTGACGTCCTGCATCGCACTGGCGGTCGTAGAGCTGCCAGAAGCGACTGCGTGTAGGCCCTCATCGCATGCCAACCCACTTCGCGACGACGACAACGACAACGACAACGAGTGGTAGTACGAGGAAGTAGGAGCAAGCGGAGGCGAGGGCGGCAGATCGAACAAAGGCTGAAGCGGTAGAAAGCTGGGATCGCTGTCGGCGCCCCACATCGCAAGCAGTTCGTTCGGAGATAGTAGTACGTCGTGAAGCTTGTACTCGTACGAGAAGCAGCACCTGGCTACACGCTTCGCGCTTCGTGCGTTCGCGCCAAATCCGCAAATACTTGAAATTTAATCCAAAAAACTCGGGAATGTCTCCTGCTTAATTAATTTGTGGAATGTGAGCAATGACCAAGGCACCAACCGGCCCAAAGGGGACGAACGTACCTCGCGCTGGGACACTAGCTGGAGTGGCCTCGGGCCGAGAGGAAGCCGCGGCCGTGGCACTTGACGCACGCCCTGAAGTGAAGCGACTCCGGCCGACACTTGCCGAACTCGCCGAAGCCTCCTTCGCCCTCGCACAATCGGCACAGTTCCGACGGACCTGACCAAAAGCGCGGCGGTGGGTAAGCGCGGTGAGATTGCGTTGGGGTGGTTACTGCTCCGCGTACCGGCCACGCTGCCTCGTCCCTCGCACAGCTCACACATGTGGGTGAAGTGGATCGAGCCCAGCGGACATGGGCCGAACGGACCCTGGCCCTTGTGGCCGTGGCACCGCGGGCACTCGTACTCGTCCCCCGCCGCGCCGATGGTGTACCGTCGGTCGCTGGCCGCCGCAACGAGCGACGGGGGAGATGACAGACTCGTGTGCGGGTAGAGCGAGTGCAGCGATGATGTAGAAGAAGATGGAAGTAGTGTTGCTTGGATGGACAGGCGCGGAAGATGCCACGCGGGGAGTAGAGAAGACGAAGACATAGACACGGACGGCGATGGCAGCGACGAAGATGATGACGGAGATGGTGACGGAGGCACGAGCGACGAGATGCGATAGCTTGGCCTGGCTGGTGTCGACGATGAAGAGGGTGGCGACGATCGTGAAGTGGGCTTCACCGAAGGGAGGGAGGGCGAGGGCGGCGCAAAGGTGATGGAGTAGCCGGCGATGGAGGGTCGATCGAGCATGTGGGTGACGCGCTTGCTCGACCGCGGCGGCGATGTTGCGTGCGACGCCGACCGATGACTCCGCAGCGACGCAGCCGTCGACGAGGCAGCAAATGCGGAGGATGCCGAGGCCAGGCTGGAATGTGATGGGCTGCGCGGGGGATTCGAGGCGCTGCGCAGACGGCGAGGAGACATCTCCGCCGTCGAGGCCTGATATGGCAGTGGCCTCTGCGCATTCGTCGACAATGCTGGCGAAGAAGACGACGAAGGAGACGAGGAGAGCGATGGCGGCATGGAGGAGGAGGACGAAGGGGAAGCGGGCAGGGACGAAACAGGCGACGCCGGCAGGGAGGTCGAAGTTGTGGTCGAGGTCGAGGGAATGGTTCTGGCGGCCGTCGGCGACGCGCCGGCCGTGGTGAACGGATACGGCTCGGCGTTGTGGACCGCATGCGTTACCACGCTCCGCCGTAGGCAGTAGGCAGCGCCCGTCAGGGCCGGCGGCGCGAGGCCGTCTGTCGCCGTGGGAACCGGCAAAGCGAGGCTGCAGCCAATCGCAATCGCGGGCTCGTCATCACCTTCTTTGGGCTTTACGCTGCAGACGACCACGCCGTCGCTCGTAGACTTGCCTAATGTTAGACGCCAACCGTTAGTCTATGTATTTAAAATTAGTATGAATAGGGCAATGATGTCGTTGTGATTGTACCATAGACCTCTTCGGCATCGCCGAATAGGAACGTGGCTGTTGTGTGAGCGGTCACGTCGCGCTCGCTCTTTGCTCTGGTCAACGTTCTGCCCTTCTCTGGAGCAGTTCACGATCGGTCGAGCGTCAAATGACGGAACCGGTTGAATAAATTGAGCTCTTCTCTTTGAGTACGTACTGTTGGTCGCAGCGGCAGACGCAGGGCTTGCGGAGGCTGTCCATAGCAGGGCGTCCACCTCGGCAGGCACCACCAGGCTTTCATGGAGGCAGACCACACAGTCTGTGGTTTGTGGGAACAGTCAGTTGGCACTCACCGCAAGACGCACACACGCAAACAAGAGGGGTGGTGGTGGTAATACGAACCGGGTGATGGTTTGTTGTGGGTAAGGGTGATGATGCAGCCCACGGCCACGAACGAAGGCGGCGGGACGGGTCGCCAAACGGTACACGGCAGCATGCCCCGCACTCCGCCCTCGTGCCGCCACACCACCTCAAAGTCCACCGGCTACACACACAGCAAACACGTCACGGCCAGTCAGTCGGTCAGCTGCTCGTGCCTTGTGTGCGTGTGCGGTGATGTCCAGCGCGTGCGTACCTTTGCCAAGTAGTTAACGGGCTGCCGAGGGAGCACTTCCCTCTTCGCCCGCAACCCAGCGGCGCTCCTCTTCCTGTCCGCCATCACTGCGCCTGGCCCTGCACAAAATGAAAAATTATAATTATATTAAAAAAATAATACACTAAAATGAAATAAAACAATAATAATTGAAATAAAAAATAAACGGGTGCGTACGTTGGGCGGCCTCGGGCGGGAAGGGGCCGATGGCGAAGACGGGGGCCTCGAGGTAGAAGCGAGGGCTGGCGGCGAGGTAGGGCCGCACCACGTCGCCCGCTACGGCGTAGCCCGGGGGCGGGATGGGCCGATACCACGTCACTCCCTCCTTCTCGTCCAGCCCGCCGCTGGCCTTCATCCTTCGTTGTGTGGTGCACGACCACATCTTTTGAAATTTGGCGATCGTCACGAGATTGACCTTCGGGGCGGGCACGGCAGCAGAAGAAGGAGAAGAAGGGGAGGAGGAAGTGGTGATGATGAAGGAAGAGGGCGGAGGAACGAAGATGGAAGGTTTCAAGATGGTCGCATGTCGAGCGACTGGCTTCGTGCGGTCGGTTGCAGGCGGTGGCACTATCACATATGAGGGAGGAATCCAGTCGATTCCATTCACCGCTGTATCAACCCAACATGTGGTCTTGATCGTGTTCCGATCTCGTGCGTTGCGTAATTAAAATGAGATATTTTTTAAACAATAATTCAGATAATGTTGCGATGCCGGAGATACCACGCCAAAATGAAGTCGCCAACGCCCGAACGACCACAAAGGCGACAGACACCCTGAGCCGGCGGCCCAAGTCTACGGCACACGCAAAGGAGCGAGCAAACGCGAACACTTTCGACTTGTGGCCACCCCCTTGTTCAAAAGCCGACTCGCCTTCTCGCTTTCTGTTTTTAGGCCCCGCTGACATCTCCACATCTTCCTCATCTTCATCTTCGAGTCTTGTGGTACGTGCATCCCTGAATGTTGATCTTCATCGATGCATTTCGAATTCCGCCTGCCACATCTTCAGAGAAGAAGATTTTTTATAGACTGAGCTGCCATAAGGAAGGGCTGCGTTTGGATCACTCACCTCCCTTTCTTTGTCGCAGATTCTTGGTGCACACAGCAAAGAGCGAAGAACGAAAGCGAAGGATTAAAAAAAAAGGGGCGAAGAAAAATGGATCCGGCCAAGCTGTACCGTGTGGCGTTGCCTTGGGAGGCGCCGTTCGCGCACTCCAAACAAGGCGACTTCTCGACGCCCGGCGAGTTCGTGGCGAGGAGCCTCAACCGGCACTTCATCAGCTACGTCGAGGACAAGATCAAGTCCTACCAGAAGACCCTCTCCGATCCCTACTGGGTCGTCTACGAGCAGGCACGCTCTTCCCTTCGCCACCATCTCTTGCACTCTGAGCCACTAACGATTGTTGTATTGTGTGTCGTGTCGTGTCGTGTTGTGTGCTGAACTGTTGATGCGGCGCAGTTCGATGCGGAGGATGACACCAAGTGGAAGGAACTGCTCGAGGCCTACGGCATGATGGGCAAGAACTGCCTGAGCAGCCTCGTGCTCGCTCTGCTCGATTGGCAACAGCGGAAGCTCAGCAAGAAGATTGACATGTGGGAGGACTTTGCCAAAGAGCTCAACAAGGCCCAGGCCGCCCAGCTCCAGGCCACCTATGAAGAGCGAAAAATGGTACATGCGTGCTGTGTGTGCGTGTGTGCGTGTGTGCTCTGTGCCATGCGCTCACCACGTTCTTGTGCCGTGTGTGCAGTACACCATTTACTATGTATTTTGTCGGCTGGTGTTGGAGGTGCTGCCAAACGCGGACGAATCCGACAACCCAATCTCAGGCGCTGCCGCTGATGAGCTCGAAAAGGCCTGCTTCCTCTACTTTGAGGAGAACAAGTACGAGGCCTCGCCACATTTTCGCTCGATGCACATTCTCTCTCTCCCTCTCTCTAAACCTTCGTTCTCTTTCCTTTTCGTGCTTTGCCTAGGGCGTTGGTGCTGGTCAAGGCTAAGAAGGGAGAAAAAGAAGATATGGCCGTGGCCAACCGACTTCACATCTACGAGCTCTTCTCTCAGATCCTCGGCGAGCTGTGTTCTCAAAAGTACGTGTGTCGTGTGTGTCGTGTGTCGCGTCATGTGGGGTACATCTGTGTATGTGCGCGCGGCGAGGTGTGTGTACTCACGCTCATTGATCTACATAGCCGATTCGGAGAGATCATGAAGAAGCTCTTCGATGTGCTGGAGGCCACCAGCAGCGCCAAGGACCTCTCCACTTCGCTTTCCGCCATCTACGCCCTCCGCAACGTCAAGATGGACGTACGTCTTCGCTCTTTTTTTCTTTTTCTTTCCTTTGTTATTTCTTTCGGCCCCTCACACTTGCTTGCCCTCTGCGCAGATCTCGACCAACGCAAAGATCGTCGAGTCGGCGGCCTTCATCAAGCGAGTGCGCGAGGAGTACTTCGACCCCAAGGCCAAGAAGCTCAAGGAGGAACTCCAAGCCGCCTTCGCCGAGCTTTTGGTACACCCACTCCCCCCGCCCACGGCCCGAGCTGCGCGGTGGTTGGCTCACCCGGCAAATGGAATGCGTATGGCACATTCCAGGGCAGCATCCTCATACCCATCGTCGAGTCCAAGACCGAAGGCACCCACACTTCCTCGCCCAGCGCCATTTTTGTGGACATTCGTTTGTTTATTTACTAATTTATATGACGTAATTGCCAACAGAATCGCAAAAAGATGTGTTGGCCGACTTCTATGCGATCGTGTCCGATTTCTATGACCGGATCATGACCCAGTACGGCAAGAAGAAGATCAAGGGCCGTGAGCACGTGCGTACTTTTTGTATTGTGCAGTTTTTTTTAAAAGCCCATCACAAAGTGATGTGCGATGGTGTGTGAGGTCTCACCAGCCTATGTTGGATGTGCAGGTGTTTTATCCGCTCCTTACGGGCCTGCTCTGTGCGGCCCACGTCAAGTTTTTCGAGGCCAAGTACTACGAAATGCTGGATATGCTCTTCAAGTCGCTCAAGGAGCCCAAGTTGAAGGCCCTGGCGCTGGAGTCGATCTACCACCTGCTGCTCAAATTCCTGGCGGTGAAGGACACCAAGAGCTTCGGCGAGGAGTGCGCCAAGCTGTTGGACCAGCTCTTCATTCAGCCGGCCAAGGAAAAGAAGAAAGAGAAGCAGCTGATTCAGCCAGGCGAGGAGTGCGTCGACATCATCGTCGACATCATCACCCTGTTGTCGGTGGCCAAGTTCGACCAGACTACGCACAGCGTCGTGCTCGAGCTCATCAAAGATCGCGCCTCGCCCGAGTACCGTTCTCCTTCTGTGTTGTGCGCGTATGCGATTGGGAGGTTGTGCGCGTGCGGTGGTGCGCGTGTGCGCGTGTGCGATTGTGCGATAAGACTAACACCGAGCGCAGTAAGGTGCTGGTGGCGCTGCTTTCGTTCAACGCCATCACGGACCGGCTGATTCCCGCCACCGAAGGGCGCTCGGGGTCGAGCGGCAGCAGCAGCGGCGGGGGCAAGTCGTCTGGCGGCACGCTCAAGGGCTCGGGCAAGCAGGTGGGCACCATCCGCACCACCATGGTGGTGCCTCGCGGTCAGGCCAACCCGAGCCTCAAGCGCCAGGCCATGCGCCGGTTCCACGCCGAGACCGAGAAGATCATCCTCGACGACTTCGCGAAGGGTACCTTTCGGCCGTCGTCGCCACCTTAAGCGAAGATCGCTCCCCAACTAACCCCTGTGTCTGCTCATGAATTGGCCAGGCATGGGCATGGCGCTGGATCGGATCATTGCGGACGTGCACGCGCAGTTTGGCACCCTGCTCCTGAGCGACCCCAAGTACAACAGCAAGACCGTTCAGGGTGCGCACACGCACACGCACCACCATCGCACACACACACAACCGCACGCGCGCATCAACCGCACGCGTACAGGGCACGACTCTGACGGATGGTTCTTGTGGTGGTGCAGAGCTTGTGGGCAAGGACAAGGCGGGTCAGCTGGCTGTGGCGCCTCTGGCGCTCTCCTGTTTGCGCCGTGCGCTACCTTCCGAGATGCCCCTGCACGAACTGGTCCACACGTTGGCCAAGTACACCCTACACGTCGACAACGGTACGCAGCCACCACACCACCGCACACGCACACAGACACGCACACGGACACACTGCACACGCACTCGCACACGAGCGCGTCTGATCGTTTGTATCGTATTCGGTGAATGCAGCGATCCGCAATGAGGCGTTCCAGGTGCTGCAGCACATGGCCAAGTGCTTGCCGGTGCTCCGGGCGACGATCGTCGAACAGTTCTGCCGGGTCACGTCGAGCATTCCCGATATCTATCCCCAGCTCATCCGCAAGTCCCTCTCCAAGGTACGACCAAGGCCCTCCTCTCTGAAAGTGTTTCGTTTTGTGTCGACTGAGTGTCGTTGGTCGTGTCGTGTCGTGTCGAGCGCAGCTTTCGGTCCTCTTGAAGCTGTGGCACGACATGGAGAGCGACAGAGAGCTCAAGCTCGAGCAGAAGCAGCGAGAAGACAAGAGCAAGTCCTACATCGCATCGGTAGACATCTCGTCGCTCTTCACTCTTCTTCTTTTTCCGTTCCCCCCCAACCGCTGATCGATTGATTGTGTGCGTGTGACGCGTCCGTGAAGGGCCAACTGGAGAACGTCAAATCGGTAGTGTGCCCCATCTCCGAGGTCGACGGCACGGCCCTGCTCTTCCTGTGCCACCCGCTGGCCAACGTGCGAGAACTGGCGTGGGAGGTGATGAAGGCCGTGCGCCACGTCAACTCCGTCCTGCCCCAAGAGGTCCGACCGCACACGCACACGCACGACTGCACACGCACACGCATTTACGTATAAAATTGGCGATACAGACTGCGGTGGAGGAAACCGTGCTGCTGGCCAACTTGATCGAGGCCAACGCGAACAAGCTGGCCGGCGCGGGCGATGTCGACCGGAATCTGATCACCAAGCGCTCGTTCGCGCTCAAGGACGGCCACAGCGAGGAGGCGGCCAAGGAGCTCCGACTCCTGGGCCTCAGCGGCAGCTCGAACAAGCTCACCACTCGCCGGGCCACCGACGCCGACTGGCGGTCCATCAGCGAGTACGTACTCATCAGTCCCGCTGTTGGCCGCACGCACGTGCGCACGCTGACCGCACGACACGACACGACACGACACGACACGACACGACACGACACGACACGACACGACACGACACGACACGACACGACACGACACGACACGCACACACAAAGCTCTGTCGATGTGAATAGCGCCCGTGGAGACTCGGAGGGGGCCTACAAGGCGCAGCCCGCCAGCCAGGGCACGCTCGAGGAGGTCGTCAGTCTCAACAAGGGCCTGCACAAGGACGGTACGCCGCTCACCACCCACGACTCTTTGTCGGCGCGCTCTCTCAACCACTTCGTGTCGTGCGCGTACACAGACGCGCAATTGCGGTGGGCGCGCATGCTGGGCGCGCTGGTCCCGCTGTGCGCGAACGAAGGCACGGTCAACTTTGCACTCCGGCACATCGTCCCGCGCATGGCCGCGGCGCAGGCCTACCTTGAGTCCACGCGCAACCAGAAGAGCGTTTCGCCCGACTTCGAGTCCCAGAGCCTGCTCTGGCGCAACTACGCCGTCGCCGCCTGCGCAGCCTACGGTATTCCCAAACATACCGTTTGTCGTGCGTGCGCGGTGCGTGTGGTGTGCGTGCGTGTGCGGTATGTGCGTGTGCGTCGAGCTAAGGATCCGTGTGGTAGGTTCGGAGGGTGACGTAGCGGAGGAGGTCGAGTGCACCAAGCCCGAAGCGGTCTTCAGCTCCATCCTGGGCGTGCTCAAGACTCTGCCCACCCTGTCTCCCTTCCTCGTTCTGGTGCGTCGCCGCACACGACACGAACAGCCAACGACACGACACACGAGTCTGAACTGCGCAAATTTGTTGCGCAGGCGTTGAGCTTCGTCAAGTCCAGCTTTGTGCCGACGCTTCTGGACAAGCTGGACCCCTACAACACGGAGGTCTACCAGAACTTCAAGCCCTCCAAGGGCAAGCAGCACCAGAAGGACCCCCAGTTCGTCCTCCGCTGCCAGCTCGGCCGTACGCCCGCCTTCTTCCCCTCCTCCGTGCTTTTCTTTTTCGGATCCGAAAAAAGCGAGTCCGTGCCGTAGTTTACACGCACGCTCACCATGGTGACGATGGCAACATCAACAAACACAGTTGTGTTCCGGTTTACTGCGGAGAATCTGCAATCGCCGGCCATGAACCCCAACCTGCTCAATTCTTACCTCGATTGGATGAAGGTATCGTAACACACCCACGCACATAACGCAGACAAAATACCAACTCACCACCGTTTACATGGTCGCTTGGTTGCTATATAGCAAACGCGAGCCTATCTGGACACGGTGGTGGGCGAGTGGTCGGACCCGCTGCAGGGCCTCCGCTACGACTTCTTCTCGGTCATTGCGCGCGTGGTGCACCACGTCCACGCCGGCATGCCGGCCAAGCTCGCCGAGGTCTTCCCCAAGCAGTACCGCAAGAAGCTGTTCCTCTTCTGCTCCAAGTACTGCGGTCACGCGCCCAAGGCGCTCACCGACAAGGAGTCGCCCGACGCCAACCAACTGATCAAGGTACCGTGTGTCGTGTGTATCGTCGTGTGTGTGTGTGTGTGTGTGTGTGTGTGTGTGTGTGTGTGTGTGTGTGTGTGTGTGTGTGTGTGTGTGTGTGTGTGTGTCGGTTGTGTCGTGTGTGTCGTGTGTGTTGTGTGCATTGTTGACATTCTTTACCTTGTGTGGCGTTTGCAGTGTGCGGACGCTGAGTCGATGGAGAAGGCTCGCTCGCTTCAGTATGCCGCACTCAACGTACGAGCGCAACCACACACGCACACCGCACGGCACACACCGCACACACCACACGCGCACTAATAATATTGGGTGTATTGTTTTGTGGGTGCAGGCTATGGGCGTTCTGCTGCGCGGAGGCGACTTCTACAAGGCGGAGAAGTCGAGCGACCCGCGCGGACCCATCGCCGGGCTGTTGACCAACATGTTCAAGATCACCGACGTGCAGGTCAACTCGATCGGCGAGTCCGCGCTCGACATCTACCTTGAGAGCAACGCCGGCCACGAGGACCGCTTCCTCACCCTGTGTCTTGACCTCGTACGCACACGCACACACGATCGCACACGCGCATGATCGCACGTGCATGACCGCACACACGGCTGTGAGCTTACACCCGCTTCTTTGTGGGCATGCATCGCACAACAGTGCTATGACGACGACAAGCAGGTGAGCCGAGGCTACTTCATGGCCGCCGGACGGGCCATCATCGAGCGGCAGCTGGGCGGCTCCCTGCCCATTCCTGCCCTCCTCAACCTGTGCCTCATCAACCTGGCCCACGAGGTACCCCTCTCTTTTTACAATTTTTATTTCTTATTTAAATTGAATTTACTAATTTGTGGAAAATGATTTGCAGTTGCACGAGGTGCGTGAGCTGTCGCAGAAGCTGCTGCAGGACATCACCAACAACGACAAGTACTGCATCTGCCCGCCCACGGGCGTTCTCGACACGTCGGCCGCGCTCCAGGTATGATCATCGATCGTCGTCTCGACGTATGCAACACTGTGCTGACGTGTGCGACGATCGTACGTGTGTCGTGTCGTGTGCGATGCAGTACAAAATTTCGAGCTTGCTGGCGGAGGACTACCCGCAGCTGGCGTTCGAGGTGTTCAGCGCGGCGTGGCACCGGATCACCACGACGGGCATTCACGGCCACGCGCACATGCTCTTCTACCTGCCCCCGTGGCTCGAGGCCATCGACTTCGCCGTCCTCCCGTCCGACGCCACCGTCTCCCTCCTCGAGGTGCGCCACCCCATCACTCTCGCACACAACACGCACATGCCACACATTCCTCAGATGCTTATACCTTGGAATGTGGAATATGTCGTTGCATTCCAGAACCTGTGCACGTTGACGTTCAAGTACGGGTCGTTCCAGCCGTTCCTGCTCGAGAGGCTGTGGGCGCAGCTGGTGGCCCGCTACCGGGCCAACATCGCCTCCATTCTCCAGTTCATCGTCCAGACCATCCTCCAGACCGTACACGCCCCACCCTCCAGCTTTCCCCCCCATCAAAGCGTGCTTCTCACGGTGTGTGGTCGTGCGCGCGGTGTGTGTCGTGTCGTGTCGTGTGCGCTATCGTTTTGTTGTGTAGCGCAACGAGCAATTCCTGCCGACGGGTAGGAAGATTGCCGTGTTCCTGGGCAGAGTGGACCCCGTGGCGACCATCGATCTGCTGATCGCTGGCCTCTACGACACCACCCAGATCAAATTCGCCGACGAGGAGCGAGGCGACAAGGAGAAGGAGGACTCTGCCGAGGTAACTACACGCCGCACACGCCGCACGACACACACCGCGCGACACACGACACACGCTTCATGTGCTAACTGCACAACGCAGGAGTTGTCGGAGAAGGAGAGCGAGGACGGTCTGGGCGCCGGCCAGAGCATGGAGAAGAGCGCCAGCGGCGGCAGCAACAGCAAGTGGGAGTTCAGCCGCATCGTGACCGTCGACAAGAAGCAGGAGCACGCCCTCTCCAGCCTCGAGGCCTGCATGATCCTCCTCATCGGTACATCGCACACGCACACGTCGTTAACGGCACACGCTAACCGCACGTACTGACCGCACACACACGTAGAGTTGGGAGTGGAGCACATCGTGGAGCTGTGCGACCACCTGCAGGTGGTGTTCCATGTGCTGTTCCTCAACCTGGACTCGCCCAACGCGCTCATCCACCGCCACGCGCGCATCTTCCTGGCCAACCTGGTCTACTCCCTGACGTCGGGCCAGGTGGGCAAGCTCGAGCGGGACTCGCCCGCGGCCAAGTTCCTGGCCCGGATCGAGGCCCTGGGCGACCGCCGGCCGTGGGCCTACGAGGACCCGACCATCACCGCGCTCGACATCGAGAGCGCCAAGCAGCTGGGCCAGTGGGTCGCCGAGGTCGTCACCCTCCTCCCCTCCTTCACCCTCCTCCCCTCTTCCTGGGGCGCCGAAGGTACTCCCGCGTGTGCGTGTGCGTGGGCGTGTGCGGTGACGTGTGTGCGGTCGTGCGTGTGTGCGGTGACGCGTGTGCGGTGACGTGTGTGCGGAGAAGCTGAACACGTGTGGTGTCGACACAGCGCTTTCGTGGGCGGCCAAGATCGGGCGCATTCCGGCGCACTACGTGTACCGCTCGTTCCACGTCTATCGCGCACTGCTGCCGCTGGGCTGTAGTTTGAACGAGGAGGCCGTCGCGGTCATTCTTAGCATTCTGTACAAGCACGAGGCCAAGCGACCCATCGACCGCATCGGCCTCGCCATCGACATCATGCACACCTTCATCGTACGCTCACCACCGCACACGCACACGCGTGACCGCATACGCGGGTGCTGATTTCACAGTGCACTGTGAATAGGTGATCATCGAGGCCACGCCAGCGGAGGAGCTGCTCAAGTACCACCAGATCTTCTGGGCCATCACCTCCGTCCTCTACGCCGACTACCAGCAAGAGTTTTTATATATCCTTTCCAATCGCGTGTGTCGTGTGTGTCGTGTGCCATGTAGTGTGTCGTATCGTGCGTGTCGTGTGTTTTTTCCTTAACTTTGGGGCACTCGCTGTGAAGGTGCTGGAGGCGTTCTTCGCCAAGATGGACTTCAGCGACCCGCGGATCTATCAGCACTTTGTCGCCAACATGCCGGCCAACCGGGAGCCCGCCTTCACCGGCCTCCAGCCGCTCCTGCTCAAGGGCCTCACCTCCGACTTCACCGCCGCCGAGACCATCCAGGTTTCAAACCCCCCCTCAATCCCTCAACCTCGCGCACGTGTGCGTGTGCGGTCGCGTGTTGTGTGCGGTCGTGCGTGTGTCGTGTCACGCGTGTCGTGCGCCTGACGCGTCCTGTGTGCAGTTGCTCAAGCAAGTGGCGCTGCTGCCGCCCGAGAACGCGCTGGTGGAGGTCCACCCGGATCCCCAGCACCGCTACCTGACCTCGCTCGTGCGTCTCTTCTTTTTTTCGAGATGGGTCTTAAGGTGGCGGTGATGCTGACGTGGCACACACGACACACACGACACACAGTTGGGACTGGCGCCGTGGCTGATGGCCAACTACGAGAAGGAGGCCGGCACCAAGCTCGCGCTCGATCTCGCCCAGATCCTTCAGAAGGTCCAGCTCCAGAAATTCACCGACCTCCTCTGCAACTTTGCCAAGGTACGCACACGCACACACACGACCGCACACGCACTCACCATCGCACACGCACGCACTACCGCACACGCACTCACCACCGCACACGCATGCAGTCGGTGTTCAAGACGGAGAAGGAGTTTGGCAAGAAGCTGGGCTCGATGATCGCCAAGAAGTTCTTCCCGACGGAGGAGATGTACGCCTTCTCGCTGCTCGCCGAGTTCCTGGACATCGGCCCCAACGTCTACAAGCGCTACATCCTCGACCTCATGGCCGGCATGACCAAGGCCGTCAAATGGAAGAAGTCCGTCCTCGCCAAGGAAGATTGTACGTGCGCTCGTGTTGCGTGTTGCGTGTCGCGTGTCGTGTGTCGTGTCGGCGTGTGCGGTGGTGCGTGAGCTGTGGCTGACTGTGATCACCACAGCTCCAGCGCTGTTCGCTGTGGTGGGCAAGCAATACGGCACGGAGCGCTGGCGCAAGGCGCTCGAGGTCATGGACGTCGTCCTCAACAGGAATCCCACGTACGGAGTCAACCTCCCGCACTACTGGTTATTATTATATTATTATTTATGATTTATGCGAAATAGGATTATTATTTATTGATTGTGGGTGGGACGTACTAGTACGGTGGACATCGGGCGGTCGGAGCACGTCAACGTGGTGGAGCGCATCGGCGACTTCGAGCGGGCCTCGCGCACCTGGCAGTCGCTCGACAAGGGCAAGGCCCTCGTTTCCAATTCCCTCTACCAGGTACCGCACACACACACATGCGCGACACAACGACGCACACGACACACGCGCAGCACACCGCACCCACCAACTCACAATCCACGCCACACAGGTGGTGCAGAATCTGCCGTCGCTGTTGGCGCAGCAGGCCACGGGCAAGCCGCTGCCCAAGCCGCCCACGCCCCGAGGATTCGACGACGGCCGGCAGCCGTCCTTCCGCAAGCCCTCCGTCTCTATGGACTGAAAAAAAAATGAACATTTTTTCCCTCACTTGTGCGTTTTATTTTCATTTTCCTTTGTTTTATTTCTTTTGAGCACTGTTTTCATTTTTTGTACTTTTATTTTTGGCACCGGCCCGCTTTTCCTCCATTTTTTTGTGTGTAATTAATTTATAAGCCTGCTCCGCAATTGGGGGCGTGCTGCTTGAAAATGGGCCATTTTGTCTTCGAGAAAGTAGTTTCATTCCCGGCCGACCCTTCCAGCAGCTGCCCCCATGACCCAACCTCCCCTACTTCGTGACAAACTGTGCCAGCTCGGGGTAGATGTCGCTGATGCCGAACAGCACTCGCAACGGATGGAGAAAGAAGGCACGACTCTTAATCCCGTATTCCATCTTGGCCTGCTGACGTGTTTACTTCATCATCATCATCTTCCCAGGCATCTCTGTGGAAGATTTGAGCAGGCTTGGGCACGCTGAACTGAAAGAGCTCGGCGTTACAAAGATGGGAGACCGACTCAAGATCATAACCGGCTTGCAGGATGAGAGAACTCCTCACGAGCAAACCGCCGTTATGCCTCCCTTTTCGTTCCCGTACTGCGCCAATCACCTAGGCGTTCCGGCCACGCACCAGTGTGTCCAGCGCAATTGCAGAAGGAACTTTTGCATCGCGTGCGTGTCCGTCGCGCCAACCATGCACGCCGCGGGGCAGTTCTTCTGGTGCCACGAGTGCAGGGACCGCGTAAAGGCGGCCGCGCTCATTGATTGTGAGCGGTGCGCACTGTTTTAATGTTGATTAAAAGCATTCAGTTCCATCTGCTAAGCGCCAAAGAACAGAAGAAAAAAGAACGGGTTGGGAGGGAGTTGATTTAGATTCAGGTGGTGGCGGGCTTGGAGGAGGAGGCGGTGCAGACGGCCTTGTGGCGCGCCCAGTCGTCCTTCTGACACGCGACGCTGCAGTAGGCCACGGCCCTACAGCGCCCACACTTGTTGAGTTTGGCGCGCGACTCAGCCACGATCTCGCGTCGCTGCACCTCCTGCTCCTTGTCCGCGTCCACCTCGTACTTTTCGATCAGCTCCTCCTGAGGGCGCGCACGTGTGTGCTGTCAGCCAAGGTTCGCACACATACCACCGCACGCGCACACCCGCACCACCGCACACGCACCTGTTTCTTTTGTTTGTCGTCTTCGGTGGCATCGGGATGCGCGGCGGCAAACTCGGCCACCTCGCGGTCTACCGCGGGCTGGTACTTCTCCCGCCAGATGATGGCCATGCGCTTCTTGAGCCACATAGTCTCATCCTTGTCCCTCGGACCTAAAAAAAATAGCACATTTTAACTCCGTGTGCGTGTGCGTGTGCGGTGGTGGCGTGTGCGTGTCACGCACCTTGGTGCTTCTCGTAGGTTTGCATGATGGTGGGATCGGTGGAGGGTCCCTCGGTCTTGTCGCACTTGGGATTTTCGCACATCACCTGCGGGCGATCCTGGTCGGGCGAATGGTCGACGATCGGCCAGTTAACAAACGCGCACTCGACCTCCGGCGGCTGGCCTGCAATAGTGTAGTATAAATTAGTAAATACATTAAAATAATAAGAAATACAAATACAATGTTTTGCTATTTCTTATTATTTCGTACGAGTTTATTCACACATGTAAAAAAGGCACAGCCGTACCGAGGGTCATGATCTTGTGGTGGAAGTGGGGCACGAGCAAGTCGTAGTCGCGGAACCAGACCACCATGTGCTTGTCGTCCGGCCGCGAGTGCAGCATGATCATCGGTGGTTCATCCGCTCCACCTGCAACACACACACACACACACAACATCGGATTACCGAACCGCACTCACACTCGCTCGGGGCATGTGTTGCGAGGGGGGGTGCGTACTGTCCATTCCTTGGCTGCGCTGGTTGAGGAGATACATCATGAATCGGCGGTATAGCTCGTCCCCGAGTCCATGACGCCGCCACAGGGTCCGCATGCGTTCGTGCTCCTCCCTGGTCATCTGCGCCGCCTTGTCCTGCTCGTAGCCCTCCTCTCCTGTCAACTCAAGCGTTAGTTGACGGACACTTTGCCTGTGCGTGTGTCGTGTCATTGCTTGCGTCGTGTGCGGTGTGCGCAGGCTTACCAGCGTCGCGTCGGCTTTCGATTTCGTTTTGACGCTTCTGGGAGACGACGAAGGCGTGCATGACTTCGAAGGGTACGTCGACGGACAGGACTGATGCGTACAGTCCGCTACGCTCGTAGCGGCTCAGCAAGGCCTGGCGATACAACAAAATATCACTTTCTCTGACGGTGCGTGCGTGCGTGCGTGCGTGCGTGCGTGCGTGCGTAATGTTCAAACCATGAGCGGCACGGCAGTCGTTTCGAGGACTTTGATGGCGAGTCCGAACAGCTCCTTGTCGGATTGGAGCGCCGGGATGGCCGTAAAGATCACCTTTCGCCACCTGTGGTCGCCCACAACGCAAGCGTCAAAGCACCCGTTCAGTCTTCGTCCGTGCGCCTGTGCGTCCGCCAACACTCAAAAGAAGGGGAGGCTCGGTACTTGAAGTTGATGAACCGCCCGGTGTCGATGGTCTTGATCTGCCAACGCTCGGGCTTGCCCTCGGCCGCTCCTGCGTCGAGCGAGTCAGCAGAGAGGGGCACGCGCGCACTGAGCGGTACAATCGCACACGCACGCACCGCCGACGTCGACGTCCAAAGGGATCTTGAAGAAGGCCGAGGAGAGCTTGCGATTGTCCCGGCACCACTCGGCAAAGTAGGTGAACACTCTGCCGGCCAGACCGCACGCACGCGGCACCCACCCACGCACGCACGCACGCGAATGTCGGTGAGCGGACTCGCGAGGCAAGGCAGAGCAGGGCAGAAGGTGCGCACTTTTGGTTGAGCTGGGAGCGCACAAAGACCTCCTCGACTTGCTTGGGTTCGATGCTGCATTGGCCGTAGCCGCTCAGCAGCTTGCTGGCGTCCACCGCGTTTTCTGTCAGACCGGACCAGCGGACCATCGAACACCGCACAGTGATGTGTGAGCATGCGCGACGGAGAGGGGAGTGGCAGCGTGCGGACGTACGGGGAGTGGCAGCATTCCCCGCGTCGGTGGTTGCGGTCGTGGTAGCGTATGGCTGGGTAGTGGCCACGCCAGCCTCAGGCTGCGCATGCTCGTCCATTTTCCTGGATATTAATTTAATCTGATTGATTGATTTATGGTGTTAACACCATAAATCAATCAATCAGGCAAAGAGAAGCATTATAAGAAAAGGGCAGTCATAAAACAATCACCTTTGCGAAGAAGTCTCCACCGAGGCGGAATCTTACGGGATGTGTGGCCTCCAGGAAAAAAGGGAAAAAACGACACATTTTCTTTTTCCATTTTAAATGACAACATATTTGTACTATTCCTTCAACAGCACAAAGGAGACCACCACACGCATCTGTTCCTCCATCATGTTCTCTTTCTCTTTCTTCTTATTGTTCTCTTTTTCTCCCTCGTTCTCTTCTTGTTGTTGTTCCTGCTCCTTGCCGTCTCCGGAACGGTGGAGCTTCTGCACGAGTCCACGGAGCCATCCGCGCTTTTCGCTCTTCTCTTTCCCACCGCGCTTCACTGTTTTGGTGAAGCTTTTGGTGGCATCGCAGGTATTGGGCGGTGTCGGCTTGGGCGCGATCGTGTCCGCTTCGTCGTCGGGGCGCCTGAATTGGCGCAGGGTGGTGGCCGTGAACGGCACATCCAGCTCGATGTTCCCGTCCGGCAGGCCCGACATGATGGCCTGCGTGGCCACCTCCGCCACGCCCACCCACACCGGCGGATCCGCACGCCTGTATCTACTCTGTGAGCCACTCTACCACGACCAACTAAAAGATACGCACAAGCACACGAACACGCACACGCACACGCACACGCACACGAACACGCACGCGCACGCGCACACGCACACGCACACGAACGCGCACACGCACACGCACACACACGAACACGCACGCGCACGCGCACACGCACACGAACGCGCACGCGCACACGCACACGCACACGCACACGATAAAGGGAGAACGTGCTTTTCGCGATGGGGTGACTTGCGGAAGAGGCCGAAACGAAACGCGAAGCCCATTGTGATCTCCTCTCCGGCGCCTTTGCTGCCTGCGGTGGAGACCAGAGGCCCCTCCATGGCGGCCAGGCAGCGCTTGTGGTACACCTTTCCCTGCCATTCGTCCGCGCGCCCGTCGCCCGTCGGCAGCTTCTGGGACAGGCGCGTCATCCCGAGCGCCCGAGTGCTTTTCATCGCGTACAGCTCGACGTGCTCGAACTCACGGTCGCCAGCCGTGCGTGAGCTTGAGACAACTGCCAGGCCCAAGACTCAGTGAGGAGGCCAAGCCAAAGCCCAATGTATCGTGTGCGGGTGCGGGTGCGGCGTACGCTGGACAGTGAACTGTACGCTGGCAAACAGATAGTACATTCTCTGCGTGGTGTGGTGTTGCACGGATCAGTGCGGTGGTGCGAGGGAGCGTGCGCACGTGTGGGGCGGACCAGGTACCTGCAGCAGCCAGCGAGGGTGAGCTGGCAGTCCGTTACTGAAGCATTCGAGGGCATAGGAACGCATGCGCTTCTCCAACACGCCCGCATCGTCCGCCTCGAAGCATGCGTCGATGGCTGGGATCGTGCTCTCGCCCTCGGGCCGCACCGCATCTCTCAGCAGCCCCACCATCTGTGTGCGTGTGCGGTAGGTGTACTGCGGGAACTGAAGCGATTGTAGCGCGTCCAGCAGGGCGTCGCATGCACGCTCGAGGCGCTCTTGGTTTGGGGAGAGATCCGCATTGTCCGTCACCCGTGCCGGCTGTCACATGAAAAATTGGTTTCAGAGAGAGAGGTGTTGTATCTTGTGCATGCGTGTGCGGAGGGGTGCTGTACGTCGATTTCCACTTCACAATCGAAAAGGGAGCAGAAATATGGCACAAGTGAAGTGAAAGACTTGGTCATGGCCGTCCCCATACGATTGCTAGCCCAGCGTGTGACGAGCGAAATGGCCACGGACGTGAGCTTCGGTGTCCTCGTCAGGTGCGGCTCTGCACATGAGCGATAAAGAACGAACGAGAAGAAGAAGAAGAAGGATGAGCAAAGAACGAAGCGAAGAGGGGCTGTACAGTCAGGGTTTGACCTGATACGAAGCACTCTAGCTGGGCTTCGAGCAGAGGAAAGATGAGCAGATCGAAGACGAACTGGGCCGGCAGCTTGGCCAGCGCGTTCAAGTGCTCATTGTGGTCCTTTCTGGGCAGACGCCTCACGAGCCAATCGGTCATGAACTCGCGGCTCATCAGCACCTGGCACCACGTCGCACATCAACCATCGCACACGCATCCACGCGCAAAAGAAATCAAGCAGGCAGGCTGGTGGTGGCACAGGTGAGTACCTCGGCCAGTGCCGTGGCCATGCGATCAGAGGGGTAGTGCGGCCGCAGACACGCCACCAGGGCGCGCTTGTGGCGCGCGAAGAAGCGCCCCCACTCCACTATGCCCACTTCTTCGGTCCCACCAGAGGCGCCGCGGGCCAGGTGTGGCGGAATGCCGTCGAGCACGAGCGAGCACCAGCGCACGGCCCGCTCGTGGCTCGAGCGCCGCAGCACCACCTCCCACAGCTGCCTGTCTGTGCTTACCCAACCCCCCCCCCCGGTCAGCGTCGTTGAAGGAATGAGGAAAGAGTGTTGGGGGGGGGCGAACCGCGGGCGAGGCGTCGGGCGGGGCGGCAGGTCTCCGCCACTTGCAGCAAGTCGAGCGGGTCATCGAGGTGGCTCAGCACCGTCAACGCCACTTCATCCGGCACCGTCTCGCCGAGCATTGCTGGTCCGTTTGTGGTGCAGGTAACCTATAACCAACCAGCCAACCACAAAAACCAAAAAACTCACAAACAGAAAATACACAAATAAATAAGATGCTATTTGGGGCGAGGGTGCCAGACGAAGTGGCGTTGACGGTGCTGAGCCACCTCGACGACCCGCGCGACCTGCTACGCGTGGCTGAGACCTGTCGCCGCGCCCTCCGCCTCGCCCGTGGTTCGCCCCCCCCCAACCCTCTTCGACCCCCACTATGCTAACTGTACAGTGCGGGGGGGGGTAAGAGTAGACAGGCAGCTGTGGGAGGTGGTGCTGCGGCGCTCACCCCATGAACGGGCCGTGCGCTGGTGCTCGCTCGTGCTCGATGGCATTCCGCCACACCTGGCCCGCGGCGCCGCCTCTGCTGCCCCCGCCACAGTGACAGCTGCTGGTGAGGCTGATACCGACCACAACCGTGGTACTTGTGTTGTGTTGTGTAATGCGTGCGGTTTTGGCTGAAACGCACGTACACAGGCGGCACGGCGACTGGAGTCGAAGAAGAAGTTAGCGTCGTGGAGTGGCTGAGCTTCTTTGAGCGCCACAAGCGTGCCTTGGTGGCATGCCTGCGGCCGCACTACAACTCCGACCGCATGGCCACCGCAGTGGCCGAGGTACTCACCTGCCGCCACCGCCTTGTACCGTGGGTGGCGCTGACTCGAAGTTGTGTGTGCGCGCGGCGCGCGGCGCGTGTATCACACCCAGGTGCTGATGAGCCGCGAGTTCATGACGGATTGGCTCGTGAAGCAGCCGACCGGGCTGGATAGCATCAGCCACGCGCTTGTCAAGCTACCGGCACAGTTCGTCTACGACCTGCTCATCTTTCCCCTGTTCGAGGCCCATCTTGCTCGCACAACATCAGGTTCTCTACTCGGCGTCGTCGCCGTCGTCGCCGTCGTCTTCGTCTGGTGTTTTGATGGTGTTTACTGTTTGTCGCAGTGGCGAAGCAGACGGGAACGGCGGCGAACCTCGCCTTCTGCAAGTGGTCCTCGGCGGCTATCATGGTCCCCACCTTCTGGCTCCAGGAGCGCCTGAAGGCCTCGCTCAGCGAGAAATTTCTCCCTCTGCTCGCGTCGAGCCTCTTCGATGGCGAAATGGAACTCGACGTACGTTCGCCCAACAATGCACACAAGCATCACCAGCGCAACGCAACGCAACGCAACACCACACAACACAACACACTACTAAAACGCTGCGTTGTGCGACAGCCGGCCCGGGCGACCGACGCAGCGGTCATTCCCCAAAATCAGGAGCGCCTGCAGCGAGCCTGCGATGGCATGGTGGCGATGATCCAATCGCTCCAGTTCCCGCTGTGCGCCCCGCCTCTCGCTCGCTCGCTTCTGTTTTCCTGTACGCACCACCTGAGTCGAGAGAACTAACTACGCGGGTGCCGCGGCTTCCGTGGTCGTCGGGCGTGCAGCGAGGCGAGGCTGATTTGGTCGCACCTGAGATCATGCGTGCGCCGCCTGCATCGCGCAACTACCAAGCCCGGCCCAGCGCGCGACCGCGCGGGTGGCGATGTCGACACCACCGCCGCAGGGAACCAGGAAGCGACCACCGCCGTCGACGAAGTGGCCGCCAAAGAGGAGGAAGAGGACAAGGTCAGCCTGCTGGCCGTGGGCGCGATTGCGATCATGCGGACGGGCTTCCCGATGTTCAGCACGCGCCAGATGCTCGAGAATCTGTCGCTCCAGCAGAAGCGCAACCTGCTCATGGCGGCCAAGATGCTGCAGCTGCTGGTCACCCACCAGCCGGCCGGCCCGCGGGTCCAGTGGAGCATCAGGGCGCCCCACTGGCAGTGCATGCACGGGTGGCTCGAGGCCAACCGCCACAGCATCGACAACGTCCTCACACTCTCCTCGGTACTCTGAGTCCGCCTCCTCCGACGATGGCTCGTGGCTAACGTGTGTGCGGTGTGTGTGTGCGGTGTGTGTGTGTGGTAGACGGTGAGTGATGAGGAACTGGTCGGACTGTTGAAAGACACCGTGAGGGTCAAGGCCGAGTCCCAGCTGAAGGTCAGCACCCGGGCTGCCGATGGCGCGCAGTTTGAGGCGGGGCAAGCAGGCATGTTGGAGAAGCACATGCGGTTCTACGCACTTGACTGCTTCAGGTCCGGTGGACTCTGCCTTAGCAGCTCCGAGGCACACCCTCGCTGGCTTTTGCAGGTATTCTACACCATTACACGCACGACACACACGACACACATGACACGCATAACACACGATACACACGACACACACTGACACTGATTTGCAACACAGAGGATGTACTATCTCTTCGCCAACGTTCAGTTCACGGTCAAGCGTAAGTTTGGTCCCCCTCCGCTGTGCACGAACACAAGTCTGCGCTAACTGTACCTGCCTGGTCCTGGGGTGTCGACAGTTATGTCGGCGCCGAACATGGCTGGCGGCGGTGGGTTCGAGTACGTAGAGCTGTGCGCCAAGCGGGGCTCAGGGCCGCGTGAGATGACGCGCCTGGCCCAGCGGCCGACGGACGACGGCGGCCTGGACGGATGGCAGAGCGAGGTGGCCTGCACCTGCCTTGCCCTCATGGAAGATCCCCTCACCACCGCAGGCGCCGACCAAGAGCCTACAATGGGCTTCGCGTTTCGTTTCGGCCTCTTCCGCACTTCACCCGATCGCGAAACGCACGCTTCATTTCTTTTATGTCATGTGTGCCGTGTGCCGTGTGTGCCGTGTGTGCCGTGTGTGTCGTGTGTGTCGTGTGTGTCGTGTGTGTCGTGTGTGTCGTGTGTGTCGTGTGTCGTTGGTTATACTCACTTTGATAAAAAAATGCAGGCATGGGGATAGATACAGGCGTGCGGATCCACCAGTGTGGGTGGGCGTGGCGGAGGTGGCCACGCAGGCCATCACGTCGGGCCTGTCGGACGGGAGCATCGAGCTGGATGTGCCGTTCACGGCCACCACCCTGCGCCAATACAGGGGACTCGACGACGAAGCGCCCGAAAGAGCGAAGAAGGGCGATGAGGCGAAAGGAAAGAGCGATAAGCGAGGATGGCTCTGGGGACTCATGCAAAAGCTCCACCGCTCGGGAGGCAAGGACAACTACGACGACAGCGACGAGCACGAGGAGTCCGCCAGACCGAACGTCGCGACCGGAGAGGCCGAACAAGAAGAAAAAGGAAAAGAGAAGGCGCAGGAGGATGGTAGTCAAAATGACGAAGCCGAAGCGAAAGGGCAAGGGGCCACACTGCGCGTGGTTGTTTCCTTTGCCTTAAGCTTGTGATCTTCCTCACCACTACCACCCTGTAAGTGATCATTATTTTGGCCGTGAGGAAATAGGAGCCGACGGCGAAAGAAAGATTGGTTGCAGGCAAGAGAAAGAAGAGTTTCGGCTGGTCTCATCTATGTCTCTTTCTCGTTGGGGAGGAGAGGCGGGCCGCCGCAGCAGGAGTCGTAGCATTCGCAGTAGGTGCAGGTGAACACCTCGAGGGCCACGGGCTGCCGCTTGTTCTGGCGGGCGTACTGGCCCTCCTGCACCAGGCCGTTGCAGCCCCACACGTAGAGGCAGCCCGGACCCGAGTCGCAGTGCTTGCACCATAGCGCGGAGTGGACACAACCCATGACTGTCGATGGAGCTACACGAACGTAAACATGTTGAACCATCATTGAGAGTGCCGATGAGATGAAAGATTGGTGGAGGGACTGTGGAGAGTAGGACGAGGGAGAACGGAGCGTACGTGAGAAGGGCTGTGCGATGTAGGTGGTGGATGGTTGAATCGACAAGAGGAAGAGAATTGCGTCAATGGCAAGTCTGCTGCGCACTCATTAAATAACCGCCAATCCAGGCGAAGCAACTGTGGCAATGAGGCTTTATCGCTGGTCAGCACTCGTTGCTTACCAACGCCGAAGGCTGATTTAAGCCGCATCTGGAAAGGGCGCCATACTTGTTGTGGGCAGGTGGAAGGTTACCTTATGTAAAGTGTAGTGGTGTATTCACCAAAAACCCCAGTTCCTTGATGAAGGAGATTACGAAAAGTAAAATCGGAGGGATGAGGCAGTGCTAGAGCCACACAGGGAAGGAGGCGTGTGTGTGTGTGTGTCACGTTTTGTATGTGTGCGCATCGAGAGCTCTTCTCTATTAGTCGATGACGATGGACCAGTCGTGCGGAACCTCGCCGTATTGGATGGCGGCCAACGTGTCGGCCAGGTGTTGTGTCAGGTTGCCCGCCTGCCCGCTGTTCCCAAGAGGGAACGAGATTTCCTGCCATAAACCGCAACCATAAGCAAACTTTTTGCTTCGGCATGTTGTGCGTTCGTGCGTTGTGTGCGGTCGTGGCGAGTGTGAGTCCTTACCTTGCCATTGTAGCCGATCGCCTGGATGGGCGACACGACAGCAGCCGTTCCACAGCCAAAGGCTTCAATGAGTCGCCCTTCGTCGTGCGCGTCCACGATTTCCTTCATCGTGTACGGCCTGCGCGTTCCATTGACACACGTTCAGGTAAAGCCGCCATCGACCAGGCCTGGCCGCACAGTCACAGGGTTCACACGTACCGTTCGGTGACGCGCCAGCCGGGGAGCTGTTTGACGAGCTGGATGATCGAGTCTCGCGTGATGCCGGAGAGTACCACGCCCTCGGAAGTCGCGGGCGCAGTCACCAGCTCCTTCTCGCCTGTACCCAAATATTCCCATAAAATTAACACCATTTTCAATGAGACATGAATTATTAATAAAGACATTTCAAAAATATAAAAATAATAATATATATAGTTGAAAAATAGCTCCTAGGGGAAGATGGGGAGGGTTTCTACCGTTCTTGTGCTGGAAGGCGACGAACATGTTCATGGTGCCCACCTCAGTGACCTGGTGGTCAGGGCCGTAGAGCCACAGGATCTGGTTGTACCCCATCTTTTCCGCCTCCTTCTGTGACAGCACCGTCGGGCCGTAGTTTCTGTTGCGTTTGCGTGTGTGTCGTTGCGGTGCTGTCAGTGCCTATGCGCACCGATTACTGGCAACAACGGGGATGGCCGCTGTACCCGCCCACTTTGGAGTTGCCCGTACCACCGGGCCAGGCGCGCACAAACTTGGTGTCGGCGATCAGTCGCACCGGCTTCCAGCCTAACGGGACGCAGCACGACACGGCACGCAACGCAAGAATGAGACAATGATAATTGCGTTAATTGTGAACCAGGGAGGACGTGCCGCTGCGGTAGTAGGGTCCGACGGGCGACAGGATGACGAAGCAGAGCGCCTTGCCCGTTGGGGCCACGCCGAGGAAGTTCTGAAGCAGAAAAAAGAAGGAGAAGGAAAAAAAGAGTTAATTATCAATAAATTGAATCAATCGTGGGAAAAAGTAATAGAGCGGTTTAGGGGTGACAGGGGCGCACCTGTGTGGCGATCATGCACGGTCGGAGGTACAGGGAGTAGCCCTTGCCCTGGGGCACCCAGTCCTTGTCGATTCGCACCAGTTCCTTGATGCACTCCAACAGCTCCTCCTCCTTGATGGTCTGGCCTCGCGACAAACCATCGGGTGAGTCACCTTCAGGACGCACGCACGCACGCACGCACGCACCCCGCACACGCAGGAGAGGAACGTACGGGGAGAACGAGGCGGGAGCAGGACCGGTTGAAACGCTTCATGTTTTCCATGGGGCGGAAGAGACGGACTTTACCGTTGGCGTCCTTGTACGCCTTCATGCCCTCGTAGCACTAGTGCATTGAGCGAGAGTTGATGGTATAAGTATTATTATTATCATCATTACACACCCGGTCAGCACCAACCACACAGCTCTCGTGCAAGACACGAACCTCGAGCGCGTAGTGGAAGACGGAGGAGGCCGGGTCGAGCGATAGGTTCTGGTAGGGCTTGATGTGGGGCTTGTCCCATCCCTTCTCCCTGTGGCAGCCGGTGTTGAATAAAAGAAAGGTGATGAGAACGGGCCAGCACAGGTGTGGCAAGAGCCACAGCGGGAAGGTGTGGCGCACTTGTCCCACTCGACGGTGAGCATGTGGTCGCTGAACTGGGTGCCGAAGACCAGCTGCTCATTGGGGATCTTGGGCTTAGGCGCCTTCGTTCGGTCGATGACGAGCTTGTTGTGCTACACGCATGAAGAAGGAATTAAAATAAAAGAATAGAGTGGATGAAGAGGAATTAAATTGGAACAAATGAATGAACGTTGCCAACGCTCATTTCACAACATAAAATCAAAGAGAAAAGCAACAAACTTAAAAAGATTGCAAATTGGTGTGCATTTTCAGCTGGGCATACTTCCGAATGAAAAATTGATGGTTAGAAGAGGGCGTACATCAAGTTCTGCCAGCTGCGCAGAGGTGGAGTAAAGGCCCCTTCGAATGCCCTCGAACGATCGAGCACCAATCTGGGTCGTGCGGCTGGCGATGCCTGCCGAAGTAAAGTGAGCGATTCCGCGCCTCCGCATCTTTTACTGTGTTGTATGATCGATGAAGTGGATTGCTCTGTCGAAGGACCTAGGTCCTACTGGCTGCGCGGATCTCTGGATGGACGGAGCAAGCGGGACTGTGTTGTACCAAACGCGGGCGAAAACGACGCAGACAGCGGAGAGTCGACAAATAGGCAAGATGAACCAGGATCACCTGCTGACGTCAGCTGCTATTTTGAATTGTTTGGCAAAACGAAACAGTTTGATGAAATTATCTGCCGAATTGTGCAAGGTTTATTTTCTTATTTTCGAGAGAATAAGAAAGAGAGACAAGCAACATGAGCGAGCAGAAGCCTACGAATGATGAGCAGAAGGAGACGACTGAAGAGGTGACCAAGGAGGAAGAGGAAGGCGGACTGTTCAATGGAGGTATTATTTGTTTTTGTTTTGTTTTGTTGTTTAGCAATGATTTCAGATTATAACCCTCTCGCTTTGCAGCGCTTAACCTTCTTGAGCAGCTGAAAGGGCTCTCAGTTGAGGACATGAGGTGCCGACCCAGCTTTATTTTACCAATTTATGAGCGTGTTGCATTTATTTCACCTAAAAACGGTTCATCAGGGCGATGCTCAAGGCGCCGCCACAACCCGAGAAGGTGCTGTCGGAGCCAACCCTCGAGGCTGTGGCCGAGGCCATCAGGGAGGGCAAGTGTATGCACTCCTAACGCCCGCAAACGCGCTCGCAAACACGCAACACACACCACACTGGATCTGTGTGGCTGAGGTGAAGACACACGCACACGCACACGCACCACCGCACACGCACACGCCTGCATTATTGCTCTACCTGGTGTTGTTGTCTTCGGTGCACGTGAAGGCCACAAGGTGATCGTTATGGCGGGTGCCGGCATCAGCGTGGCCGCGGGCATCCCCGATTTCCGTTCGCCCGGCACTGGCCTATACGACAATCTTCAGGTCAGGCCCTGTGTGCGTGGTGTGCGTCGTGTCGTGTCGTGTCGTGATCTGGTTTATGCGTCGTGTGAGTGCTCACTCTCCCTACTTCCTCTCCTGCAGAAGTACAACTTGCCCCACCCGACGGCGGTGTTCGAGCTGGGCTACTTCAAGACCAACCCCAAGCCCTTCTACACCCTCGGTAGCCGAGATCCCCGGCTCAAGAAGCAGCACTCGAGCGCTGCTTACTTCATTGATTGTTTTATTCACTGCGGTGCCGCGTGTCGTGTCGTTGGTGGTGTCAACAGCCAAGGAGCTCTACCCGGGCAGCTTCGTGCCCACGCCTGCGCACCACTTGGTCAAGCTGCTGCACGACAAGGGCGTCCTCCTTCGGGTACGCTGAGTCGCGCATCGTGATGCCCGGTACCACGGTCTGGGCGAATGCTGAGCTCTTGTGGTGCGCGCGCACGTGCAGGCCTACACACAAAACATCGACGGACTGGAGAGGATCGCCGGCGTGCCGGACGACAAGATCATCGAAGCCCACGGGTACCACTAACCAAGCGCGCACACAAGCGCCCCAGGCGCCCATGGCCGTTCAAATTGCGAATCTCTGAGCACTCTCCGCTTCAGGTCTTTCCATACTGCGCACTGCATCCAGTGCCGCACTGAGCACGAGCACAGCTATGTCAAGGGTAGGTTCGCCCGAGCGTACGTGGGAGTGTGGTGTGCTGTCCAGGCAAGACTGGAACTGATCGCAGACGCACAACACGCCATTTGCAGAGATGGTGTTCAGCGACCAGATTCCCAAGTGCCGGAGTTGCCAGGGCCTCGTGAAGCCTGACATCGTCTTCTTTGGCGAATCTCTCCCCGCGCGATTCTTTGGCTGCGTCGCTGTCGGTACCGATTCATCCCCGCACGACACACACACACACACACTTCTTAAGCCACTCGAACTGAACGAGGGCGTTTTGTCATCTACACCAGACTTCCAGGAGTGTGATCTGTTGATCGTCATGGGCACGTCGCTCCAGGTGCAACCTTTCGCAGCGCTCGTGCAGAAGGTGCCACAATCCTGCCCGCGACTCCTCATCAACCGCGAGGTACCTTCCTTTCCGCCGCACACGCGCACGCACCTGTGCAGTCTACTGTGATCACAGTACATCAGCTCAACCCCCTCTCCACCAGTCGGTGGGTGAGGCCGTGGTGGACCCGGTGATGGTTTTCCTGGGCATGGGTGGCGGCTTCAAGTTCGGCGCGCCCGGCAACGTGCGCGATGTCCGCTGGCTCGGCGACGTCCAGCAGGGTGCGCCCCCCCCCCTCCATTCCGTAATCATCCGCTTTGTTCCGCGTTGAGCTAACACCGATAGCTTGCCATGTCAGGCGCGCACGAACTAGTGAAGCTGCTTGGCTGGGAGGAAGACTTCCAGAAGTTGTTGGCGACTGCCGAGCCCGCTCCGTCCTTGTGAGGATTCCGATTGGTGACGCCACGAACGAAGCCGACGTCACTGCGCCCACACCGCGACACACAACAACACAACACGCTATCAATAAAAGGTGGTGGGCGACGTTCCCAGAGTCGAACTGGGACCTCCTTGTTAGAGTGAATATAACGCCCGGCGTCTCTGTCCCTAGTGGCAGAGGGACAGAACGCAGGGCGTCACGGTTCCGGACTGGCAGGTGTTAGCCACCAATGGTAACAGGCGGGATTCCACACTTACCCCAAACGTCGCCCGAACCTGCACGACCACCTGTGCGACTCTTATCCGACACCAGCAGGACACCAAAACCACTTATGGTAGCATGGAGTTATAAATAAAAAAGTTGTGTCTTGTTGTTCACAAGCTGTACAGGGAACTCTCGCTCTCGAGACTCTCCGAGTTTCACTTTTGCCTGGGCCTCTGCTCATAGATGTGGAGCTTGAGACTGACGCCTCGCATCTTCTCGCGCCTCCTGCTTTCGCTTTCGTTCTTCTCCCTCTCCTCCGGGCTGGCGTCGCCTTCGCTTTCGCTCTTTCCGCAATCGCTTTCGTTCTTCGCCGACGCCGGAGGGTTGCGCGACTTGAGCATGAACTTCATGTTCCCGATCTTGGTCAGCATCTCCTTCTTCCTGCCGCGCTCATTCTGCTCAATCTGCTCCATCTTCCTTCGCCACCTCTCGCGCCGCTCCCTCCGCGCCTCCTCCTGCGCCTCGCGTCGCGTCTGCTGCTGTCGGTGCCGCCAATCGCGCACCACGTATAGGAGCGAGGCCGTGTCGAGCACCGCGACCCTCGAGCCCTCGGCGTCGTCGTAGAACACCTCCAAGTCCCGGTAGTCTCTGCTCTTGTCGACAACCTGGTCGATATCCTGGTCCACCTCCCGGGCCGATTCTTGGCTGGCGTCGAGGAGGGGCGGGTGGAGGGCGGCTACGCGGTCGAGAAGGCCGTCGAAGGTGAGCTCGACGGCGGGGAGGGCGATGAGGGAGATGTCGTCGCCCTCGGCCTCCTCCTTTCGCAGCTGCTGCAGCCGCTTCTCCTCCTGCTCGACCGCGAAGTACTTGCGCAGCAGGTGCTCGGCGCTCACCGCCAGGACGCTGATGTCATCACTGCTGCCATCGATGAGACCACCACCACTGGCGGCGGCCTTGGCGGTTGGCTGCCGCACAGTCTTCTTGTTGTTGTAGACGGGCTTCTTGAAGCGGTGGTAGACGATCTTGATACCGAGCGCCTCGGTCAGAAGCTCGTAGCCCTCCGTGGTGCTGACCTGATCCAGGACCCGCCCCAGCGTGCGATCGGCCGACGATCTGGGCGACAAGGCCGCCGAAGTCGAAGACGAAGAAGACGAAGAGGAAGATGACCTCGATCTGACCACGGAAGAGCTGGGTGAAGAGGGGGAGTTGGCGGTGATGAACGAGGCCAGCGAGGAGGGCGAAACGGAGGGCGACGTGGCAGACAGCTTCTTGGGTGCGCGTCTCTCGCTTCCGCCGCGTCGGCTGTTCGGGAACTTGCGCTCCGCAGCGGCCGATGACGACTCGATGTGGCTCCCGCAGCGCCGCAGTGACGATGGGTCATCGTCGGCCTCGCCGAACTCGTCGCCCGAGGTGGTCCGGGCATAGACCCGCAGGGCGCGCAGGGAGGCCGACAGGGACTGGAGCAGCCGGCGAGGCGAGGCCGGCATCGACGCCGACGAGGTGAGGCCGTCGTCGTGCGGTGACGACGTCACCTCGAGCTGCGGCAGCGAGAACTTGCGGTGGCCCCGATAGCCCGGCGGCTTGGCGAAGCACGCGGGTGACGAGGCTGAGCGGGGCGACAGCGGCGGCTCGTGGGCTTGCGGCAGCTTCCATGACAGCGGTGGCACCTTGGGCGACGAGCTGGACGAAGATGCGGCCGGCTGGTCGTTCTTGCTCTGACGCGGCGATCGTCGCTTGCCTCGCTTCGACGTGGCCCTGGTGGTCGTGGTCGTCGCGGCGGCCGCGGAGCTGTGCTTGGGGTGGGCGGGGACGGGCAGGGTGGAGGTGAAGGCTTCGAAGGAGTCCACGCCGTCGTTCTCGTCTTCCTCGAGCATGGCGCTGAGACCGAACACAGACGAAAGGCGGCGCGCGGACGAAGACCGCCACTGCTTCATTCGGGTTGCCATCTCTCCTCTGGTCGGTCTTGTGTGCTGCTTGTGTGCGACGACAGCGAGTTGTGTGGAGTGACCGAGGCGAAAGGGGCAGAATGAATGGGGTGTGTGGCTGTCCGACCGGTTCTTGTCTGTTCTCGGGCGAGCTGGTGGGGCTGGAACGCAACAGCTGTGGTCGTCCACCACCCAACGGTTGGTGGTCGACTAACCACCGGCCCCACGTTTGAACCTCGCCAAAGCCAAGATTCAAATGTTGCTGTAGCGGAGCCACGGAGTTGAGAGGGCCAACAGCGTGCGTGTCGCTCGTGTGGTGCAACATTAATTTTTAATCACACGAGCGTGCTTGCTCGCGGATTGGCGAATCACACAGGTGCGAGCTAGTTGTGCGTCAGCCAGATGACGGGGAGACCGCGCCCACCTCGTCGCTCGCGAAGACTGATCTCGCAAAAGAAAGCCACGGACACAAGCCCAACTCACGCCTGGGACAGGCCGTGGGCGTGTGCGTGGGCACCTGTAGCAGGGCAGCGCTACGCGGCTGCATGTGCGTGAGCAAAGGAACTTGCGAAATGCTGGTGAACTAACTCGCACGTGGAGTGCTCCACATCAACTGCTACATGGTGGTTGGCCGAGGCTGGTTGCGGTGTCTGAGTGTGTGGTCGCTGGCGCCGTCCGACCGAGCGTGTGCTATATACCTAAACATGCACACACTCAAAGTCACTTCACACACCTTGGTGCACTGACAGCCCTTGCACGGTGAGGCCAAGCGCCAAGCGCAGGTACGTACATGGTCGCTGCCACGCTGCGTGCCGGCTCAGCTTCGGCCACCGGCAGCTGGCGGCTGAGCTGGTGCTTGCGTGGGACTCTTGCGAATGAAATCTACATTCCCCTTGAATCGCTTCCGCATGTCCAACTGATACGCCACATCAACCACAACAAATACAGTCAATCGTTTTTCACATAGTGTATACATTCAATCGCAAAAATCGCCGATGAGAGCTGGCGGTACCTGGCCTCGCTTGCACTCAAAGTAGCCCCTGCGAACCTTGCTACACTGGCCTGCATGTAGGGCAGAGTTGTTGGCACCCCATCCTCGCTCAATAACGATGAGATTTGTACGTGCCAATCTCATCTTCATCTTTTGATTTGAGGCACTCGTGGAAGGTCTTCTCCTTGTCCTGCATGCAGGGGCTTATCTTGAGGCAGGCCACAAGCTCCTCCTTCAAGCTCTTGCATGACGACGCCATCCTCGCGAAGTACTTACAAAAATTATAATCTGTACTGACAAAAAATTATAATCTTAATAATAAAAATAAAAATGACATCACCGTCGACAGTAAACGAGCCGAATTTTGTGTTCCTTTTACGTTTCATTTTCAGAGAGGAAGAAGGGCCACGCCTGGCTACAATAGAAAACGTTTGATTCCGAAGAGGAGGAAGAGGTGCTGGCCGAATAGAAGCCCGGGATTCGATTCGATTCGATCTCCTCGGTTGCGAGGGCCGATTTAGAAGGGGAAGATTTTGAAGTCTTGATAGTACGCAAATTTGAACAATGAAGGGGGCGCAGAAGGCCAAGAGTAAGGGCAGCATGTCGCCCAAAGGAGGAGCCAAGAAGAAGACCCGGCAATGCATGGTCGAAATCGAAATCGATCCCTCGGATACCATCGAGACCGTCAAGGCCAAGATCTGCCAAACAGGAGGTAGCCCTCCCGTTCCGCTGATGATGCTCCCTGCCTGCCATCAATTGCCCACCTGCTTTTCTGTCTTCCTACCAGGGCTGACGTTTGATCAAGAGCAGCGCCTCATCTTCGACGGCATGGAGGTACTCCGCTGTTACACGTCCCGTGTGCTTTGTGCTGGCCATTTGTGCCTTTGCTCATCATGTCGTGTCTGGCTTGTGCTCTTGCGCCTGGCGTAGGTCATGGACCACAAGCGCGTGAGGCAGTACAGCATCGCGCCGGGCGATGTCGTCCACCTAATCCGCAAGGAGCGCTGACGGCCCGCCGAGCAGCCAATGTTCTGGAACACCGGGGGAACTCTTCGGGGAGAGGTAGGACACATTCACCCTTTCTTCGCGTTGCTGGCGTTGCCGTTGATGCCGATAGCTCTCTATGGTTGTACCGTGCTGCAGTTAAGCGGCTCCTCGGAGGGTTGGGCGACAGCTTTTGCGGCGAGCCCAGCACGGCAAGCGGCGAAAGAAGAGAGAAGAAAGGGCGAGTGAGGCGGAAGAACGAAAGCGACGAACGAAACGAGCGGAAACGAGGGCGCGGCTGCGTCATCATCATCGACACCGCTGCATATGTTCTCATGCGGGCTGCAGAAAATGGGCCTGCGGTTCCACCTCCTCTGTTGTGTCGCTGTTCTGCCTTCTCTCACACACACTCACTCTGTCTCTTTCCTTCGCCGTTCTTCTTCCTCTCCATCTTCTCTTTTGTGAATTTGTTGAACTCTACTCTATGCGCGTGCGTGGGCTGTGTACATATGAGAGAATACACTTTATCAACCACCTCTGTCATGTCTCACCTGCTCACTGCACGCCCACGTCCACTTCAGACTTAGCACGTGGAGGCGGCATGTGGGAAAGAGGGCCGCTCGCCCTGCGCTCAGTCGCCCACTCGTCGATCTTCGTCCTGCGAGCTGTCGATGGCTCCTGCACGGACCATGCTGGGTTGACATCAACATCAACGGCTTTTGTTGGTGGGCCTTCTTCTTCGCCTTGAGGAGGCTGGGTCTCACTCAGGCGCGCTTGTAGAGGAGATCGTAGTGGCCGGGTCGATAGAGCAGAGTCACCAGCTCGCCACGGCCCTTGAAACGCTCGTCGGGCAGAATATAGACGGCGAACGGACCCTCGCTGCGGTCGAGCTGGTAGACGCGCACGCCCACGTCGAGCGTGGCGAGGAGGGCGCTCATCTCCAGCTGCTCGGCCTCTTCGCCCATGCGTTCGGCCAGCGCGCGCCGGTCGGCCAGGGCCTGGCCCTCGGGCAGGAAGACCGCCAGCTCGTCCCGTCGCTGCTCGAGCGATCGCGACGTCAGCGATCTGATCGCAGCACGCACGTCGTGAGCGAACGAGACAGGGCAAGCCACCGTTGGCACGCTGACACACGGCCAGTTAAATTTTAGCATGCGCACCTGAGATAGCGCACGAACATATCCGAGGTCTCGCTGTCCTCGTACCATCGCGCCCACTCGCGCGTGCCCGTCTTCTTCTCCGCCTCCTCCTTGGCGAAGTGCTGCCGCACCTGCCGCCACGAGTCCTCTTCTGTCAGCGCTGGTGCGGCAGACGCTTGCAGTGTGGCCTCCGCCGTTTGGAAGCGCCCGCGAAGCGCCTCGACAGGGTCACCGCCTCGGCCGACTGCGTCCTCGACAAGCCCGACCCACAAGGCTCGGTAGAAGCAATTACCTGCAATTGTGTGGTATATAAATAAATATAAATATAAATATAAATATAATAACATGTGCATATTATTGACTCATTTTTGTTATAATTTGGAGGGTACCGTCGCCACGGATGGAGCGCCACTGGGGGTAGGCCAGTGAGAGGGTGCGGATCTTCTTGCGGATGACAAGGTTGGCGTAAGTCGCCTCCAGCTTGACGAGTTCCTCTCGCTCACCCACCAGTTGGTGAGTGCCCGATGCAGAGCACTCCTCGCTTCCCTCCATCTTCAGTGATTGCTTGTCTTTCACGCACAGTTGAGAAAAAACAAATGATAAATCTTCCGGACTGGCAACAATAGTAATATGTTATTTAATTTAGCCCCACCGAGAATCGAACTCGGGTCACGTGAACCAAAATCACGCATGCTGCCAACTACACCATGGAGCTTGAGCTGAGTAAGTCTATTTGGGAAAAAAACGGGCTGATAAAGCTGCATTAATTAAAACGTGTGGGCGGAGGAGTAAAATATTTTGGAATCACCACTAAGATACAAGCACAAGCTTTCACTTCATCTTCTCCTTTTTGAGTCTCCTGCACTACTCCTCTTTAATGAATCTTCGTTCTTCATCTCTTTCATTTTTCAATGCGGGAAAGGTGAAATCTTCATCATTTGGCCCGTTGATAATGTTGGCCGTCGTGGTGTTGGTGCTTGGCCTCGGCACGGGCCGAGCGACGGCGGAAGGCGAGGAGATCATCGCCGCCACCTTCGCCGACTCATCGTGCACCGAACCCAAGCTCATGGCCCGACCACAGTCCCTCCGCGGCGGCGACTGCGTCTTCTCCCGCCCCTACAATTTCTACTACACCATCTCCAACCCCTCCGGCAACATCGCTCTGTACGAACACCCCAACCCAACCTTCATTTATTTTTAATTTTATTTTTATTCGTCCGCAGTTAGTGAATAAATAAGGTTAGTTATCTTATACTTATTAAAATAATAATAACATAACGTGCGGACAGGTTCCGCTACGTGTGCGAGAAAGGATGCGCGGTGGAGACCTGCAAGTTCCAGGCCAGCGCGCCGTTCGGCACCTGCGCCAGGGTCAACATCACCCTGCCCGCCAACAACACCAACGCCACCACTCCGACTTCCACCTCGAGGTTCGACGCCTTCACCGGCGACAGCGCGGCCGCCGAGGGCATCCACAGCAACGGGACCATCACCGTCTTCGCATCGGCGTGGCGCGTCGAGCAGAACCAGACGCTGGCCTTCCGCGTCTACAACGACCACACGTGCTCGTCGATGCGGCCCTACGGCCAGTACCACGTCGACAGCGCCCTGTGCACCTACTCGAAGCTCATCAACTCGTCGTTCATGACGTCCTACCTCGACGGGCGGGACTCGACCGAGGACCTGCGCGTGGCCTATCGCGTCAACTGCAACCAGGACTGCTCCGATTGCGCCATCTACAACCGCACCGCCATCGGCGCGTGCATCCCAATTGGTAAGCGCACGCACCACCGCACACGCACACGCGATAAATGGAACTCATGCGTGAATGTGGTGGCAGACAATGCGTACGTGAGGGTAATGCTGGGCGCGACTCCCGAGCAGGGGTTCCCGACGTGGGAGCTGGTGGTGATCATCGTGTGCGCGGTGGGCGGCGGCGTGGCGATCGCGCTCATCGGCCTCACCACCACTTTCCTCGTGTGTCGCCACCTCAAGCGCCGCCGCACCGTCTACCGGGCCATCAACTGACCCGAACCGCCTGCGACTCGATTTTGGATAGTATTTATTTTCTTTTCTTATTTGAAAAATGATTGGTACAGTTGGTGGCTTCGCTTCATGTCTGTTTCTGGCCGCTTGGGACACCAACCTGTTGTGGGTGTGTCCTCTCGTCAAACACCAGCACGAAAAGCAACAGCTCGCTTACTCCCTCGCACCCTCACATCCACTCGCACACCTACATCGTTGGAACAGCCGTTATGAAGGTAGCCTTCCCCTAGTCCCTTCCCTCTGACCATCTTTTTTGCATCTTTTGTGGTCTTGCTCGTGTGTGAGGCCATTTGGCGCAATTTCACCACTTGCTCGTACAGGTGGGCCAACACCGCCTCCACTAAGATTTTTTCATCCCCCCCCCTTCGTTTCACGTAGCGCGTGTTTGCAGTCGTTGGCAGACCAGGCGGCACAGCTCGAGCCACAACTCTATGTACGCTCTTGCGCCTTGTTGCTTTTTTCCTACGTAGGCTCACCGCATGCGCCAGGCCGTGTGGCTGTCGGTAGCACGACACCCCATCAGGCTCGCGTAGGCCTGCGTCGTCTGGCGACCCCCTGCACGGCGTCCGAAGCCGTCTCCCACGGATCTCAGCCCCACACGCCCGAGGAGGCCGCCGACGAGTGCGCACACTCCCCTCTTCCTCTGCCTGTGGAGCTCTGCTGCCCTCGTCAGCTCACCCAAGCTGCGGCAGGGCGGCGCTGGGTGCGCTGCTGGGGCAGTACAAGCGGGGCTGGTCTCTCCCGCCCAAGTTTTACAACGCCGAGGCCCTGCACCGCATGGTACACTGCCTGTCCCCCAGGTATGGTGGAAACACGCACCCTCACCGCTTTTTCCTGTCGTGCGCGTATGCGGGGGGTCGAACACGTGGCACAGGACATGAAGAAGGTGTGGCAGACGTCGTGGCTCTTCGCCGGGTTCACCTTTCAGATCCCCAACACCGGTGACTACTTCACCTACCAGATCGGCGACGACTCTATCATCGTCATCCGCGGTACCTCTCACCCTGCGTTGTTGCGCGTGGCGCGTGCGACCGGCTGACGCGGCACATGGCATGCAGACGAGAGTGGTGGCATCAGCGCGCTCTACAATGCGTGCCGACACCGTGGGTCGAAGATCTGCACGAAGGAGGCAGGGCGGGCCACCCGCTTGGTGTGTCCCTACCACCAGTGGACCTACGCTCCCGACGGCCGCTTGCTGCGGGCCAAGTGGATGGAGCAGGAGGGCTTCCGCACGGAGGACTTTGGGCTGGTGCGGGCCAAGGCCGAGGAGGTCGACGGGCTCGTGTGGATCTCGCTCGCCGACAACCCGCTGCCGTTCGAGGAGGCCCGCCCCATCATCTCGAACGAGGTCAGTCACGAGCGCACGTAGCAGCGCGGCACGACACGCACTAATCGAAAAGAGTGAATGAACGCATTAACAGATCAAACCGCACGAGTTCCATTTGGCCAAGGCGGCGCATGTGGCAGACTACGATATCAACGCCAACTGGAAGCTGGTCTACGAGAACAACAGGTGCGCGTTCTCTGTTGGAAATGTCATTTACAAGACTTGATTCCTTCAGGAAACTGACCACGTCGTCGCGCGATCTTGCAGAGATTGCTACCACTGCAACGTGGGCCACCCCGAGTACATCAAGGCCAACTACGACACCGTACCGCACTAACTGTCTCAACCACACACGTGTGCACGTTCAATGTTTGACTCATCAGAGTTGGGTGTTGGGTGTAGGCGTTCATCTACGTCAAGAACGCCGACGGGAGCTTCTCCCGGCAAACTGATCCCAGCGTGTCCAACCGGGACGAGATCGAAAACGTGCGTGCCATCTCCATCGGCGCTCTCGCCTTACGGGCGATCGTAACTGTTACTGATGAAACCGCGGCGGGGCACTGCAGTTTATGGCGGAGAAGACGAAGGAGTGGCAGCAGATGGGCCTCAACACGATGTGCTCCCCCGCGTCGTCTTTCCCGGGCGCAGGTTCCCCCGCATACACTTGGCGCGCCCAAACCGCGCAACGATCTGATACGCGTATGTGTGCCTGCAGGGTGGTACCGTGCGTCGCGTACGCCCCTGCGCAAGGGCTTCGTGACCGAGTCCCTCGACGGAAAGCCCGTCTCCAATCCGCTCCTCGGCTCCTTCAAGGACAGGTAACCAACCCCTTCTATGTTCTTTTAATTTTAGCAGCTCTCCTGATGGACTTTGCGATGCACGCCCAGGGACGTGGGATCGATGCGCGTCCACACGCTGCCCAACTTCTGGATTCACGCCTCTGGTGACCACGCCGTCGCCACAAGGTGCGTTCATCACTTAGACACGACACGGCCACTATACATTCGCTAATGTCTGAATAGGTTGACGCCCGCTGGTCCTCAAAAGACAAAGGCGCGAGTGTGGTGGCTAGTGCACAAGGACGCCAAGGAGGGCGTGGACTACACCCTCGACAGGCTCCTGCCCATCTGGCAGAGGACCTCCGAGCAGGTGACATTCTTAGCACATGAAGGGCCTTCGCAGTGCGGCCAACCTGTGGACTGGTCTTTGCTCACCTGCGTGTGATCGCGTGCGGTCGTGCTGGCAACACAGGATTGGGAACTGTGCGAGCTCAACCAGATGGGCGTCAACTCGTCGCGTCACACGCCCGGCCTCTATTCGGAGAAGAAAGAGGTAAACCAGCGTGGCCGTTCGTCAGTATAGAATGTGCGTGTGGTACCCTGCTCAACTCAGTTTTCCCCCTCTCCAGGCCGGTGTGGACAAGTTCACCCAGTGGTACATCAAGAAGATGTCCGCCTGATTTCGAATTTCGAACCCGATCCCTTTCATCGTCTGGGGGAGCTGGAAAAGAAGAACTATTTTGGATTAAAAATAAAACATCATTTCCACGCTTTTCCGGGCCTACTTTTCTCCGTGACGCAAGAAATATTCCAGCTTTTTATTGTTGAGTTGATTTGTAAGCAAGCAAGAGGCCTCTTTGTTGTGTTTAGACAGCTCGTCGGCCAAGTAAGTGGTAAATATCTCTCCTTCCATTTGCGCAAGCGCTGCAATCATCGCATGAGAAAGGAATCCAACTTTTCATTCTAATTTTTGATTCTGCGGGCAGGACATGGTCTACACGCCAGTGATTAGGGACGAGGGCGAACGCGGCAGTGACCGCTCGCCGGTGCGGCCTCGCGAGAGGTCGCGCTCACGATCGAGGTCGAGATCGAGAGGGAGAAAATCGCCTCGCTACGATCGGTACGGACGAGATGGACGGCGTGATGGAGGCAGAAGCCGGAGCAGGGAAAGAGAACGCGAGAGCTACCGCGAGCGAGATAGAGAAAGAGAAAGGGACAGAGATAGGAGAAGGAGCCGAAGCAGGGAACCAGAGAGGCGCGGCCGCTGGGACAGAGCTGATGCCAGCCCCAAGAGAAGGTTCACTCGATTCCCTCTTTTGTCAATCTCTTGCTTTTGTCTACTCGATTGTTTACCTTGTTCTTTCTCGCAACTGCAGATCGCCCGGACGCTATCAGGATGAGTGGCGTCGTGTGGACAACTACCGCCCCTATGGCGGTGACTCGTATGGCGGTGGCGGCGGTGCTCCCGGCTCCGAGGCATGGCTCGAACAGTACCGCTTCCACCTCCCTGCGCTCATTCTCCCCTTTGATTGCCCGATACACAACATGAGACGAGACGACACCCGCCCAATGCCGGTCTCGTGCTCATCATATGCTGACCTTGGTGCGTGTTTTGTTATGCAGTCGCAAGGAGTTGCGCAAAACGGCGAGACTGCGGAGTCCCGTGTGGGCACCATCACCCTCGCCTCCGCGCCGAATGCGCAAGGCCGCCGCCAAGCGCAAGGCGCGCAGCGAGAGCGACGATGACGACGAAGAGGAGAGGGGCCGCAAGCGCGAGGAGGCCGTTCGTGGCAAACAGGTGCGCGAGCTGAGCGACGATGAGAAGGACGGCAAGGCCGGCGACGAGAAGAAGCGGAAGGAGAAGGACAGCAAGAAGAAGAGGAAGCACGATTCGTCGTCGTCCGACTCTGAATCCTCGGATTCGGACTCGGATTCCTCGTCCGAGGAGGAGCGGAGGAAGCGGAGGAAGAAGCGGAGCCGCAGCAGCAAGCGCGACAAGAAGAGCCGCAAGAGCAGCCGTCGGTCCTCCAAGAAGAGTCGCAAGAGCAGGCGGTCGCCTTCGCCGTCATCGTCGTCGTCCGAGGACGAGAAGCTGAAGAAGAAGAGCAAGTCCAAGGAGCGGAGCAGGAGCGCCAGCGAGAAGCGGGACGCGTCGTCGGACGAAGAAGACGAATACGTGGAAAAGCCAAGCACCGCCGTCGTGGCCGCCGAGGCTCCTGCCACGGGCGACAGCGAACAGCAGCTGGCCAGGATCGAGGGCTCGGTGGACGGAGGTGCGACGGACGCCCATGGCGAGGGTGGCGACGAGGACGACGAGGACGACTGGGCGGAGCGCAAGGTCGACGCGCCGGTGCACGTTGGCCCGATGCCGCTGCCCAAGATGGAGCTGGGCCACGGCGGCTACGGTGGCGCGATGATGCCGGGTGAGGCCGAGGCCTACGCCAAGTACGTGCAGGAGAACAAGCGTATCCCGCGACGAGGTGAGGTCGGCCTCTCCAGCGATGAAATCGAGAAGTTCGAAACCCTCGGCTACGTCATGTCCGGCTCGCGTCACAAGAGGTACGCACAACGAGACGAGAATTGTTTGTTATTTCAGCTCTACAGAGTGCCTTTCTACGCGCGCGCGTGTACTGATTATTGTTAACTCTTTCTATTTCGACAATGACAGGATGAATGCAGTGCGTATCCGAAAGGAGAACCAGGTCTACAGTGCGGAGGAGAAGAGGGCGTTGGCGCTGTTCAACTACGAGGAGAAGGCCAAGCGCGAGAACAAGATTCTCGCCGAGTTCCGAGACATGATCGCCGTCAAGTTCGGCACCATCAACCCGAGCGGCAGCGGTGGCATCAAACCGCCCTCCGGCGACGAGTGAGCGGCGCAAGCAGTCAGCACGACAACACCACCAACCGTTGTCGCATGTGAATAAATAAATCAAAAACACATGTGGTTGTCACAGCTTCGGTTTCTCGGTAGCGGTGATGGTTCGTCTGCTGGCCAGAAGGCGAAAGTTGAACCAGCGGGAGGCGAAGGGACAGGGCTAAGTGCTTGTGCGGCGAAAGGGCGGGCCTTCGCCGAACAAGGATGTTTTGTGTCGACATAATCGAGGCACGGGCCAACGGGAAATCAAAGAGGCGGGTGGTGGAGACAACAAAGCAACTGCCTTCGTCGAACGGCAACGCGAAACCAGACCACACACGAAAATTATTTTCGTTACATCATCAGAAGGAAGCGCCCATAAAGCTGCATCTTGGTACGTTGTTCGATATTCTTAACCCTCTCTCCTTCAACAAGACTCGTGTATAACTCGCGTCTGAACGGCTTCCGACTTTTTGCTCCTCCTCCGACAGACCCTCTCATTTAATTAATCAACAATGGCGATGCAAGCGATCAAGTGCGTGGTGGTCGGCGACGGTGCCGTCGGTAAGACCTGTCTTCTGATCTCGTACACCACCAACGCCTTCCCCGGCGAGTACATCCCTACGGTCTTCGATAATTACTCGGCCAACGTCATGGTCGATAACAAGGCCATCAACTTGGGCCTCTGGGATACGGCCGGCCAGGAGGACTACGATCGTCTCCGCCCGCTGTCCTACCCGCAGACCGACGTCTTCCTCATCTGCTTCTCCGTCGTGTCGCCTCCCTCGTACGAGAATGCCCGCAACAAGTGGAATCCCGAGATCATGCACCACTGCCCGACCACCCCCAAGCTGCTCGTCGGTACCAAGACCGATTTGAGGAACGACGCCGACACCATCGCGCGCCTCGCCGACAAGAAGATGCAGCCCATCCAGCAGGACCAAGGCGACAAGCTCGCCAAGGAGGTCGGTGCCGTCAAGTACCTCGAGTGCTCCGCCCTCACCCAGCAGGGCCTCAAGAACGTCTTCGACGAGGCCATCCGCGTCGTCCTCAACCCGCCCTCGCCCGCCAAGAAGGAGAAGAAGGGCAAGTGCTCGCTCTTCTAAGCGGCGCCCCTCGACCCCGAGCCTCATCTCGTCGGATGCCCTCTTGAGCCGCCCCCGCACGTGCCCCCCCGACGACGAATTACGAATATTACGCTACGCGAGCGGTGGGGGGAAACGATCGATCGCCCTACTCCTCATCTCCTTTCGCAGCATCATCATCCCGTTTCATCTCTCGTACCCCCCTTTGTATAGTTAATACACGATCGCGCACCAACATCATTCTCGACGTTCGTCCATTCTCAATCAAGAAATATTGTGGAGTGTCTCTTTATTCGGCGCCGTGCAAGCACAGACCAAGGTGATGAAGAACAACAAGACCACACACGAACAGTTGCTTTGTGGGAGCGACGGTTGGTGGCACGAAGTGCCGGTCGACCTTGGTGCGCTTGGTGGCATCATTCCTCCACCTGGAGTCATGCTGGCGCGTCAATACAAGACCCCGCCACCACCGTCACGATCGCCACCAGGATCAACAGGGCTGGCAGCTGCTTTCAACACACGACTCACTATACGCGTGGCACACGCATGTACGAGGTCAGCAATGCGCATTCACTGAGTGTAAAGAGTGATCAGGAGAACCGAGAATGTCGGATCCTGTAGGTCACAAGTTTGCACGTCAGCCAAAGGGTTGGCCATGACCCTCGAGAGCCCGCTTGTGCAAGGGGCCCTCGCACAGCAGAACGGGCCAGGTAGTGTGCTTCGGGCCATCGCGAAACCTCCACTGAGTGCGCCTTCCCAGAAAACTTGTTGTACCAGCACAGCACTCTAGAGGGGCTGTGCTTTTGTGCTTCTTGTCCTGTTTAACGACGAGACCACTTTGTTACAACGCCTTGTTTGATGCCATGGACGACCTCGCTCCTCAAAGTACGCTCGGCCATTGATGTGAATAGAAATTTAATCTCATCTCACCGATTTTTGCAGGGATTTGTCATGTTCTTGGCGGTTAACCCGTTTTTTGCCATCTTCTTCACCTACGACGTAATCGGTGCTCTGGGCAGCGAGCTCGGTACCCCCATCTCCTTTTTGCTAATTTATCTCATCTTTTTTTCCAGATATTAATCGAGATTATGTATGTAGAGGAGGAGATGGGCCTGCAGGCCGAGGAGATCGGGTGGCTCTACTCTGGTAAGTGTGGCCCAAGCGTGACCGCACCACTGGCTCCCTGTCTCACACTCCTCTTTGCCCCGCTCCAATGCTTGTGTTGCACAGCCTACTCCATCTTCACGCCTGTGATGGTGTTCCTCAGCGGCCTGCTCATCGACAAGATCGGCGCCAAGAAGTGCGCTCCTCTGTTCACGCATGCATGTGTAGCGTCGCGTGTTGTGCGCGGCGTCGCGCGCGTTGCATTTATCTTCTGAGTGTGTCACGCAACTAACACGAATATAGGACTGCGATGCTGATGTCGTCTATCATGGTGGGCGGCACGGCGGTGCTCACCTACGGTGGCTACCGACGCGAGTTCTTGACCATGGCCGGCGGCCGTCTGGCGGCCGGGTTTGGCGAATCGCTCCTCGTTGCCATGCAGGCCATTATCGTACTCTCTTTCTCTATACACACGGCACACAGCGACAAAGGAACGCGCTAACGAACACTATGCAGTGCCAAAATTTCGTCGAGGCGTGGTGGCTCAACATGGCGTTCGCCATGAGCAACGTGTGGGGCCAGCTGGGGAATGCCAGCGTATTCTTTCTGCTGCCGTTCATCTCCAAAGGCGGCCTGACCCTTGCCGTCAGTACCTCCTTTATGTGCGTTACCCTCCGTGTGCCCCCTCTGTCGTCGTGCGTGCGGTGATGACCATTCTCACCACAACAACCCCTTCAGCGTGTCGGCGTTTGCGTGGCTCACGTGTCTTCTCTATGTATGCATCGACGGCCCCACCTTGCGCGAGAAAATCGGCGGTACCTTCCCACCCATCCGCGTGTTGCATTCCTCGATCCCAACCCTCCCTTCACGACCACCACAAAGGCGTCAGTTCGAGCGTCGAGGGCTCAAAAATGCGGCTGAGCGACATCAAGGAGTTCCCGGCCAGCTTCTGGTACAGTCTATCGCATCAAATTGTTGGATGCTCGGGCGCTGACCTCTTGCGCGCGACCTGGCCGCCACAGGTGCCTCTCGCTGATCAACTGCCTGTCGACGTGCTCCATCTTCGTGTCGATGTCCTTTGGACCATTGTTCCTGATCGAGACCGCGGGCTACTCGGCGAGCATGGCCGGCACCATCATCGCGCTCATGAACGTCACCGTGCTGTTGGCGCCCATCGCCGGCTGGATTCTCGACGCCATCGGTTCGTTGAACACACACGACACAACCGCACACGCGCACGCAACACGCCAGGCAACGCTGACACATCGCCTTGGTCCTGCAGGACAGCGGGTGTGGATCTGGATCGGCTGCTGTGCCCTGATGGCCGCCTCATTTGCCGTTCTGGCGCTCGACAAGATGGACCCCGTCTTCTGGCTCATGCTCATCGGTTGGTTCCTATCTACTTCCTTTTCTACCCTTCGCGTGCGCCGTGGACGCCATTTCTGATGCACGATCGCACGCGCACACAGGGGTGTCCTTTGCCGTCCTGAATTCGTCGGTGAACGCCGCCATCTCGCTTGTCGGTACGTCCTGCCTGCCGATCTATGAGTTGTGGCGACTGAAGCTTAAATTGGGGCCATGCAGTGTCGCCTCGGGTGTTTGGCACGGCCTATGGGATCTGCGGGGTCATGTTCAACCTCTCGCTCCTCATTTTCCCGTCCCTCATCGGCGCCATTCGCAACGCCCTTGGTACCTCCGCGCAGCTTTCCGCGCTCGCCCCTGCTCTGCACCCGAAGTTGACCCGTGTCGTGTGTCGTGTGTGTCGTGCGTGTCGTGTGTGTCGTGTGTCGTGTGTCTTGCGCTGTGAAGGATCGTTCACTGTGCCGATGTTGGTGTTCGCGGGGATTAACCTGCTGGGGGTGCTGGTGGCCGTGGCGCTCTTCTTCTTCAACCGCGCGTGTAATGACAACATCCTCAACCTCACGGCGCACCAGATCGACCAACTCACGTCCGTTCGCCGTGTCGCTGATGACGCCGACGCCGACGACGTCTACAAACCCACTCCCGGGAGTAGTGACACTGCCACTCTCTGGCCCACAGAGACCACACCCCTCACTCGCTGACTGCACACCTCTATTTTATTTTATTTATTTAAAAATACGCAAAAAAGCCCGGAGCTTTTTATCCTTGCTTTTTTTTCATTCCGTGAGCGGCTTGGTGAAGATGCGTGTGCACGCCCTTCTTAGTCCTTTGGAGCGACCAGACACCAGTGGACACGAGTGACGCGACCCAAAGAGTGGTCGGGAAGTTCATGTAGGCAGGAATGGGTCAAAACGTGCGTGGCACAGCTCTCTTCTGCCCCCCCCCCGCCAGTGAGAATTCTCATAGGCGCGCCGGGGTTGGCGTTTGTAGGCCAAGAAGACAGAAAGCCAGTCTCAAGCCTTCGTCTCGCTCCTTCCGTGTTCAACGCCGCGGTGCATTCTTGAGGCTGTCATTGCCGTTCTGTGGACGCCTACCTCCGTGTGTCACCAGGTGTCATCACGTGCAGACGACTCGGCAATCGCCTTCCGTGGGCTGGTGGCCTACCCCGATAGGGCAGTGGCCAAGGACTCGCGGAGTCGGCTTCCCACACGTGTGTGGCTCCGAGAGTGAAAGTGCACTCGAAAGCACGCAGACGCGCACAAACCCCCCCGAGCTGGACCAACAACTTGCGGTGCTCCACCCCCACGCTTAGCTGAGACAACACATCAAGCCAGCAAGACACGAAGACAAGGGAAGAGGAAGAGAGCAAGAGTGCACACGCGTGCGAAGAGGGAAGCCGGGAGGGTAAGCTAGCAACCGACACACACAATGCAAGTATCTTGCGCGGCTTCCATCTTGCTTCCACTGCTCGCCTCGATCCTCCTTCTTCACTTCTCGCCTGGTACCCCCCCCCGACAATGTGATGTTGTGGGCTGGAAATGTGCTCAATGCGTGTCGTGTGTTTGCCGTGTCGTATGTTGTGTGGCGTGCGTTTTCGGGCATGCAAAGTGCAAGCGGCACCCACCTATGGTTTGATGCTGTACGGCGCGGGCTCGTCCAACACCGAGCCTCTGCTGAGCGCCTGGTTTCGCGCGTACCACTTCATGCGCGACGATGTTGGGTATGTCGAACTGCCAACTCCCCCCCCCCAAACCTCTTTCCTCTTTCTCGGCTGACCAGGAAGAACCTGTGGCGTGTCCGCAGATTCAACTACTCGGCCATCGGCTCAACTGCGGCCCTCGCCCAATACTCCAATGGAGCTCTGGTATCGCACACGCGTGTGTCGTGTGTCGTGTGTCGTAGCATGGAGCGGCTTGGGCTGACGTGTGTCATGTGCGTGCAGGACTTCATGGTGCTGGACCGCGCGATTCCGACAAACGAGGAGGCGCGATTGGGCAACCTCGCCCAGTTCCCCTTGGCCGCCCAGGCCATGGTGCTGGCCTACAACATCTCCACGCTCGGCCCCCAAGACCCCCACCTGGTACGCAAGCTGACGTGGCATACTGCTCTTTGACGACAGTTGACTCTATTGACGACAATGACTCATTGACTAGGTCTTGGACCGGGAGACGATCGGACTCATATGGGCGGGGAACATCGCCACATGGGACGACCCGATCATCAAGCGACTCAACCCGCTGCTGGCCGACAAGCTGCCCGCCGAGCCCATCATGCTGGGCTATTCGGACTCCAACTCGACGCTGTCGGCCATCGAGATCTTCAAGCGCGCGCTCGAGAACTTCAGCCCGGAATTCGCGCGGGCCTTCGCCGAGGCCAATCGCACGTTCGCCCTCATGCGCCCTGCGCTCACCGGCACCGCCATGCCGACGGGCGTGACCTCTGACAACCGAATCAGCTTTCTCCGGGTACGCCAGATCACACGCCACTCACAGCACGCCACACGCACCATCGCACACGGATCTGCGTTAATGATATACTTTACAATCAAAATGGGATTTGCAGGCCAACCCCAATTCGATGACGTTCCTCAACTATGGGCAAGTGCGGAAGAAGGGCCTGGGGTGGGTCAACATGATCAACAGGGCCGGCAACCTGGTCGAGCCCAACGCTACGACGGTCGGGTCGGCGATGAACGACTTCTCCGACTGGTTTGACGACGGCGAGTTCAACATCGACATCTACGACGCCGGCGGTGCCAACTCGTGGCCGTTCTCCTTCATCTCCTACTTCTCGATCAACAAGGACGTGCAGACGTTCGACTGCACCAACATTCAGGAGCAGCTCAACTTCGTCTCCTGGATCTACACCAATGACGCGTACGTGTGCTTCTTCTTGCGTGTGTCGTGTCATGTTGTTGGTCGTGTCGTGCCGTGTGCGAAATCGCACACATTGCTAAGCGATATTGCAGTGTGTCGGAGGTGGCGTTGGACGAGGTCGACTTCGTGCCGCTGAACGTCTCGCTGCGCAAGCGGTTGATCGACCGACTGGTCTCGGTGCAGTGCAACGGCCAGAAGGCGGTCACCACGCCCTACCTCATTGGCATCGGCCCGGCGCTGCCGCTCTACACATCGTGGGCCGTGGCGCAGAGCGGCCTGTCGGCCAAGGTCAAGTACTACGTGTCGACGTCCAAGGAGGCCAAGAAGAACCTGGCCACGGGCGACGAGGACTTTGGCACCACCAACGACGGGCTCTCCGCGCGGTGGCTCGGCGTCATGGACGACGTGGCCCTCATGCCCGCGGCCGCCTTTGCAATAGCCCCAGGTGCGTACATGCAGTTCCACGAATTCCTCACAACAGCCGGTCACCGCTGGGCGTACATGGGAGAATTTGAGCTATGCGTTCGAGTAGTGCTGACCCAGGGTTGGTGACGGTTTGGTCAGGGTATCATCTGCCAGAGGTCGGGAAGGGTCTAGTGCTGGACTTCAACGTGATTGCAGCGATCTATCTCAATTCGATTACGATGTGGAACGACCAGCGCATCAAGAACCTGAACACGCCAGAGGTGGCCGCCCTCCTACCGGCGCAGCCCATCATCGTGATCACCCAGTCCATCCAATCCGCCGTCACACGGCTCTTCACCGCGGTGCTTAGTGCGCGCGTGCCCGAGTTTGCTTCTCTGGTGCGTTCTGCCGCAAATCAGCCCACCAGCCGATTTCCTGACATCGCTTCCCCCGTGTGTCATGTGTCGTTTTGCGGTTGCCGTGTGTCGTGCGTTGCTTTCCTCGATTTCAGGTAGGGTCGGGCAGCATGGCCGAGTTCCCAGTGCAGTCGGCGGTCAACCGGTCCATCGTCACGGCGGATGTCGCCGGAGTGATTCCCCTAATGAGTTCCACGCCCTACTCATTCACATTCTGGACCAACTACGACCTCATCATCGTACGCCCACCAGCTCTCTGCAAATCCTTACGACTATCATTGCTTACACATCGCGTGTTGCACATTCCAGACACGAGGGATCAACCCCGCCGCACTGATCAATCCGGCGGGCTTCGCCGTAGCCCCAACGACCAGTTCGGTTATTAGTGCTCTGGACGACTACGTGGCCGTGGGCTCCCGGAGCATCTCCTACGACGCCCTCGCGCTCGGTACGTCCACCTTCTATGTCATTCAGTCCTCTAGGTGCTCGAGCCGACGAGTTCGCACTTGGTCTGTGGTGCGTGTGGCAGGTCCGGGCAGGTATACGTGGCCGCTGGTGACGTTCGGCTCGTTCATCTATCGACAAAGCGCGATGCAGGACTGCGCCAAGGCCGCCGCTCTAGCCGAGTTTCTCTACTGGTCCCAGACTAGCTCCGCGGCCGAACAGATCGCCAGCAGGTTGCGCGAACTTATCGATAGCCACAGTGATCAGTCAGTTGCTGACCGCACACGCACACGCCACACACACGTGCGCAGGCAAGGATTCGTGTTGGCGACATCGGTCGACATTCTGCGGCGCCACTTCTTCAACCTGCTGGCCAACTTCACATGCCAGGGTAGACCCGTGAGCTCGGTGCACGGCTGCGTGCAAAATGGCGAGCTATGCTCGGGCGCGGGCTCCTGCTCCAACAACTCGTGCCTGTGCAACAAGGGCTGGTGCGGCACCTTCTGCCAACGGCGGTGCAGCAACGACTCCCCCGCCACCCTGCCTATCGTCCTTGGTACCCTCGAAAGCGTTGACATTTAGGGAATGCACACAGCTTCTGACCCGTGCGCACTTCGCATTCCACGCGACGACGCACAGGCATTGCCATACCGACGGTGGTGGTGATCGTGATCTTCGTGTGTGCGCTCCTGCTGACGTGTGCAATCGCATGGCGGAGGCGCGGCGATCCGGACAAGGACTGGGAGATCGACTACGACGAGCTCACCATGGGGCCGCAGCTGGGCGTAGGCGGCTACGGCGAGGTCTACCGGGCCTTGTGGAAGGGCACCGAGGTCGCCGTCAAGGTCATGCCCGCCGATCGCATCACCCGCGACATGGAGAAGAGCTTCAAGGAAGAGGTACACACCCAACCGCACACGCGATCACATCACACACGCGTGCGGCTGACCAGATTCACATTGCGTGTATAGGTGCGTGTGATGACTTCGCTGAGGCATCCCAATGTGGTGCTGTTCATGGCCGCCAGCACCAAGCCGCCCAAGATGTGCATCGTCATGGAGTACATGACGCTCGGTTCCCTCTACGACGTACGCCGTGCCCGTTCGTGTCACGATCTGTTTGTTTACTGACCGTGTGCGGTTTGCCGGTGGCAAGCAGTTGCTGCACAACGAGCTGATTTCGGAGCTTCCTTTCGAGCTGAAGGCCAAGATGGCCTACCAGAGCGCCAAGGGCATGCACTTCCTCCACTCCTCGGGCATCGTGCACCGCGACCTAAAGTCGCTCAATCTCTTGCTCGACGCCAAATGGAATGTCAAGGTTCATTCCTCACACCTGGTGTCGCGCGTTGTCGAGTGGGTCACAGAGCTGCATGCTGATGTATACGTGTATGTGATGTAGGTGAGCGACTTCGGGCTGACGCAGTTCAAGGAGGACCTGAAGAAGGGTGGCGGGAACAAGGTCGTGGGGAGCATTCACTGGATGGCGCCGGAGATCATCATCGAGGAAGACCAGCCCGACCTTGCTCTGGCCGACGTATACAGCTTCGGGATCGTCCTCTGGGAGCTGCTCACTCGTCTCCAGCCCTACGCCGGCATGAGGTTCGCACCGTCCGTGTGTCCTGCCAGTGGTCGTATCGTGACTAACCGCACACACCACACGCAACACACATGAAGCCCGGCAGCAGTGGCGGTGGCGGTGATTCGCGATAAGATGCGACCGTGGATGCCGGAGAACACGCAACAGCTGTGCCCGGAGGAGTACGAGGACCTCATCTACGCGTGCTGGCACGAGGAGCCGCACGCCCGCCCGAGCTTTCTCGAGGCCATGACGCGCCTCAGCGCCATGTTCGAGGGTACAGCCACCCCGCGGCGCGGTGGCCACAACGGCAGCCGCCACAGCGACCCGTCCTCTTCGCTGGCGGGCGCGGCATCCGACCGTGCGTCGACATTGCGACAATTGTCGACAGCTGCAGCAGCTGCGCTTGTGGCGGGCGATCGACCGCAAGCCCTGGATTCGTCGTGGACCCTGCCGTCGGGTTCGGTCCGCTCCATGTTCTCCGTCAACTCGTCGATGCACTACTACCATCATCGTCACGACCACGACCACGGCAACTACGCTGATCATGATCACGATGGCCGCGACTCTGACTCGGAGCACAGCACCGTCGATGGCGACGGCGAAAAGAGCGAATGTGAATACGAAAGCGAGAGCGAAAGCGACAGCCAAAAGAGCGAAGGCGGTCGGGAAGAACGAAGAAGTGCGAAGGGGGTAGCGGCGGCGATGGCACATCCGGCGCGATCAGTGCCCCCTCCCGCAGGCGATGTGACGATCGTGTTCGCCGATATCGCGAGCGCGGCCTCGCTCTGGGAGTTCGACCCGGCCGGCATGAAGCGCGCCACGCTCGCCTACAACCAGTTGCTGCGCTCGCAATTGCGTCAGCACAGCGGGTACGAGGTCCTGTGCGCCTCGCCCGCCGTGGACCACCACCTTCGCGACGACGGCTACGGTGGCGGCGATGCTGACGTGGCGCCAGCGATGCCGACCCATCACAGCACGGGCGAGGGCTCGTTCTGCATGGCCTTCCAGCACACGCACGACGCGGTGGCCTGGTGCGTCGACGTGCAGGCCAGTATGCTCGGCTCGGTCGATTGGCCCGCGTCGCTCCTCCAACACCCGGCCGCTGCCGAGGAGCGCGACCCCACCGACAATCGGTACGCTCCACGTCGCACACATGCACACCATCGCACACGCACACGCACACGCACACGCTCACGACACGCATACGCATAGGGTGGTGTATTGGGGGCCGCGAGTGCGGATGGGCGTGCACGTGGGGCCAGTGCGCGGGACGATGGACCCGCTGACGCGGCGCGTCGACTACGCGGGGCCGGTCGTGTCCGCCGCCGCGCGCATCACCGCCCTCGCGCTCGGCGGCCACGTCGTGCTCAGCCAGGCGGCCCTCCACTCGCTCGACCAGAGCCACCAGTCCGCCGGCGGTGGAATGCCAACCGTGGAATGCCTCGGCTCCTTCGACATTCCCGACATTCCACTCGGTACGTGTGTGTTGTGTTCGTGCGTGTGTCGTGCGGTAGTGACTTACGGTGTGTGGGCAGGCGTCAGATTGTACGAATTCCTGATACCGGGGCTCGAGGGCCGTTTGACTCTGGACGGGGGCAGCGGGCGCGGCAAGTACATCAACAGCGACGATGACAGCAACGACGACCAGGAGAGCAAACCCAACCGCTCGAACGAGGCGCTCGAGAGCGGAGACGGCGAAGACGTAGGCGTGCATGTCGACCGGCGCGGCCGGCGACGTCATCACTACCACCGCAGCTCCCGCCGCCATCGCCACCACCGTCACCACGGCCAGATCAACTCTCGCCGACCCAGCGCCGCAGCCGTGTTGACAGGCGCCATGGCCGCCGCGGCCGATACAGTCGACGAGAACGGCGAGCTGGACGTGCTGACGTCAGCCAACGCGTGTCGGTGGATCCTGTCGCCGGGGGACATCACCGTGGGCGAGCCCCTGGGGCCGATGGTCCACCGCGGCCGCTGGAAGGGGATCGACGTCGTGGTCAAGCGGTTTGGCCACCACCCGCGCACCGTCCCCGAGCGCCAGCTCCTCGACTTCCGGGCCGAGGTCGCCCTCCTCTCCAACCTCCACCACCCCAACGTCATCCTCTTCATCGGTACGTCTATACTCTCTTACGTCGTTGTGGAATCCAAGCCAATCCGCTGTGTGTTGTATGTGTGTGGTGCGTTGAACAGGCGCGTGTATGCGGAAGAATCTGTGCATTGTGACAGAGTACGTGAAGCGCGGGAGCCTGCGCGACGTGCTCTCCGACGCGTCGGTCGCGCTCGGCTGGCCCCAGAAGCTGCGGCTTCTGCGCTCCGCTGCGCTCGGCGTGCACTATCTCCACGGGCTGGAGCCCCACCCGATCCTCCACCGCCACCTCACCTCCTCCACCCTGCTCGTCATCGACGACGCCTGCACGGGCGTCAAGGTCTCCGGCTTCGGCTTCGCCCGGATGAAGCTCGAGAGCCAGACCATGACCGGCCGCTGCGGCTCGCCGTGCTGGACCGCGCCCGAGGTACTCATGAGCCAGGGCCGACACAGATCGGCGGGCGATGGCGACAACGGCGACGGCGACAGCGATGAGCGGCGGTACCACCACTACGACGAGAAGGCCGACGTGTACTCGTTCGGGGTGGTGATGTGGGAGGTGCTGACGCGTCAGCAGCCATTTGCCGGCCGGCCGTTCATCGAGGTAGCGCTGGACGTCATCGCCGGCCGCCGGCCGCCGCTGCCGCCCGCCGTGGCCGACAACAACCACCAGGGTGATGAGGTGGTGCGCGGGTGCTTCCAGGAGCTGGTGGCGCGATGCTGGCACGCCGAACCGGAGCAGCGGCCCACCATGGAGCAGGTGGTCTGCACACTGGATCGGCTCTTGACCAGCGTCCTCGACAACTCACTCGACCACGTCGTGTAAGACAACTTTGTAAAATCCTTTCCCTTGTATGGAGAACGTTTAAGGTGAGTTTTCCATACCTAAGGTAGGGACACAGAAAATGCGTGCCTGAGCTACCTAGATGTGAACGGTTTGGGTACCTAAAAATAAAATATGAATGGCATGTTACCAAGGTAGGTAGGACAGCTGTGTGCAAAACGCAAGGGATGGGGGTAAGAAGTGCCATTTATTCATCAGCAGAACCAGAGGATTCGCTGGAGGATGAGGTGGAGACCTCATCTTCATTGGATACAAAGGCGAAAGGGTCATCACGTTCATGGGCAGGACGCTGGCGTGTGGTGAGGATGTGGTTGTAGAGTAGTGGTGCTGCCTTGTCAGCTCGCGCCCTCTTCCTCAGGCGCTTCTGCAATTCAGGCTGGTAAGTGATAGCTGATGCCTTAGCTGGTGAGTTGGTCTTGGAGGTGCCCCACTTCTTCACAATCCGCTTCTTCTTGACAGCAGGATCTCATCACCACTCCCTGGCCTTGTCCTGGGTCACATCCCAAGAGTGGTGTTGCAAAGCAAGAGAGGAGGAGTAGGTTTGGTTGAGAAGGGTGAGGAGATGTAGGTGAAACGAAGGGCAAGCTTCCTTGAGTATGCTGAGGCAGGTCTGCAACCTGAAGGCCTCTCCACTGTACTTGATAATCTTGCTGCCTGTCCATTTAGCAGAACCCTTGAAGGTGCAAGAGCCTAGGTCATTTTGTGGAGGTAGATCAGCAGTAGGCAGTAGGTTGGTTGGTTGGCATACAAATGGCTAGCCTCAGACATGTTGGTGGTAACACCAGGCAGGTAGAAGTCATGGTAGTCCACCAACTCACTCCACAGCTCCTTCATGGCTTCAACCTGGTCCTCATTCTTGATGGGTCTGGTTTTGCTGCATGGTGGAACATGTGTGAGTTGGTGAGTGAATGAAGAACTGGGCATGGCATGTTTGTGGTGGCAGGATGGGATGTAGTTTCATGTGGTGGACAGAATGAGTGGTCCCCTTGGTAGTGGGACATGGCAACATTCACTGCGCACTGAATATCATCGTGCTGCATGTGTCCATGATTGTGACCAACCTCCACTTCCATCAATCTGCAAATCCTGTGGATGTGTGTGCACAATGCTCTGTCAGGTGCATTGGTGCGCTTGTGCCACCATGAAGGAAGGGCGCATACTGGCCAGCTTTGGCGTTCCCTTTGGTACCTTGAGGTTGGCGTCAAGGGCTTTCACTCTTTTGGCGAAGTTCTTCATCAGGTGCCCAGCACAGTAGGTCACTGCCATGGAAACATGCCCTGAATGGTGTGTTAGATCAGCAGTTCATTGGTTGCTCAGGGTTTGAGTATGCAGCCAGGTACCAGCACTGTGAAAGGCACAGTGAATCTTTCCATCATGGTTGGTGATGATGGATGTCACAGTCCACCCATCCACAGCCAATCTGCAGCCCATCTCAAAGGCAGTGGTGTATTCCATGTTGGTTGAGGCACCAGTGTAGTCCTGTCCATGAATGACGGTCTCTACATCAAGCAGCTGAGCAAGCAAGGTAAGAGAGAGCTTAGTGGGCTGCTTTACAACCATCAAATGTGGGGTGGTGCTGAACGCTCATCCTACCTTGCCGGTGATGAGGTCTTTCATGATGAGTACACAACTGCCTGACTGTCTCTTTTCTGCCCAGCCGCTGTCCAGAACACCAAACCCTGTGTGAGAGAGAAGAAAACCATTGGTGTAAGTCACAATCATTGCCACTGTGCTTGTACACAGCAAAAGAAACCATGTGCCACATGGCATGGCAGCATGACATCTTTTGGAGCTACATGTGCATGAGGAAAGAGCTTGGAGCAGGTATGAGTGGACATACATATCTCTTTGTGGCTGTTCAGGCCACAGATGCTGCAGTTGTTGTGCAGGACATTGTTGGACAAAGCCTTTGCAACCTGCCCAAGTAGCTCTGTGTGTCATGTGTTATGTGTGGTGATGTTGTGTGTGGCGTTAGGTTGTGTCTGTGACTGTAGGTGGCAGGTGGCGTGCAGCAGGCTGGCCAACATGAACCTTCAGCTTTCTTCCACACACGTTGTGGGATGCCTGGCATATCAAGCATGTTGAGCAGACATGTTGTCTGGCACTGACCACACTTGGTCATAAGGGCAGCCCAAACAATGCAACTAGTTGATGTCAAATCGCCTGACTCTGAAGCTTCATGTTGTGTAACAGGTGTGTTGTGAGTGTTTTGTGTTATCATTGGGTTTGGCTGGTATGTTGTTGGGGGGTACCTGACAGTCTAGCAACCATTGAACACAGGTGGCAGCTTGTGATGGTGCTGGTGGTGACTGCTCCCACTTCATCAAGCTCCACAGAGAGTGGTCCATGACACCTACAGCAACAGTCCCTGGCATATGCCTTGTGTGCAATGCGCAGGAGCAGGGCCTTGCTGATGATGGTGTTGCTCCAGCCCTCTCCTCTTGGTGCAATGGAAGGAAGGGGCTGCAGCTGAGGTATGGGCTTGAGGTGTGATGAGAGTGCTTTGCTCTACAGGAAGGGTGTGAGAGGTCAGGGCACATGCACACACAAGGAACACAACAACAAGGTCTACCATGAATTCCTGGTTGCCCTGCTCCTTGCAGTGATGGTGGAGTGTTGGAGAGATGGGCACAAACCCACCAAAATATGCTCAGGCAAGGTGCTGTGGGGTACCCATCCACTGGTTGTTCTCCACCTGAGTCTGCAGCTCATGTGTGGCATGCAGCATCTCCTGCCGGCTCAGGAAGCACCAGGACACAGAAACACATGCTGGTGACATGTTTGGCAGGGGGACAGGGCTCATGGTTGCTGCACTTGCTGTGATTGCAGCTTTGGTGGTTGAGAAACAGGGCAGGTTTGTGGTACCACAGATTTGACCCTTGGTGTGAGCAGTAGAGAGAGCATGACACTTGGACTGGTCATATTGGTGGTGTGCTGCCATGTTTGGGAAGTAAGCAACCTTTCTCTCAGCTTCAAGCACCTCTTGCAAGCGCTTCATTGTGAGAGTTGTCATCTTGAGGCACAAGTTCTTGATGTGGGCAGTGCAAAGAGGCCTCCCTCAAACCTGGTGACTTCTGCCTTGAGACATGTGCGAGGCAACCTCTGCTGTGCCTAATTAGGCTGGAGATCAGGGCATGATGTGCATGTGTTACCTGGGTCCTTGAGGTATCCCTATTTTTAGGTTTTGTGTAAATGCCTGAAGCCGGGCAGCGGCCGTAGGCATGGGCGGCGCCACTGCTGGGCAGAATGTACATTGCACTAGGTGTGATGGGGGCTGCCTATGAGGTGGTTCTGCAGTGAATAAGCTATCCCATAATGGGTGTGTCATTGGGAGACTTGGGTGATACAAATGCCTTGCCCCTCACATGGCGGGTGGGTGGGCGAGTGGCAGGTGCGGTGGGTGGGAGCTCCCACCCACTGCACCTGCCACGAGGGACAAGTTAACTTTTTGTCAGTTGGGGGGTGTCGTGTGTTGCAGCAAATGGATGAAAGTACTTGCATTTGAAGAACGTGTTCAGTCTAAGGAGAAGAGTAAATTTATTTTTATGTACTGAGCAGCTAAGCACCTTAGGTAGCGGGCTGGTTGGAGCTGATGTAGATGGATTGCATGGTGTCGGCCTTGAGGTTGTAGATGAAGACTGTTGTGTGTCCAGCAGGGCAGGCAGCTAGTCTCTCCAGCATGTGGTTGAACCCATGGTCCTTGAACTTGGGGAAGATGAAGACTGGCTCAGCAAGGTGCTCCTCCTGTGTGAGGGTGTGGAGATGTTGCATCTTGGTGCGGGCTATGGCTAAGGCGAGCCACTTGTTGGCAGGTTTGGCTCCTATGACTTTAGGTATGACAACAATTGTTGCCCCCTGCCTGGCAGTGTAATTGTCCTTGGTCCACATGGCTGCTGCGATGAGATTCACCCAGCGGATAGCAGGAAGATGTGTAACTTCCAGCAAAGCAGCACTCCATGCAGTGTTTGGGTTGATTCTGCACATGGTAGTGTGGGTGGGTGAATGACAAGGAATTCATTAGTACATTGAAGTGAATCACATGAGGCAAATTGATTTGGTTATCTTGAGGTGCATCAGTTCGCCTTTTACAGTTGTACTTATGTGCAACCTTGCATTCACACTCCAGATGTGCTTTGCTACCACTTCTATGACATGAAGCTTGTGTATGTGATGGAGACAAGGACCAGGCCCTTCCATAGCGTCCACTTGCTTTACTGATTCACACATCATTACAAGGCAAGTGCAATGGACAACTTGGTAACCCAAATGGCCTACAACAAACTGCCTACCAAGTTCTCTTCCTTGAGCATTGTCAGCCTTGCACAGGTGGCTTGCTGCTACCTGGTATAGCCTTGCCCCCCCTGATTCTGTGAGGCTTGTGGTGTTGTACCTGATGCCCACCTAATGTTTCTTTTCGTTTCCAGTTGTGAAGTGTGACTTCAGGTCTGTTGACAAGGAGTCAGACTGGGAGGTTTGGCTGGCGAATAAGGAGAAGCAGGCTAGGACGAACCTGCTGCTCTACATGGCGTGGAGGTACTTGGTATGTTGCTCCACCTCCCACCTTCCTGCCTGTCCATTATTTGGTTGCATGACAAAGGTGGTGCATGGCAGTCTATGCAGAACAGTGGCAAAGCTGTGAAATTGACAATGCTGTTTTGCATTGAATGCGCCAAGGATCCAAAGGTGGTCAACTGCCTGTTCAGCAGAACCAAGTTCTATGGTGTCCAAGATCAATGTATGTAGAAACCTGTACTGTGCCATGGTGCCAAGCAATCTCATGCACACACTGATTTGTCATGCAGATGAAGTGCTGGAATGGAACTTTGTTTGGACCAGCAGTGAAGCTCTCAAATGATTGCATGGCTGCCATTGAGAAGGAGCCTGTTTGGGTGTACCTTGTCAATGAGGACATGTACCTCAAGGTCAAAGAGAAGTTTGAGCAACTTGTGGAGCCAGTGCCTGGCTATGAAGAGGAGGAGGTGCCTGGTGCTCATGGCTGCTGCAACAGCCAGGTGAGAGTGTGAGCTACAGGTACCTTACTGGCTTTATGGCACTGGTGTCATGCTTTTCTTCTGGGCTCACCAACTTGACACTTCACAAGTTCCTCAACTACATGAGGAGGTCTGCCAACTCACAGAAAAGTACAAAGAAGAACTGAGAGTCCTGTGCAAGAGTAACAGCCAGTTACAGATGATGGTGCTTCAAGTGCAGCAGATGGCACTTATGGGAAGTGTTGGTATGTAGTCACAACCACGCACCTGCCTTTCTGTGTGTTGTTTGTTGCATGTCACTGAGTGCATTGCTCCCAATCACACATCAGCAGGTTCACCAGGTACATTTGGTGGGAGGGCAGGTTTGCGTCCTGGGGCTGCCTTATCACCTTACCCCAGTCTGTCAGGCTTCACAACTCCACTCACAAGCAGTACCCATTGTGACGTTTTGCATGCACACACAAGCTGTGTGGAGTGTTACTCACTCTTGCCTTTATGTGCTACTAGTCTTGCACCTTCAGGCAGACCACATGTGCTGGTGCTGCACATCACCAGACTGCCAGCCCCATCACCTTTGGGGAACAGGACTTGTGTGGACACAGGTACATGATACCTTGCCTAAGCAACTGCCCCTTTGGAACTGACACCTAGCCCTATTGTGTCATAATAGGCACCCAACCAACCTACATCAACTTGGATGAGGAGCCCTCACAACTGTTCCAAGCCTCACCTGACATCCTTGCCTCCCAAATGGATATTGATGAGGATGACATTGGTGAGAAGGAGAAGGAGAGGAAGAAGAAGAAGAAGAGGAAGCACATCCCAGAGAGTGAGGATGAGGAAGGTGGCAAAGAGGCTGAGGCAACACCCAAGACAGCTACCAAGCATGCAGCCAAGGGCAAGGTGAAAGACAACCAAGTACCTAGCAACAAGGACAAGGAGGAAGGTAGTGAGGAGGAATTCCCTGATGTTGAAGAGATGAAGCCAGTGAAGAAGGCCAAAGCACCAGCCACACATCTCGCCAAGTGCACCAAGGTGACAACCTCCCAACCACCCAAGGTGTGAAGGGCAAGGTGAAAGATGATGAAGTACCTAGTGACAAGGATGAGGAGGAAGGTAGTGAGGAGGAATTCCCTGACATTGTCAAGAGACCAAGCCAGCAAAGAAGGCCAAAGCACCAGCCATGCCTGTTGCCAAGCCTGCCAAGGTGACAACCTCCCAACCACCCAAGGCAGCAAAGGGCAAGGCGAAAGATGATGATGTACCTAGCAACAAGGACAAGGAGGAAGGTAGCAAGGAGGAATTCCCTGATGTTGAAGAGATGAAGCCAGTGAAGAAGGCCAAAGCACCAGCCATGCATCTCACCAAGCGCGCCAAGGTGACAACCTCCCAACTGACCAAGGCAGCGAAGGGCAAGGCAACAGGTGGTGATGAGGAAGGCGAAGGAGGTGAGGGGGAAGATGAGGAAGAGGGGGAAGGGGAGGAAGGTGAGGAGGAGCAGGACAACGAAGAAGAGGAAGAAGAGCAGGCAACTATGAAAACCACCACCAGTGGCAAGCACCAATCACCCTGCATCCAGGAGAAGGGGGCCAGCAAAAAAGGTGCTAAACCCTTCTACTGCCACCACAGCTAAGTGCTTACATCTTCAATGTGTGCGTGCACATGTGGCAGCGCAAGCAAGTGCCCATGGCAGGAGTCGCAGCACCAAGAAAGGGGTATAGTTGAAACCAACATGCCTAATGATGAGCGCCATTGATGTGCAATCACTAAAACTGGCAACATAAAATGCAACACAAAGCCTCCACACACATCCGCACACACACATACAAGAGAGCTCACCCACTCACCTACACCTCTATGTGGTTCTTTAGACCAAACCTCCATCCACGTCCTACCAGGATGGCTATGGTAGCGAGAAAAGGCTGCTGAGTGAAGGTGCTAAGTTGTATGGTACCTGCTTGAATGAGGCAGTTGTCGAGGACTGGGCGGCAGTTGTCAAGCACCAGCAATTTGGGGCAGAGCTGTTTCAGCATTCCAGGCACAAGATTGCTGTCATGGCAGCAGGCTTTCTGAACACCACTCAAGTGGCAAGGTACCAACCTCTCTCACCATAAAGAACATGCCTTGGATGCCACCACTCCTACTCACCACCTCTATTTCACACCTCCACAGCCTCATTGATTCAATCACCTCAACAATGGCCACCTGAGATGTTCTAGCTGGGCAGATCAGCGCATCCAGCAGAGTAGACATGCTTGAACGCCACAAGGCAGATCACAATGACGTGAAGGCCTGGGGAGCACCAATCACATGACCATTGAAGCTACCAGATAGCTTCCTCACCTTTGCCAATGACCCTGAGGGTACTGACCTGCTCATTGAATGCCAAAGCCAGATTTTGTGCCACCCATTAGCCTTCCCCTCATTTCCCAATCACAGGCTCAACTTCCAGCCAAACACTCCAGGCATTTGTGCAAGGTACCAGTCAAGACACCAACAAGTGGTTGGCAGGAGGGATGCAGAAGCTTCACTTCAACCCTGACATGGAGAAGGGGGTGCCCACGCTCACCAGCCTGCCACTGAGCTTGCACACCAGCCAAAGACTGAGCAAGGTGCTCAATGAACAAGGGTGTGAAGAGTGCTGGTTCCATTGGTCAACAAATGTCATCGCCCAGTTGCCTGCCATAAACACAGTAACTCTGCCTGGTTTGGCTGTTCTCCCCCATGCCTCACAGTACACTCCCCACTGTTTACATGCATTGCCATTCTCACTTGTCTGGGCATCAGCTGGTGAACTCCATCTCACAGTTGACATGTACCTTTGTCCTGTTTGCACAGTCTCTCCTTCTGCCTAGCCACCTGCAACCTCGCTGTGGCCTTGTTGTTGCTTGGTGAGACGCTGGAGGCCTGGGCAAACAGAAAGCAGGCAGATCGTGGACCAGCCCAGGTGCCATTTCGTAGCTGGTTTCTTGTAGACCACACAGGGCAACACCAACAGGTACCTGGAACCATTTGCTCCATCCCCAGCAGTTTTTGATGGGATCAGCTCACAACCTGCACCACACAACAGATGCTCAAGATGGTGAAGCAGTCTGCCATCATGGCCAAAGTCCCAGTGAAGAATGAGCTTGATGAATTGAGGCTGAACTTCTTCATGAACACCAGCACCTCTGACAAGTTTTGGTAAGGCACCAAACCTCACAGTACTAACAACATTCACTCATCCTTAGTGCAACCACATGCCTTCCTTGTGTGTGTGTGTGTGTGTGCATGTGTGTGTGTCTCATCGATCAGGTGCGCATGGCTGTGCTCAACCAGTATCCTGGAGACCTCATCATCATTCGCCCAGGCACCTGGTATGCAGTTCAGACCGCGGTATGTCCTCTTCCTTCTTGCCAGTGCATAAATGGTTGGTTGTGTAGCGCCCTAAGTGCTGCGTTTTACCTTGCCATAAACTAGGCTGACTGCATTGCAGTGGACTGGCCACTCCTGATGTTGGACCTTAGCTCTATCAAGGAGATGGTGCCCATGGGAACCAGCATGTCAGCAGGACGACACTTGCTGCAGCTGCTGTGGTGCCTCCTGTGCTTGGTGCCTGAGATGACAGTCCAGGTATGACTCAAAAGCACCATCCTGGTTGATGGCTACTCCTTCACGCTGCTCATCATGCATGTATTCCCATGCCATTGCAGGATGCAATGTGTGACATGGCCCTACTTGTGCACTGCAGCATACCTGAGATGATCCACACCCTCATTCACACTCTTCACCAGCTCAGTGCAGCATGAAAGTGTCAAGACAATGCCTCCTACTTTGCTCTCCTTCACTGGGTACCTTCTCTGCCCATGGACCTCTCATGCCTGCCCTAGCTCATGAGGAAGGTGCCCAGCACCAACACTGATGCACACATCTCATCCTTGCCTTCCAGGAGAACATTCAACCACTGGAGGCCATGATGGACCTGACCCAGCTTCACCTGCCATCAGTGCAGGCACGTGGGCTCAGGTGGGACACGTGGACCAGCATCACAGGCAAGGCCATGCTCAAGCTTGACAAAGATGAACATCAGCATCTGGCATTGTGCCTCCTCAAGGCCAGCCCAAACTGCCACACCTGCAAGGCAGTGATGTTCCCCTTTGGGTGGGGCCAAAAGGGTGAGGGTGGCAAGTACTACTGCACCTCCTGCCTCCCCAAGGATCTGCAGGCTGCTCTGTGCAGCAGTCTCGCCAAGAAACAGAGCACCACCTCTTCGCAGAGCGCCAAGGTGCCAGACCAGCTCTACGCTCTTCTGCTTGCCAAGCTGGCCACTTTCGCCTTGGTCACCAATGAGGCCCTTGAAGCTGCCTTGAGCTACAATCTTCGTGTTAGGTCCATGCCTGAGGTCATCAAGCCAGCCTCAGATTCCTCTTCGCCACCTCCTACGATCCTCCCCGCCATTGACCCACCCTTGGAGCATGAGGACGATAGCAGCAACCTTCCTTCCACTGAGCCACAGTCAAGGTAGCTTCAGAACCTAGAATAGCTAGGCATTGCATGTTGTGAACAGGTTGTCTCACCTCTTGTATGACTCCCCCCTGCAGGTCAGCTTGCTTCACAGGTGAGCTGCTGCCATTCCAGAAGGACAGAGTGGACTTCATCCTGAAGTGTGAGCAAACGGCTCAGTTTGGTGGCTGCTTTCTCTTTGATGACATGGGCCTGGGCAAAACAGGTACCTCAGACTCACCTTCCCCCCTACCTCCCCAGATACCCCTTCTGATCAGGAGCATGTGCCTGTGTGCATGCATGCATGTATGTGTGCTGTTTGTTGTGCATGCAGTCATGGTTCTTGCAGCCTTGGCAGCACATCCATGATGGCCTACGCTTGTTGTAGCTCCAGGTGCCCTGGTCATTGAGAACTGGCGCCAGGAGGTGTGCAAATGGCTGGGTACCAAGCTGAGCCATGTTGTCACCTGTCCAAGCAGCAAGGCACTTCAGGATTTTGTGAATAAGAATGAGTGTTCCTTGGATGAGATGCATGTGGTCATTGTTACCTATGACACGCTGCCCCAGCCCTGTGTACTTTGCCTTCCATTTCTCCATTGCATGCCAGAACAGCATGTGACCAACCACTTCTTTTGTTTTACTCATTTGCACAGTTGCACAAGCCAGTCTGGCAGTGAGTTGTGTGGGATGAGATGCAGAACCTCAAGGATGACAAGACCAGCCGCTTCCAACATGCCATGAAGGTCAAGAGTGAACTTGCCATTGGCATGACTGGTACCTAAGCCCCTCCTGACCTGTGACAGTCCCCTCTCTAACAGCACAACACCACTCCACTGCAACTCTACCCATTGCACTCCATCCAGGCTTCCCACTCAAGACCAGCAAGGATAACATCCTCAGCTACCTGAAGATCTTCAACAACATGAGCAATTTCAGGAAAGTGCATGTGCTGCTTCTTCCATGAAAGTGCCCTGGCCCAGTTCTGCATTCATCGACTCAAGGGCGACCTCAACAGGGACAAGAGCCCTCTTGTAGCAGTTCCAGGTACACCAGCAAACCCTTCTTGTCCATGCCTCACACACATCCACATCCCTCACCTTGATCCTCCACAGATATCACCCTCCACATCATGTACCTTGAACCTTGGGCGCCTGACATGGTCATGCACAAGATCTTCACTGCAGGGTGTGCTGGGCTGGCACCTGATCAAACAATGCTCAAGACACACCTCGCACGTGGTTGCTCAGCACTGGTTCACCATCCCCCTGTGGTTGTACCAGATCGGTGCCATCAACAAGAGGCAGCTCATGGACTTCTGTGACCTGCCTACCATGCGCCAGTGGATGGAGGCTGACTGGAGCAAGCGGGCACCCAAGCAACTCTTCTCCCACCATTCCAGTGCCACTCCTGGTGACATGGAAAAGTGGAAGGAAGTGCTCAACAGCATCAACTGTCCACCTGCAGGCCTTGCCATCCACCGCAAGGCGCCTGCAGTCGCATTGATGCCTGATACCTGGGCCAACCTACCACACTCTGCCAAGACCAGCTACATTGCTAGGTACATGTTCCTCAGTTGCCTACTGCAAACCCACTAAGATAAAGATCAATGCACCCTCTGACACCTGCGCATCTCTTGCCCACAGGCAAGTGCAATGCGCCTTTGATGAGGGGAGGAAGCTGGCAGTGTTTGGGCAGCACCTGCACACCTTCACCATCCTCAGGCACCAACTTCACAAGCAACACCCATGCAACCTTGATATCCTTGAGGTATCAGGCCGCATCCCCACTGAGAAGCATGCCAAGCAACTTGCACAGTTCCTCAGCTTGACCCTGCATGGCGTGCTCCTCCTCTCCACCAACATGTGCGCCGTGGGCATCAACCTTCAGCAGGTGACCGAGGTCATCTTTGTTAAGTCAAGCTGGAATCCAGCAACTGACCGCCAGGCCATGTGCTGTGCATGGCAGCTTGGGCAGCAGCAGCATGTGATAGTTGCCCACCTCCTCATGTGAACCACCATCGACCAGCATGTCACCAACACCATCACTGCCCGCAACTCTGAGGCTCTCAGGTTCAACAGCAACGTTAGGAGCAGCCGCCACAACCCTTCCAACCATCAATTCCACGTCTGCCTGACCAAGTGGGCACGAATGTCATGCACTTGGGCAAGGGCTCATGAAGACCATGAACATAGGTATCTAGCGGACTTTGCAGCAAGAACTGCTGAGCTACAGCACGCTACTGCTGAGTACCTCTTTGACACTGAGGGTGCTGCTGTGTGATCGCCATTCACCCAATAAAAACACCTCAACCACAAAACCTTCTCACTGCCCGCCTTCCTGCCCATTCCAACTACTTGGCACAACATGCCTGCTAATGTGTCTTTATTCATTTAGGTACCCAAACCTTTCACATCTAGGTAGCTCAGGCACGCATTTTCTGTGTCCCTACCTTAGGTATGGAAAACTCACCTTAAATCTATCTGCGCTGCAAGTGGTTTATCACTGAGCAAATCTAAGGACTTGGAAGGAAACTTGAAGCACACGTCGATAAGCAATTCGAAGCACAACGGGAGCGATCCAAAGAACAACCCAACAAGTCGTCCCGTCCCACGACGTGGAATCCTGCAGGTGACCTTTCTTGTTTAGTTCGCTGGTTGGGCACTGCGGTAGCTCACACATTCTTCCCCGCAGGCATTTAAAAGATCAGGCGCAAGGGTCAGCAGGAAGCGGAGGTGTAGGAATGACCTCCAGATCGGAATACTGCGTTCTTGGAACGAAAACGCAGTACGAGGAGTTTCCAATGTAATTGAGAGCTTAACAACAATAGTGGCATGTTCTCATAGCTGCCCACGGCGTTGCACACCAGCTGCACCAGCACTTGTAACGACCGGGGTGTACTGTTGCAACGCACACAAAACACAGAATGTGAATAACCGATGGGGCACGCATGGCCACGAAACAATACACACCACGGCACACGACGAGTCTTCACCTGAACGTAGGTTTGCGAATAGGCCGGATAGGCCTGGGGAGGAGGGTACTGCGGATACTGCCCTCCATAAGCAGGTGCGCCGTAGCCACCACTCGCATAGCCCGCCCCGTAAGCTTGCCCATAACCGCCACTGTCGTGTGTGCGCGTGCGCGGGCGACACAGGATTGCGCAGTCGTCAGCAGCCAAAGGAACGGGCGGCACTCGAAGAGGAGCGGTGGCGTACTAATAGTCGGGTGGCGACGGCGGCGAGGGAGCGTAGTAGACGGGTCCCGGAGAGGGCGGGTGCGGTGCGGCATAGGGCGTGTGGTGATAGTGATAGTGGTGAGGGGCCGGAGGCGGAGGCGGAGATGGAGAGTAGTGGTGCGGATACGATGGCGGCGGTGCGTAGAGGTCGGCCGTCGGAAGGTGGTGCTGGTGTCCTCCGAGATAACCGGACGGCGGGACCCCGACGGTGTGATCATCCGACCTCTGCCTGGGGTTTCGTGCGAATCCCTGGTGTCCCGCTGGCGGCATGCGTTTGCGCTACACACACACCACACACACACACACACACACATACACACGACATGGTCAGGCAACCCGTAAAGAGTGGGTGGGTTGTGTTTGGTACCTTGCCCATCATCGGCGACGAGTCGAACGGCATCGCCGGCCCCGCGTAGCTCGGTGGTGGGTAATCTGGGGGAAAAAAAGTTCAATAAATGAAAAACAACATTTTAAAAGAAAAGCAAGGCAAAGCCGGCAGTGGGTGCGGCACTGATGGGTGGTTGTCGCGTGTGTTGCTGGAGCTGCTGGGCCTTGAAGTGCTGGCGTCCCTGGAAGTGCTGCATCAGCTGGCTCTCGGAGTTGAGCCCGAGGTCACACAGCTCGCAACGGAACGTGAGCCCACCGCCACCGGGAGCCGGCGTAGGGACGACGATGACGCCCGCGGGCGAAGGCGGGGGCAGCATGCCGCTACCGAGAGGCGACAGGGCGATCTCGAGCGGCGGCGGCGTCATGAGCCCCGGCGATGGCAGCCCGTCGCTGTCGTACGCGTACGGCGGCATGTCGTCTGGCCATGTGTCAACGTTGTATCATCAAACGTGGAAAGCTATTCGAAATGTCTGGCCTGGTCGACCAGGGAAGAAAACGCACCATCATGCGGTGATCGCATTCTGTTCAGCCCTCTCACACCTCCTCGTCCGTCCCTCATTCCTCCCCTGCAGATTGTTGATACAAATAGCCACACGGCACACGACACACGACACACGATATAGCCGTGAGTGAGAATGTAAAGAATGGAGGGTAGGAGGGGCGGGGGGGGGCTGCCTGTTTGAATCCGGGCGCCGGCCGGCCGAACGACCCGCCATGCCGCCTCCCCGGCCCGTTCGGTCGCCTCGCGTACCGTGGCGGGGCGGGAAGCCACCGTCTCGATCGGTCGGCGCGCCTCCCTTCCAGGGTCCCTTCTTCCCCTTGGCCTGCTTCGTCGTGTCGTCCACCGGCTTCGCCAACGTCACCTGCAGCGTTCGTCCTGTGGGGTTGACCATGGTCGTTAGGCGCCTGACTGCGTGAGCGCGTGCGCGACGGCGTCACGCGTGTGTGCGTGCGCCGTGCGTGCGTGTACCCTGTACTTCAAAGCCGTGCTTGCCGTCGATGGCCTTGAGTGCGTTTGCCCGTTCTTCGTAATTGACAAACGCGAAGTCCTTTCGCCTCTGTCCGAGAGGCATGTCGCACGGGGTGAGCGTGGCGGCGGGTGGGCGCCCGCCACTCACTGGCGCAGTACAGCGCCAAGGCGGTATGCGGGGGGGGGAGCGGTACCGCGGTGGGCAGGTTCTTGGAGAGGACTATTCGCTCGATCTTCCCGTACTCGCCAAAGAGCGTTGTGATCAGCTCGTTGTCCACCTCCAGCGGCAGGTTGGCCACATAGATTGATTTGACCTGGTGACGCGCACCATCTCACACACAGATTAGCGGGCCGCGTGCGGTCGCGTGTCGCGTGGGCGTGCAGTGCGTGGGTGAACCTGAGACATGACGTCTTCGCCGGGCTCGTTCAAGGGCTCGGCCCAGTCCACGCGGACCTTCTGCCCGCTCAGCCGGAAGTCGGCGCGGGTCATCTTCCCGTGCGCTCTCGCCGCTTCATGATGGCTCTTGAACTCAATGAACACAAACCCTCTGTTCCTCGTCGGGTTCATCGGGTCCTGTCGTTGTTGTTGTCGTCGTCGTCGTCGTCGTCGTCGTTGTTGTTGTTGTTGTTGTTGTTGTTGTTGTTGTTGTTATTGTTGTTGTTGTTGTTGTTGTTGTTGTTAGACATTAGCACATGTGTTCTGCTGGGGGTGTGTGTGGTGGCTAAGCATACATGCTGGAAGATGATGTGGTCCACGCCCCGGATGCCCGCTTCCTTGAGGTGAGCTTCGAGCTGCTCGAGAGACCAGTCCTGGCTGATGTGGCCCACGAAGAGCGATTGGTTGTCCTGCGACACGAGCACCCCGACCGGACGACCCTGCACACACAGAGAGAAAGCGGAGGCACCCGATGAGCCCGGGCACGAAGCAGACGGGGAAGGCAGAGGGAAGACTGGTCGAACCATGATAAGGTAGCCGCTAAGCTGATCGGCGGCGAGTTCGGCGAAAGTGGGTTCCATGTAGCGCACAAAGGCGTAGCCCTTGCTGGCTCCCGTCTTCGGATCGCGCATCAAACGGAGCTGCGATGACCCACGACCACACGCCGTCAATACAATCACGGCCGCACACACGACACACACCGCACACCACACGAGCTGGGGGGAAGATCGTGCTTGCCTCGTAGATGTCGCCGATCTTCGCAAAGACCTCCCTCACGTCGTCCTCGGTGGCGTCACGGTGCAAGCCGCCTACAAACACCTCCGACCCCTTGGGCGGTGGCGGGCCGCGTCCGTCGTCTTCTTCCTCTCCCTCCTCCTCCTCCACCACCTCTTCCTCTCCCCCGTCTTTCTCCGCTCTATCTTCTTCTTCTCCCTCTCGCTTCACCTCTGCGTTCGCTTTGTCTTCAGCAATAGCAGCGCCGCCCTTTACACCGTCCAAGGGCGAGGCCGCTGGTGATGATGATGCCTCCTCCGTCTTGCCCTCCGCCTGTTGCCCGTCTACTTCGCTGGCTGTGACGTTGTCGCTCGTGCGGTTCTCGCTTCCGTCTACGCGTTCTTCCTCGTTCGGTTCAATCTCTCCACGAGTTTGCTCGGTACGGTGGTTGGCATCGGATGTAGTGGGCGAGGCGGGTGGCGCGGCCCCATCGAGGCGAGGCTCTCGCGACGCAGCTTCGTGTGGCACCTCGTTGCCCGTTTCATCTTGTTGTCGAGATTCTTCCTCAGCGCCAGAGCTCGCACCTCCCTGCTTCATCTCCTCTTCTTCGTTTGCTCTTGGCACTGTTGCGGCTTGCACCTGAGGGCCGTAGCAAGGGCTAGAATCGCATGCCGTGGCTGTCGTTGCTGTGGGCTGCCGGCTGCCTTGTTCGCCAGCCCTAGTCGCCTCGGTAGTCGATTGCAGAACTTCGCTCTTCTGCGGCCCACCCTCATCTACATCGATCAGGGAATCCTGCGCCTGGTGCTCTTCGGGCGATGGCACCGACGAGGAGGTTCCTCCAACCTCCACCTCGACCCCATCGTGGCCATCATCTTCCATCTTTGATTCCTTTTTATTTTCCCGATCATTTCTTGAAGTGCATTATGTTGTTTCGAAGTGTCTCTGGGCCGTGTCACTGTGGCCGCCGTTGGTGGATGAGGAGACGCAAGCTTGTGATGGCTGTGCTGCTCCCACCCGCCAGCCTTGTGCCATCGTGTGGGATGAAGGCTGTGGCGCCCGTCCTTGACTGTGTACATGAGGCCAACTGAGTCCTGCAGAGAGAAGCCCAGCAAGATCAGCTGGGACTGGTTGGGCTTATAGAAGGGTTGTGTGCCACCAGCAGCTGGCAGAGTCCAGAGTGCAGGTGGGGCTGAGTCCATTGATTGGCTGCTCTCCCTGGTGATGCCTTGGTGCTGCAGCTGACCCAGCAGTGTATTGATGCCCCTTGCTGATGGTGTGCAGATTGAGAACAGAGCCTACCAAAGCACTAGTGCACCTGGTTGCAAAAAAAGGGCTGGCTTCAACAACAGATGACCTCAAACAAGTTGGCCACACCAGGTGCCTGCTCTGGCAGGGGCTTGGAGGCAAGTGGCTTTGGCAAGGGACTAGCTGATGAGCTTGGGCTGAGCTCTGAACTGTGGTGTGCAAGTGTTTGGCCATGAGCAGAGAGGCTGAGGTTGCCACTTTTGTGATGTCTGCCAAGAGGTACCATTGGGCTGTTGTGGGTGAGGTGGAGTGGAAGCATTGGTGGCTGGGCCAGACAAGTGTGGTGGAGCATGTAGGGCAGGGATGACAGTCATGAGTTGTGAGGTTATTACCATGCTGGGTGGTGAAGATGGAATGTAATGACATAACAGCTCTACTATTTATATCCACACCTACTCCACAGTTTCAGGCCAGTTACATATCTCTTGCACATTGCTGCTTAGGATATACTCATTCCACTTCCACTTGTGCAGTTTTGTAATAACTTTGATGCGGCACATCATGTAGCTTGCCCTTGGCCACAACTCGCAGGCAGTAACCTGAAGTCGCCTGTTGTGGCCATTCGCCTCCAACCATTCTCACAAGGGAGTTTGCCAACCTTTATTTGGATGCGTTTTGAACTTTTTTTGTAATTTGTGAGAAATAAAAAAAAGGAGAGTTTATTCCCAACATGCAAGGCGGAGCGGAGGGAGGATCGCGATTGGGGCCTGCCCTCGCGTCTACGGTGCAGGGGCTAGCGGCACACAGGGAGGCGTGGGGCGAGACGAGCCGCAAGGGCGAAAATCGGCTTACCAGATTAATCAATGCCAAGATGGAGCTGCTGTGCGCACGGCGGTCCTCTTCAGCGTGTGCGCACGCCGTTAGCATTGTATTAACACGTCCTTCCTTGCGCTCAGATACGTAGATGCCCCTCACTGGGGTTGCTTGCGTCACAACGCCGAGGTACGTCTCTTTCCTGCTCGCTTGCAGGTGGCACGTTGAGTAATGGGGCGTGTGCGTGCGAGGAGATCATCGAGCGGGTTGAGGGGAAGCTGCACGAGCAGTGCCGACACTACATCAAGCTGCTTCGCGAAACATGCCACGAACTGGTGCGTGAAGCCCTGACCACGAACATGCACCAGGTCGATTGGGCTCAACCCTCACCCTCTTGTCCATGTTGGGTTGGGAATCATGTGTTGCACCATGTCGCTCCAGGCACTGACGCACGGCAAGATGGAGCAAGCGCTGCTCCCTCTTCGCACGACTCTGCGACTCGCCGCGGCTAAAGGAGGTACCAACGCACCCTTGCTAACCACTTCCCACATCCACTGGCAACATCCCAACGCTCCTTCTTTCTCCCGTGGCGTGCACAATCAAGACGAGATGATGGGCCAAGCGCCCGTCACCAACACCCTCACCCTCGCTCAGGCTGGTACGCTCCTCAACAATCCTCCTATGACGAGTCGCTCACCTGCACGCACCTCTTTGTCGCTTTGGGCCGCCCAGTCTCGCTGGCTGAGGAGCTCGTGGAGATGTACGCGAAGGATCTGCACCTCAAGCGGCTCATTGTGGACGACGTGGTAGCCCAAGCCAACCGGGACGTGCTCATTGTCTACCTCACGTCGTGGGAAATGATGCCCTACGTGGACAAGCGGCGGCAGAGCGAGCTGTTCGACATGCTCACCCCACCGGCGCCTCTCTTCCATCCCAACTCTTCGCCCTCTCCGAACGCCACACCACCGCGATTGTCTTCCTCGTCCTATGAAGACGACGATCCCTACGCCTGACGGCGGTAAATAGGGTAACGAAGGGGCGTGTTAAAAAAAAAGAGAAAAATGGTGATTTCACAACCTGGCCTCAACATCAAATGAGTGCGCAAGTGTCTGCAACTCTCTCGTCGCCCGCTGCAGCCTTCCTCCGCCCGGACCAGTTCTTCCCCCCTTCCTCAATGCTGCAATCTTTCATCCAGACCGCAGCAGAGGCCGGGATGCAGACTACCATCAGCGGACCGGTCTTCCCCTTTTCACTCTCGTTCTGGCGGCGACCGTGGGCCTTCTCCCTTGCATCGCTGGGGGCATGCGTGGGGCTTGCCTGGGGTCCCGTCTTCCTCTATCGTCGCAAATTCATGCGCAGATTGGGCCAGCACTCTTGGGATGAGATCGAACCGCGATCCAATATCTACAGGTGACTTTAGCTCTACCCGCACCCTCTTCCTTGCCCTCTCCAAGATTGTTATTCACTGGCCGTCGACACCACAGGGCAGAGGATGAAGAGCACAAGGAGGCAGTCTTGTCGTACATGCGGTAAGTGAGCCCCACAGCTGCATGGTCACTGCGGCTGACGGTATTGTATCTACTGTTCAAAGGCGATGCCTTGCTGCGCATGCCAGTGGGGTGGAGTCCTACCCCGTCTATGCATCGGCCATCCTTCTCGCCATCATCACCCGGGTATCATCCTCGCTTGTGCTTCGTCTCGCTAATCTCTCCCACTCACTTCTCTTTTCCTCAAAGGTGGAGGCGCGAGTGGCCGACAGGCTAGCACTGGCCTATGTGCTTCTCCGCTTGCTCTACACCATCTTCTACATCTATGGTAGGCATCCCTACACCCATCGCCGCATGTGCTCTTTCACGTACACTCACGCTGCCGCCAGGCTCCAACATCGTGTTGGCCAAGCTGCGAACGTTCGCGTGGACGGGGAGCTGGATCATCACATTCGCGCTTTATTGGAAGAGCCTGCGAAGAGTTCATTTCCTTGAACAGTCCCTTTAGTCGAGCACTGCTTGCACAGCAAGCCTCTTCGCTCCCTCCTGTACAGACTTCTTGCGCCGTGGTGAGCGGGGGAAGAAATTACAAATAAAAATGGCTGGGAAAAGGAGCCATTTTCTCGCTCTCTTTTCCGTTCGGGCCTTCGATTGTCTCTGTCCTCTCATCTCGCATCTCACACAATGGCCGCCCCTCCCATGCAGGCTCCCATTCTTGTGCTCAGTGCGTACTCCAATTTCGTCCCCAGAGGGGTTTCAATATGCGTCCCGTGCTGCCTTTATCGATGCATGGCCAGCAGCAGCAATTTTGCTTCCTGATCTGCTGTTTATCTTATCATTTACAAAGCATTTGCACGATCGCGGCATACATCTACTTACGCTTCTTCCCATTTATGTAGCCGATAACACGAAGCGCGAGAGCGGTCGTAAGGCGCAGAGGAACAACATTGCCGCTGCCAAGGCCGTCTGCAGCGTTGTGCGCACAGCTCTTGGCCCGCGCGCCATGCTCAAGATGATTCTCGACTCCATGGGCGGCATCGTTCTCACCAACGACGGCAATGCCATCCTCCGCGAGCTCGAGGTCAGCCACCCGGCCGGCAAGAGCATGATCGAGCTCAGCAAGACCCAGGATGAGGAGGTCGGCGATGGCACCACCTCCGTCATCATTCTCGGTACGCTAGCCTACGATTTCTTTGTGATTTCTTTCGATGAGGATTCTTCTCGATGCCTCCCTCCATCTGGCATTAAAATTGCAATTTTGACATCGTGTGATTTCTATCTCCAGCCGGCGAGATGCTCACCGTGGCAGAGCCCTACCTTGAGAAGAACATGCACCCTACGGTCATCATCCGTGGCTTCTTCAAGGCCAGGGACGACGCCATCGAGGCCCTCGACAAGCTCGCCATCAAGGTTGACATTTCCAAGCGTGAAGAGCTTTTGAGCATTATCAGGAGCTGCCTCTCCACCAAATTCGTCAGCCGCTGGATGGATCTTATGTGCGACCTTGCCCTCGATTCCGTCTCCGCTGTTGTCCACCAAGATGGCAACCGCAAGGAGATCGACATCAAGCGCTACGTCAAGATTGAGAAGGTATCCACCTCTTGCCACCCAAGCTTTCTCTTGGACGATCGGTGAACAGCCCTTTCTCTCCCTCCCTCCCTCCCTCTGGTGTGTGTGTGCGCGCGCAGGTGCCTGGTGGCGAACTGGAGGACAGCTATGTGCTCAAGGGCGTGATGCTCAACAAGGATGTGCTGCACTCGAAGATGAAGCGCAGGATTGAGAACCCCCGCATTCTCCTCCTCGACTGCCCCCTCGAGTACACGAAGGGCGAGAACAACATCATGATGGATGTCACCAAGGAGGGCGACTGGACGGCGATCCTGAGGGCCGAGGAGGAGTGGGTCAAGAAGACTTGCGACCACATTATCGCCCTCAAGCCCGACCTCGTCATCACGGAGAAGGGTGTCTCCGGTACGGCAGAGACCGCACCCCTCGCCAACAACTACCTCGTTTGTTCACTTATGGCACTTCCCGCGCAACAGATCTTGTGCAGCACTACTTCGTGAAGAACAACATCACTGCGCTCCGCAGGCTCCGCAAGACCGACAACAACAGAATCGCCCGAGCTGTCGGCGCCGTCATCGTGAACAGAGTCGAGGAGGCCAAGGAGTCCGATCTCGGTACCAAGTGCGGACTCTTCGAGGTCAGGAAGATTGGTGATGAGTATGTAGCCCCCGCCCTCTCTTAGCCCCCCCCCTCGCGTCTTCGTCTGTGCACCCGGCGCTGTGATGACTGCTTTGTGTGTCTGAATCTCATGATCTTGACAATACGAGTAGTGGTATTTCTGAGCATTCTGGGCACGCTTTTAGTTAGTGTTTCATTGTTATCTTGCCATTTCACATCTCGGCTCGGCTAACGCTCGCGTGAATCCAGGTACTTCTCGTTCATCGAGGACTGCAAGGAGCCTAAGGCCTGCACCATTTTGTTGCGCGGCGCCAGCAAGGACGTCCTCAAGGAGGTTGAGAGGAACCTCCAGGTACCTTCCCCCCTTCGCTACAGCACTCTGCAACGCATCACAGTATCGCCGAAAGCCATTGTTCTCATCACGTCGTTTGTCCTGCTCTTCTTTTCTCTCAGGACGCCACCTGCGTGGCCCGTAACATCCTGCTGGACCCGCGTCTGTGCCCCGGCGGTGGTGCCTCCGAGATGACCATCTCGCAGGCCCTCCGGGAGAAGTCGAAGGCCATCGAGGGTGTCGAGCAGTGGCCCTACATTGCCGTCGCCAACGCTCTCGAAGTCATTCCCAGGTAAGCTTAACCATTCCTTCCTCTTCTCTTCTCTCGCTCTTTCCGTTTTCGTAGCGCGTCGTGTCGTTGGTCGCATGTCGTGCGTTGCGTGCGCTGGACTCACGCGCGTTGTTTGGCGCACGGCAGGACCCTGGCGGAGAACTGCGGCGCGAGCGTGGTGCGCGTGCTCACGGAGCTGAGGGCCAAGCACGCCGAGGGCAAGAACCAGTCGTGGGGCATTGACGGCGTGAAGGGCACCCTGGCCGACATGATGGGCCTCGGCGTCTTCGAGCCCTACTCGGTCAAGGCGCAGACCATCAAGACCGCCATCGAGGCCGCCTGTCTTTTGCTTAGAGTGGATGACGTGGTCTCCGGCATGAAGAAGAAGGGCGGCCAGTAAGTGGTGGCATCTGCTCCACCTGCCTGGCTCTCGGCCAGCTTGTCGACAATAAACGAACGCATGCCATCAATTCCAAACCTTTTTCCACGTAGAATTTAGCAGAAGGAGCAGAACAGAAAACAAAAGATGCAACGCATGTGTGCCCACCCGGAGCGATTTAGCATCTTATCGGCTTGGAGTAACGGTGCACCACGACCGGTGGTGGGACTTACGCTCAGAGCTGGTGCAGCGACAGGTCATTCTATGAAGGTGTTGGGCGGCGGAGCGTCCGCGGCCCAAAGAAGATGCCTTGCTACAACAACCAAGCGTGCGAAGCTCCTCCCACGTTCGGTTCTCGAGTTCCTCTAATGAACTCCACACTGCAGGGGACCCCAAAAACGAAGGACCAGCCCACTACCGCACCAAGCAGAAACTTATGCAACTACTAAGCTCGGGTACGTTCACAAGTTGCACGCTATCGACACCACTCCCTGACTAGTGCGTGCGTGGGCATGTGTGGCATGCGGTGCGAGCACAGCGAATAGCCTTGACGTCGCGGTCGCGTGCGCGAGTCCGTGGGGCAGTCCTGCCGGTCCTCGCGCCGGGTCCCTCACCGACGAGGGTGGACGTACGTCTGAACATCTGAGGGTCACCGGATCCAAGTCAAGGCCTAACTCACGGACCCTGATGCGTGTATGTTTGCGTGGCGTGGCGATGTGGTCGGAATAGGAGGAGGAGGCAAGTTCTGGCGATGTCGCAACGAGCGTGTGGTGTCGGGTTGGGCCAGGGGCTGGAAGGAAGTCGAGAGCGAGTTCACCATTCGGGTACGTGGACCATCACGTTCACAGTTGTGGGCCACCCCTTCACAATCGCCATTGATTGGGTCCTGATGGCCAGGGTGTGGGAAGGCTCGATCTGGCGCTGCTATACAAGCACTCGAATTACGAGTCGTACAACCAAACCAAGAACCTGAACGACGCCCTGACGGTAAGCGTGTCTTGGTTGGTGTGCGTCGTCGGCTGACGCGGTGTTGGTCTGGGTGGAACTGCGTAATATGCACAGAGCGAAGCGGCGAAGAAGAGGGCCAAAGAGGAGCGTAAGATCAAGGAGATATTGGTACACGAGCAGTACCGGAACTGGTTCACCGACCTCGTCAAGTTCCGTCAGGCCGCCGTAGCGCACGCCGTTTACACCTTTCCCCATTCACTCACCGCGTTTGACAGGTCCGTGCCCTCCCCATTTAGTCTCACGACATGACACGGCACGCGCGCGACACTCACAACACTACATGCCCGCAGGATGATCGTTCATCGGTTCGCGGATTTCCTGCAGCTGGGGCACAATAGTGAGGACCTGCCAGAGGCGCGAGCCAACAGTAGGGACCCGACCCGGCAGCTTACCGTGACGAAGCTCCCCGAGCCGCGCCTCGAACTTCAAGACCAGGTACTCCGCCTTCCTCGCCCCCCTTCCACCCAAATCAATGGAGCATAAGAGTGCCTGATCCAACGGGCTCGGCGTCGGCACAGGCCATGGCGGTCGAGGGCGTGGTGGCCGTCGAAGTGTATGACACATCCAAGGTTCGTTGTTGGTAGCCGCACACGCACGCGTAGCACACACTGCACCCACATCGCACACGTAGGCTCACTGAGCGTCGTGCGCCCTCCCCCTCATGTGCAGATCGGTCCGTTGAAGAAGGCCCGGCTCGGACGGGCCAACCTGCCATGGATCGAAGTCGCCACCCTCCCCTACCACACCAAGCCCCAGATGCCCCTCCGGGTGCTCCGAATCGCGGGTCACCCGCATGATGGCGGACGAGAGCACGACGGACGGCGGGGCGAGTACGTCAACATCGCGCCCGCGCTCGAGGAGGTGTCCTTCGATTCGACGTCGTCCCACGCGCGGCGGCACGGCGATGGCGGGGCGCACCTCCACAAGGAGTGGCGATGGGTCTGCAGCGACTGCTCCACCAAGTTGCAGGTACCTCCCGTGGTTCACTTAACATGTCATTCGTCTCTTCAATCTTGAACGTGTATTGTGCCGTGCGGTGGCGTGTGCGGTGAGTAGCACAGGCTCGTGTTCACGCGCATCGGGGCAGTGGTGGACTGGTACATGTCGCGCGGGAGCCGAGGTGGCTATGGCAAACTGGTGCGACGTGTCTTTTCCATCCTCGAAGATAGAGCCGACCCCGCCGCCAACGCTGCCGAGTACTTTCTCGTCGAAGGCGGCTTCAACGTGCTCAACCGACTGCATCTCCACGGTGCGTGTCGACTCTCTCCTCTTCATAGAAGACACTATCATGACCTAACATGCGTGTGCGTTGGTCGCAGAGCACGAGAATCACTTGCTGGCCAGGTCGACGTCGCTGGATGACCTTCGCGAGGCCTTCGAGCAGCGCCTGGTGGCGATCAGCGGGCGCGAGGGCGGCCACACACAGGCGGTGGTCGAGCGGGTGGCCTGGCCCGGCGTGGCGCCCGCGGACCTGTTCGACGCGCGTGACCGGGAGATTCTGGGCGGCGTGCCCTCCTTCCCGACGCCCTCCCTCTTGTTCCCATCCCTGGGTACATATCGCCGTCCTGCTGCTCTGCCTTCGGCTCAGCCGGAGCCCTTGGTCCTTTTGGAACCGAGGAAGCTCACCCGCGCCCGTCGCACATGCCGGCACGACACGCACGCAACACACCCAACAACACGCACCAATCAATCGCAGAACGGAAGCTGCAGCCGGTGATGGCCTGGGATGTACAGGAGCGCAGATGGCGCGACATCGACGGGCGGCAGCGCCCATCAGCAACCGTGTGACCTGTTCTGCTGCTACGGCCATCCTTATTATTTATTTTTGCCGTGGAGTGTTCACTGCGTGTCGTTTTGTCGGTGCTTGTTTTATTTTCGGCGTTGCACCGGCTCGCCGGAAGCCCGGACACACAAGAATTGAGAGGCCGTGTTAGAGAACCTGCCCGCTCGCGAGTGATTGTTTGTTGTTTGGTCGGTGCACTAAGGGCACAGTTAACGACAGTGTGGGCAAACTCCGCGGTTAGTGGAGAAGAGACCAAGCTGACTGGGGTGTTTGACCGCCGGGTAAGAACGACACGTGATCGAATTTATCCCTGATTGGCTGCCTAGATAACCATCCCGCGACTTTCACTGGCTACTCAATTTTGCCGACATAATGGTAAGCTCGAGGGTCCCGGGAAACGGTCGCTGGGCGCTCAAGCTTACGTAAGTTTGTCCCTGCGGGGGCGCGTGGCGCCTATTAACCGACATGCATGTTGCCTCGCCACCGCAGTACGCACAGACCGTGCCACCACACCTGCCCCGCCTATTGCCTCCAACACTGCCCCGTGATGCTCATCACTCCCTGATGATGTTCTTTCTTCACACCACCAGCTGTACAGAACAGACCCACCAAGCAGAGCGAGAAGCAAGACCGAGCGGCTACCCAGGTTCGCAAGGGGAGGGTTGGGCCGTAGCCCTGGATACGACGGGAGAAGGGAACCTGTGAGGGGAGACCAAAAGGGAGCTGCCCCTGTAAGTGGGCGAAGCTTCAAGAAAAGAGAAGAGAAGACAAGGGAGCGAAGAGAAGAGAAGAGAAGAGAAGAGAAGAAGGCCAACTCACTATTTCTCGCTTTTCTTGCTTCTTTGTGCAGGACACGGCTGAGTCGATAAGGCCAACACCACCACCACCACCAGCAGCAACCATCTCCCAAAAACACCCGGCTGAGCAACCGTCAGCAGGAGCTCCTGCCAGGGAGGCCCCCAACGTGAGTCGCCCCGCGACAAGAGCTCGACGCCGGGAGCAAAAGGACCGAGAGCCCTCACGCGGGAGGAAGGTGCGGCCTTTTTCTCCGCACTGTGTCCTCACCCCCCGCGACCATCGATGCACGAGAAGCGAGCGCGAAGCAATACTCCGACCACCACGTCGTCGACGCGCGCAGAGAACGTGGCGGCTACGAACCCGCTGGCCGTGGGGGAGGGCAGCGGCAGCGGCAGCGGCAGCGGCACGTCTACGTCGACGACGACGGCTGGGGGGCTGGGCGGGTACCTGGTGATGGCCTCGCCGTCGACCTCTCCACCCTCGCACCACGAGTCCGAGGCGCTGGCGCGGCTCAAGCGGGCCAACCTCACCCTCCGCGAGCGAAAGAACGAAGAACGAACGCGAACCGGCGCCACGAGCGGCGACCTGCCGGCCTTCGCCCCCGCCCACTTACACTTGTCCCCGCGAAGGCCCTCCTCCGCAGACACTCGACCTCGCGCTTCGTCGACAGAAAAGAAAGAGAAGAGAGAAAGGGAGAAAAGCACGAGGAAATGGAAAAAGAAGAGTGGTGAACCAGCACAGCACAAGAAGGCGCCGGTGGAGGAGTGGAGGCCCAAGGAGGTGGCCAAGTGGCTGCAGGCGATCGAGCTGGGCGACTACGCCAAAGCCGCACGCAAGAAGAAGGTCGACGGCGCCCAGCTCGTGAAGGTGGTCGACACCATTCTCTCCACCTCGCCATCGGCCGGCCACGCCGATCATCACGCCGACGGCGGGGTGGTGCTGGCCGCGCTCGGCGTTAAAAAGCTGGGCCACCTCAAGCGACTCCAGCGCGAGCTCAGGCAGGCGATGCTCGACAGCAACGGCGGCGGCGATGACGGCGGAGAGAACGAAGACGGCGACAACAACGACGATGACGGCGCGGAGGAGAATGAAGAGGAGCGACGGAAGCAAAAAGCGGCGGGCAAGCTGCCCATCCCGCGAGGCCACTCGGCGCCGATCGCGGTGACTGCGTCGCTGCCGGTGGCCTCGTCTCCCAACCGACTCCTACGGCTCGTCCACAACCTCAGCGGATCGTCGACCACCCCGTCTTCCCTGTCCTCGTCCCCCTCAGCCACTTCATTATCGCCGTCGTCTTCGTCGTTGGCGCCGTCTTCGGTTTCGTTCCCGGCCATCGACTCGGACTCGGACTCGTTCCTCTCCGGCCCAACACCGACTTTGTCTTCGACGTCATCGCCATCGTCGCCGGCGGCGGGGGACGGGGCCACCTCTCACGGCCGGCCGCGCACGCGGTCCAAGCTCATCGAGCGGCTGGCCACCGGCATGCCCCGGTCGCGCTCGGCCGAGAGCCCGCTCCCACTCACCTCCACCTCCACCTCCACGTCGTCGTCGCCATTGTCAGGGTCGCCTTCGCTCGGGCGCTCCGGCAGCGGCTTCGGGTTCGGCGGCAACGGCGGTAATGGTGGCGGTGGCTCGTGTCCGCTGCCCGCTGTGGTGGTGTCGCCGCCGCTCTCGCCATCGGGCAAGCGGCCCAGCAACTCGGCCAACTTCATCGCCGTGGCCCACGGCACCTCGACGCTGTTCGACGGCGACGATGACTCCTCGGGCTCGACCATCTCCACCATCTCCACGTCGTCTTCCTCCTCTTCATCGTCTTCTTTGTCGGGAAACAACATGGGCGCGACCTTCTCCTTCTCGTTTCCCTCATCTTCGTCGTCGTCTTCGCACTCCGCGTCGTCCATCTCGGCCACGTGGGACGCGTCGCCAACGTCGTGCACGTCGCTCGCTTTCTGCTCCATGTTCGGCGAGGTCGCCATCAAGTGTGTCGTCGACGACGACATCTCCCTCGTGCGGCTCAACCTCGAGACGGACCTCTCCCTCTCTGGCCTCCACCGGTACACCTTCATCCTCTTCATCTTCTTCATCGGTGATTCCTCCTCATGAAGCTGACACGACACGACACGACATGACACACAGGGCGATCGAGCGAGTCTACGGGCAGCGGATGCGCGCGCACTACTTCGACAGCGAGGGCGACAAGATACGGATCACGACCGACAGCTCCCTGCGCTACGCCTACGAGGACTGGTGTCAGGCGCTCGAGCGCAGCGGGGCCACGATCAGCTGGCGACTCCACCTCAAGCCCCGCAGCAAGGCCCGCGCCCACTCCGACACGTCGTCGGGGCCGTTGTCGTCGCTGTCGATTTCCGCGTCCGCGTCGCCCTCGATGTCAATGGACGTCGTCGCTGACTATGTAGCAGATGAGGCTGCAATGTAAATGTAATGTAATGTACTCGTACCACACACGCTCACGCGCCATCGTGGCCGTGGTGAAGGAGAGGGTCGAGGAAGAGTGTGCGTCTAGTATGAATGGGTGGCGCCCAGCCACGAACAATCACAAGAGCAAAGGCGGGAAATGGTAGAATACGGATGGATCAGTAGATGTCGGGCTCGAGGCTGCGCTCGACCTTGAACTTGAAGTTGTCGGCGTAGTCCTTGTTGGGCGTGATGTTCTCGTACGGGGTCGTGCTGTCCTCGATCTCGTAGTCCAGTCCTGGGTATATATTTATTTTAATTGGGTTATTTATTGTCGGTTGGGGGCGTGCACGGTGCAAAAGAAATGGAAAACAAAGACATAAATAAATGGTGTTCATGATGGAGGGAATTAATCCGGGGGGGGGTACCGTGCTGCTTGCAGAAGGCGACGGCGGCTTCCTTGGTGTCGAATTTGACGTGGAGATTGGAGACGGGGTCCTTGGTCGCGGTCCAGCCCATGAGCGGGTTGGCCCAATGGTTCTTCTCTTCCTCGGGATACGAAATCTTCCAAAACGTGGCGGAATGGACGCCCGACTGCATTGTGCACCGGGCCGGGATGTAGATGCGCACACGGCGCTTGAGGTGCTCGACGGGGGTGCCCATAACGGCCGAGATGCTCTTGCGCCTCTCCTCGGAGACCTCGTCGGCATTGCCCTTGATCGCCATGTGGAGGCGGACCTGAGCGGCATCCGTGTTCGGGGGCGCTTCATTGGCCGAATTGGAGGCAATGTCTTTGAGGAAGCGCTGCTGGGACGACAGAGGAGCCGCCGAGCGGTAAAGGGGAGTGGCCCCAGCAAAAGTAAAGGGGCGACGAGCGATGGTGAGCCTCTTCATCTCTTTGTCAATTTGCCAGATAAATAAATATAAAAAGAAATAAAATAAAGTGCGGCGGTAACCGTTCAGTGTGAAAATTCGGTAAAAACGCAACCCTACAGCAGCGAGCTCAAACGCCCCGTGCATCAAGCAAGGCCCGACTCATCTTGTGCCTCCTCTTCTCCGCCTGCCTGTATCGTTTGCCACGTACGATTTTTTTCTTGACAAGATCCCTCTGCATCCATGGATTACCACGTCGTTGGCGAAGACTACAAGGAAGGAGCCACATCCTCGCTTTCTTCCATCTATATCCCCACCCATCTTCCCTCGTCTCCACCAGCCACGGCAGTGCCAATGAACGCCTGTTCCCATGGCTCCGCCCTTGGCGGAGCCGCCCAACCCAGCTACATGTACCCGCTGAAGGGCATCTCGTTCCTGGCGAACCACCCCTCCCAGTTGTGGGGCGCCGTGCTGTTGCCCATCGTCGTCAGCATAGCCATCGGCGTGGGCGCCTTCGTGGTCCTCATGGCCGGCGGCCTCTACCCGCAGGCCCTCTTCTTCCTGACCTACACCTCTCTGCCGCCAGTACGCGCAACCCTCTCGTCTCCGTGTGCGTCACGGCGTGTGCGTGCGACGTGTGCGACGTGTGCGACGTGTGAGTTGTTAGATGGAATGGTACTGAATCGAGCGGGCGTGTAGTGGGCGGCATGGATCTTGTCGCTGGTGTTGGTGTTCCTGGAGACGGTGCTGCTGTCGTTCATCCTCGCCCAGCTCTTCCTCGACCACGCCCGCACTCGGCTCTACGCGTACGCTCCAATCCCACGTTTGCGTCCGTGGGTCGTTGATCTGCGGGACACCGTCTGTGTGAGCTCACCTGCGCGAGTCGACTTCCTCCTCCAGCAAGGTGTTTGAGCTGAACGGTCTTCAATTCTCCAGCCTGGACAGGGTCATACAGGGCACTGGTATGCCGTGGGTGTTGTGTCGTGGTGCTGTTTCAGTGTAGCTAGTGAATCTGTGTCTTGTCTTTGTTGTTGCTGCTTCTACTTACGTGAGGTCGGCCATCTTGTCAGGCAACGCATACTTCCAATGGGTGTCGCAGAGGGCCATCTTCCTCTTCCTCTTCTTCCAGATGGTGGCCACCCTGCCCATCAATCTCGTGCCCGTCGCTGGAACCATTTGTTACGCCGGCCTGAACGGTACGCGCACGTCCACCCATGATCCCCGCGCCACACCCAGACTCCCACGTTAACACTCGTGTTGCGTGTATCACCCATCTACGATTGGACCAGGCGTGTCGTTTGCGTGGGCGCTCCAGGGGGTGTACTTCGAGCGCAAGGGCCTCTCCTTCCTGCAGCAGTGGAAATTCGTGAAGACCCACCTCAATGACTACCTCAGCTTTGGCGCGGTACAGGCTGATTGATGGTGTAACTCCCTGTCAACGGTGTACACCCCTAATTGATCACTGTGTGTGCACGCAGGTTGCGGTGTTGCTCGACAGCATTCCCGTGTTCAATATTCTCTTCTTCTACACGAACATCATCGGCTCAGGTGCCTTGGCCGTTTTGCTTTTCCGTTTTGCTTCTCGTGATGATGGGAATGTCCTGCGCAGTTGGCTGACCAGAACGGATGCTTCCCTTGCAGCTCTGTGGGCGATCGATATGGAGAAGGCGCAGACGCTGGAGAACAGCTTCCTCTTGCCCGCCAACGCTTTGATTGACGACGTGGGCATCATCGACACCGAAGAGCTCCACTGAGCCACATGGCCAAAGGCGTTGCGAACGCCGTGGACACCACCCCGGTGGGTCTTTGTACATAGCGCAGCACTCGTATTTATTTATTTTTTGACAATTAAAAAAATGTCTTTTTGTGACGAGTTATTTTCAGGATTTATCCGGGAAGAAGACCGGACACAAAGGGGGCGGGGGCTCGCGACGTTCTTTCTTCCTTTCTCTCCCACATCGTCGGCCTTCCCTCTTTCGCTGTCGAAGAAGATCAACCATGGGTCACGCCGCCGTCTGGAACTCTCACCCCCGCAAGTTCGGTCCTGATGCCCGTAGCTGGTACGTTGTCCACCACCGACCTCCCGCTTTCAATTCATCTCCATCTCTATGCGTGATCTATACATAAATGGATCAAGCTCTCCTCTGTGGACGGAGGTCCTAAATCGGACCTCCATCTCCCATTTCGGTTACGAAGATGCATTTTTTTATGCAATGATAGGACTGAAACCTTCTTGAAGTCACTGTATAGCCAAATACTGAGTAACCTATGCCATACACGCCCATCACTACTTTCCTCTCCTTGCATGTGCTGGCTTCTAATCCCCATTTCCTCCACAGCCGCCGCTGCGGAAACAACCACGGTCTCATCCGCAAGTACGGCCTCATGATGTGCAGGAGGTGCTTCAGGGAGCGCGCTGAGGAGATCGGTTTCCTCAAGGTATGTCTTTACCGGTTCTTAGTGCTGATTACCTGTTCTCACCGCCTTTTCCCCTCTCCAATTCGCGCAGATGAGGTAAATGCTCATTCGTGTCCCAATAAACCAACCATTTTGAGCTGGCCCCGAATGCCCAAAATGTCCCCCCGGATCTGATCAATCAAGTAGAGGGGCGTGGAGGAGTGTAGGAGGTTCTTCAACACGACGCGCCCAATCTTTGCACAGCGACCATAAATTCATTTATCCCTTCAGCCTCCTGTTCAATTTCTTGTGTTTTGTCGTATTAAAAAAACAAACATAAAAGGACGCAACCAAGATACAAGATGGAAGAGGAATACGTACCCTTTGCCAAGAGGCCCGAGTGGGCAGACGTGCAGCCTGTGCCACAGGATGATGGCCCTCAAGGCGGCGTCTGTGCCATCGCTTATTCACCCCAGTGTAACCCCCCCGCTTGCGTGGGCCTGTTGTTTCTTTTATTTATGATTCCACGCTCTCATTTGATGTTTTTTTTAAACAATTGATTATTACTGATGTGCCAGTCCAGGAGACCATGGATTATTTCAGGGCGGTGGTGAAGGCCAGCGAGGTGAGCGATCGCGCCCTACGCCTCACGGATGAAGTCATCCGCCTTAACGCTGCCAACTACACCGCCTGGTAAGCCAGTGCCTTCTCGTCACCTATGTGCTCCGTGCTCATGCGCCAATTCGTGTGTGCGGTGGCGTGTCTGCGTGTGCGTGTGCGTGTGCGGTGACCAGGGCCTACCGTCGCAAGATTCTGGTGGCGCTCGACGTAGACTTCAAGGAGGAGGTACAGTGGGTCAATCGCATCGCCGCTGAGAACCCCAAGAACTATCAAATTTGGTACGCACGCACGATCGCACATGCGTCCCTCTTAGTTGCCAACGTGGCGTCTGTATTCATCAGGTACCACCGCAAGGCGTTGGTGGAGCGCTCGCGCGACCCCTCGTTCGAGCTCGACTTCATCGCCCAAATGCTCAAGGGTACGACTGCACTGTCCCGTCAATCCGGGCCCCACCTACGAAGTTGTGGATGAGTGACCACGGTGTGGCGGCGGCGATGGTGGCGAGTGCAGAGGATTCCAAGAACTACCATGCGTGGGCGCACAGACAGTGGGTGCTGAAGGAGTTCAATCTGTGGGAGGGTGAACTCGACTACATCCACCAGCTTCTTAAAGGTGTGTGTGTGTGTGTGTGTGTGCGCGCGCGCGCGTGTTTCGTGTTTCGCGCGCGTGGGGAATACTCGAGTTGTGGAGCCAGCGCTGACCATGGCACCACTCGCACACACAACACGCGGACGCAACAGAGGACTTCAGGAACAACTCAGCGTGGAACCAGAGATACTACGTCATCTCCAACACCAAGGGCTTCGCCTCGCCCGAAGTCAAGAAGGAGGAAATCGAGTGCGCCTCTCACACCCCTCTTCTCTTCCCTCTTCAGCTCCCGCTCACGTGTGTTGTGTGTTGTGTGTTGTGTGTGCGTGCGTGTCATGTGTGTCGTGCGTGTCGCGAAATAGCTACGCGCTGTCGTGGATCCAGCGGGCACCCAACAACCAGAGCCCCTGGTACTACCTCTCGGGCATATTCAAGGGCGGCAAGTTTGCGGACCAGCCCTACGTGAAGGAAAAGGCGCTGGAGTGCCGGGAGCGCTACCCGACGTGCGCCCACGTCCTCTCCCTCCTCGTCGACATCTGGGAAGAGGAGGCCACTCCCGAAAGCCTCGAACTTGCCGTCCAGGTACTTCCACCCCCTCCCGTGTAGCCCGTGTGCGGCGCGTGTCGTGTGGTGTTGTGTGTCCTGTGGCGTGTGTTGTGTGTCGTTCGATCGACTGACAGCCCGTTTTCCTGTGCGTGTGGGTAGGGGTGCGAGGAGCTGGTATCGCACCTGGCGCAGACCTACAAGAAGTATTGGCTCTACCGCAAGGACCTCATCGCCTCCCGCCGCTAGCCGAGCCTCCACATAGCCACACCCCGCCTCCTCCTCCTCCTCCTCCTCCTCTTGGTCGATTGGCACAGACAAAACGTGTTGAGCTTTCTATCCTCTATGTGCGTGTTGTTCCTCTTCCAACGCTGGCTTGGTGGATCCCAACAGAGATCGGAAAAAGTGGTCGCCACGACTTAGAACTCGTAGTCGACGGCGAGGATGTCTTCGGTGATGGGCACGATGAACTGGTCCTTGACCTTGACGTGGTCCGGGTGGGGCAGGTAGGCATCAAGCGCCGCCCGGCCGCTGAACGTCACGCGCAACGCGAAGTTGAAACCCTTCGAGCGCTCCGAGAAGTTCTTGCCTGTACGCGTGTCGTGGCGTGGTGGTGAGTGTTGTGCAAGTGAAACTGCACCACACCACACTTGGTGGCGAAGTTGATGATGGATCGCATCTCTTCCCAAGGGATCGCGCCAGGATGATCTGCGGAAGATGAAAGGGCGGAAGGAGATGTACCGGCGGTGATCTTCTCCACGCCAGGGAGAGAAGCGAGGGTCTGCAGGCCGGCAACAAGCTCAGCGATCTGCTCCTCGGTCGTTCCCTCCTTCAGCTTGAACAAAACCAAATGCTCAATGCCCATCTTGCTGTTTGTCGGTGGCGAATTAAATATTTCGAATTAAGAGCGATTCTTTCTTCTGGGTTTATTTTCTTTTTTCATAATTCGACCAGAAAATCTTGATTATCCATTTGAATTCAACGCAGTCGCCCTGCCTCTGGTCGCGCATGTGCTGGTCTGAAGCTGAAGCTGAGTTGGTGTGATTATTATTGCGATTTGTGACGCTACACGCCAATCGCTCATTTTTATCAATTAGTTTTGTACTTAGCGAAGCCAATGCAGCAACCGCCAAAGAAGAAGATGGAGGATGTGGGAAGCGAGGATGAGGAGACAGAACTGCAGCGAGTTGCCAAGTTCTCGCTGCAATCACTAAGCGCTGTGATGAACGACCCCTCACAGCGATCCTCCTCAGCCTCACGAGCTGCTCCAGCAACCCACTCACGCACCAGCTCCTCCTCCACCCTTTCCTCCTCTGCCCTGGAAACCGCCAAAGAATTGGAGCTCTACATCGCCGAAGTCAATGAGGTATTTTATTTTTTTAAAAACATCTTTTAATATTTAATCCTTGATTATTGTTCGCATCACATCTTGTCGTTATTTATGTTTGTTTTTTTCTTTATTTTTATGTCTCATCTCTTGTTCTTTGCCAGCTGCAAGAACAGTTTCAGCGTGCCCACGCACCAACGGAGGAGGAAGAGGACGGGCGTGGGCCAGCAGTGCCCATCGAAGCCGTCCACGGCATGCAGCACCACATTCAAACCGTGCCCAAGGTACAACCAACACGAGCAGCCTGTTGATGTCGTGTAGTTGGCCGTGTCGCTGTTGAAATGGCCTTTCCCTTGCGTGATGATCGCGCGCTACTCGTGGATGTCGTTCTCACGCAACGGAATGCCACACAGGTGTATTTTCAAGAGGACTTCTCGCTAAGTGACCCGGAGACGTTCGAGCAGACTTGCCACGCGCTCGGATCCTCCTCCCCTGTTCTCCTCCAAGAGAAGGTAACGACACACGACACCCGCCCACACACACGACACTTTACACGTTCTAGAAATGCTCACAACACGCGCTTTCCCCTTGCCTTGGGCAGCTTTCGCACTATCTCGACGTGGTCGAGGTCGAGCTCGTTCGACAGGTGCGCATCTCCGGTTGCCCTGTCCTGTCCTGTCTTCCCTCACAATATGCTGCGTCTCTCGATTGCATGCATTCGCTTGTTAACCTCTCACCCTGTGTTCGCTCGCGTACACCGAAGGTGTCTATGCGGAGCGGCTCGTTCTTCACGGCCCTCACCACGCTGCAGGACCTGCACCACGAGGTGGCCTCTACATGTACCGCCATCTCCTCCGTGCGGCACAGCCTCGGGTAACAGCTCTCATGCCCTCCCCAGCCCCGATCGCAACAATTCCAACCACGCGCGGTGCATTCCTCGCGTCTGACCTCGTGCCCCCCCTCCCCGCCGACAATCAGGACCGTCAGCGACGCACAGGCCAAGAAGGCGCTAAACATCGTCGCCCTGCGTCGGCGGAGACAGAACTGCATCGTTGTCTACAAAAAGGTAAACTATGGTTTACGCTCACAACAAGACGACACACGACACGCAACACCGAGCGCATAGCACGCGGCACTTGATTTTGCGTTGCACACTGTTTTTTGACGGCCGCGCTCGGCACTGTGCAGTTGAAGCTGATTGCTCGAGTCCGCGCTGCTCAGCCGACCATTCAGCTGCTCTTGTCGAACAGGTTTGTTAGGCGGCGGTTACAATTAATTAATCGATTAATTTCTATCTTACCACCCTCTCTGTGTGCCGGCAGTGACTTCGCGGGCGCCCTGGATTTGATTGCCACAACGCAGGCCATACTGGCGTCGGACCTGCAAGGCATCCAAAGCTTCAAGTACCTATCTTCTCCACCTTCTTTAATCGATTCTTTTCTTTTGCCTGTTACTCACCGTTGCTCTCTGGCAGGCACACGTCGCTGCAGCTCAAGGAGATGACGACCCTCATCCAGCGCATGATCCAGGACGACTTTCTGCGCTTCGCGCTGGGCAAGACGTCCGAGATCACGGAAGCGGCGGAGGCGTGGGCCGCCCTCGGCGGGGAACACGGTACCCGCTCGCGCGCACATTCCAACACCATTCCTGAAATGAGCGTACCTGGGTTTACCTCATGCGTGCGTGTCCTACAGAGGGCGACGAGGCGGAGAAGGAGCGATTGTTTCACGAGGTGGGCTTGGAGGAACGGTAACTTGTGCAACACCTGTGGTGGTGGTGGTGGTGGTGGTGGTGGTGGTGGTGGTGGTGGTGGTGGTGGTGGTGGTGGTGGTGGTGTGTGTGTGTGGTGTGTGTGTGTGTGTGTGCGTTGCGTGTCGTGTGTGTGTGTGTTTCGTGCGATGGGTCCTTACACTCTTGGACTGCGACAGATTGTCACCATTGGCGTTCGGTCTTCTTCGACTGGGCAAGATTCGTCAGGCGTTCCAGCTGTATCGCGAGAAAATGCAAAAGAAAGTCTCCTCCACCATCGACCGAGTACGCCGACTTTCTTTTCTCTTTGGATCCTCACTACATGCACCTCCGACTAACCCCCTCCTCTCTTCTTGCCGCTCAGTATGTCGAGAACTTCTTTCGACCTCCCGGCCCCGCGAGCGCGGTACGGCACACACCACCGCACACGCGCACGCATGAAACTTGTCTCACGGGCATGTGTGCGCACGACCAGGGAATGGTGGTCGACGAGATATCGGTGCTGCTGGCGAACCTCGAGTCGTCGACCTTCCTGGTGGCCTTCCTGCAGCCGCTGTTCGCGCAGGTCCAGCTGCGCCTCGAGCGCATGGCCTACATCCACGCCATCCTCCTGCCCGTGCTCGACAGCTGTACGTGTCGCCCTTCACCCGGCTCCGCTTTGTCTGTCTGCCGCACGCGTGTCGTGTCGTTTTCCGTTGTGTGCGCTCACGCGCACTTTCGTGTTGGCAGGTGTGGGCAAGCAGGAGCAGAATTTCGGGGCGGCTACGCGCCCACTCAGCAGGAGCGACGGGACCGGCGGCGGCGGCGACGGTGGTGGCGGCGGCGCAGCGGACAAGGGCGCGTCGGGCAAGTGGTGGGGGCGCGCGCGGATCACCATCTCCGACGAGTACCGCAACCAGATCCTCTTCGACAGCTCGGAGACCCTCTCGTCCATCGTCGAGATCAGCCACTCGCGTTGCGCGCGTCTTCTCAAAATGGCAAGCCTCCTTGCACACGCACCACCGCACACGCACCACCGCACACGCACACACAAACCATGCTGACCGGTGAGGTGTTTGTGGTGGCGCAGCGGTCGGAGGCCAACGCGCGGTTGAGCGCGACCGAGTTTGTCGATATGTACAACGTGGCCATGCACTTTGTGCAGCAGGGCGAGAAGCTGTGCAAGAAGCAGTGCTTCAGCCTGCGCAACACGCTCCTGAGCCAGGTGAGGCTCACCCACCCACTCCCCGACTTCACTTGCGTTCGCAAACTCAACTAACGTCGTCTCGTGTATTGCCCTCTGCTATGTGGTTCGTCTTGCGACATGGGGCAGGCGCGAGTCTTTTTGGATGGGTTCCACAACAACCGGATATCGTCGATGGCCATCATCCTCGAGTCGGAGACGTGGACACAGGCTCAGGTTCTTCCCCTCTTCTCATATTTGGTTGCAGCTAGTGCGTGCGACCGTGCGTGCGGTGGTGCGTGCGTGTTGTGTGTGTGTGTGTGTGTGTGTGTGTGCCGCTGACCTCGTTGGCGGGCGCAGGTTGCACATGAATTCCAACAAATCGCGACAGACATAGCCACACCTGTTGGCGACGATGCGCTCCAGGTACCACCAGACACACGACACACGCGACCCATCGCACACGACGCACCTGACCGACGCTTTGTTGTGTGCGTGTGCGCGGGTGTGGTGTCAGGGCCTGGCGGCGCGTAATAAACGGTCGACGGACCAACGGCTGCAGCAGATGTCAGAAAAGGTCAGACGAGCCCACGAGCAGCAGCAGCAACAACAGCGCGGGGACATCGAGCGAAGGAACGAGCTGCGAAGATCAAGCGGCGACGCCGCGACACCGCAGCCGCCACCAGCAGCCGAGCCGACGGCGCCCAAGAAAGTCTCGGGGGCCACCAACGTCAACTCCAACGGCGGCGGCGGCGGCGAGGGCTCGCTCAGCGCTGCGGCGGACCGGTTGTCGTCTACGCTGTCGTCGGCCGCCATGACGTTTCTGACGAGCGGGTCGTCATCGACGTCGCCGTCGGGCTCGCTGTCGTCGTCGCCCACGTCGGGGTCGCCGCTGACCATGGGCGAGACGCTCTTCAACAAGCTCAACTTCCGCAAGCGCACCCCACAGAACCCGGCCCAGCTTGCCGACAACAGCCCCAAGGCGGGCTCGAGCAACGGCAGCAGCGGCGCTGAGAGCGAGCAGCCGGCCACCACCACGACGACGACCACATCGACGACCGCACCCGCCGGGGACACGTCGGCCGCGGCGTCGGCGTCGGCGTCGTCATCGGCTGCGGCTGCGAGGCGGGCGTCCCGAACGGAATCGGTCGCAGAGGGCCAAGGCGACAGCGTGTCGGAGGCTCTCGTGATCGGAGAACGCAAGTTCCACGTGGTGCGTGCCTTCTCTGCTGTCGACCTACACACCACGCCTGCACCGCGGTACTCAGCACGCGCGCTAATAACCAATCTGCGCAGGTGAACGCGGCGCTGATACTGGTGAAGCTGGTGGGGGAGTACCTCAACTGCCTGTCGCTCATTCCATCGCTCAGTACCGACGTCCTCCAGAAGGTGGTCGAACTCCTCAGGTGCGCGTCTTGACCTTCCCCTTTGCTCCCCGCTCTGATTAACGTCGCCAAGGCCCGACTGACCCGACAAACAACGCGCCTCTCGCGGCCTCCACTCTCGCCCACAGCCTGTTCAACTCGAGGACGTGCGGACTGGTGTTGGGTGCCGGCGCGATGCAGGCGGCCAGTCTCAAGTCCATCACTGCCAAGCACCTCTGTACGTACACCAGGCGACCTCCTTCGTGTGAATCCGCGTCCGCTCTGCGAAGAAGAGAGAAAAACGCTCACCTCTGCCGTGCCGTGGTGCTCATGCGAAAAATCAGCGCTCGCCGCGGAGAGCGTGGGTGTCGAGGTGGCGCTGATTCCGCACATCAAAGCGCGGATCGGGCAGTACCTTACCCTCAAGAAGCACCACATCCTGCTCAACGACCTCGACCGCGTGCTCGGCGTACGCCACCATCTTCGCCCCGACCACGCCTAACACTTCGAACTATCAAACACGTTTGCGTTGTTCATCTATTGATTGCTTTATTGCAGGACTGCAAGGAGCATCGGCAGGAGATCTTTACGAAGGTGGTCATGATTATGAAGGACCGTGCGGAGGTGCACAGCCAGGGCATCGCGGTAACCACACCACCACCGCCGCAGTAACTCGCTCAGCTGCGTGCGCTCTCGCTCATTCGTGCGTGTCGTACACCAGCGCCACTATACGACCAACATTGCCAAGTCGACGTCGGCGTACATGCTTACCCTGATCAAGGAGACCAGCACCCTCTACCGGGTCCTCTCCAAGATACTGCCCGCGAGCGAGATCAAGGTACACCCGAGTCTCCTTGTCGTTTCAAATTGTCTCGCCTTCCAGGCTGGGTCCACCTAAACCGCTTCCCTCCCGCGGCCCAACAGCACATCTTCACGGCCATCTTCGACATGTTCAACTCCCGCTTCACACAACAATTCAACACTCTCGAATCGCTCACGCCCGCCGGCAAGAAGAGGTACACCCACCCCGACCTATCTTACACGCATGCATTACCCAACACGTTGCGCCGTGCGTTGTGTGTCGTACTTTGTGTGCCGCCGTGCAGGCTGTACGGGGACATCGAGTATTTATTGCAGGCCCTGCGCGGGCTGTCGAGCGAGCTCGACCCCGGCACCAAGCTCATCACCCTCTACACCTCCCGCTTTGGCCAACCACCACCCCAACAGCAAAAGCAGCCACCAGCAGCAGCCACACAGACGTGACGGACTCCTTGATTACTGTCAAAGTTTAAATGTGTGTCTGCCAACCCCAGACCAGGCTTCATTGATGTGGTTGCATGTCAACGGCGTACAAGCACCAATGCACCAGTGTGCGTCTGCACAACAAACCGCAAACATTATGGGACGCGCCAAGAGAAAATACGGAAAAATGGTTGAGGCAGCGGAAAACGAAGCGAAAACAAAATTTGCGCTTCATTTTTCGAGCTTTTCATTACTCATCCATCCTCTTTCCATCATCCTCCTCCTTCCTTTCTTTCACTCCTCATCTGGTCGCCACGACCCTGCAGCACGCACAATTTTTTTCCAGCATCACGGAGCGGCAATTATTTAATCATTTATTCCGGTTTAATCATTCGATTTGATCCACCCGCTTCCGGTCGGTCGTCGGTCGATGGGAATCCGTTCGGCCGTCAGCAAAGATCGCGGCTCGAAAGAAATCCTGGTGGATTCGAGATGCGTGGTGCTGCAAATCTTTTCATTTCTCGTTTCGCACGATTTGCTGGTGGCGAGGCTCGTCTGCCGACGATGGAACGAGTGGACCATCAACGACGACGCCCTCTGGCAGCGCGCCATGGAGAGGGAGCTTCTGCCCCCACCGTGCCATGAGCACCAAGTCACGATCTCGATCAGCAGCGTAGAGCGAAGAGAGGATGAGGGCGATGGAATGGCGCTACGCGACGAATTCGAGAGGTGGCGCTCGACCACCTACGAACGCAAGCTCAAGCCCGACTGGCGTGCCCTCTTTCTTAGCAACAACGAGGCGACCAGCGTCGATGGCGACGGCGATGCGAGTCAACGCGACACCACGAGGGTGGTGCCATCGGCGCGGATGCTGTTCGTGTTGCGAGCGTCGAGGCGAGCGAGATTCGTATTCACCGAGCGGCGCTACTTCTCGCTCTTCCGCTTCTTCCGTACGTCCTCCTTCTCTTTCCTTGTCTTCATAAGAAATTGACAACTTCAATCTCAGACTTCATCAATTTCATTTACGTTTTGTTTTGTTTTTTAATTATTATTAAATAAATTCCTGAACCTTATTCGCGCCACAGAGATGGAGGGCACAAGCTGCGAGGAGCTGTTGAGCGGCCTCGACGTGATACCACGCTTCGAAGGGTACCCTGTCGCACACCTTTGCACTGTTCCCCCGCCCACCGCTCACCGCTCGGGTCTGTATGTTTGTGTGTATGTGCGTACGCAGCCACGTGTTTTGCTACAACTGTGGGATGTGCGGCCATCGTGGGGAGGACTGCGCGGCGCGCCCCCTCTTCGATGACATGTTCATGTCCACCCAGCGGTCGCCTCGCGAACGGTAAGTGCCCGTCTCTCTCTCTCTTTCTCTCTATCCCGCTCTCCGCGTGACCACCGGTGGCCTTACCACCAGCGGTGGGGCGACATTGCCCGGCTCGCTCGCGGTGTGGCACAGGAAAGCGATCGGGGGCTGGCAGGGCGGTCCGGGTGCGTGGCTGCCGGCGGCGACCCACGGCATGACGATGTGGTCCTACCGCGTGACGCCCAGCAACCCCAACAGCCTCGCGCCACTGTACGCACAGGAGTCGCCGCTGGCCGCGGCGAGCACCAACGACCACGCTGCTGCGAGGGACGTTGAGGAGTCCTCCGGCGGTGTGCCGACAGCGACGGAGAATGGTGTAGATACGAGGAATGACGATGGTGGAGCGAAGCGGAGGAACGGTCTTGTCGCCGACGGCACTGTACACACGAACAACGACGATGAAAGCGACGACACGAAGGGGTCGTCGATAGCCGCCGCCGCCGCCGCCGCCACTTCCACCACCTCCACTGCCAACGGCGTGGCGACGACAAACAAAAAGAAGAAGAAAAAGAAGAAGAAATCGAAGAAGAGAAATAACGCGAACACGCCGAGCAGCGAGGCCGCGACGGCGGTAGCAACGACACCAGCCAGCACCGCGACCCAATCCGAAAACGACGCGAACACGAACGCGAAAGCGAAAGCGGCGGAGGAAAAGCCAACGCCGACGACAGCAAAAGAGCGGGAGAGGGAGGTGGCGTTGGTGCTTACGTCACGCCGTACCGACGCCCTGCAGCAAGCGATCGAGATCGTCGCGCGCCTGCTGGCCGACATCACTCCGCCGCCCACGCCCGGTCGCAACCACGAGCTCCTCGCCGCCCAGGACAACACTGACGCCGCCGCCAACAGCCGCAACGCCGCCGAACGCGTGTCGTTGCCCCATCCGCCCTACGCCTACACGCCAGCCGGCGGCCACTACCCGCCCAGCCGCTACCCGCCATCGCCGCACCACTACGTTGCCTTCGCCCAGCACCCTCAGCATCGACCACCACAGCCACAGCCCCAGCCCGTGGGATTGCCGCCGCACCATCCGCACACGCCGCCCGCACACACGGCGACGCCCAACACGCCCGCCGCCACGTCGCTTCACTCGATGCCTCCGCACCAGGCGGTGGCCTTCCACGGCCATCCGCCGCCGTCGGCCTACGTGCCATCGCCGGCCGCCTACCATCCACCGCCGGCCCTCCCGCCATCATCATCGTCGCCGTCGCCGCCGTCATCGCCGACGCGCTCCAACGCCGCTCCAATGCCGTCTCCACCCGCAAGCCCACTCCTCCCGTCAGCCCCGCGGCCGAACTCTCCAGCACCGCCAGCGGTGCCAACGACAACCACCACGACCGCCGCCAGCACGCCGAGCGTCTCCGTGTCGACATCACTGCAACCAGCAATGCCCACGCTGGCGGCGGCGCCAGCCCCGGCCCCGTCGTCGCCTCATCGGTCGACGACGCCTGCGCTCGGACCCTATCCCCACGTGACCGCGTACCACCCGGTGCCGCCGCCGTCGGTGCGGCACTACTACCCGCCCAACTGGAGCCACTACGCGCCCTATCTGACCCACCACCACCCGCACCACCCTTACGCCGCGCCTAATGTCGCCGCCGCGGCCGCCCTCGGCCACCCATTCGCCACCTCGCTCCACTCGGCAGCCTCGACGTCGATGACCTCGTCTGCGCTCTCGTCGTCGCTGCTGTCTACACCGCCGTCGCCAGCGTCCATGTCTCAGCACCACCACCAGGCGTCGTCATCGCCGACCTTCTCCTTCTCGTCCATCGCCCTCTCGTGCTCGACGTCGACGGTGTCGGGCGCGAGCCGGCCGGTCACGTTCGCCGTCCACGCTATCCCCGCCGGCCTCGTCTCGCCCTCCTCTTCGCCGCCAGCCGCCGCCACGCCGTCGCCGCTCCACTCCATGTACATGGCGCGGACGTCATCCGCTCCACTACCCGCATCCTCTTCACTCTCATCACCATCTTCGCCTTCATCGTCATCTTCTTCTTCGGTGTTGTCTCCACCGACTTCGCCGCACATCCGACGCCTCTCCTCGCCCGCCATCGCTGTCCCTGCCACTTCACACCCACCACCGCCTCACCATCCCGCTCCTTCGTCATCGCCATCGTCAGCGTCATCAACACCGGCGTCGCCTTCCCATCGAGTGGCGCGTCCCTCTTCGCCCGCCTTCGGCGCGCCGTCATCGCCCACCACCGTCGCCCACCGAGTCGCCTTCCCCGTACCCGTGCAAGGCGCCAAATGAACAAAGAAATAAAGAGATAATAACCGCAGTTTTTCTCTTTTTTTAACCTTTATTATTTATTCGAGTGCAGCGAATCGGGGCCAGGCGTGGGGAGTTGGGAGCCTCCACAGAAGAAGAGGATGACGCCGCGGCAGAGGGTATTTGTGGTCGGGTTGCTGCTCGTCGTGGTTGCGAGCGCCGGAACGATCCCGCTCACTCCGGCTCACTGGAACGTCCTCTACGATGGCTACGGCGAGGTACCTTTCATAATTTATTTATTTTTTGTATTTGTTGCTTCATTTTACAGAAGAAAAAACACAATAAATGAGGAAAAAAACGTAATGTGGTGTAGGTGACGTGGAACTCGAACGAGACGGTGTCGTTTGCGCCGCAGAAGAACGACGCTGGGACGAGCGCCGTGCTCGTCCTGTCGCTTGCCAAGGCCCGAGACTTCGACCTCACCATCAACGCCACCACCGTCCGCCAACTCAAGACCACCCCCGAGAAGTGGGTGCGTGTGATCTGCGAATGCGCCCTGTACGCACACGCACACGCACACGCACGCACCACACACACACACACACACACACGCCGCACACGCTGATGGTCGTGGTGATTGTTGCAGGAGGTGTTCTGGGTGATGTTCAACTACGTCCAGATCGGGAATGGGACGTCGAACGACAAGAAGACTAACTCCTTCATCCTCAAGCCCAACGGGTGCGAGCTGGGCACCGCCTACGGCGACCTGGGCCAAAACTTCACCGCCACCACGTCGACCCCCACCCTCGCCCTCGGCACCCCGTACCAGTACACCATCACCAAGCGCGGCTATCACTTGACGGTGGCGATCGACGGCGTGTCGGTGCTGGACGCCACCTACGACCACACGGGCCTCTACGACCAGGAGGGCGTGATCGGGCTCTACTGCGAAGACGCCGCCGTGCAGGTCACCAGCGCCGTCCTCACCTCCCACGACCCCGCCGCCAGTGGCAGTGCGGCCAGCGCCCTGTCACGGCCCCTCTGGTAACAAACGCCTGGCGCGGCGGACCGAAAAAGGGTGCGCCAAACCGAAACGGAACAAAAAACGAGTTTCCGAAATTTCCATCAGGCGTCGGAACAATTATGACCCGGCTGGTGACAAAAGTGGCGGCCGCGGCCCGCGACTGGCCAACAAAGCGACAAATCGGATGGACGACACCACAGTTGGTGTGCTGGGAGATAGATAAAGTACACGGCTTTTATTGTTGGCCTAAAGAAGAGTCTAGTTCTGGCTCTCGGGCCTTGCTTCAGTGGGTGTCGACGACGAATTGCTGGAGGAACCCGTTGGCCTGGGCCTTGGCCTTCATGTTGTGGAAGATAAACCGCGGCTTGCTCCCGGCGGATCGTCGCGCGGCCTCCGCGCGGGCGATGCGCTTCTTCTCGCGCTTGCGCAGCTTCGAGCGATGGTTCTGGAACCACAGCTGGACGCTCTTGAGCGGCACGCCCAGCTGGTCGGCGAGCTGCACCTTGGCGCAGGTGCCGGGAAGCGGGTCGAGCTCGAACATGGCCTCGAGCGTCGCGCGCTGGTCGTCGGTCAGCTGGCCCGTGAGCGCCGCCGCGGTCAGCGGGCTTCGTTCTTTCGCGCCGGTCGTCGCCGTCGTCCTTCGTTCTTTGTTGGGCGCCGTGAGGTGGTTGCTGGTCGATCGCTTCCGCTTGTTGTTGGTGGACGAGCTCGTGGTCGCGACAGAGCCGGTGCGTCGCTGCGGTAGCAGAAGACCAAATGAGGAGGCGGCCAGGTCGTTGTCGTGCGAGGCGTCGTCGTTGAGGATGAACGAAAGCGAGGCCTTCTTCGACTTGGCGGTGGCCGTGGCGAAGATGGGCGAAGAGGGCGACGAAGAGTAGTCCGAGCACGAGGGCGAAGACGGCGAGGAGGAGGAAGAAGAAGATGGCGACTCCCAGACAAAGCCCTCGTGCAAGAAGTGATGCATAGGCGAGTAGGGACTTGTGGTGGTGGTGGACGACGACGACACGTCGTCAGCCGAGCTGTAGAAGCACGAGCTATCGTTCGACTCAGCAGCGAGCAGGTTGGCGATGGAAGGCAACATGTGGACTGTCGATGGTGTGGTAGTTCGCCACTTGAGGTTGGTCTCGGTGTGTGAAGGTGTGTTGGCGCTGGGCGAGATGTTAGATAGACTGCATTCCTACTCCTGGCCAGCCCTTTTTATGCACGCGCGCGGCTAATTCCAATCCGAGCGGGAACAGGTCAATAGGCGCGCGGGGAGGTGCCTGGCAGCGAAAAGGCAAGTGCCTTGGCGGCGGGTGACCCGAAGTCGAGGGTGATGATGCGATTTTGGGTGGCCAGAGGAGACCGTGCGCGAATGACAGGTCCTCCAGGGTAAACCGGCGCGTCGGTTAGACCTCGGTTTGCGAGCACACGGCCTTCGCCAGAACCCTTTTCGCGGTCATGGCCTGTGCTCCTACTTCGGATTTTAGGAATTGAAAGAATTTGGGTCTAAGTTGACCCGACATTCTTTAGACATTGTCGGCCGCGGGTGGTGCCAGCAGGTCAAGCACACAGGCCACCACTGGCCAGCCGGTTTTCGTTACCCGGCCGGGTTGTGCATTTGCACCCGAACTTTGGCCGCGGGAAGAAAAGAGGCGGTCGTTGGTGGTCACTGCGCCGCCCCTTCCCCGCGCAAAAACGGGGCGCTCTGTTGCTGGGAACTAGGGGGTGGTTGGCCCGGTCGACTTTCCTAAGGTCAACCTCGCTGGTCCGCCGTGAAACTTCGCGGTACCAAAAGACCATCAAAGTCAAGTAGGGCACACAAGGAGGACCCATGGGGTGGCATGTTGCGGCCCCGGAACGTCACAGGCCGAGGAGAGATGTGCAGCAGTTTTACAGTTGAGAGAAGAAAAACCGGAGGTCTTCCGGTGTAGCGCGTGACCGGTCGACGAGTGTCTCCCCAGATCTGGAAACAGCCGCAGGCCTCTTGTTCTGGCTGACGCCCGCCCGGCAGCGTGGATGACCTTGTAAGGTGTCGGCTGACGTGGCCTGCACCTTTTTTGCAAACTGGTTCGGCGGTTAGGGACGCTTGGGCCACCAATCATGCTGCGCCGATAAAGGAAGTTGTACCCGCCCACCTTCTTCTCGAGAATCCTTTGTTGCATCCACCGCCGTACCTCCACCCCACAAAGACATGAAGGTGTGCCTCGCCACCTCTTCCTTTTGTGGCCTTTCGCTTTTTTTTAATTGCTTTTTTGTTTTTGCCTTTTTTACAATTCAATAAATAATGAAAACAAAACAGCACCGCAATAAAAAATTGACGCTATTTGGCACAGCGCACGCTGGCGATGATGGAGCGTTCTGGCCTGGCTGCTGCCTCGACGAGCGGCTCGCGCGTGACCGGCACCCGTGCCTTTGCCACTTCCTCCACCCCCGGCCTTCACCTGAGCCTCACCGGCAAGACTGCCCTCGTCACCGGCTCCACCCAAGGTTCCACCCCCCTCTGTATTTATTTTTTGTTTTTTTATTTCTTAAACATTACATCATTTATTTTTAAATCGTTTTTTGTTAGGTATTGGGCTGGGTATTGCCGAGGAGCTGCGCAAGGGCGGCGTGGCGCTGGTGGTGACGGGCTTCGGCGACGCCGCCGAGGTCGAGCGCACCCGCCAGCGATTGGCCGACCTCATCCCCGGCGACGACCGCGTCCACTACGTGCCCGCCGATCTCGGCAAGGTAGTACTACTGCGTTGGCCCCGGGGGTGCTCGATGATCGATCGAGAGCAGGTGACCGACGAAGCTGACGTGGTGGTGGTGTCTGGTCTGGTGGTCATTAGGCCGAGGACGTGGAGCATCTGATCAAGGAGAGCGAGAAGAAGCTGGGCGGCCCCATCGACATCGTCGTCAACAACGCCGGCATTCAGCACGTAAGGCGCGCGTTGTGTGTGTGTGTGTGTGTTTAAATGTTTGCGTACTCACCACCGCGTCTGCATAGTTGTCGCCGATTGAGGACTTCCCGGTGGAGAAGTGGAACCAGATCATCGAGATCAACCTCAACTCGGTCTTCCACACCATGCGACTCACCCTCCCCGCCATGAAGGAGCGCGGCTATGGCCGCATCATCAACATCTCCTCAGTACACGGTATATATCGCGGCCACATATATATCGCACACCACTCTGTGCCACACACACGACACACACGACACACCACGACACACACACCACGACACACACACACACACACACATGTTGGTGTGGCCACTAATTACTCATTGGGGCGTGAAACGGGGTGCAGGATTGGTGGGATCGAAGCACAAGGCCGCGTACGTGGCTGCCAAGCACGGCGTCGTGGGACTCACCAAGGGTACCGCACGCACGCACACCGCACACACCCCGCACGCGCACCGCACTAACCTCGGCTCGTGTGTCTTGCTTCTCAGTGGCGGCGTTGGAGTACGCTGGGTCGGGCGTGACGATCAACTGCATCAACCCCGGTTGGGTGCTCACCGATCTCGTCCGCAAGTGCGTCTCCCTCTTCTTGCCCCCCTCGACTCCGATTTCCTTTCGCTCTTGACTTACTTAAATTGTCTTGTGTCGTGTGTGCGTGGTTGCCGTGTCGTTGTCAACGACCGCAGGCAGATCGAGGCGCGAGCGGAGTCGCTGGGCGTGTCGTACGACGAGGCCTCGCGATCGCTGCTGGCCGAGAAGCAGCCCTCCGAGACCTTCGCCACCCCCTCCCAGATTGGACAGCTCGCCGTCTTCCTCTCCTCGTACGTCTTACCCCCACTCTCTAGCTGGCACCATTTGTCGTCAAGCTCTGACACAACACACACACACACACACACGACACACACACAACACAACACACGCGACACACCACCGCATACAGGGACGCGGCGTCCCAAATCACGGGCATCTCTCTGCCAGTCGATGGTGGCTGGACGGCCCAGTAAGTCGTCATCTTCTTGCAGCGCTACACGACACCACAACCGTCAAGCGATTCAAACACGTTGTCTGTCAAACCGAGTCATGTTTTCTCAAGTCTTGGGGTGTGCGTCATTGCATGGAGCACTGGTCGCGCTTGCCCGCCTTCTTCTTCGTCTTCTTGGCCTTGCCGCCACCGCCGCCGCCGCTGTTGGTGTGGTGGAGGCGGAGGAGACCGGCGGCCTTGAGAAGGGGCGCCTTGATGCCCAGGTGGATCACCTCCTGCACGTTGCTGTTCGCCTTGCTTGAACACTCCACGTACATCAACAGCCCCAGCTCCTGCGCCAACGCCACACCTGCATCGCGACACGCACGCATACGATCATTAACACGACGCGACGTGCATTGATGGTGGTGCGGTGGGGCGGACCTTCGGCAACGGGGACGAGAGAGAGGGCGTCGTCGGTGTCGCGCAGGTCGGCCTTGGTGCCGACGAGGATGATGGGCGCCGACGGGCAATGCAGGCGCACCTCGGGCACGAACTTGTCGCGGGCCTCGGCGAACGACGCGCGGTCGTTGACGGCGAAGCACATGAAGAAGCAATCCGTCTGCGGGTACGACAGCGGACGCAACCGATCGTATCTGCGCGCACGACCGCGGACACCCCTCAACTGTCAGCCGCACACGCCGCACAGAAGGCACGCACGGAGAAAACGCACTCGGACTGGCCGGCAGTGTCCCAGAGCCCGAAGGAGACCACGTTGCCGTCAACCCTGAGGTTTCCCGTCCACTCGTCGAACACGGTCGGGATATATTCCTGTGGGAACGAACCCGAGGCGAAGGTCACCAGCATCGACGTCTTCCCCACCTAGCACCACGCATCATGGTGAGTCCGTGTGTTTGTATCGTGTCGTGTCGTGTGTGTTGTGTCGCGTGTCGCATCGAGGTACCGCGCCAGAGCCGACGGTGACGATCTTGAGGGAGGTATAGGACGAGCCCAGTGGCGGTAGATGCACTTGGTTGAGGTAGAAGTCTTGGGCCTCGTGCATGTCCTTCAGATGGCCGGCGCTGGCCTGCAACTCCCGTACGTACTCGACGTAGAGGCGCTTGTAGTCGACCACTTCGGCCTCTTCGCTTTCGCGTTCTCTTTCTTTTTCGTTTTCGTTCTTGTCCACGTCCTCGCTTTCGCTTTCGCGTTTGGCCGCGTAGCGGGCAACCAGGTCGAGGCCCAGCTCGCGGCTCAGGCGGGCCACGATGCGGCGCCACAGTACCTGGGAGTCTGCCGCCTCCCGCCACGCGCGCGAGACGAGGGCGCACCGGCCGACGTCGCGTTCGTCCCGCAGGAAGCCCAACACGTGGACTAACACGTCGAACCCGGTCTCTTGCCACAACGCCACCGCCTCCTCCTCCCGTCGCTTCAGCTGCGTCACCACCCTGCACAAGTCACCGCACACACACACACACACACAAACGCACACGCGTGAGACTCGTGCGCGAGCGCTAGTGGTGGGGAGAGGCGCACGGCTGCTGGAGCAGGAGGAGGGCGTAGTCGGCCTCGGTGCGCGGTCCAACGACGTCGGGGCGCGGCCGGAGCTTGAAGACCGTGGAGCTGCGCGGCTGGCCGGTGTTCACCACCCGGTGCGACGTCACCCCCACGCCTCCCTGCATGTGCGATCGCGACGTCAGCGCCACGCCGCGCGCACTCAGCACGCCACCGCACACGCATACCACCGGGCAGGCAATACGTACCTGAGTGAAGCGATGGAGGGCCTCGCCGATCATCAGCACCGCGTCGACCCGCACGCCCTGCGCCTGTTCGCACGGCGTGAGTTCGGTCTGCACTTCAATTCTCATCCATGGAGGGGTGTGTTGCGGAGCACCTGCTCGAGCGGCGCGAGGTCGGCGCAGTCCAACCACTTGGCGCCGCACGGGTCAAACAGCTGCAGGCCGGGCGTCGGGTCCACGACCAGCGTCAGCAGGCCGGCGTCCCCGTGCGCCCGACACGGTTCCTCCGGACCCTGTTCGTACACCCAATCATCACGCAGTGAGTTGCGTGCCATGTGCGAGCTCGCACGATAGGTCGTGGTTGCTATGCCATGCTATGCACTCCCGCACGAGTCGAAGAAGAGCGAACGCACCTGGTCGGTGTTGAAGTAGTGGGTGAGGGTCATCACGGAGGAGCTCGTGTAGTCGGCGCTGCAGCCTTCGTCTTCGTCGCTTCGTTCTTTGGAGGCGGCGTGGAGGATGTCGCGGAGGTGGTCGGGCGACGGGTCGAGCATCGCCTGAAGCCGCGCGCTCGCGCCGTCCGCCACCAGCGCCGACGCACAGCGCCGGCCCACGCAATCGAGCATCTCGAACAGGGCCTCCATCTCCTCCTTCATCATACCACCATCACCACTTCCGTCTTCTTCTTCTTCGTTGACGGCGGTCGGCCAGGGCATGCGCTGGCCGAGACGCACCTGGAGCTGCTCCTTGATGCCCTCCCGCAGGCAGTAGCCCGTGTCGCCCAGCCGGCCGGTCAGCTTCGCTCTTTCGGACCCACGGGCCGCCGCAGCGTTGCCTTCGTTCTTTGTTGCCTCGGCAGCCGCGGCCGTGAGGGCGGCGAAGACGTCCGGGTCGAGGCGCCGCTTAGCGCTGGCCGGCTGGTCGAAGAACTGCGGCCGCACGCGCTCGCGGTGGTCGGCCAGCAGTTGGTGCAGACTTTTTCGTCGTACTTTACGCTCTTCTTCCTCGGCTCCTTTTTCGTGGTCTTCGTGGTGGTCGTCGACAAAACTGAGGAGGGCGAAGCTGTGGCGGCGCACCTCGTCCCTGATGCGCTCCCGCCAGTCGTCCGTCGCACAACCTGGGGAGGAGGGCAAGCGCACAATGCGGACCGTCGACGCCTGGTGGCCCGAGGGCAGTGAGGTCCAGGGGGTGCCTGCCTCCATCTTCCACTTACTTTTCAATACCTAAAAAATAAAAATGATAATATTGATAATAAAGCAAACTTGGGTTGTTCAGTCGGTTTAGGCGAAACAATGTGGTCAACGAAAAACAACCCTGGTCAACGCTTGGCTGTGTTGGGCTGCTGGCAAGCATGTCTAGAAGTAGCGGCCTTCCGGTGCATCGGCGGCTATCTTCTGCTCGACGGCGGCCAGCGGCACCCCCGCACGCAGCATGAGCGCGTACTTGCCCAGACCGGGCTCGGGCTTGCAGGAGTTGTCGACGCGCAGCTTCTGCGCGACGGCGGCCAGCGGCACCCCCGCATGCAGCATGCGTGCGTACTTGCTCAGGTCATTGGTGGCCTTGGCCGTAGGTGCGGCGGGAGGAGCGAAGTCGTGGCACAGCGCCTGCTCGACGGCTGCCAGGGGCAGCCCGGCACGCAGCATGCGGTCGTACACGCCGAGGTTACCGACCACCGGTGCGTGAGCCAGGTCGTTGCGCAGCGCCAGCTCGACGGCGGCCAGAGGCACGCCCGCGTGCAGCATGCGTGCGTACTTGACCAGATCGGCGGCTATGGCCACGGGAGCGGGCTGAGCGAAGTCGACGCACATCATCTGCTCGACGGCGGCCAGAGGCATGCCCGCACGCAGCATGCGATGGTACTTGCCCAGGTTCTGGGCTGCGGGGATGGGAGCATAGTCGATGCGCATCTTCTGCTCGACGGCGGCCAGGGGCACGCCCGCGCGGAGCATGCGGGCGTACTTAGTGGCCCTCGGCGCGGGCGCGGGAGGAGCGAAGCCGTTGCGGCGCTTCTTCTGCACGGCTGCCGCCTGGCGCCTACGGCCGAAGTTGCCGCCCGCGGCCGTGGGCGCGGAGGCGAGATTCTGCTGGACGGCGGCCGGCGGTACGCCAGCGCGCAACATGCGGTCGTACTTGCCCAGGTCGCCTACCTTGCTGGGCACGGGAGCGAAGCCATTGTGGCGCAGCGTCTGCTCGACGGCGCCCAGGGGCACGCCCGCGTGCAGCATGCGCACGTACTGGCCAAAGTTGCGGCCGACCTTGGCCGCAGGCGCGGGAGGAGGAGCGAAGTCGCGGCGCATCGTCTGTTCGACGGCGGCCGGGGGCACGCCCGCGTGCAGCATGCGCTGGTACTTGCCCAGGTCACCGACAGCGGGCACGGGTTGGGCGTAGTCGACACTCATCTTCTGCTCGACGGCCGCCGGCGGTACACCTACGTGCAGCATGCGCACATACTGGCCCAGGCTGGCGGCCTTGGCCACGGGAACGGCGAAGTCGTTGAGGAGCTTCTTCTCCATCTTCTTCTTCTTCTGTGCCGCTGCCGCCTGAGGCACGACGGAGCGCCGCGCGCACTTGGGCGCATGGACGGAGTCGTGGCGCAGCGCCTGCTCGACAGCTGCCTGAGGCACCCCGGCACGCAGCATGCGCGAGTACTTGGCCAGGTTGTCGCCGACCGCGGCGCAGGTCGCCGCGCGGTCCTCATCGACGCGCATCTTCTGCTTGACCGCTGCCGGCGGCACGCCCACGGACAGCATGCGCACGTACTTGCCAGCCGCCCCGTCGTTGGGCTGGGGTTGAGCGACATCGACGCGCATCTTCTGCTCGACAGCTGCCGGCACGCCCGCAGAGAGCATGCGGGCGTACTTGCCCGGGTCACCGACGACCTTGGCGGCTTGCGGGCCACGAGCGAGCTCGATGCGCATCAGCTGCTCGACGGCGGCCAGCAGCACGCCGGCGCGTAGCATGCGGTCGTACTTGTTCAGGTTGCCGACGGCGGGCGCAGGCACAGAGGAGTTGTAGTCGACCCGCATCTTCTGGTCGACGGCGGCCAGGGGCACGCCCGCGTGAAGCATGCGCACGTACTTGACCAGGTCGAGGGGGGCGGCGGAGTCGTGGCGCGCCTTCTGCTCGACGTAGGCCAGGGGCACGCCCGCGCGTAGCATGCGGTCGTACTTGCCCAGGTCGGGTACCTTGATGGTGGCCTTGGTGGCTGCCGGGGGCGAGGGGGGCATCGGGGCATCTTCGGATCCTCCCGGGACGGTACGGCAAGGACTGGGCTTCCTCTTCCACAGATCATGAGGTACTTGTTCTTCCTCCATTGCTTGGTTTTCGTTCGCAAAGGGGTAAGAGAATTTGATGGGTAGATAAGGTGAGGTGTCGGACAGAGTTGTTTGGGGGAGAAAGAAGGGAACAAGTATTGGTCTTGGCCTGAGGTCTGATCAGGGTTACCAACACCGCAGTAGAACCACCTCACCCCTACTGCGCTCCGCCCCTGCACGACCGCGCTGTTTGCTGTTTGGCCCGCGCCACTGAAACTCGATAAATCTCTTCCTGCGTAGTGTTACCATGCAACGCAAGAAATGCCCGAGAAATAGGCTAATATTAATTTCTCTCATTTTTCTCTTGCGTTCTGCGATTCTTCTCCGGCGTTTGAGTTTGCCTGCATTTCTTCTTCATCTCTTTGCCCGGAAGACCAATCGGCGTGATCTCAATTTCTTTTTAGAGATCAACCGCGAGGCATCTTTCGATCTGCATTTGCATCAGTTAACGCGACGATCAAAGACATGCAGTGGAATCAACAAGGCCAACAGCACCAGATGACGGGGCACTATGCCTCTCCTGTTGCCGCCACAATGTACGCGTTTACCTATGCATAATTTGATTCTCCAATCTCGCGATTAGCTCAATTTTCTGCATCTGCTTTTTTGCCGATTTTCCATCTTACGCATTTTCTCCATGCAGCCTTTGTTGCATTTGTGGCACCAACATCGAGCCCAACGCCTCGAACATGTGTGTTACCTGCATCCGAGGCCAGGTTGACATCACAGAGGGCATCCCCAAGAACATCATCATTCACAGCTGCAAGCACTGCGGCAGGTACATACTACTGTCGTTCTTCTCATCTTCTCTTTCTTCCTTTCGCCTTCTACGTGCGCTCATCTTCTCACGACTCCTCCTCATACAAGGTACCTGGTGCCGCCGAACGCGTGGGTGTACTGCGAGCTGGAGTCGCGCGAGCTCCTCACCTTCTGCCTGAAGCGCATCAAGGGCATGAACAAGGTCAAGCTCATCGACGCCGGCTTCGTGTGGACTGAGCCTCACTCGCGACGGCTCAAGGTCAAGATCACCGTGCAGAAGGAGGTCTTCACGTCGACCATCCTCCAGCAGGTGTTCGTCATCGAGTTCGTCGTGCAGATGATGCAGTGCCCGGCCTGCGCGGCCAGCTTCACCGATCACACGTGGCAGGCCGTCGTGCAGGCGCGCCAGAAGGTGGACCACAAGCGCACCTTCCTGTACCTCGAGCAGCTCATCCTCAAGCACAGCGCCCACACCAACACCATCCGCATCAAGGAGATGCCCGACGGCCTCGACTTCTACTTCGGCCACCGCAGCCACGCCGCCAAATTCGTCGACTTCCTCCAGGCCGTCACTCCCCTGCGGTACGCTTGTCGACACACACACACCCACACGCACACCACAAACACACACACCGCGCATAGTCTCATCATCGCCTGGTCGCCACTTGCAGGTACAAGACGTCAGAGCAGCTAGTGTCGCACGACGCCAAGAGCAACATCTTCAACTACCACTACACCTTCTCGGCCGAGATCGTGCCCATTTGCAGGGACGACCTCGTATGCCTTCCCCGGAAGCTCGCCCAGCAGCTGGGTAACATCAGCCCGCTCGTGTTGGCCAGCAAGGTGTCCAACCTGATCCACATGATCGACCCCAACACCCTCCAGAGTACGTCCCTCCATTGTCGAAGAAGAAGAAGAAGAAGAAGAAGAAGAAGAAGAAGAAGAAGAAGAAGAAGAAGAAGAAGAAGAAGAAGAAGAAGAAGAAGAAGAAGAAGAAGAGCTGATCAGTATTACACCCGGCTGCGTGTCATCACAGTGATCGAAATCCCGGCGCCGGTGTACTGGCAGGATCCTTTCCGCGCCATCTCCACCAAGCAGAACCTCACCGAGTTCATCGTCCTCGACATCACCACCTCCGGCGCGCCGCGTGGAAAGGTACACCACCGCACACGCGTGCACTGGTAGTTGGGTCTCTAACAGTCATTAATGGCCAAACATAGCACCTGCTGGCTGACGTGCAAGTGGCACGCACGCGGGATTTCGGTAACAACGACACCATGTTCTACGTGCGCACTCACCTGGGCACCTACCTCAACCCCGGCGACTACGCGCTCGGCTACGATCTCACCTCCCAGAACTTCAACGAGGCCGACCTTGGCGGTCTCCGCGGCCGACAGGTCCCCGACGTGGTGCGTGTCATTTCTCAGTCGTGTGCGGTCGTGCGTGTGCGTGTGCGTCGCAGAGCGGCGTGGACTGACGTTGCTGGTGCTGTTGTCGATCAGATATTGGTGCGAAAGACGTACCCGGCCCGCCGACGCAAGCCGCGAAACCGCCACTGGAAGGTAAGGCAGCTGCCCAAGGAGGAGCAGGACAACGCCCGTCGCGGGGATGCCGACAAGCAGAAGTACGCACTCGCCACCTCCCCCCCCCCCGAACACGTCCACTCTACCTAGCGCCGCCCGCTTACCAATCATAACAACAAACCATACGTGTGACCACAGCCACGATTACGAGACCTTCATGCAGGAGCTCGAGGAGGACCCCGAGCTGCGCGCTGGTCTCAACCTCTACAAGGGTATGCAATCCCGGCTGTGACAGCAGTTGCTGCCATGGTAAACATGTCACGAGCTCACGTTGTTGTTGTCGTTGTTGTTGTTGCGAGCAGTACCTGGTGCCGCGCCTGCCGCGTCTGGTGGAATGGAGACCGACGAGGAGGCCGAGGATCTGCCCGAGGTACCACTAACCCACTCCACCGTCCCTGACCTCCGCCTTTTCGTTTGGACTAACGTGCGCCTCTTCCTTCAGCCCGGCGTGGACGAACTCATCGACGAGCTTGAGGACATGGCCATCGCCGCCGACGAGTGATCTCCGCGCACAGCCTGCGGGTTGCTATATGAAAAAAAAACAAAAACAAAACAGAGCATTTGTCGTAAAAAGATAAAAGATGGAGCAAGAGGACACAATGGAAGAGGTCTCTACGCCGGCAACTCCGGGGCCGAACACCACGGCCTCGATCCCGACGCTCCATCCAACATCGCTGGTGGACAGCATGATGGAAGAGGAAAATGGCGGACAAACGACGGGCGAGGGTCCCGTGGAGCGATTGTGGCGGGAGGGGGCCGCGCTGGAGGCCCGACGGCGCGAGGTATGGAATGCGCTGCTTCAGTGGGAAGCGCGGCGGCCCGATCTGCCTCTCTTCGCCTCCCCCGAATGGACCTCATTACGGCCAACAGCCCCCTCCACATCTTCCACCACGCCCGTCCCAAGTGGCCCTTCTCTCCCTCCGCATCATCCACAACCCCACCCATACCCGCATCCGCACCCCCATCCTTACCCGCACCCTCACCCACCCTCTCACCCGCATCCCCATCCTCATCCTTACCCGCATCCCCATCCCCATCCGCATCACTTCCATCCTCATTCGCCACACCACCCGCCACATCACGAGCCGCTGCACGAATCGATGACTGAACAAATGCACAATATTTCGACGGCACCCATCGCGCCCTACCACTACCCGGCCGGCTCGGCTGCTGCTCCACCCTTCCCACCGCCGCCAGTCCATCACCATCACCACATGCACCACCATCATCACGGCGGAGGAAGATGGCGACGCGGCGGAGGCGGACGAGGTTTCGGGCCTGGCGGCGGCGTGGGGCGGGCCACGACGCGGCTGGCTCGCCACACCAAAGCGCGCACGCTGGTGACCGAGCTGGCCAAGCTCGCGACGCAGCCCACGCCCGAAGCGCTGCAGGGCGTGGCCGCGCCCAAGCAGAAGACGCGCGGCATCAACAAGGACCAGGTCTTCGAGGTCTTCGACTCCCTCGTCAACACTCAGCTCGCGCCCCAAGAACGCGTCACCCGCAGCTCAGGTGCTTCTTCTCTTTCTTCTTCTTCTTCCACCACCGCCCTTCTGTCTTCTGTCTTCTTCTTCTTCTTCATGATGTCTGTTGTTGGGTTTGCGGTCTAACGCCAGAATGTTGATTGACGCGCGGCACGCTATGTAGTGTGGAAGTACCTGTTTCGAGGGTCGAAGACATCGGGCCAGGTCGTGGAGCCCCTCTACGGAAACGAAAAGATATTCAAGACCACCAAGAAGGGAGGCGGCGTGCGAGTACTACCTCCTTCCCCAGCGCCGCGCTTCACACACGACACGCACGACACGCACACGCACGCACGCACACGACACAGCTGCCGCCGATTCGGTTCTGACAGTCCCGCGATGGATGATTGACTCTCCTCTTGATATCCATCTAGCGCCTTACGGGAGTGATGTGGCGCGACCTCGACACCCCTGAGAACCGCGACGCCGTTTCGGCCAGCCTCGCTGCTCTCGGTGCGTCTGTCGCCCCCCCCCGGCCGATAGCTGTGGTGTCGCACCGCACGCGCACATGCATTGTGATATATTGACGAGTTGTGCGGTGGCCAATCGATTTACAGAGGCCTACAGCGTGCATATCGATCTGGAGCAGCTCAAGGGGCTCATCCAGCAGGAGCTCGTCAAGGACGCCGACGCCGACGCCATCGTCGATGACTCGCCCGCCAGCCCTGCCGCCGCGGACACAACTACGACCACGACCACCACCACGACCACCGCAAGCAGTAGCAGCAGTGACCCCATGGGCGGCATCACCCACACCGGCGTCAGCACCGCAGCCGCGGCTGCTGCGTCGCCATCGGCCTCCGCCACGCCCTCGTCATCGTCGCTTCCCTACGCCCTCCCCACCAACACCAGCGCCACCGCACCACCGCCAGTGCCCCAGGCGGAAGCGATGCGCCAGCCACCGCCCCAGCCCCAGCCGCACCACATGCAACAGGAGCCCCAGCCGTACCACCGAGACGAGAGGGGGAGCGGCGAGCAGGCAGCCGCACCGCCCGATCAGTCGTCCTCGTCATCGTCGTCGCCGCAAGGCAGCAACCCGGCGATGGACAGCGACCTGCAGCAGCTGCTCAAGCTCCTCACGCAAAAGGAGACCCTCGAGAAGCTGCAGGCCATGGTCGTGAACAAATAAATGAATGAACGTTCAACAAAAGAAACCACTTTCGTCGACGAGGGGTGGAGTTGGCTTTGCTTTTTTCTTCGTTATCTTCTTCTCGTCAGGAGAAGCTCGTGTGGAAGACGTAGAGGGTCAGCAGGGTGAAGAGGGAGAGGACGAGCAGGGCTGTGTACTTGTAGAGCGCCTCTCCCACCTCCGCCGCCAGCAATCGGCTGTGTGTTGTGCGAGCCAGCGAGATAGTAGTAGACTTGGTCAGCTTCGGTCTGGTGCGTGTTGTTGCGTGTCGTGTGCGTACCCAAGCACGAGGGCGGCAGAACGCGATCGCCCGATGAGCAAGCGCCGCCACTGCGGGGTGGTGTTCTTCATCCACGGGAACGGGTAGGCCAGGAACGGCGAGCTGTAGCAACGCACCACGACGTATCATCATAAATAATGACTATACTCATCAGCAAAATGGCGCGTGTGGTGGGTCAGGGTGGGTAACGCACTTAGGCGGGATCGAGCCTTGGGCGCGGGCGAGCAGGGCCGAGGGCGGCAATCGTCGCATGAGATCGACTGCCGAACCGATCAGCTCCTCCACGTCCTGCCAGTACTCTCCAGTGAGTCCAATAGCGCTGGGATGAGCTGAGCTGAGCTGAGCTGAGCTGAGCTGAAGTGTGTGGTGTCGAGGGTACCTGCGGCTGGGCGAGGTATCGCTCGGGGAGATGGCTCAGGTAAGAATGGACCGCAGGGTACTCGCATTCCTGCACAAGCGATAGCCAGGTGAGCTTGGACCGCACGACACGACACACGACACGACACGACACGCGCGACGGACCTGGTGGAGGATGTCCGGGTAGGAGCGGGCGACAAGCGCGGCGGCGAGGTAGAGGCAGAGCATGGGGTGGGCGGCCAGGAAGGCGTCGTAGAGGCGCGTGACGGTGGACCATTGGTCCACGTCGTGCGCGAACCACGTCAGCACCCACGAGATCGCGTAGTAGGGCTCCACCCCTAACCACGCGCGGTCAGCCGTTCGTGTCGTGTCGTTGGTCGTGTGCAGTGGTGCGTGCGTGTGCGGTGACGCAGGTATACCGGATTGGAGAAGGAAGGCGTGTAGTCCCGGCTGGGCAAAGGAGATGAGGTGCGGGAGGAGCGAAAGCAGCTGGGTGGTGCTCTCTAGAGTCGCGTTCATCGCTGGTGTACGCAACCGTTAAGGAAAACCTCTCTCACACGGCGCTCTTTCGCGCGCACACAACACGCACGACACACGACACGCACGACACACGCGGCGGAAAGGATATCGTAAGTGGTTGAGGGCAACCCGCTCCAGCATGGCATAGGCGCGGTCCTCCCCCGCCAGCAGCAAAAACACCGTCGCCACATCGTGGAATCCCTGTGGGACCACCAGTGACCATCGCACACGCAACACACAACACACAACACACGTCAGATGAGTGAGAGTCGGGTGAGAGTGAGAGAGCGGGAGTGGGTGCCTGGTAGTAGTAGAGATCGGGGTGGGTGGCGAGGATGGCGTTGATTACGCGCGCGAGCTCCTGCCGCTTGGCCTCGCGCTGGGCTTCGGAGCCCCGGAAGAAACTGTTCAACGAACGCTCCACGTCCCGCTGCACCTGCTCCTTCTCCCGGTGCTCGTCTCCCTTCTCTGCACTCCACACGTGCCGCACACGCCACACGCCACACGTCAAACAAAAGCGCACGCACGCAACACCGCACACGCGCACACGCACGCGAGCAAGACGTGCCTGGCGGGTAGGGTGTGGATGATGGTGAAGATGACGAAGAGGGTAGTGAAGACGAAGACGAGGAGGAAGAGGAAGAAGAGGAGGAGGAGGAAAGGCCGAGGAGGAGGGGCCAGGCCTCGCGGCGGATGCCGTCGGAGAGGAGGCCGCCATTGCCTGCGACGGCTGCCTGCCGCACCACCGTCTCCTCGCCCTCGCCCTGCTGGTGCTGCATTTGGCAACCGTTGGCCTCCCATTCGACCCAACAAACAACCGCACGACACACGCAGGGCACACACGCGTGCACACGCGCACACGCACAGGTGGTGCTCTCGAGAGCATGGTGGGGGTACGTACCCCGTTGAGTGCGGCCACCAGCTTCGCTCGTTTGGCAGAAGAGGAGGAGGAAGCTGCAGTGTTGGCCTTCCCATCTGCCCTGTTGCCCGCCCCTCGCGTCCTCATCTTTGCAAAGAAAATACAAATAAAACCAATTCGATAAAAGAAGCAGATAAAATCAATATATAAAATTATTTGGCGCCAAACGCACAAGAACGCATTCGATTTTTCCACATTCACAATCGCCTCACGAGATATGGCGGCACTTCCGCCTCTCGCCTCGAGCGACAACGTGGTTGTGGCGGAGGCTTCGGGATGGGGCCTGGCCCAAATCACCCAGGCCGCCCTGCGTGCGGTCGGCGGAGCCTGGCGCGCGGCTTCGGGCGGTGGCGACGACCTCAATCATTCCAATAATCACAAAGTCTCCATCTGGGGCCAGCAGCAGCCGCGACCCCTCGTCGTGGCCCTCGCCGCCGTGGCCACCGTAGGCGCCGTGGGCGGGGCCGCCCTGCTACTCGCCTGGGTCCTACGACGCCGAACTAGTCCGCCGCCGCCGCCGCCGCGCAGCAGTCAGCAGCCGCAGCCGCGACTGTCGCAGGCGTCGACCTCGGTCGAGGCCGACCTGGAGGACGGTGCACCGACCCTGAGCGTCGGCCCCGCCACGACAGCGCAGGCCCCGCCGCCCACAACGACGACCAGTACCACGACTGCGACCGCCGAGCCGTCGAGTGCCAAGTCCGTGTCTCCTCGAGCACGCTCGGTGCGGTCCTCATCAGGCCAGTGTAGGCGGCCCAAACGCATTTCTGATTGTGTTGTGTGCGGTGTGTGTCGTGCGTGTCGTGCGTGTCGTGCGTGTCGTGCGTGTCGTGCGTGTCGTGCGTGTCGTGCGTGTCGTTGTCGTGTCGTGTCGTGTCGGCGACCATAGGACACGATGAATGCGGAGCCCATGAAGCCGGCCGATTTCGTGAGCTGTCCTCCGCTGCCCCTCAACTGCGCCATCATCACGCTCGCAGGCGAGCGGAATCGGGATCATGTCGTCCTTCCCCTTCGACTCGAGCTGTACGATTCACTCGCTCACTGGTCTCGTTCTTCCTGTACCCATGATCGCCGTGCTGACGTCGTGTCGTGCGTTGCGTGTCGTGTCGTGCGTGTCGTGCTACGTTTCTTACTCCTAGGCTGAGCGAAAAGACCGCAGACGACCTCCAGGTGCTGAACGACTCGCTCTTCCCCATCAAATACAACCGACGGTTCGCACCCCCCCCCCTCCTCTGCCGCTTCGGCTTTTCCTGAGCTCAGGCGGGCCTCACTCGCCGTCTCCGCAGGCTGTACGACATCCTCCTTCGCACGCCCGAGTTGAGCTGTCTCGGTACCTCACCCCGATCGCCACGGTCCTCCTTCCCTCCATTCACCAGGGCAGCTCACCGTGTGCGTGTGCGGTGGTGCGTGCGTGTGCGGTGGTGTGTGCGGTGTGTGCAGCGTATTATGGGGACACGCTGGTCGGTGCGTCGTCATCGCGCGTCGAGCCCATCTCCGACTCGGAGGACGAGGACGACGAATCCGAGGAGCGGCCCGGTGAGGCCGAAATTCAGAAACACAAGATGGCCAACTACTACGTCATGACCCTCGGCGTCCTGGGACCCTACCGCAGGTACGCTCACACACAACACACCGACACGTCCACACCAACCCTCGTGTAACACCACACACACACACACACACACACACACACGATGTGCAGGAAGGGCGTGGGTGGTCAGCTGCTGCGGCATGCGTTTGATGATTGCCACCGGGTGGAGAAGGAGACGGCCAAGCGGGCCGAGGAGAAGAAGCGGAGGGAGGAAGAGCGCCGACAAACGGCCCCAACCCCGATTCGGACAGCGACAGCGACGACGAAGATAACTGCGAGGTGCGTACCACTGCGCACTATGCCACACGACACGCACGACACGTCATGTTCGTTGGTTGCATCATGGTGTGGTATCATGGTGCGCAGGCGATGCGGATCAACGACGTCTACATTCACATCGCGTCCAAGAGCGGGCGGGAGGTGGAGTTCTACAAACGCCACGGCTTCGAAATGACCCGCATCGATCGCGAGTACGCACCACCCCACGCCACGCCACATTCATGCATTCCACTGTTCACGACCTGCGCTGGCCCGCGCAATTGGTACTCACCTCGCCCTTCTCACCTCTGCAGTTATTACCGACGCGTGGAGCCACCGGACGCTCTCGTCTTCTCCAAAAACTACGCCCACGTACGTCGCCGTTGCGCTTGTCGTGTGCCGTGCGTGTCGCGTCGCGTCGCGTGTGTTGTGCGGTTGGCTCACATGGGATGGCCTGGCTCCAGTACCAGGTGGAGCAGCAGCTGCTGAAGGACAACCCGACGTCGGGGGCGGACGCGGTCGGGAGCCTGAAGGACATGCTGGGCAAGTGGGTCAGCCAGAACTGGACCGCCATGGAGTCCCAGCTCGCCGTGCTGCCCGCCGACCTGCGCGCCTGGCTGCTCAACTATTTGACCGTCAACAGCCTCCTCGTCGACCCCCTCCTCCACATACTCGCGCCCGACTCTGCCGCCACCCGTCTCGGTACTCAGACACACGCAACACGACACGCACACGACACAACGAGTGCTCATAGAGTTTTATGTTACGCGAGACAGACCTTAGTTGGTGCAAGAGCGTGACGGAGACCGGGCTGCAGGGGATCGGAGAGGCCTGCCCGCAGATCCAGCAGCTCATGCTGCGAGGAACCAGCATCCGCTTTTCGCCCTTCCTCAAAAGGTGCGACACACACACGACACACACACGACACACCACCGCACGCGCTGATAGATTGGCTTGCGCCGGCGGTCGATCGTGCAGTTTGAAGCACTTCCCGTTCGTGCATTCGATCAACCTGGATCTCTGCCCGGACATCGAGGACAAGGACGTCGTCTCGATCATCACGTCGCTCGGGCGCAACCTCCGCTCCATCTCGCTCGCCGGCTGCGTCAAGGTGCTACGCGCGCCGTCATACCTCACGCCATACCCCACGCTCCGCTCACTCGTCATCGCCTTTGACGGCCTCAAAGCTAACGCCTCCCTTGGCTCGGGTGCCCAGGTGTCGGAGCAAGCGGTGGAGAAGCTGGTCACGGAGTGTCCCAACCTCGAGAACGTTTCGCTATCGGGCTGCGACCGCATCACCGACGCGTCGCTGGAATGCCTCTCCTCGCTCACCAAGCTGCAGCAGCTTGTACGCCCCCTGGTTTCGTTTCGTTTCGTTTTCTCTCTTTTTCATTTCATGTTCAGGTCTCACCGTCTACCTTTCTTCTTCTTCTTCTTCTTCTTCTTCTTCTTCTTCTTCTTCTTCTTCTTCTTCTTCTTCTTCTTCTTCTTCTTCTTCTTCTTCTTCTTCTTTGGGTTGGCAGGACATCTCGTGGTGTCGCCAGCTGACTAACGTAGAGCCGCTGTCGGCGTGCCGGCACCTTTCAGTCCTGTACGGCACCGCTTCTGCGCCCTTTCCCGCGTGCCCACATATCGGTCTTAGTGGGGGGGGAAAAACACTTACGTGCGCGCGACGTTCATGGCAAATGCAGCAATCTCGACGGCTGCTGGAACGTGAGCGGGAGACGGTTCATGGAGCTCTGCTCCAGCGTGCTTCTCACCGTCCTTTCCATGTATGTAGACCGCCTAGCTCCCACGTCGTCCACTCATGCGCGGCCTTGTGTGTTGTGTGTGTCGTGTGGCTTCGTAGTGATGAGTGTGGAGGCATTCGGCGAAAGCACCTCTCGTGGTGTGCCCAGAACCAGCGATTCGCCGCCCTCCGCAGTCTCACCCTCAGCGGTACCATTCCTCCGGCTCCACCTCCTCCCTCGCTCCCCCAATCACTCATCTGATGGCCATTGCTTTTGGCTGGTGCCAGGTTTCTCGAAGCTTCACGACGAAGACCTCACCCTGCTTGTCAAGTCCGCCGACCAACTCATGCACCTGGTACCTCTCCCGCCCCCACGCGAGCCAACCTTGAACAACAAACTCGTCTTCTTCTCTCGGGCCGCTGCTACTGGACGTGTCGGGTGAGCTCACCTTCTTTCTTGTACAACGCGCGTCGCACAATTCAGGTGTTGTGGGCGACGGACTTTAGCGAGGCGCTGCTGCAGCAGCTGGCCGACGCCTATCCGCGTATCGAGATCGAGGCCTTCAGCAACATGATCGACCCCGAAGGCGGCAGCTCCCACCGCACCACCGCTGCCCAGTAGTCGTGCGAGCGAAGGGGATGTGTAGCTGTTTGTGCTCGCCACCTTAAGAATTAGAGAAAAGAAATAACGAGAAACTCATCGTACGGCAGTTTGTGTTGGTGGGCTTGAGGAAGACCGATAGAAAAAATAGCATCAATTGATTGAAGGCGTTTGGGTTGAGGCCGAGGTAAGAGGAGAGGAGATGCAGGCACCCGAACAGACGTCGTCATCATCGTCGGGTGGTCCGCCCTTGCGTGATTCGCAGGACTCGGATGCCGAGGCCATGGCGTCAGGGGGCGCCTCCGTACGCACCATCACCTGCGTCGTGGTCGGCGACGGTACCTTTAACCTCTTTTATTTGTTCGTATTTTATTTATTTATTTATCAGCCAAATACTATATTTTATTATTTATAAATGACTGGCCGGCACGTCACAGCGGCGGTGGGCAAGACGTCCCTCCTCACGGCCCTCACCATCAAGGTACCTCGGGCCGTTTTACGCACACGCTTGTGTCGCGCGGCATTGAATTGTGGTGTGGCTTCGATCGAGCAGGACAACTCGGGGATGGGACGGGGCGAACAGGGAATGGAGTACCACAAGAAGGTGCCCCTCATCGGCAACGACGGCGAGGTACGAACGCACGTATCACACCGCACACGCACCACCGCGCGCGCGCGCGCACACACACACACACACACACACACCGCACACGCACACGCCACCGCACTCGCGACATGTTCGCTCAAATGACATTTGGTGCACTGCGCCGTGAAAAGGTGGAGGAGACGGTGTACTTGCGGCTGATCGATACGCCCGGCGAGATGCACGACACGCGCGGACCCAAGCACTACCCGTCGGCCGATGTCTTTCTCATCTGCTTCTCCATCATCTCCCCCACCTCCGTACACAGCGTCCTCGACCGAGTACGTGCATCGTGTGTTGTTGCAGATGCGTGTGCGTGTGTACCGTGTGCGATGCTTGTTCTGATCGCGAGGGGATGGCGGTGTAGTGGGTGCCGGGCGTGCGACAAGCCAACCCCAAAGCGCCCATCGTACTTGTCGGCATGAAAGTCGACCTTCGGTACGCACACGACACACATGACACACTTCGACACGCGCAGTTGAACGAAGAGTGTCTTTTGGGGGCATAGACACGACGCGGACATACTGCGACGACTAGCCGAGCGCAACTTTAGTCCGGTGACGGAGCAGCAAGGGCAGGAGCTGCAGCAGCAGATCGGCGCCCTCGAGTACTTTGAGATTACCACATCCGAGATCGAAGTCCTCGACCTCCTCGCCACTGAGGTAAGAACACGCACGACACGCACGGCACACGACACCGACACGACGCACACATGACACGTTCGAGCTGACAAGCGCTTGGCCTTGGTTGGGTGGGCGGTAGGTGGTGCGTGGGGCGGTGGGAAAGCCAAAGCCGAGGAAGGGCGGCAAGAAGGACAAACAAAAGAAGGACAGCAAGCAGAAGAGCAGCGGCGGCAGCAAGTCGCTGTCGGGCAGCAGCGCGAGCCCCAAAGGGGAGGTGCGGAGCGGTGACAAGGTCCGGCACAAGAACAAGAAGGGGTGTCTCTTGTCCTAATGCAACACAACAGCTACACCACTTTGTGGGTGCTCCCGGGTCAGGTGGCCCGGTGTGATGCAATGTAATGAAACTACTGTTTAACTTAATTCAACAGAATTTCCCGACTTTCCTCGAAATCCTCCGCTGGCCACTCAGACATTTTCTCTGTTTTTATTCACTTAAATCCAATCGTTAAGGTGGAGGTAGAAAATTACTTTGGCTTTATTTTCACGGCGGGAGGACAAGACGATTAGCGTACACACAAGATGGCCGACGATGGTGAATTGGACACGGTGAAGCTCATCTCAGCCGACGGCCACGAGTTCGTTGTCGATCGCAAGGCTGCCATGGTCTCGGGCACCATCAAATCCATGTTGTCTGGCCCTGGTAAGTAATTGCAAGCCGGAAGACAGAGCGTGAGACTGCATTGCCAACGACATCCGACCATGTGAATGTTGATCAATTCTCTTTGCCCCTATGCAGGTACGTTCACCGAGCAGGCCATGGGTGAGATCAACTTCCGTGAGATCTCTACGCCCATCCTTGAGAAGGTTATCCAGTACTTCTACTACAAGCTGCGCTACACCAACAGCACGACCGAGATCCCCGAGTTCCCCATCGAGCCTGAAGTTGCCCTGGAGCTTCTCATGGCTGCTAACTTCTTGGTGCGCACCCGCCCCCTCTCAAATTCATGCCACGTAGCCATTATCACAATTACACAATCCAGTTTTGACATTACGCGCCGTGCTTTCACAGGACACTTAAATGCGAGCATGTGATAATGGCTGCGTGCGATGCCTGGGGCAATGAGGGCAATGGTATCGCTTTGCGAGGGTTTTCCCTCTTTGGCGCGAATGATGTCGCATTCAGATTGTGCCATCATCCCTCCAATAAATAGGGGCGATGACCTTTATGTACACATTCACCAACCCTATCAAACATTCATCTTTAATTCTTGAGGCCTCAACCAAACCGACCCAACACGCTTCATGGCGTGGCCGCGGACAAGAGACGGTACACTTGTGACCGCTGGTCGTGCGTCTCTGGGCAGCCGTAGACCCCTGTGCACGTGGTGTTCGCATAAGAGACAGCTGCCAAGTCAATGGACGTGTTGGGTAGAACGGCGTACCGGGCTTGGCCTTGACGTCTGCCCGACAGTCGTGGTATCGCTTGCACAGCTCGAGGGCCTCGTACGCCGTGAGCCCGTAGAGCCGGCCTTTGGGCGATTGCAGGGTTCAATCAGCTGGTCGCAAGCCACCATACATCGACTTCATGCAGGAGCGAGAGTGCATACCCAGAAGAAGTGAGGCAATGGTCCCTGTGCGTCCATGTCCGCCACTGCGATCGAGCGCGCACACAATCAAGGTGAGGGACCACGGCTTTTCAAAAAGGAAGGGACCCGGGTACCGACAATGGAGGTAGATGCGTTCGCCGCGGTTGAGCATGTCGATGATCTCCGCCACCAGCGCGTTCACCTCTGCATCTTCGCCGACTCCCTTATCTGCACAACAAAGGAGGTCCGGCGTAAGAAAGGCCGTCAGAGGAAGTCCATTAGATTGGTGTGCTCGGTTGGCAGCTTGGCGGGCGTGTCGTGCCATAGATGGGCACGTGGCGGTAGGAGAGTCGAGTAGCGAGGTGCGGGTATTCGCTGGGCGCCTGCGCGATAAGCTTGGGCACGCCCTCAAAGTAGGGCCGTCCCTGTCGCTCGAGCTCGGCTTTCGTCATCAGGCAAATGAACGTTGTCGTGCCTGATGAGGTGCCGGACGGAGAGAGCAAAGAGGCCCGTCAGTTGAATGCTCGGGCAGAAGTGTGAGGAGGACGCACCCGCCTTGAGGAGGTCAGCCACCAGGTGCTGGCGCTTGGGGTAGGCCCCGGCCAACACTTGGCCCCTGAGCACCCAGAACGACCACTCGGTGGGTCCTGCACACCAAAACGAAGTGAGCACGCAAGGAGAGGTGTTTAGGGGGGGGGGGAAGGTTCGCACCGGCCATGGCATCAACTTCGTCGGCGTCGGGAAGTGCGAGGGGAAGCTGCAAAGGCTCCACAGCTGGCTCCGCCGTTGTAGGGCGGCCTTTCTTGTTGCCGCTTGCCTTGCCTTTTCCTTCTTCACGTTACACTGGTTAGTGTACATGCTTCGGCGGTACGTGGTGGACGGGGTACTTTTGTTGGGTGCTTGCATTTTCTCAGTGATTAGAATAGATTAATCCAATGCTAAAGACAGTTGTTGTTCTCGCAAGCAGGATCTTCGCAGAATGAGAGGCGAGAAAACTGAGAGTACGACTCGTTGTTACTTGATTCGTGCTTGCTCTAGAAAGCTCTACATGCGTCTTTGACGAAAGGCGAGTCTCTGCACCTTCTAACGTCCTATTTACAGGATTGGAGCTGCCGCTCAGGCGTCGGTCTGGGCTTCCTTGGGCTGCAGCTTGGCCCGTTCCCTGACCTCCTTAGCGTGCTCGACCACGGCGTGCGCCTTGCTGACCTTCTCCTCTTCGAACAGCTGGCGTTGCGTACGATAGAAGAACGATAAGCAAGGGATCGAAGGCTAGAACTTGAAGGCAGAACGTACTTGACGCCTCTGTTGAGCTTTATCCTGACGCTCCTTGAGCACTTCGGGCGTTAAGACCTTCTTTGGCGAGTTCTGGAGCCTGTCCTGCACAGGCGTTATGGTCTTGTTCGGCCTTGCGGGGATGAACTGCGTCTTGTCTGCAAACGATGCGTCAGTCGCTTGCATCCATCAGGTTGCTCGGCTCGATAGAGTCCTTGCATGCCAAGCGAGATAAGCGTCCGTACCGACTTCAATGATCTCGGGCTTGGGCAGTTCGGTATCGGCCATCTTCTCTTCTTGTTCTTCTTCTTCTTGTTCTTCTACTTCTTCTGCTGTTTGCTTGGTGATGTCTTGTGCGCAGGCCACGCCATTTGGCGCGAAGGGGCACTTTCCTTGGCGCCATTTTCCTTCCCAGCTTTTTCCCGGCACGCCAAAACCGGCCACTCAATAAACGTTACCATTTTATTGCTCACCTTTTCGGACAGAGATGGAGCCCGCACCTTCTCCCTCTTCAGCGTCTGGAACTCCCATCCAGCCCTCTAAGGCAACGACTCTTGTTGCTCCTTTCCAGCGAGCGCCGTACTCGGCCGTTATCCCGCCGGCCCCCGCCAACAGCTTCGCTTCCACTGCTGCTCCGCCGCGGCTCTCCACGCTCGCCCCCTTAGCCTCCACTGCATCGCACCTCGCCCAGTCGCTGTGGTCCACGGCTTCTCTGGCGATACGACCTCTTGAGCGCTCTTCCTCCCTCTACCCGCCTGCACCCTCAAGTGTCCACCAACCTCAGCCTCGCCCTCTTCAGCACCACAACTCAGCGCCTGCTGGGCAACCGCCCGCCATACCCACAGTCGTACCATTAGAACCCTTGCGCCTGGGGTCGCCCAGCAGCGATGACTCGGCAGACAACATCGGAACGGACGACCTGGACGAGGGAGACAACGGCCTGACGCGTTCGGGCAAGCGGAAGAGGAAGCGTACGTCTCCCGAGCAGTTGCACGTGCTCGAGACCACCTTCAACATGGAGCAGCACCCGAGCCTCGGGATGCGCAACCAGCTCGCTACCCAGCTCAACATGACTCCCCGCAGTGTACAGATCTGGTACTCGTCGCTCACCGACTGCCACGACTGGACTGGCGCCCTCACACCTCCTCTCCAGGTTCCAGAATCGTCGCGCCAAGGCTCGCAATCAGAGCCAAGTGGCTCCCACACCCACACTGCTCCTGGGATCCAACACCGCCGGCCAGCCCCGCGAAGCTGCGCACGCCGACGCAGCTCTCCTGTCGTCCATCTTCCAGCTGGCGGCTGTCGCTTCAGCCGGAGAGCCGGTTCCTCCACCGGCCTCTTCGAGCTCTTCATCATCAGCTCCTTCGCCTTCGGCCTCCACTTCGTCGGTCTCATCCACTGGAGCTCCTACACCCGCGGCCTCTGACAGTCGAGTAAGCCGCTCTCACCTTCTGCACCGGCAGCTGAGTGATGCTTAGACTAACGATGTGGCAAGCACAGGTCAAGAGTGAGACATACACCACGGAGGGAGAAGTCGAAGCTAACAAGAGGAGGAAGACATCAGAACCCAGCTCAAGCGATAACGCGTCGCCACCGATCGACAAGCAAGAGAAGAAGGGCGGCGGGGACTTTGCGGCGGCCCTGTTGAAGGCTGCAGTGATGGGCAGGGAGGACGAAGTGGTCAAGCTGCTGGACCTGGGCTGCGGCAAAGAGGAGCGAGAGACGGCCCTGGTCGGGGCAGCTTCTGTAGGACACGTGGGTGTGGTCGAGTGCCTCCTCCAGCGCAGCGCTTCGCCCAACGCCGCTGACGAGGGCGGCTACAGCGCGCTGCATGCCTCGGCCAAGAACGGCCATCAGCGCATCGCCGAGCTGCTGCTCGAGGCCGGTGCGGACCCGCATGTCGTCGAAGACCTGGAGAAGGAGACGCCGTTGCATGTGGCCGCCCTCAAGGGCCGCCAGGGTGTGGCCCTGGTGCTGCTGCGCCGAGGCGCCCGACCCGACACCCGCGACCGACGCGGCTACAGCGCCCTGCACCACGCGGCGGTCAACGGCCACCTCTCGCTGGTGCGGCTTCTGGTCGATCATCGCGCCACCATAGACCTGCGTTGTGAGCGAGGCCGTACGCCACTGCACGCGGCCGCCCTCCACGGCTTCGATGCCATCGCCGATCTCCTGCTGCAGCAGGGCGCCGATCCCAACGCTCGCGATGCCACCGGCTCCACAGCCCTCCACTACGCCGTGCGTGGTGGCCACTCGGGCGTGGTCTCGCGTCTGCTCGCAGTCGGTTGCGCCCTGGGCGCCAACCAGTTGGGACTCACCGCGCTTCACCTGAGCGCCCTGTGCGGCGACGAAGGGCTGGTCGGCACGCTTCTGGAGAACGCCGACGACGAGACCGTGGAGGCCCGCGACGTCGACGGCCGCACGGCGCTACACCACGCCTGCATGGCCGGTTCGCTGGGTGTGGTGCGTCAGCTTCTGGCTGCCGGCGCAGATCCCGAGGGCAAGGACGGCGGCAACGACAAGTCCGTGCAGCTCGCCGCCCGGGCAGGTCACATGGCCGTCGTCAAGGCCCTCCTGCACTCGACTCACACCTCCTCTTCGCCGCCGCTCGTCGTAGAAGCAGCTTCTTCTTCCGCGGCCGCGACAGAGACTGGCACCGTGAACACGACAGGCCCGGAAGAGCAGGACAACGACTGCCGGGCCAAGAAAGAAAAGGAGGGTACAGACGCGACACCGGTGAAGGAGGATGGTGGCGAGGTGGGCGACCAGGACGAGGACGAAGAGGTGGAGAGAGAAGACGAAGAGGAAGAGATGGTCATCGATGACGGGGACGAGCTTGAACCGGAGAATGAGGCCTGACCCGACGAGTAGGGTCCGTGGCCAGCGCCGCGACGGAGGAAGGGTGTACAGACCAAAGAGTAATATATGTTTTTGTTTATTTTGTGGGTAGGGAGATGTGAAGAGAAGATGGAGATAGGGAGACGAGAAGAAGGGTCGTGCGGAAGATGAACACGGCCTGCGTGTGCGGGAGGATAGGTACAAGGGGCCGTGGTGCGAGAGATTTCTCTTCTCTTGCAGCCATCCGGGTGGGATTGGAGGTTCCATCCAATGCTTTGAAGATGCCGATTTGAAGCTGAGATTCTGGTGACTAGTGAGCAACGGTTCCCTTTTGCGGGGGCTTGGTAGCGTAAGGATGGTCGAGCGCCCGTCGGAAGAGGAGGATGTGGGGTTCGGGATCGTGTCGCTCGTAGTGCTCCCAGCCAGGGGACTGCTGCACGCCAAGCGCCCGCCACTCGGTTTCCGTGAGGAGGCGAGCAGGGAGCTTCTTTGCAAGCTGCTTGGGCAGAATCACATGTCTGGAAAACAGAAGATTAAAATTTACGGCCAGAAGTTCTGCATGAAGATGGGAAAAAAGATAACGCACCTGTACTCGAACTCGTCGTCACTGTACTTGTCTGAGTAGATGATCTGCTGCGACATCGTGAATGAAAATGAGGCGTGTGCGAACTGGGTACGGCCACGAGCAAAGTGATTTGATGGCTTGTTCGGGCGCGAAACTCAAGACAAAAACTGGCGCGAAACTCTTGTTCGCTGTTTGGCGCCAAAATTTTGTCCTTTTTTCCTGGATGCAAGCGTGGATTTGGCATTTCTATGTTGCCCTGTTACTGACTTTGCCCGGATAGTCGGCCCATCCCGACAAAGTAAGAAAATAATTATTATCAACAATTTTGTAGATTATTTATTTGCGTTTGGTTGTGTGGACGGTGATTGCCACCACCGAGGAGCACGGGGAGGCCACACGATCGACAGGGCATCAGTTGAGGGGTGGGGAGACTATGGAGGCTCCTCCCGCCAAGCTGATTGGCGACGATTCCTCTCGGCGGAAGGATAAGGACAAAGGTAAGAAAAAGAAGGGGAAGGCCAAGGATGAAGGCAAGATGAAGATGGACAAAAAGAAGACCAAGACCAAGAAGAAGAAGAAGGACAAAACCAGCAACAATAGGAGCCTTCCCGCCGGGAACCAGTTGACATCACATCCCCCACTCATGCGAGGCAGCTCCTCCGAAGGAGAGCACGCCGACGGTAATCATACTCGAGCTGCCCTACCCATCGACATTAGCTCACATTTTCCTCACCAATTCTGTTTACAGAGAGAACGGAGCGATCTATCAGTTTGCCCGAGAGCGTAAGCGAGGGGGCTGACAATGGAGAGGAGGAAGAGATTATGGGCGACAACACCGGGGACGAAGTGGACTTGTCATTTGACGAGAGTAGTGAAAACGCTGATGACGATGCCGGAGATGGGAGCGGCCTCTACCACTCGTGGAACTTCCTCGGCCCTTCCTTGTCGGGAAGTGGGCGCATCATCACGCGCAGCCCATCCAGCCAGATGTTAAATTCGCGACCACGTTCCTCAACCCAAGGTGCGTTACCCATTTTTGTGGTGAATGCCATTTGCATTGCAACTTCCATTCTTGTTCTGTGCATTCCTTTGCTTACTTGCTATGCACCATCGCTTTGCTTCAATCGCTCTCCTCATTCACCAGAGTGGTCTGAAGAGCGAAAACGAGAAGTGGAAAACCGGGCGCTGGCCATCTCTAACGCTATGGGCGAGGAACGCATCATCGCCTGCCAGGCTCTGTGGCGTCGCGCCCTCTGTGTGTCGCGCTTCCGCATTCTCGGTACGCTCTCCTCGCACTTCCCCCCACCGCCTACTCGGCCTGCGCACCGTCGCCTTCGCTCTTCGTTCTTCTTCTCTTTCTTTCTTCGCGTCTGCTTATCGTCCCTCCGTCCCTCCCGCCTTCTCGCAGTCCGAATGAACCGCAAGCGCGCCTCCATCGTGGACGAGCTCATCGCATCCGAGAAGGACTACGTCGCGGATCTCACCCTCGCCGTGGACATGTACCTCAAGGTAAGCTATTCTTCTTTCGCTCCTTGAGCCCACACCACCGGAGCCTCCCCTCACCCTAACAACAACAACAACAACCTCTCAGCCACTGCGCGACAGCCTGTCCACAAACGAGCCCATCTTGCCGTCGGAGATGACGCTGCGTTCGCTGTTCTCGGACATCGAGGTGATCCGGAACTACAACTCGGCCTTGCTGCAGCAGATACTTCGACGCCACGCCCAGTGGGGACCCTACCAGAAAATCGGTACGCCCGTGGTGCTCGTCGCTTGCTCTCTTCTCTTCTCTCCCCGAGTTTGTTGCACAAAACGAGAACTGACATTCGCTCTCTGGTTCTCGGTGGCAACAGGCGATGTATTTGTACGAATGAACCACTTCCTGAAAGCCTACTCCAACTACTGTAAACATTACAAAGAAGCCCTGATCACACTCGGTACGCGCCCGATCCGGCCTCCGCATGTGATTCGCCCAAAGCTGCTCACACGCGGTCGTGTTGCGCGCGTGGTTTGGTTCGTTGTGTGAACAGGTCAACTGTATAGAAATAATCGATTTGTGGCATTCCTGCGAAAGGTGGCCGAGGGACCAGCTATAAACGGCCGGACGCTCGAACACTTCCTCGCACTCCCCGTGGGCCGCATCCCCGCCTACACGTACGTGACCTCATGCCACCTCAATCGCCCGCGCAATATTTCTTTTTTATTATTATTTTATTTATTATAATAATATCGAATTTGTAACACGTTCATGGAATGCAGAGACCTGCTGGACCGCTTTGCGCGGTACACGTGGGAAACCCATCCGGACCGGCCCGACCTCTCCGAAGCGTGCGATTCGCTGCGGGAGCTAACGGCCTACGTGCAGGACTCGCGTGCGGACGTCCAGCACATCCTCACCGTCCTCCACATCCAAAACACTCTCCTGGGCACCGACAAGGTACTACTACCCATTCACCGCCTCCTGATGATTCTCTGATTAATTAACGCTCTTACCACCTTGCTGCGCCAATCAAACAGAACATCGTTACGCTGGGGCGACGGCTGGTGCGGGAGGGCGAAATTGAGGAGGTGTCGCGAGACGGCAGCAGGAACTCCATGTGGCATCTCTTCCTCTTCAACGACATCCTCCTGTGGACGCGACCGGTCGTCCCATCCTCCTCTTCATCATCATCATCGTCTTCTTCCTCGTTGTCGTCCTCTTCTCCTGCGTCGTCCGCTTCCTCCTCGTCCCTGCCCGGCGCGGCGCGCAATCCGCAGGGCGCGGCCTCGCTGGCCTCGTCGTCTTCCGGCGGCCGGTCGCCGACCACGTCGCCGCGGCGCGGCAGCCGGTCTTCCATTTCCTCCATATTCGTTTCTTCGGAGATCCCGCTCTCCCGCTCGGCTTCGGCGGTCGTCGCTGCCGTGTCGTCCGGGTCGTCGTCGGCGCTGACATCGGAGACCAGATACAACGTCGAGATGATCGACGACCTCGTCCACCTCACCGTCTCCGAGGTGCCCCTCGCCTACAACCACCCCGACGCCGAGGTAATCAACTCCGACCGACTCCCGCGCTCTCCATTGGCCCAGCAGTTTGTAATTGCTCACCAACCGGTCGTGTCGTGTGTCGTGTCGTTGTGGATGACAGGATGACTACGGGATGTACATGGTGCGGGGCACGACCGGCGCGACGCCGGTGCTGCTGGTGGCACACAGTGCGCGGGAGCGCAAGTCGTGGCTGCAGGACCTGTACTCGTGCATCGACGACACCGTCTCCAAGCACTATCTGCGCATAGGTAAACCCAAAAGGTCCTCCCAGCCAGGTATACATATATCCATCCCTATTGGCGCGCCCCGCTCTGTCCATCCATCCACCCCCGCTATCCATTCTCTATTATCACTGTATCTGTTTATCTATTTACTATGACTATTAGTTGTATCACTATCCATTTATTTCCAACCAACCTGGCAAGAGCGTGGTTGCATGGCAACAACCCACAACAATTGTTATTGGGGGGCTTAACGCTGACGTGTGCGGGCGCCTGTGTAGTGGAGGAGAGGAAGCAGGTGGTGCATCGCGAACTGTTGGGCATCATGCAGCTGCGCAAGGACGAGTACTTCCAGTACCTCCGCCACTCGCGCTCTTCGGCCGTGCCCTCCAACCTCAACAAAAGTACTCCTCCGCACACGCTCGCCCACGGCACACACGGCACACGGCTCACAGCACACGGCACGGAAATGGGGAGTGAGAGAGAGCTGACGTCGGATGGGTTGTTGCGGTCGCGCGCGCGCAGAGGGAAAAGAGAAGAAAAAGAAGCCGGCGGGTAGTAAGCGAGCGGGACTCGGCCGCATCCTGCCCATGGGCCGCCGGCTCTCGGACGCCACTGTGGCCGCCGAGACCACACCCACGCGCACCACCCAGAACCCGCTCGCCCAGGTACGTTCCGCACATTCCTTCCACCCCTCCCCGTTCGCTCACCACGACACGACACGACAGGTTCCGTTGCGACAGTCGATCAACCCAGCGCCAAACATGGACCAGCTGGCGGCGTCGGCGGCGCCCTCGCCCTCGCTGGCGGGCGGCGTGGGCCTGGGTGGTGGCGGGATGGGCGGCGTGGGCCTGGTGGGCGTCGACTCGAGCCACCAGGCGAAGCTCCACAAGTCGGCGTCGGTCACGCAGCTCGACCTCCTCATGGCCGAGATGAAGAACGACCCGCGCGCCATGATCCACCTGGCCCCGCGGCTCGAGCGCACCATGCAGCGGCTCAACCTGCACGACGCGTGGGACGACGATCGGCTGCGCAAGAAGGAGCGCGAGCGCGAACTCCGCGAGAGGGAGAAGGAGCGCGAGCGCGAGAAGAACAATCGAAACGGATCGTCGTCAAAGTCGGGCTTCAAGCGATCGCTGTCGCTCAAGATGCGCGGCGAGAAGAAGTACGAGAAGGACCGCATCAGCGGCGTCGACAAGGAGCACCGCAAGGACAAGGACAGCAAAACGAAGAGCGGCAAGGGCAAGGAGAAGGAGAAAGGGCGAGAACACAACCACCACGGCCACGGCCATGGCCACAACCACGAGGAGGAGGGCGAGGCGGAGGAGGGCGAGGACGGCTCGTCGCCGTCGACGTCGTCGTCCATCTCGGTCATCGCCTCCAACAACAGCAGCGCCGAGTGGGACCTGGGCAGCAACGTCAAGCGACCAACCGCCGCCTCATCGTCGTCGTCCTCGGGCAGCGGCAGCAAGCCGCGCAAGTCCTCGCGAGAAGCTGACCGAAAGCCTTGAAGCAAGCAGACCCCCGAGTGGGGTGAGACCGAGTGCATGATCACCCAAACCCGCGTGGCACGAACCAACGCGTTGGTCCCGCCCTGCTGTGGTCTTGCCCAACTAAAGTTTGAAAAGCACCCACAGAGAAGACGAGCGTGCCACGCGGGTTTGGTGTAGAACACAACGCACGACACACGTATAATAATTGGCCAATTATTCACAACCCACGCGCGCGCGCTTGTTCCCGTTCGTGTTCGCCAGGCTGGACACGCCCCTTTCCCCCTCTTCTTCTCTTGCGTTGGTGCAGATCTTTACTCACTACTCCAGGCCGTCGTCCTCGTCCCAGGCACCTTCGGCCTCGTCCTCCTGTAGTGGCCACCGGATGAGCGAACGCCAGGTGAGCGTGTGAGAGCGTGTTTTGGTGAGCGTGTGGGAGTGCGTTTTGGTGAGCGTGTGCGTGGGGGTCTTACCCAGGAGGGGTCGGTCTCGACGGCCAGGCGGCTGGCGGCCTGTGGCTTGGCGGGACCCTTCTGGATGATGGTCGGTCGTACGTAGGTGGGCTCCATGTCCTGGAAGTAGTCCACCTCCTCCACCCTGTGTGTGTTCGTATGCAACGCGCCGTAAGTCGTCGCCCCTTCGCACGTAGCGCACGCGCAGCGCGACACGACACGGAAGGAGTACTTCTTGGGTGGCTGCTGTTGGGGCTGCGGCTTGGCGACTGGCTTGACGGCGCCTCCAAGCGCAGGTGCGGGTGCAGGTGCGGCCGCCTCGGCTCGTTCGTGGCCGGCAGGCGGAGTAGAGCGGCGGGGGGCGGGGGCGGCCTCGGGGGCGCGACGCACGTTGATGCCGCTAGGGCCGGGCGAGATGGTGGATGAAGAGGGAGGCGAGGAGGGCGAGAAGGAGCTCGTGGTGTTGTTCGTTGGGGTTGAGGCGAACACGCCCGCCCCCGAATTTGTGTCCTCATCCGCAGAAGATGAAAACCCATGCGTAGAAGTGGGGGAGGTTGCAGATGAAGAGGGAGGAGGCACGTTGAGCGCCGCCTCCCGAAGCGCCTGCGAATCCGCCTGCGCGTCAGGGAGACACGACGCAAACAACGCGTTACCCATTTGGGGGGAACAAATCAATCACAGTGGTGCCTCTTGTCTTTTACGGTTTCGTTTTTTTTTTTTTTGCTCTTTGCTTTTTGCTTTTTGCTTTTTTCTTTTGTTTTACGCTGTTCTGGGCGCCAAGGTTTGAGTTGAGCAAGATGGGGAGAAGGTGAAAGCGTGTTTACATTTGGGGGATAGGAAAGATAAGCCTTTCCTCCGAGCGTGAGAGGAGGAGTACAACAACGGCGACAAAACAGACGGGCAAACAAACAAACTAACTAAAGACAGGCACCGGGAGTGGGGTGCGGACGAGAGACTCAGAACAGGCTGCACTTCTTCTTGGGCTTGGAAGACCCCGCACTCGAATCCTCTTGCTGCTCGAGTGGATGATTGTGGCGCGGTGTGAGCTCGTGTCTCACAGCAACCGCACATGCACCACCGCACACGCATACGAACACACGAGTGTGGGCGATGAAAGGTACCTTGGCGCAGACAACAGCGGTGAGGGCGTTGTCGAAAACGTTCTTGAGACCCCGCCGGGTGAGGGCGCTGCACTCCAGGTACTTGATGGCCTTGATCTCGTTGGCCAGCTTTTGGCCTGCGCCACACCATCGTAAAATGTCCACCACCAACGTGAGCGTGCACAATCACCACGAAGGAGAGGGGAGAGAGGGGGGAGCACCTTGTTCGGGCGTGATGGGGTCCTTCTTGTTCTTTTGGAGCTCTTCGAGGGTCTTGGCATCCTCTCTCAGATCGATCTTCGTGCCCACCAGAATGATCGGCGTCGTCGGGCAGTGATGCCTCAGCTAGGAGAACGCGATCGCGCCCAACACCCAACACGACCGAGAGCGCGAGAGAAAGAGCGAAAGAGAGAGAGAGAGAGAGCGAGAGAGCGAGAACGAAGATGGCCGCGCGTGAGTTGGTGCGAGGGACGATGGTGCGAGGAGGAGGGAGTGAAAGAAAGCACACCTCGGGGAGCCAGGTCTCTTTGACGTTTTCGTAGGAGTAGGGGTTGACGACGGAGAAGCAGAGGAGGAAGATGTCCGTCTTCGGGTACGAGAGCGTCCTGATGCGCGCATAGCCTTCCTGGCCTGCCCTCGTTTACACGCCCCAGGCATTGCCACCAGTCAGACCACCGTAGATGGAGAGAAAGGAGAAGAGTGGGAGCGAAGGAGCGCAGAAGAGATCGCGTTGATAGAGAAGCCATCTTGAGGAGGCGGCAGAGAAAAATGGATTTCGTGTAGGGCGACGTACCAGCGGTATCCCAGAGCGAGAACTTCACCTCCTGGCCCTCCACGAGGATCTGCGCTTCATAATTATCGAATACGGTCGGCACGTACCTGCCGCGTGTGGAGGCGAAGTGCGAATCCGTCCATGAGACTGGCAGGGGTCTGAAGATTGAAGCTTATGAATTTAGAGGGGGGCACGTACTCGACAGGAAAGTGATTCTCGGTGTAGGAAATGAGCATGCACGTCTTACCTGCAGACCCACCCTCGTTAGCGATTGATTGATCCCTCCTTAAATTGAGATTAGGCGACTACGTAAAATTTAATAATTAAAAAAGAAGCGAAATGAAGAATTTGATGCCAGTAGGAGACTACGCGACATACCGACGGCGCCGTCACCGACGACAACGCATTTGACCTCCTTCTCAGTCATCGGTAGAGATCGGGATGAAGCCTTCTCTTTTTGCGAACAGATTGAGAGAGTTGCTTTGCAAGATGGCGTTTATGGCGTCGACAGTAGCAGCGTGGTGCGGCCAATTAATTCGCCGAAGAATGCAGTCGCCTTTGGTCTTTTCGGTTGCTGTCGACCAGTTTGCGACTGTCGCCAGCGCTGGTCAGGCGGGAATTGCGGGCCAAGCTGTCGCTGTCCACGCGGAAGCCGTTTTTCTTCACTTCTCTTCTCACGGTCTCGGCCTCAATCATCAGCTTCCAACTCGATCGAACGTTCGATCCTCGATAATAACTTAGAACATGGGTGGACTCATCTCTCTCCTCGCTGGCGACCACTCCAAGGGCGTGGACATTATTTTGAATTTTGAAGGTAATTTTTGCAATCGTGTAGAGGGCGCCAGGTCCACCATTGCATTCAGAAAGATGTTGTGTTGTACTTTCTATTTCTCCCTTCCTCTTACACGCGTACCTAATCGTTCCAGGTGCCGAGCCTTCATCCGAGGAGGAGAGGCAGATCCACGCCGCGGTAGCCGCGGTGCTCAACAAAGGCCCACAAATTCTCGATGAGCTTTCGACCTATCCCGGTTGTGAGGAGTACATTCGAAAGGCATGCGCATTCTCTGCCCCTTCTTCTTTTTTTTTAGCAGGCTTAGCGCAAACTACGCCTGGTACGTGTGAATGGTGTTCTGATGAAAGATCCACTGTGTTCGCAATCAGGCCATTTCCAACCCCGGCCCGGAGAACGAGGAGGCGGCTTGGAATGCCGTTCTGCCCGCCGTCGATCAGCTGAAGGAATTCTACGATTTCTCGCTTTCTCTTGGTACCATTCCACATCAGGCCCTTTTACATCAAAGCCTTGAGGAACCGTCCCAGGAATCTCTGGCTCTTTGGTACTTGTTGTTCTCACCCCGCTCTTCCAACGATTTCACGCTACTTCAGAGGAGAGCTTCCCCAAGCTGCTCCTCGCCCTCTGCAAGGAAGCGCCCAGGGAGAGCCTTGGCAACCAGCAGGCCTTGGCCAAGCAGCTCGCCGACGTGTTCGACTTTGTCCTCCGCTTCGATGACGCCAAGGTGCACCTCTTCTCCCTCTCCCAGGACTCCCGTGCGCCTCGCACACATGACCAGCGGCTGATGCGTGTCTCTCTGTGTTTCTTTTTGTGTGTGGGGGTGTGTAGATGGTCAACCCGGCGATCCAGAACAACTTCAGCTACTACCGGCGCACGCTCAACCGCATGAAGCTGTCGAAGAAGGACATGAACCTCACCATCCGCGACGAGCTGGCCAACCGCATGTCCCTCTTCTTCGCCTCGCCCACCCCGATGATGAACTCGCTCTCGGAGACGACCGTCAAGTTCCTCAACGAGGACTCGACGGTGCCCAAGGAGAACGTGACCGACGCCCTGGCGACGATGGTCAACGTGTGCCAGCACATGGTGGAGGTCAAGACCTTCTCCTCCGACCAGACCAACCTGTTCTGCCTGCGCGCCATGACCGGCGCCATCATCCTCTACGACCACCTCCACCCACAGGGCGCCTTCAACAAGAAGTCTCCCATCAACATGCGCGGCTGCATCACCGTCCTCCGCAACTTTGTGCCCCAGGCCGGCGGCTCTGGCAGCGCCCCGTCCCCCTCGGCCGGTCTCCTCAACGCCCTTCGCTTCACGACAAAGCACCTCAACGACCCCGACACCCCCGCCAACATCAAGCAGCTCCTCGCCTCCTCCTGATCGTCCACCCCCCAACTCGGGCTCGCTGCCGCCCACGCTCGGCTCCTCACGCGCGGTGGCTCGACTTCTCTCTCCCCCTCGCGGTTTGCAGCCGCACATCCATGACCACTATCCACCATCAACCACACCCCATCACCTTCATCGTTCATCCCTGGAGGGGGTCTTCTTTCTTCCCCCTGCCCCCCATTCATGTGCGCTGGCATGTGCGCTGCTTCTCGTGCCCCTTGTAATACCTACCATGCTGCTGTTGTGAACTTCCCTCGTCCCTTCATGACCGCACTTCTCCTTCATCTTCCTTGAACGTCTTTTTCAAGGTTTCTGTGGCAGGCCTGAAAACAAACAAAAAAAATGAAACTATCACTTTTTTAAATCAACAAAAAACAAGATTGCGAGGAGGATGGAGGAGCTGCCCACAACGACAACAACGCCAAAGGAGGCGGAGGGGGAGAAGGAGCTGCGACTGGCAGAGGAGGCGCACAAGGGCTACATTCGTCGGCTGAGCGGCAAGACGAAGGGCTTCGAGCACTGGGTCACGGAGCACCTCAAGATGAGCGGCCTCTACTGGGGCCTCTGCGCTCTCGACATGCTCGATGCCCTCCCCACCGACGACGATGACGGTGGCGCCCAGGCTGCCAATAAGGAAGAGCAGCAGCAGGGCGCAGAAGATGAGCAGAGGTCGACGCCCGCCGAAGGTGCAGGCGAGGAGGCGGAGGAGGCAAAGGGACCCAAGCGCAAGGAGCTGGTGGCGTGGGTGCTGGCGTGCCAGCGCGAAAACGGCGGCTTCGGCGGTTCCATCGGGCACGACGCCCATCTCCTCTACACCCTCAGCGCCATCCAGGTCCGCCCATCTTTTTTTATTTATTTTATTTTTATTTGTGCATTCTTCAGCTTATCGATATTTTATGTTTTAAATTACTATTTTTATTAAAATAATTACGTATATTTTATTTGCAGGTGCTGGCGATCCTGGACGCGCTGGACAAGGTGGACCGCGACCGCACGGCCGCCTACGTGGCCTCTCTGCAGCGGCCCGACGGCGCCTTCATGGGCGACGAGTGGGGCGAAGTCGACACCCGCTTCGTCTACTGCGCCCTCAACTGCCTCTCCCTTCTCGGCCGTCTCCCCGTACTCTCTTCCCCCCACTTTCTCCCCTAACGTTCGCGACCACTCGACTCACCGGCAGCGGGCCGCTGGGCTGTGACCAGGCCAAGGAGGGCCAGGGCGGCGCGGGCGTGAACGTGGAGAAGGCCGTCGAGTACCTGCTGCGGTGCCGCAACTTTGACGGCTCGTTCGGGTGCGTGCCGGGCGCCGAGTCGCACGCCGGGCAGACCTTCACCTGCGTCGGCGCCCTGGCCATCGCCTCCACCCTCCCCGCCTTCGCCCAGTCGCCCGCGGCGGGCGGCGACCACCGCGCGGTGCTGGAGAAGTGGATGGACGCCGAGCAGCTCGGGTGGTGGCTGTGCGAGCGGCAGGTGGAGAACGGCGGCCTCAACGGGCGGCCCGAGAAGCTGGCCGACGTGTGCTACTCGTGGTGGGTCCTGTCGGCCCTGTGCCTGCTCGACCGACTGGCGTGGATCGACGCGGGCGCGCTCGAGCGGTTCATTCTGCAGTGCCAGGACGTCGAGTCGGGCGGCATCGCCGATCGGCCGGGCGACATGGTGGACATCTTCCACACCTTCTTCGGCATCGGCGGCCTCTCGCTCCTCGGCTATGCCCACGTCGGCGAGGGCGACCTCCGCATCGACCCGGCCTACGCCCTCACCCGCCGCACCTGCCGCCGCCTCGGCCTCGCCCTCCCCTGGGACTCCTCCAACTAATTTGATTAATTCTGCCTTTTTCTATTTTAGGAAAAATAAAAACAATAAATTATAAAAATGGTGACGTGCGCTACGTGTATTTGGGTGGCCCCCGAGCTGACGAAGACGAAGAGGACCACGACGGGGACGACCAGGCCGATGGCGACGACGAAGTGGGGAAAGAGGACCAGGAGGAAGCGGAGGTGGATGAGGAAGAAGAGGAAGGTGGTCGGTGGCCGACGACGGGCGAGGAGGAAGCCGGCGAGGAGTTGAGGGAGCGGCTGCTGTGGAGGGTGAGCTTGCGCGCGGTGAGGCGCGCGCACTTGGGGCAGCGCTGCGGGTCGAAGCACGCCTGGTGGAACAGCGCGTGGCAACGAGCGCACTTGGTCGTCGTACGCAGCTGCCGACGAGCAACACCCGCAGTGAGGAATGTCGTGTGTTGTGTGTCGCGTGTGTCGTGTGTCGCGTGTGTCGTATGAGTGTGTCGTATGTGTGGGGGAGGGAGTACCTGGAATGGGTAGATGGGTCGGTCGCTGTTGCACACCTCACAGAAGCTGCCCTTGCCCCGACACAGCTCGCAGCGGGCGATGTGCTGCAGCCACCCGCTGGCCACCTCCCCCAGGAACGCGGCCAACCGCCCGCTCTGCGCCTCCACCAAATCGTGCAGCGAATACACCTCTGCACCCATCGGCCAGCATGTGAGTGCGATCGAGTGTGTGCGGTGTGTGTCGTGTGTCGTGTGTCGTGTGTCGTGTGTCGTGTGTCGTGTGTCGTGTGTCGTGTGCATGTGCGTGTGCGATACCGTCGGCGTTGATGAGATCGAGGCGGCCGGCGGTGAGCGGGATGAGGCGGTCCTTCTCTCGGCAGGTGACCACGAACTCCTTCATGTAGCTCAGCTGCTCCCGCAGCGCCTGCAGAGCGAGCGAGTGCGGCGTGAGGAAAGCCGACCATTTCGAGCAGCATGTGTGTGTGCGTGTGTGTGTGTGTTGTGTGTGTTGTGGCGAGAGGGCGGCGTACACGGACGTCGTAGAGGGCGGGGGCGATGGCGTAGAGGCGCGGGTTGATGTCGAGGATGGCAAAGGCCGGCAGATAGTAGAGCTCGTCGATGATGGTGCGGGCGGCGCGGCACACGCGGTACGGTCGGAAGTCCCACTCGTGCAGCACGCGCGCCGGGATCACCGCCGCCTCGTTGACGTGGCACTCGTAGCAGTAGTACCGCCCCGTGTACTCGCAGTACCGCCCCGCCCCTCCCAGCAGCCCTTTACCGCACATCGCACATCGCACACACCGCACACGCGCGTCAGCCGTCATTCGTGTGGGTGGGTGCGGGGGGGAGGGGTAGGAGTACAGGAGCCGAATTGGGCGGAGCAGCCGGCGCAGAGGTAGTTCTGGTCGGCCGCGCTGCCGCGCTTATGGAGGTGGAACAGCACCTGCCGCCGCTGGCCCGCCCCGACGCCGCTCAACGCCGCCGCCGTCTGCTGATGTTCGGCGCCCGCATCGGGCGACCGGCGGGCGCGCTGTGCCGCTGCCGACGCCGACGAAGCCAACGACGAGGTCGAGGTCGAGGTCAAGGAGGAGACCGACGAGGAGAGGGCCGACGAGGGAACAAAGGACGACGACGACGCTGTCGAAAGGGAGGAGGGGGAGAGGGCCGAGCCAGTCCGGCCTCGCCGCTGCGCCGACGACGACGACGCGGAAGAGGCGGAGGCCGAGGGGAGGGCCACGGGGCTGAGGAAGAGCGAGGC